CTGAGCGGCCATACCACCCATAGCGTGCACACCACGGCGGTGGCAAGTCTTGATGAGAAGCTTGACATAGGCATCCATGAAAGGCACGGTCATGGTGACATCGGAGCGGTCGGGGAGAACAAAGTTGGGGTGCTGGCGGAACTTCTTGATGAAGGAGAAGATGTAATCCCAGCGGCCGCAGTTGAGGCCAGAGCTGTGGTCACGGAGCTCGTAGATGATCTATACCAGGGTTAGCTGTGGTTTCATGCTGTTGTTCAGTGTATATCACTCACCTCATCCATCTCGAAGGCAGCGGTAATAGTCTCAATCAGGACAGTACCACGGATGGTACCCCGAGGCAGACCAATGTAGTCCTGGGACAGGTTGAAGACGTCGTTCCACAGGCGAGCCTCGAGGTGGGACTCCATCTTGGGGAGGTAGAAGTAAGGGCCGGCTCCGCGGGCGACCAGCTCCTTGGCGTTGTGGAAAAAGTACAGACCGAAATCAAACAGACCACCGGAGATGGGCTCACCATCGACAGTGAAGTGCTTCTCATCCAGGTGCCAGCCACGGGCACGGGCAATCAGAGTAGGCAGGGTGCGGTCAGTCCGCAACTTGTACTCCTTGCCACCCTGCTTGAAGTCGACCTGGCGACGAATGGCATCGTACAGGTTCACCTGGCCATTGACCATGTTGTCCCAGGTCGGAGCGCTGGAGTCCTCAAAGTCGGCCATATAGGTCCAGACATCGGAGTTCAAAGCGTTCACGACCATCTTGCGGTCAGTCGGACCAGTAATCTCCACACGGCGGTCGACCAGACCAGGAGCGGGAGGGGCACCCTTCCAGGCGTCATTCTCACGGATGTGTTTTGTCTGGGGAAGGAAGTCGAGGAGGGTACCCTTGTCGATCTCGGCCTGGCGGTCGACGCGGCGCTGGAGCAGGGACTTGCGGGTCGAGTTGAAGGTACGGTGCAAAAGGGCCAAAAAGGCACAGGCGTCCTTGGTCAGGATCTTGCGGGCATCGTTGTTGATGGAGCCCAGAATGGCCACATCCTTGAGCTGTGTGTCGACGAAAGACATGATGAGGAGCTATGTAAATATGATAAGATATAGATACTAATGGGATTCCATGCGACGGGAGAGGAGAGAGAGGAATCAGAGGAGTCAGAGAAGTCAGAAAAATCAATTCAAGTAGAATTCAAATTAAGAGAAGAATATAAGAAATAAGCGTGAAGCAGTGAGGTATATATGGAATACGTCACTGAGCCGCGGTATAGATAAGCCGACCATCGATTAACCGGTGGTCCGAACGGCCCTCACTATGGCCGCTGGACTTCCACTTTTCCACGGGAAACTGTTCCTCTCGGCCGACATCGCCCATTTCCCCGTCTTTTTCTACTGTTCTCTCTGCGCTATTCAAATACTCGGCCTCCCCACACCACTCGGCACACGCCGCATACCGAATCTTATCGCTTAACGTTAGCAGTTCTATTGTGTCAATTGCTCTGGGGACCTGCATTTATATAGGGTTCGTCTGTCATAGTCAATTCTCGACAAACCTTCTATTCTCCTGCTTCACCCGAAAAGGTGTATATACCCCGGAAATCCAATCAGCCGCGGCTTTTCCTGTGCTTCGTGCTTCATGTCCGAATTGTCCCGGAGATGGACATGTGATGTCACATGTGATTGTTCTAGGGATGAGTACATGGCTAAGTATTGACATTCATAGGTCTAGGCTATGTACAATCTATCGTAAGGGTATTAACAGGTCAAACCGTCTCAATGTATCGCTTCATCTCCCTACAAATCCAGTCAGCAAGAGTCATCAAATCTTACCCTTCCAAGATTAAAGGGACTTACCAATCCGTGACAGCCTCCTCCCACAAGCGCACTTCATGTTCCCGAGTACCAGCAAAGTGTTCCACGAATGAATCACCAAACACTTCCCGTGCGACACTCTCCGGCCGACTAAATGTAACAATAGCTTCCTTCAAAGATTTGGCCAGGCGCACACCCTGGTCACTGGCACCACCCATATCCTCACCGCGGGAGAGGGGCGGCACGGGGATCTCGAGACGTTGCTCGACGCCGCGCCAGCCCAGCGCCAGAATGGCAGCGAGGACAAAGTGCGGGTTGGCATCAGCGCCAGGGACACGCACCTCGAACCGCGTCGCCTTGGGGCTGGCGGTGGGTGGGGTGATAAGACGGATCGACGCGGCCCGGTGCTCCAGTCCCCAGGAGACCGTGACAGGAGCCCAAAAGTTCTCCACCAGTCGTTTGTAAGAATTGATGGTCGGGGCCAGAAGCGGCATGATATCAGGGAGACCGACAAGGAGGCCAGCCAGGAAATGTCGACCCAGGTCGGAAAGGTGAGCGATGTCAGGGTAAGCAGGGGAAGGATCGGGGGTGTCGCGAAGGAAGGCATTCTTCCCGTCGGAATTCACGAGCGAGATGTGCATATGCCCGCTGTTTCCAGGCAAGCCCTGTCGGGGTTTGGCCATGAAACAAGGCGTGATGCCGTGTTTGATTCCGAACGATTTGACGACGTATCTATGCGTATACAAGTGGTTAGCCATGACGATGCAGCAGAGCGCTGAGGATCCTACTTGAACAATCCGGCCTTGTCGGCCATATCCTTTGCTTCGCCGAATTGTAATGCCTGACTCCATGTTAGCCCCAATGCAACACGCAGACTGGAGTCCACTCACGGCTTCGAAGACACCCGGTCCACTCTCCGTATGCCATCCCTCAATATCACACCGGAACTGCTCGCAGGCGTCGAAGATGCCATAATAATAATCTTGGTTGTGAAGAGGACGAGTGATCGAGTATCCGAACATGCCTTCCGTTATTGAAGGCAAGGCATCGGCAGGGTGTGACTGTAGGAAGGCTGCGGTTGCAGAGGCACCCTGTTCAGGGGTGGGGTGAGGGCCTGGTGCACGAAACTGGTAGAACTCATATTCCGCTGCAAAGGTCAGGTAAGCCATTGGATCAAAGACATCATTCCGGATTGAACATACCTCCAGCCATGGCCCGGTACCCCGCCGCCTCGGCTTTGGCAGCCGCCGTCTTCAGCAATCCTCGGGGACAAGCACACACCGGCTCCCGCGTATCAGGATCGAGAAAACTAATCAAGAAGAACGGGACATTGTTCTCCCACGGAATGCGACGGAAACTGCGCAGATCGGGGACGGCGACAAGATCCCGGTATCCATTCTCCTTATTGCTGATGGCCAGCTCCTTGAAATACGTCGCGTCGTGCTGATCCCAGCCAAAAACCACGGAGCAGAATCCAAAACCTTCGGTCAAGATGGAAAGGAACTTGTCCTTCTTCATGAGCTTCCCGCGTAAGATGCCATCAACATCCACGCCAGCCACCTTCACCTTGGTGTCATGCTGGAGGATCTCGGCGATATTCTCACGAGTGACCTCGGGATCTGAGCTCGACATGGTAAAGCTATGATAGAGAAAGAGGAGGGAGGAGTGGGAGAAGTGGGAGGTGACACATGCGAGATCAGACGAGCTGCTATCAGCTGCGGGCAGATAACGCCTTTCTGCTTTCGGACGCATATTGTAACCGCTTATGTAACATTCCTGCCCCGCGTCGGTCAACTGTGAAGTGTATAGGCCCAGGTACACACAACACTCTCTCTTGTATTGATCTACTCTTATTCTAACAATGGCTGCTACTCAAGGTCGTCTCCAGGGCAAGAATGCCATCATCACCGGTGCCGGCGGGTATGTCTCTGCCCCTCTCCCGTAGCAATTCTAACCTAGATCGATAGTGGTATCGGCCTCGAAACCTCCATTCTCTTCGCCCGCGAAGGCGCCAATGTCTTGATGGCCGATGTCTCCGAGGCTGCCCTGGCCAAGGCATTGGCCAAGGTGAAGGAAGTCGTTCCCACTGCCCCTCGTGTGGAGTCCATCAAGTGCGACGTGTCCAAGGAGTCCGACGTGCAGGCCATGGTCGAGTCTCAGGACAGCTGGGGAGGCACCGATGTGATCTTCAACAACGCCGGTATCATGCACGCCGACGACGCCGATGCCATCGACACCCCCGAGAAGATCTGGGATCTCACACACAACATCAATGTCAAGGGTGTTTGGTTCGGTAGCAAGCACGCCGTCCTCAGTCTGCGTCGTCACAAGAAGGCCCGTGGCAGCATCATCAACACTGCCAGTGTGGTTGCTCTGGTTGGCGCTGCCACCCCGCAATTGGCCTACACGGCCAGCAAGGGTGCAGTCCTAGCCATGACTCGCGAGTTGGCCATCGTGCACGCCCGCGAGGGCTTCCGCTTCAATGCTCTGTGTCCTGCTCCTCTCAAGTACGTTTCCCTTTCTGTATCTCAATCGCATCCCCTCACACTGGTATATAGTACCCCCTTGTTGCAGGACTGGCTTGGCGAGGACAAGGAGAAGCGCTTCCGCCGCGAAGTGCACTTCCCCACCGGCAGGTTCGGTGAGGCCATCGAGCAGGCTCACGCTGTAGTATTCCTTGCTAGCGATGAGAGCAGCTTTGTGAACGGAACTGACTTTGTGGTTGATGGTGGAATGACCAAGGTATGCATGACGCGTAAGCGACATTCCTGACGGCGCTAACGAATCACAGGCCTATGTGACCCCTGAAGGCCCTGCGACCGCTGCGCCTCAGAACAACGGCCTTTAGTGGACCTTGACATGACCTGATTCACCTTGAATAACTTTGATTTGCAATTTCTTTTCTATTTTCCACATTTCGGGGTTCAAGAATACATAGACATAACGTGGATATCTGATCAAACATATGATTTAATTATGATATGATCTGTGCAGGTTTTAGAGTGTAGATCAATTGCATGATGGGGCTGTGGCATGATCGCGCGGTATAACAACCTCGGGATCCCCGGCTCTCCACGTCACGATTCCCCCGCATTTACCGCATTCCGCTTTCCGCTAAGCCGACGCCTCCAAGCTTCAACTTCTCACTTTCACACACTTTCAACTCTTACACGAAACGTCTAAAACCAAACCTTCTATCTAACCATGTCTCAATTTGCGTTCGGCGCCAACAAATCTTACAACCCTCCGACCGGACCGAGTCTTAAGCCCCGGAATGGCCGCTGGTAAATTGCACTACAGTAACCCCCTTTTCTCCACCACGACTAACATTGTGTCCCACATCAGGCTTATACCTTTGATGGCTACAATTGGTCTCGGTATGTGTTACAATTCCGTGATGTTCCGCTGATAGAGACCACTGCTGACACGCACGTGCAGGGTTCGGCGCCTACAACTACTACGTCGAAGCCAAGTCTCGCAGAGAATACTCCCAGGCGGAGGAAGAGAAACGCATGGCTCGAAATCAGCAACTTATGGATGCATACGGCGACAAAAACAGTCTTCATGATGTCCAGCATGCCCTCGACACCTACCACGCTCAATAAAAGGGTTGGGTTCTCTACTTTGGGATGCTGGCAGTCACAAAGTGAGAGGGCCGTTTGAATCTTCATTTGCTGCACTTTCTGCGTGTTTTCGGAGTTTGGGCTTTGCGGGTTTCTTCCGGCATACCGGCACATCGGTATATGTACGGTCCATATTCGGCGTTGGGATCTCCATGGCGAGTCTGGTGATGTTTTCAGCTTTTGTATACTTAGCCGAAATGAGGTTCCAGTTTGACATCGAAATTGGAATATTGTTTCAGGATGTCTCATCTCCTTGGCTCCGACCCTGTACCAGGGAATAGAGTAGAACATTGACCCACAATATGCAGCTATATAGATGCTCATCTTGTACCATTCAGGGCTCATAAATCCGTAATTGATAGTCAATGAGCAGAGGTCAATCAACTGAGGTGAGGTTTTCGGCTCGTATGTATAAATACTGATGCGCACTCCCAATTGTCGATGCTGTCGGCCATGTACTGCATGTCGATATTAACAGATAATAACTACTGTACAGTAATCAAATGGAAGACCTCGTGCGAATTACTAGCGACGATTATCTTCCCACGGGGAGGATGCATAGAGTAATGTACAAAATTAAATGGTTTGATATGTTGTATTGACGTCTCCTGTTGGAGCCTCTGGAAGCTGACCAAGCAAAGAACTAGGAAAAGGGCTGTAGCTCATTGTATGCTCACCAGATACTGAAAGATTCAGTCGCAGTTGGGGATCAAGGTTTGAACCCATTAGAGCAGACCGCGTGTGAGGACTCAGAGCATCCTGTACGTCGAGCATCACTTCCGGTCCGTAAGAAATATCTTGGGCGGGAAATGCTGGAAGCCAGAGATCCTCGTTCGTGACGGTTCCCATATTATTCCCCCATTCATAAACAGGGCAACCAGTGGAGATATTACTTGAGTCCCTTTCGCTTTCTGTATGGGGTCGGGGTACATCGTTCGTAGGCCGTGCATAGTCGGGATCCTTCGATGATCTACCTGGAAACAGTGAATCGAGTTGACTGGAAACCTGGCGGTCAAGAATTCTTTTGATCCGCGTCCGAATGATCTCAATACTCCGATCCAGGCCGGGCATAGCTGCAGCAGTACGTTGGAGTACATCTAACAGAAACTTCAACTCTGTCCAAGCTGCTTGGTGGGATTGTGAAGGCTGTGGTCCTTCTTCCGGTGTTTCTAGTTGGTATACGGCAGTTGTCGCAGCCATATACGTACAGTAACTGTTCATGTATGTGATATGATGATATCCAAAAGTATGAATATACATTTTGAGAAGATCATATATTGCGGTGGTTGCCCCTCTACATATCTTCCAGCTCTGTCGGATCGCAGCAGAGGAAGGTACCTCTCCGCCTGCAACATGCGGTCGATGAAGAAGAATAAGGGTATTGTGATACATCAGATTGAGGGATGTGATATGCGGCGGTGGGCTTAATTGAGGCATGTCATTGCGTGGTATATGTAGGAACGACGGCAAGGACGAGTGCCAATCCTGAAGCTCCTTTTTGATCTCCATGAATACAGCCATTCGGGGGTCTGACGCATTTGCCGAGTGGCTGGCGGACTGCGAGCTATAGAGTTCTAGCATGACCCGAGTGAGAATTTTGCAGAGTTTGCATAGCTCCGTGAAGCAGGACATGACATGACCCGGAGTTGGGGGATACGGAGGGAGCTCTGCAGCCTTTGGATCAGGTCCATAAAATGGTACCCACGGATCATGGTCGGTGAAGTCGTCTAGAAATTCCAACGATACGTTTTCAGCACCCATGACGAAATTTGGCATCCTCCCTAGGTACAAGCTGATATGCTTGTCCCAAGCGTATAAGCTCCAAAAGAGACGTTTCCTTATCTCGATATCCTCTGCTGAGAGTGAGGTGGAATATTGCTGGAGTTTGTCGGGAGAAACGTGTAGGCCAAGGTCAATGGCCATACGAAATGCCATGCCGGAATATAGCCATGCAGAGGAGGACCGACCACAAGCAACATCCCGAGCCGATTCCTGAAGTAATGCTTGGATAGTAGGAATAGTAGGAGGATTCAGGGTTTCCATGGCCAGCAAGGCCTTTGCCTCTGCCATCAAACGGTCCGTAAGGTCCTGGAACGTCTCGCTATGATTACTCGGGCTCCAGACTATATCTGGTGACCGTATGAATCGACAACTGTGGGCATAGAGCACCTTCACGAGGGTTGAAGAGCAATGTGTGGCGGAGCGATCCCCACGGGCAAGTAGAGGCATATCTCTCGTGAAAGCGGGGCGGTATACAAAAAGAAAACTCGGATGCAGCCAACACCAGTGTAGCTGCAGCAAAGTACTAGCAAGATCATTCGATAGATTTACCAGTGACTGGGATGCATCTAAGTTGATGATTTCGAGGTCTTTCTGGGTGGCAGCATTGGCCACCAGTCTCTGTCTCATATCTGCTGCCCGGCATTTGTCTGTCGATGATGACAAGAGGGATCCAATATGCAATGGCTGAGCATTCTTTTGTGGTAGATCTTCATGTATAGCAGATGTTTGGTTGTGGTAGCCAACATCTCCTAGCGCATCCAGACTTATAGAGTCGCCGCCCTGTTTGCTGAAAGTCGAACTGGCAAAGGACGGGCTGGATGGAGGAGGGGTTGCCTGAGTGGTAGCTTTGCGCTCCAGCTCACGGATGCGTGACTGTAACGAACGCACGTAGGCGAGCGAGGGCGATTTATCATAGTGGCAAGGCGAAGCACTGGCGATACAAGCGGAGCAGCTTGGCGAAGCCCCATCGCATTTGCTTTTCCGACGCCTACAGGTCGAGCAGACGATTTTCTGATGTCTCACCATTGCTTCATGACCAAAATGAAGCAGTGAAACCCAGCCTCACTCCCTATCATCAAAAGAAATGGAAAAAAAGTGAAAAAGAGAAACGGGGGGACTGGGGAACTGGGAGAATTGCCGGGAGACTGGAAAAGTGTGGGGAACGCCCCACGCTTTCCTTTTCAGGCGGAGCCTCTGGGCTTTGAAAGTCAAAGTGCTATCAGGAATGCATGCAGTAATTTCTTCATTATAAAAACCTCCTCGCTACTTAAGGGGAATTTATCCACTTCCTGGATGCTAACTGTACTTCTTTATAGGAACTATAGGAACTTTGAACCTGGCGAGGTGATTCGTTGGGCTGTAAAACATGATATACTGTGATATGGCGTTCCACGTAACCCATATATAGTTCTTAGTCGGGATTCGCCTGTACTTGTAGCCCTTTAACCCTTGAGACGCTTTTAGCACCCACTTGTCTTTCTACTAGATCTCCAGGTCTGAAAGGATTGAGAGAACCGGAAAGTGAAAATGTTAACGCAACATGTTTTTCAGGTTATGCCCGTAATTCTGATATAATTCTAACCAATATATATCTTCTCATAGAAATCAACTGACTCTTTGTCCCAATGAATTCCCGGCAAAGTGACTACTAGAGTACATATCTGAAATCTTTGTTTTCAAATTCAGTCCGATCCTGCATTCCGGCTTCATTACTTCTAGCCTTGTCAGCCGGACCGTAGCGTGAGTCACGACGACGATTGGCCAAATACATATAGCCTATTCTCATTAACATCTCAACGTCCAGAAGAAGAGCTGTTAAGGGGCGAGAAAATCATACCGAGCAATGAGAGATGGCATCCTGCCTTGATCGCGTAACCGACCAGCAGACCAATTGTGGCGCCCTTGTATGCAGGAGCTTCAGAGGGTTTGACCACAAAAGGCCCTGCAAAGTTACCCCAGCAGTAGGCAGTACTACAGCCAGTTAGTTCAATTGAAATATGCAAAACCCAAAGAATCCGGTGAGACTTACAAGACCAGAGCATTGGCCATAGACCTGTGGGTATATCCCGCCATGTTTGAGGAGATAGTGACCAACGAGACTGTGAAGCCAACAGATTGCGCATTCACCAGCCAAAAGGAAATCAGTCTCTGCCACTTTTGCTCACGGGGGAGATACGCCATACAGGCAGCAGCAACGGTGCATAGAATATTGGCAGCGGTCGAGGTGAGCAGTCGGGAATTTGGCACATTTAACGTGATAGTGCCACCGATGATCAATGCGACGATGAGGACTGCATCGCCAACCGACTTCAACTCCGTTGTCATCGTTTGGGAGAATCCCATATCTTTGATGATGATCGTGGAAAAAGAGTTGACAACACCGTTTGGAATGGCAGCAGCAAATACCGAAATAAAGAGTAAGATTGCCTTTGGATCAGTAAACGCGATCATACCCTGCTTCGTGTCAAAGGCTTTGTTCTTGATTCCGGTTTCGTTACCGGATACTCGCTTAACCGCAATGATGCGCTCGGACTTGGACAAGAAGAAGGCACTTGAGGGCGAATCAGGCAAAACAAAGAAGATCACAAATGCCCATAGACAAGTGGCACCCCCAAGAATATAGAATAATAGCTCCCAGCGCGCCGGACTGAAGTTGACGGGAAGCTTGGTGATACCGAAAGAAATATAGGATCCTACAATACCACCCCATCCAAGTGCCGAGTACCAAATACATTGACGAAGAGGAATTTCCTTTCGGGTATACCAAAACCCGGTCATGAGAGTTAAGCCGGGGGTGACAGCGGCTTCAAAGATTCCCATGATGAAACGGACACCCAACGCACTGGGGAATGTATGGCATTGGGTCATGATAATCACCATCAAACCCCACATGAGGCAGCTCACTCCCAAGACACGTTGAGCTGGGAACCTTCCAACCAGCCACCCACACGGGTATTGACCAAAAAAGTAGCCGGCGTACACCACTAACACATGTAAGCTTCTCCTTTCCTAGCCCTGATATATAAAGGAAAGACATACTTGCAGAGAGATAATTAAATTGTTGGCCTTTCAGTTGCAGGGTCTTCTGGTATCCGAGCAGGTTTGCGTAGTTCAGGGCCGTCTTGTCCATGAACTGCAATGCTTGAGTGACGAGAAAGATAGGGAGTACAACCAAATCAATCTTCCATCTGACTTTGGCGTCCTAGAATGTTCTCAATTAGAGACTCACTTGCAAGTCGCCTGGTAAAAGAAGGCTCACTCACTTCCTTTGCTGTTATGTCAATGTGCAACCCTTCTCGATATTCCTTGTATCCGACCGCATTTTCCTAGAATAGTGTCAAAGTAAGCCGTTTTGCATATCCTCAAGACGGCCGCTCATACCTCATAAATCGAACTCGCCTTTGCCTCTTCAATATCGTCGCGAAGAGGACTCTGCATGGGGGTCGCCTCCTCAATATGCATGTTGTCCGATCTTTCCTGCTTTGATGACATGGCAAAAGGCGCAAGGTGGTATTGCAGGCCAAGAAATTGGTTTGCAGCAAGCTTTTTATCGGAATGATCTACCTGGCGCTGCTAGGACTTATAGTCCCAACTTTTCTCCGCGTGGAGGTTCGCAAATTGCGGGGACCAATCCCCAGAAACCGGGCAACTTCCGTGGCCACAACGCTTGCGGCGGATGCCCGCCGCATTTTCTCTTGCCTTTCTCTTGCCATCTATAGTTTCATTCAAAGATCAAGAATGAATAAATACAATCGGCAGTTGTCTATAGTATTCATAAATCTTTAAGGCTGGTGCGTCAACCTCTGTTTTTGTCTTCTCTTTTTCTTGTTCCATCCATCTTGATACAATGCCACCTTCTATCGGCGCCCCTCAAAGCAACACCTGGTTGGCCAAGCCATCGGGACCGTGTTGTCTCAAGGGAACCCTTCATGATGGTACTTCCCATGGGCGGTTTGTAACGGTCGCGGGAGTAGAAACATACATCGTGGAACCTAAAAAGAGCAACGCAAATGGCCACATTCTATTATACTTTCCTGATGTCTGGGGAATGTTTCCAAATGGCCTTTTGGTGATGGATGCATTTGCCGACTCTGGCTATCTCGTCCTAGGACTGGACTACTTCAGAGGCGTACGTCTTCCTCACTTTCTACTTTTTATCTCATCCACGCTGATTGATTGTAAGGATCCGATTTGGAAACATCGTCGTGATCGCCATGACTGTTCAAATCCAGACTTTGACTACGAGGCTTGGAAGCGAAAGCACATGGCATTCGCGGATGAAGCGGTCCCACGGTGGGTTGATGAAGTGAAGAGATCGTATGGCCAGGCATCGACTAAATATGCGTGTGTCGGGTATATGCCTCCTCTGCCTTTTCCAATCGTTGGAAGTCTCACTGACTCAAAATCTTGATTCAGATATTGTTTTGGTGCACCATATGTTTGCGACGAGCTGGCCAAGAGCACCGTCAGCGCCGGCGCATTCGCTCACCCGGCCTTTTTGAAAGATTGTCATTTTTCAAAGATTACCAGTCCGTTACCCTTATATCGTGTTCACTGATATGGAATAAAAGAACTAAGATTTCTCGACAGAGCCCCTATTACTGTCCTGTTCTGTGGAAGACCACACGTTCCCTAAAGAGGCCAGACAAGTCGCTATAGATATTCTGCAGTCAGGTCAAAAGTCATACCAATTGCAGCTGTTCTCTGGTGTTGAGCACGGATTTGCTCTGCGAGGCAATATGAAAAATCCCTACGAGCGTATGACATCACTCTCTGCAATATATTTGCACAGACTGAGCTCAAAAGCTGACATATTCTAGGCTACGTGAAGGAGCAGAGTTTGAAGACAATTGTAGAATGGTTTGACTTTTGGTTATCACAATAGTGAAAGCGATAGAATTACCCATCAAGTTAAACTTGTTATATGATTAAAACCTTACTTGGATGCGCGTGAACAGAAAGATTCCTCGTTATGGCATTGTATCCTTTATTCCTGTGGTTCTCTAAGTTATTTGACGCACGCGGTAGGAACATGTGGATATGGGCAAACTAACTAGCTCGAAGAAACAGTAACATGTGCTAAATCTCTCACCGGTTACAAAAACTTCCTCGTTCATTGGACTGTATATAGTACCAAACCCCAGCCTTCGATCCACTGTATATCGGAAATGGGGCCCCTCCAGTTTAGAAGCAAATCCCGATAACCCCGATGTCAGATCAATTTGCCTTTCAGAAGTTCCCAATAGGGCCAAAACCTTACTTATCGTGGGGTCTCCAAATATCACCTCTTTGATGGCGGGCGGTGGTTGGGGCCGGAGAATCGGCGGATGGCCGAAGAGGCCTAACCACGCCCAAACCGTGGACTGGAAGATGGCCGCATATTGTTGTATTGATGTTTCAAGGACAGACAGGTCTTTATAAGAGCACGTTTCGACGAACCTTGTGTTTTTTTGAAACCCAGAAAACAACTATTGTAAAACAATCGCTTTCAACATGGCTTCTGGTAAAGCATTCGAGTTCACCGGCGAGGTGGCCATTGTCACGGGTGCTGGGTCACGTATGCCTGGTAAGTTCAATCCAATTTCTTACTTGAGTATGCAAGAGAACACTGACAAAAACTAGCCGAGATTGGCAATGGCCGTGCAACTGCTATCCTACTCGCCAGACAAGGGGCCAAGGTGGCACTAGTTGACTATAACGTTGAATGGGCCAAGAAACTAAGCGCATGATTGACCTTGAGGGCGGCGTGTCGGAAGTTGTGCAGGCTGATGTGACAGATGAGGAAAGTTGCAAGAATGCCGTGGCCAAGACAGTTGAGCTGTTTGGAACTGTGAATATCCTTGTGAACATCGGTGAGTTTCCATTTATCGTTAGAAAACATCATAACTTGTATGAAATTAATGCTTAAAACTTCTAGTCGGAGTTGGCGGTGCCATGGGAGATGCTACTAAGCTCGATCTTGCAGCCTGGGAGCGCGATTTCAAAATCAATGTCACAAGCATGGTCTTGATGAGTCGCCATGCCATTCCCAAAATGAGGAAAAATGGACGAGGTGCAATTGTCAATATGTCCTCAGTAAGTGGTCGTAAGTCTCTATTGCTGTCCTGAAACTTGGATATCTTTAACACAGGAGGCAGTTCTCGGTGGAAACCCCAGTCTCTTGTACCCCACGACCAAGGGGGCCATTATCCAAATGACCCGTGCCATGGCTGCCCAGCATGGCCCTGAAAATATCAGGGTTAACTGCGTTTGCCCGGGAATGGTCTTTACCCCAATGGTACGAGGCAGAGGCATGACGGATATGATGCGCCAGGACCGTATCAACCAGAACCTTTTGAAGCAGGAAGGCACAGGGTGGGACGTTGGTTATGGTATGTGGCTTTTCTATGAATTCTTTTCAAAGTAAGATTTACTGACCCCGGATATACAGCAATCCTCTTCCTCTGCAGCAAGGAGGCTAAATGGGTCACTGGCTTGATTATGCCTGTTGATGGCGGCGTAAGATATTCCACCTTTCAAAATCCGCGTGGACTCGAACTAACTTTTCTCTTTGATATAGACCACCGCAGGAAAGACAAACAGACCAGCTCTGAAGGCTGATACTCTCGCAGAGGAGAACACGATGATTCCCAACAATTCTTAAGCAATAAGTCATGTCATCTTTTATTAGAACTTTGAATAGAACTATAATTAGACGAAAGTCATTTCAACCTTTGATGAAATAACCATTATTGCAAACTAGAGCACATAGGGTTCTGTTCTAGCATGTAATCAAGGGTTGTATGAGGCACCTGATAGGCGTCATACATTTTGGATTATTGCTTCGTTGTACCTCAAAATTTAAGTCTCTGTTGGTCGCTCTTAATGAGTGAGATATCATCCGCCTCACTTTCTTGATATTGAGTTAGGCAAGGGGGTAGAGCAGACGAAAGGGACACTTTCCAACTACTAACTCTTGAGACCATTTGCTGTTTCTATTATATACTCATGGACGCTATATAAAACTTCAAAACACCGTTGGCTCGTCAAAGCCCGACAAGCTCTCAGACAAGACTTTCAACGAGCTCCTCTACACTCTTCATCTTGCGAGAATTATTTTCTCCAACATCCAGCGCCACAAGAATGCTACATACACAATTGTAACCAGCAACTGTGGTAGTGAGCTCCACAATCTCCCTGCTTGACAGCTCTGCCTTGACAAGTTGCTGGAACACATGATCACAAACAGTCACAGATTCTGTCATAGCATCGGTATAAGCAAGAACAGCTTGCTGCCGAGCCGTGAGACATGACTTCTTCCAGGCGGCCATGCTTTCCTTTGCAGCTTGACAGAATGATGGAAGCGAACGCGTGTCTTGCAGCTCTGGTGCTTGAACTCCAGCCTTCAAAGCAAGTGGCGCGTGAATATTCCACTCGTAGACAGCATTTCTCAAGACGGCTATGCGGCTGATCGCAAGCTCCAACAAAGCCGGATTCAGGATGGTTTCCGAGCGAAGTGATCCAATGAAACTGTTGTAGCCATCTGCGACAGGAGGAGCATGTAAGAGCATGAGACCAAGAGCGATTAGGGGCCTCGGTGTACGCCTGGAGGCTATACGAGTGTAGATGTCGTGGGTTTCGGAATTCGAATCCTCTTGGGGTGGGGGGGGAGGGGCCGGGCGAGCTTTTATGTCGGAGCAACAGAGTTATAGAACGACGTATGGGGGCGCTAGACTGAAAGAGGCAATACTAACCAGATGTAGTAATTCACAGGTCCGTACATTAGGGTGATTAACTCATCCTGTGATCCGAGAGCCGATCGCAACCCGAAGCGGCAATTTGCCGTCAACATTATTACATGTTCAAGTCACCAGAGGCGCAATCACTATATCTGCGATTGTGGAACCAATTAGTCAAGTAATCGCATTCTGACACTCATTCGCGGCCTATCGACTTCAAGGGGTTCAGCACTAACCCCCTAATTCGTGCTAGGCCATAAGGCTATGCAATGTTGGGCAAGTCCATGCGAAGATCTACGGCCACCTTGAACCGACTTCACTTTTGATAACAACCTGATATGCATTCATAGCTTCCCCGCATATTGCAACGGAGCTATCCGCAGTTTGGCAAGCCCACCCTGTGTTGCGGATACTTAGACTCCATTCCTCCCTCGAGGGTTCCACCACAATCCTGGGACTCGAAATTTGACTCACGATGAAAGGCAGTCCGTTAGATGGCGATGATGCTCAGTTGGCGGCGATGGGGCATCGGCCCGAACTCCAGCGCAGTTTTTCAACATGGTGAGATCGACCCACAATTTGGAAACAAGTTGATACTGATGGTTTGTAGGTCCATGCTAGGATTGGCGTTCGCTGTCCTCAACGTAGGTACTCCTTTATGTTCAGTCGGACCCAGCTGACCGGTCAGTCATGGACGGCACTCTCAGCCAGCTTGTCGATCAGTCTCACATCCGGTGGAAGCACAAGTGTGATATGGGGACTGGTGACTGCGGGATTCTGCAATTTATGCATCGCATGCTCGTTGGCTGAGTTCCTCTCGGCATACCCGACGTACGTATACTTTGTCGTGAAACGTATGCCGAACTAATGTTTTGCAGAGCTGGAGGACAATACCATTGGGTTGCAGGTGAGTCATTCTCATTCTTTCACCAATTCATGGACTACAACTAACGAGTACAAGCGAGTATGTGACCTGATCGACTCTTTTGGTTCGTACTGACAGATACAGTCGCGTGGCCGAAATGGGTACCCATTCTATCGTGGATCACAGGCTGGATCAATGTGGCAGGCTGGGTAGGCAAAACATCGACCTAACACGGGCTCGAAATTGATGAATGCAGGTTGCCCTTGTCGCTACAAACTCACTTCTTTCCAGTCAGCTCATTGTTGGGATTATCTCCACCCTTCACGAGGTAATTTCCTCCTCATTATTGCCAACTTGTACTAATGCAGTACACAGAGCTATAAGCCCCAACGCTGGCATCAATTCCTAATTTACATTGGACTGACAATTGGTTCGTTCCTTATGAATGCTTTCATGAACTCCATTTTGCCGGTAATCTACCGTGGCGCTTGTATGTTCCCATCCCTTCTTCTTTGTTGTGATTCTTACACTGAGCAGTTATGTGGTCCATTGGAGGTTTTGTGGTTGTGTCCATCACTGTCCTCGCATGCGCCTCTCCCAACTATAATTCGGCCTAGTATGTTCTCAAGTCCGCGATATTCGAGAAACAAACTTCTAACGTCGATAGCTTCGTGTTCTGCGACTTTGTCAACCAAACAGGCTGTATGACTCCCCTTCGAACCCTTATCTGATGGTGCTAATTCAAGACAGGGCCTGATGGAGTCGCATGGCTTCTTGGTGTATGTTATATGCATACATGATAACCCAACTCTTGGTACTGACGAATCTTCAGTTGCTCCAGGGAGGCCTAGGTGTGACAGCTTTTGTAAGTGTCTATTACTCGTTAATCCACTGCTCGACTAACATTTTGTCAGGATGCAGTGGCGCATATGATTGAAGGTAACTAGACTTTCTGTCTCTCAAACGTATAAGCTAATATGTCATCTTCGAAGAGGTACCCAACGCCTCAATTGAAGGACCTAAAATCATGGTGTCCTGCGTGGGAATCGGTACAGTTACCGGTTCAATCTTCCTCATCGTTCTCCTCTTTGTTGCAGGCAACATGGAACAAGTCACAACCTCGGCAGCTGGTCCTCTGTTGCAGATTCTACTAGATGCAACAAAGAGTAACGCGGGCGCCATCTGCCTTTTAATGTACGTGACAAAGAATTTCGAATCATTCGCTTTCTCTTCGGGTTCACTAATTCCAACATTTCATCACAGGCTGCCACTTGTCTGCTTGGTTTTCGCTATCATCAGCGTTATGACTACCAGTAGCCGGATGATTTTTGCTTTCGCGAGGTAATGGCCGTTGTCTCATACAAACCTGAAAGACATGTGCTTATTTTCATCAGAGACGGTGGTCTTCCTGCTTCTCGATTCTTCGCAACAGTGCACCCCACCCTCAAGTTGCCCCTTAACGCACTCATGTTGAGCGTTGTTGTGGTTATCGCGTTCGGATGTATCTTCTTGGGGTCTTCAAGGTAATTTCTATCTAATTATGACGGTTCAGCGGTGACTGACTGGATCTAGTGCCTTCAACGCGATTATCTCCGCTTCGGTTGTAGCACTGGACCTATCGTACGGCATTCCCATTGCCATCAACTGTCTGCAGGGACGTCGAAGACTACCCGAGCGAAAATGGAGACTGCCAAGTTCAGTTGGATGGTTTGCCGACATAGTATGTTGCACCAGGATATTCCATGCAGATAATTAATGGCGTTTCTAATGCCGACAGGTTTCCTTATCCTACATCAGCCTCACCACTGTGTTGTTCGTTTTCCCGCCGTCAAGCACAGTAACAGGGAGCAGTATGAGTGAGTGGTCCATGTTTAAGTTGATACGGACATTTTGCTGACGTTTGTTAGACTACTGTATCGCAGCATTTGCTGTCATCATCATCGTCTCCGTATTCCAGTGGATTGTTGACGGAAGGAAGAACTTCACTGGTCCTCGCTTTGATATGACCATCGATGCCCTGGACGCCATGCCCACAGAACAAGAGCCCAGCATACACGAGAAGTAGACTTTGCTACTAACAGTAAAGGCGGGATAGATCCATTTCTCGCGTGTACCAACTATTCGGCTATTGCCCTCCCGGGGTCTAACGCCTTGATCTAGAATGGGTACAACAGGTTCAAACAAGACCTGGAATAAATCTTTTAGTTGAACGATGCCACTCCTCCCATTGCCTCCCAAAATTTTGCCTCAGCATCTCTTCTTCGTCTCGCACCCGCATTATTAAAACCCAGAGGCCAAACCCTACGAGTCCAGCGATCGCACTAACTCCCCACCCATGCCACCGAGATAGTGCCGACGCGGGAATCCAACAAGCTGGCGTGGCATCCCACCGTAGAAATAATGTCACACACCCAATGGCTATCATAGCCATACCCGTATAGCTGGGGTGTTGGATCCAGCCATACACTCCAGTTGTTACCAAGTCATCCGGTGCAGCCAGTTGAAAGGTAAAGTGTTTTCCGAGTCCTCCGTAGGCCGAGAGACGAATATACGCGCCGAGGTATATGAGTCCCAGGGCAGACAGAGTCGTCAAACTCCACGTGAAAAGGTCCGAATTCGTATTCTGGGACAGGGGACACACTTGCGACAAGCGAGCAGGGGCGTATTGGGGGATCGCTGTCAGGAGCGCATGATACATGATGGCAGTGATACTAATCCGGCGCACAATGGTTGGGAAACTTCCCGCAATAAAATTGATGCGATCTGTTCGGTGGCGATCCTTTTGTTCGGGGGGAGGATTTGGCGGCGTGGCGCAGAGCACGCTGAGGTAGCCTGCCACTGTCATCGCAATGGCGAGTAATGCAGAGCCTGCTCGATCCATAGTTAATTGTGGTTATTAAGTTCGAGGGGTGAAGATCCGGGAAGACCGGGAAAAAGTTCTGTTCGAGAGTTTACGCGAAATCGCGAGTTCCGACGGGTGTTCCGAGACGCGTTTTTGTCGTGTACCGACATCTCTCTTTCTTACGACTTCAACAAGTCTTGTTTATTACCCTCAGCGCTAAGTGACAATGAAGACGTTGAAAAGGGCTACCTTTTACACCATTTGAGGGGTTGCATCTGCCAAGACCTTGGTGGTTTCTTTTGCCCTACGCTTAACACAGTGCGCAGGGAGCACACACTCCGTAACCAAGGACGTATGCTTAGGTAGTAGCTCAACCTTCATCTGGGTAGTCAGAGCAGGGTGTCAGGTATATTCTCATGGATCTTTCCATTGCTTCTCTGCCGTTGGCCTAAAGCCGCATATTCTCTGTTATTTACTGAACCACCAAGCCTTCTTTTCTAATATTTACAGATCCACCCCATTCCCTATCAGGCAGGTCATAATTTTTCTGGCATAGTGCATTATACCTGGCTAGTCTCTGATAAGCTCTAGTGGTTAGTTTGGACCTAGCAGTCGCTATTCACAGTATGCGACACCCGCCTTGTACTGGCCTGGTCTTTTAGCACTCGCTGAATGCTCGGTAGTGATATCAACAGAGCATCTCTGCTACCATGCTAATACTGTTGTCTTCAAAGTCCGTTTGGCACTGCATGACCCATTCCGAGGGCCTGATGATAGCTAGACTCGCGAGTTTTGGCCCCCACCACTTTTCTACGCTTGGAATGATGTTCGTACTATTACAATCAAACCCCTGCTAGTATTCTAGTAGATGAAACAAGCGAGCAAAGCTACTGCAGCAAATGCATCGGCTGTCACATGAGGGGAATTATCGATCGAATCCTTGCTAGGTCCCTGGTAGCCCACAAACATTCATTCCAGCGTCCCAACCCCTCAGTCCTCAAAAGCCTTCCAGGATCCAGTAATAGCACATATTCAAGTTTTCTCGAAAGCCGTCCCACGCATAGTAGCACCGATATACACCCGAAAGTGACCAAACGCATTGATAAGCCGTCGATCAATACGATATCCCACGCGGGTGAGATATTTGAACAGGATTCTGCTGGCCTCATGGCTCACGCAAGCCCATCAGGCTCTCAGTTGGAGAAGTCTCAAGATGCTGGAGTCGTGGGAGTCGGAAGTGATGATAACACAAATCAGTTCACACTCAGGTCCCCAACTTCGGGTCAAGAAGCAGATGTTAATCTTCAATCGGCAAGGCCAGGGGCAAAGAACGACAATAAGGTAGGCAGGCTTATTATTTTCATTCTACGGGATTTCCATAATGATCCGTCTCTTCCTAGGCTTCTCAAGTTCGCCCACCGCCAATGACCTTCACCTCGCAAACCTCGGGGACCAACTCATTTAGGCTCAGCAGCATCGCTTCAAAACCTTTATCTGTCTTAGGGTATAGCCGAGCCTTTCCACTCACTGGAATTCCGGAGATAGAGTATCCAGCATCAGTTTTCTTCTCCGGGGAATTTCAATATGGCCTCAGAAATGGTGTACAAATTGCAGAGAACTCCGCATCCATACTTGAGCAGCTGTTGGCTCGCCAGAATTCGTACAAGCTCTCTCGCGACCCAACAGCTGACCCAGAAACGGCGACCGATCTCATCAAGGACTTGAAAAACGCAAGCGAGTTTCAATTTTCGAGCGCTAAAACGATTGCATTCTTGGGAAATTCTGGGGAAGGTAAGAGCAGTTTGATAAATTCGTTACTCGATATCCCAAATCTAGCAGCAACGGTAAAGTATTGCGTATTTCGCTGATGACACATTGTACTGACCCCAATAGGGAGACGTCGGTGAAGCTTGTACTTCCATCGTCACCGAGTACAGACAAAAGAGGTCGGGTCAAACTGAGCGTTTTAAGATCGAGGTAGAATATCTCTCGGAGGCGAGTATCAAAGATCATATCAAAGAGCTAGTATGGAGTTTCCGTCGCATGATTCTTCCTAATGTGGCGGCAAACCTGGTGAGCCCGGCCGACTATATGAGATACCAACGGGAATCGGAACAGGCCTGGTCATCTCTCAGCACGGCCTTCAGCCACCAGAAGGACTTTTGTCGAGAATTCCTATTAAGTGAATCGGACGAAGCATTTGAGCACATTACCAATCAGCTATGTGAGTGGACTGCTACCATTCCATGGCCGCGAGGAGGTAGAAATGGCAAATGGGTGGCGTCGGCAAAGACCACGGATAAATGCTATGAGGCTACCAGGCCCTTTACACGTCAAAATCTGTGGCCTTTTACAAAAATCATTCGGTAAGCTACTTAAGTCTTCGCGCGCCTCATCTAGACGAGACGGCCCCGGGTTCTAAGCCATCTCATTAGGGTATACACCGATTCTCCAATCCTGAGAACGGGATATGTGATTACGGATCTTCCTGGTACAACAAGTTCATTAAGTAAGGTGGAAAGCAGTACTAATGTTACCGCAGGCCTCCAGGATACAAATCTCGCGAGAGTTAAAGCAGCCCAGGAGTATCTTACAAGATGCGATCACGTATTTATTGTTGTCCGGATCCAACGTGCTATCACCGACCACTCGGTGAAGTCTTCCTTGCATGCCGCCATTGCTCAGAATGTCCCACTTGGAGCAGATGATTCCCCCAGGAAAGGATTGGAAATTGCGATAATCTGCACCAGATCAGAGGTCCTTCAGAGCAATCCCTCCCCCTGTGGATAATCTACTAATTGGTAGCAGGATATTGACATTGAAAGCGCTGAAAGAGAGCTTTCTGGTCCTAGCCAGGTCAAGCCACTGTTTTCTATGAAAGGTCTAGATGCGGCGATTGAGGAAGCAAGACGGAAAAATCTTCATGTTATACAAAGTGACCTCATGCAACAGTAGGTCTATCGGTTATGTATCCAAAATAATCAATCGCTGATAATTAGCAGGAAGAAAGGCCTCTACATCGCAGCGCGCAACGAACGCGTCAAGCACGGGCTTCAGGTCGCATATGCTGAGCAATTCAAAGGCAACTCCTTAAATGTCTTCTGCGTATCTAATAGTCTCTATAAGAAGCAAAATGGAGACGATCAGGGTGGAAGCAGCCACCTGCTGGTTGCATTAAGTGGAATTCGTGACTTGCGTAAATTCTGTTACTCAAGGGCTGCGGAGGCGAGATTCCACGACGCCAAACATTTTCTTCGAGTTTCACTGCCCGGTATTCTGAATGCGATAAGCTTACGCTCCGGGCGTGAGATGTTCCCAGGAGCGACCAAGCCTTCAGTCAGTTCTGATCTGACCAACATTCTCGGCTTCGAAAACAAGGTTGGTACTCATCTCTTCTAGCAATTTATCATCAAATGCTGATATAGATTAAAGATACTCGTTAATATCGAGCATGCGAAGAGGCAGTTTGATGAAATTCTGCGTGAATTAATCCTTGATGTCTTCGGTGCGGTCGAAGTAAAAGGGAAGAAAATACATTTACCTAACGCATTCTATAGATAAACGCCATGCAGCCTGGAATGAAGCCGCCATTGCTCGGGGCTTAGAGTGGGCCGAGGTAACTGTTCAAGCAGTATATTGGGCTCTCATTGAAGATTACTGACATCATTAATAGTGGCCACCGTGTAAGGTCCCTCAAGAGATTAGGTCTTCCCACTGACCCCTGTTCTTCGGAGTTCGCTTAGTCGCAAGGACAATCTTAGCTGGCCACAGACTAACTAATCTCATTACTCTAGTGGAACACAGCCAGTTCTGCCTTAATTATGGCAAGGGTACACGCATCTCTGGGAAACACATAAACTGGAATAGCGAGATCATTTGGAAAATGCGGACAGAGCTCGACTTCCAATGGGACCTCCTGGATGAAGAAATTCCAAAGGTACTCACAGCTCTTCAGGACGTTAGCATCACAACATTCAAAGACCTGAAACTACAATTAGCCCGTGAGTATTATCGATGACGCAGAAGGAGAATTTATTATGTAGATTAACTGATTTGCAGGCAATGGTTTCCCATACCCAATGGTACACAGCATTGATCAGCGGATGGAAGAAATCAAGAGCGTCTTTGAGAAATCACGAAATGATTTGAAATCAGAGATTGGGTAAGCTTCAAACCATAGTCAAGAAAATGCTTACCCTAATCCTTCGCCAGTGCAATCCGTGCAAAGACGTTGGAGGCTAATGAGGCTTCCTATGTTGTGAATGAAATGATGCCTGCCTATCGTTCCGGGATGTCGCGTGAAGGCTCGTGTGTCCTTGAAACCAAAACGAAATTCGGTCAGGAGGTGATCCAGGATGTCTTTGCGAGTGAAACTCTCTTCCCTAATATCTCCAGGGCAGTTTCCAAGGCTGCGGCAGCTGCATCCCAAGACGTGTTTAGAGAGTTAACGATCCCCTTTGCGAAGACGTGGTGTCATATCATAAGTGATGTCCACTATATTCTAGCAAAAGATGAAATAGACATCAAGAACGACGCGCGTATGAAGCTAGAGGAAAAGCAGTATCTCGCACAGGTTCAGAGGAAGCTACAGCGCTTGGAAAGGAAGTATCGGATTATTCTCAAATCTATTGAGAAATTCTAAGTTTGATCGGTTTGGGGGAGGTTCAACTCGGTCGATATAGCGTGATTTTTTTCAGTGAAATGGTTATATCTCTGTTTTTTCAGTGACTGAACGTTCTTTTTTTTTTTTTTTTATCTGCACAGCGTGTCGAGCTATATATCTATATTGGGTAGTCAAGTGATTGAATTATTTTCTGGTTCAAGATTTCTACTTCTTCCACTGAGTATCTGTCTTGGATCAAATGATCACCACTTTCATTCCAAACATATATTTTTACCTCACGCCGTATAGGATAGACGCCCAGGCAAGCAGTTGAGGTTTTCGAGTGGAAACGACCTAGTGGGAGGGATTTGTCAAACCACATTTCCAGTCTAGATAATATATATTTCTTACTGTCGATCTACTAGCCGAAGACCTTAGATAGTAGCCTAGTGCTTGTAATATCCTGCTCGAGGCACTCGTGATACCGATCACGTGAAACGAGAAAACACGAAAGGCACGTGACTCGAGGCTAACCACGTGATTCAACGTTATCGCCATGTGAGAATCGCGGAAAAGCTTATCGCCGAAAAAAGTTGTTTGGAGACCAGCTCCCAAACTCTCCCTTCATCGCATCATTGGGAACGACGTGATTATGGAGGGAAATGCACAGGCTCGTTATCAACATACAGGGGAACCTCGTTTAGCAGGAGAACCAATCAAGCCTGTCCATGTTGCGTCAAAGAAGACTGTCAAGTCATGGGTACACCTTCTTGCAGGCGCGTAAGTCTTTCCCAGCTGGTATTATATTTGCAAGCTTCTGATATATCTAATATAGGAGTGGTGGAATGGCTACTGCCATCGTGACTTCGCCCCTTGATGTCCTACGAACACGTCTCCAGTCCGACTTCTACCGAACCCAAAACACGGGCGCCAACCAGCCTCTTCAAGGATCAAACCATAAAACGATACGCATTATCAACTCCATATATCGTGCTGAAGGCTGGCGAGCATTTTTCCGAGGCCTCGGCCCAAGCATAGCGGGCGTAGTCCCAGCGACCGCCATCAAATTTTACGTCTACGGGAATTGCAAGCGTGTTGGGGCTCACATAATGGGACACACGGAAGACTCTCCCATCGTTCACGCCCAGGCTGCAATCTGCGCAGGGCTAGCAACATCTACAGCAACAAATCCAATATGGCTGATCAAAACACGGCTACAACTTGACAAAACAAGCACCGGTGGCCGTCGATATCGCAATAGCATGGATTGCATCAGGCAAGTCCTACGAAACGAGGGAATAGCAGGTCTTTACAGAGGAATGAGCGCAAGCTACCTCGGCTCGATTGAAACAGCTCTACACCTAGTGCTCTATGAACGGTTGAAAACTGGTCTCAGTCGGTCGTTGGCAGCCACTGAGGGAACACGGACACCTTTTTGGGACGAAGTTTGTCATTGGATTAGTACCAGTGGCGCTGCAAGTTCTGCTAAGCTCGTGGCAGGTCTAATTACATATCCTCATGAGGTACGCCATTTCGAGGCAATTGTCTGAGTCTCAAGCTCATACTAACATCCTTAGGTTATTCGAACAAGACTGCGCCAGGCACCGGTGGAGCATGGCCGGCCTAAATACACGGGCCTGGTACAATGCTTCCGTACCGTCGCCAAAGAAGAAGGTATGGCGGGCTTGTATGGAGGTCTAGCTCCCCATATGGTCCGTTCCTTACCGTCAGCCATTATCACGCTTGGCGTGTATGAGTTTGTGCTAAGGGTCACTGGTGCCTAAGTGGCGGCTAAGTGACTAGCCCCATTGTAAAATATAACTTTGTACATTATCGATAGGTCTTGGTTCTTTGTATTTATAGGAGCGAGGGCGACATTTACATTCTTGTATTATAAACGTGATTCATCTCAATTGCATTTATGAATACCCCTTTCACAAACCACAATTTATGTTTCATCTTTACCCAGGGCTTAGTACTTCAAGATTAAAAAAGCCAACCAGGCCAAGACACCAACACTGCCAGTGATAGTCCAGAGGGAAATAGCCGAGGAGGATCCGACTCCAGGCTGTGTGCTCTCCGCAGCCGCACCAGTAGCAGTAGCAGCACTTGTTGCCGAACTGCCCCCAGTGGCCTTCCTGGTGACAACTGCGTCTGCCGAAGTCACAGTAACAGTGTGTAACACTGCATTCATAGAGTGGCCAAAGGTCCACGTGAAAATATAACCACTGACCGGGGCGGAAACCACATCGTCCTTGTTGGACGAGGTCTCAGTACCATTAGATGGCATGCTGCTTTGCTGGTAGAATTTGCTGATTGCACCGGCGTCAGTACGACCGTATCCTAAGTCGCCCGCACAATCATATGACTCGAGATATGGTCCACACTCTTCCCAATCGTTAGGTGCAAAGACTGCCTCATTCCACGCGTCCACACCAAGTAGAGAAGGCTTCGCGTTGGGGCAGGTGTCGTAGATGCTGTACAACATGGTAAACTGAGAGATTGGAGTACTAAATTTCAAGGCTTTCAACGTACGTAGAGACAAAAGCACTTAATTCGCAGCATATGCAAGCTTTCCCATAATCCACGATCGCGTCGGTATCAGTAAGTTGGTCGAGGTTGGTCATGTTGTTGCTACACTCTGTCATCTGGAGCGTAATCAAACACTCTTTCTTTACAATCTTTCCAAGGTTGCAAGAACAGGAATCAGGGGCATCGTCGGGTGCTGGCTAGAATGGAACAGTATCATAATTAGGATTGGTGCAGTAAGTAAAGAAATCTCCGACGGTATTCTGGTACTCGCAAGTGTAGACCTGTAGAAGTGTCAGGGAAATGATTAAGAATTGAATTGCCATGAGTCTGACCTCGTTCCAACAGCTTGCACTAACACAGTCAATTTGGTGTGCGAACTTGGCGCATTCGCAGGCACCGATACAGTCACTGCCCAGCCCAGGGCATTGCTTGTTCATGCAGGTGGTACTTCCACCGCATGAGTCAGAGCATGCTTGACTTCCACCAGCACAGTTCTTGTTTACACAATTTGTGTACACAGTATCTGCATCTTTGTAGCAGGACGTGAAACCGTTGGAATCTGCGCAAGCCGATGCATCAAAGTAGCCGACTTTCTCAGAGAGCGCCAAGGAAGATAAAGCCCCCAGAGCTAGAAGTAGACGCGATCGGTATACCATCATAGCTTAAAATTGAATTTAGAAATCGTAAACTTCCACATTGCTGCCAGGCACAAGCCTTACGTAAGACATGTTCTCATGCGGCTGCAGGATCCTGAGACCCTCTTTTTAGCGCATACAGCTGGAGCAGCTCAAATCACATCGCGTGATGTATTTGGCAATGATCATTTCTCACCAAACTAAACCTTGTGCGGACCCAAAATGCGAGGCCAAACAGGGACAAATGGGAGCTAAGACCTGCCGGGCCAATGGGTGCTGGTAGCTCTACAATTCCGAGCTCAATGACGTCCTTGGAGCCAGCGAAACATTTTCTGCACGCTGGAGATCTGCCGGTGCCCTAAGGGCGTTTAATGAGCATTAAAGGTGATCACAGGGTTCATAATTCACGTTTTGCTGACCATTGGAAATAGAAACAATACGAAGTAAATACTTTTGCTATACTTCAGCATCCCGAATCACTACGGTACTTGGATTTTAGAATAATGCACAGCAGCCAATAGACATTGCTGGGGTCATCCTGCTCAATGGCCCTGTACTATAGATTGCCGACCAAATTACGAGGCTAGCAAAATAAATCCAAATGTAGCATAGCCCTGTATGATCTGATTTTGTTTGGAGATTGAGTTGATTGTTAAAGATTGTCTTGTGCAACACACAAGTTTATCCCCTAGTGTCAATGTATGCACAGATATACATATATATACATATATTGACGCAAGCGGTTTGCTCGTTAAATAGGATTTAACAAACGCTCATTCCGAGATAGTCTATCTATGATCCATCACGATGAAAGAACCTAGAATCAGCTATAAGAGACAGGTGCTATTCTCAATGATCCAGCAGCACTCATTCCGAGAAAGCATTCTATGATCCGTCACCATGGGAGAACCAAGCATCAACTATGAAGAGACAGGTGCTACTATCAATGATCCAGCAGTGGGAATGCCCGAGCCCAGCGAATTGAAGATGCAAGAGGTTCACCAACGATATGATTCGGAACGGGAGAGACGACTGCGACCAGACGGTTTTACGCAGTACGTGAACTTCGTTGATGAACCTGCGCCAGACCTTCAGCCAGCAGAGAAGATTGCGATCGACAATAATCTGGACCAGCAAAAGGATTCCCGAGTTCTCATTGTTGGTGCTGGCTTCGGGGGACTACTATTCGCAGTTCGTCTACTTCAAACTGGCCTTTGCCAGCCCAATGAATTACTGCTTGTGGACAAAGCTGGTGGCTTCGGAGGGACATGGCGGTGGAATAAATATCCTGGCTTGACATGTGATGTTGAAAGTTACACCTACATGCCCTTGTTGGATGAGACGAATTACACGCCCTCGCACAAATATGTCTCTGGGACCGAGCTGAAAGAGCACGCGGAACGAATCGCCAATCAATGGAAGCTCAAGAATCGGGCCTTCTTCGGAACGAAAGTCGATGGAATGGATTGGAATGACGAGGATGCCCAGTGGAAAGTACACATAACAACGAAAAATCACTTACCTACGATTCTGAAATCAGATATTGTCATCATGGCCAACGGTCTGCTGGACTTCCCAAAGATACCTAAGCTGTATGGCCTTGACACATACAAGGGTCATGTTTTCCATACATCGCGCTGGGACTACACTTGCACCAGAGGAAGCCCAGACAATCCCACAATGGACAAATTACACGACAAGACGGTCGGGTTTGTGGGAACAGGTGCAACTGCAGTCCAGGTAATTCCACACTTGGCTCAGTGGGCGAAAAAGGTTACTATCTTCCAGCGTACGCCATCGTCCGTGGATGGTCGGGAAAATTCTGTCACAGATCTCACTTGGTGGAAAACGATGGTCCAGGAAAAGGGCTCTGGATGGCAACGAGGACGTATGGAAAACTTCAACTCCTTCATATCTAATGACCCTCAAGTGCCAGATGTCAATTTGGTGGACGATGCGTGGACCAGACTGCACACGTTCAGCGCACTAATTGGTAGTCGCTCAAGTCTTCAACCCCAGTACCTGACACAGATGGAAAAGCTGGACTTGCATCACCAGGAAAGAATTCATCATCGCATTGAGGCGACGGTCACAGACCCAGCAACTGCAGAGCTATTGAAACCGTGGTATCCCCGTTGGTGCAAACGGCCGTGCTTTAGTGACAACTTCCTAGCAACCTTCAATCGACCCAATGTCTCATTGATAGACACAAAGGGAAAAGGCGTCCAAACGCTGTCAGATCGCGGTATGGTTGTGGATGGGACAGGATACAATGTGGCACTATCATCTTCGGCACAGGATACAGAGTTGGGAGTAACGGTAATGTTGTTGAACATGTGCCTATCGTCGGACGCGGCAACCAGACCCTGCAACAGAAATGGCGGCAAGATGGAATGGCCTCACTGCATGGTATAATGACGTCCGGGTTCCCCAATCTGTTCTTTCCAGGTCCGTACCAAGCAGGTGCCACTGCCAATCGGGTCTATCTTCTCGATCAGCTAGCCATTCATGTTGCATAGATAATCTCGGAAGCAGACAGGGGCAACTCAGGGACGACAAGGTTTAATGTTGAGCCCAGCTACACCGAGGAGGAAGAATGGACGACACAGGTGTTGATGAGAGCACGAGCACTTGCAGGTGTCGGTCACTGCACCCCTGGTTATTACAACCGAGAAGGGCTTCAGCTCGATGAAAGCGAGGGTTTCAAAGCCGCACGCTCTTGCATATGGGGACAGGGGATCAAGAGCTACGTCGAAACCATTGAGGAATGGCGACAGAATAGCCGGTTGGCCGGTCTTGACATCCAGTATCGGTAGCCTGTCCCACGGAGTCGGATGAAAGGGGAGTTTCTTGGTTGTTATAGACCAGGATTTAATTTTGAATCATTCGATGAGGGACATGAAAGTCCGCATAGAGCTCTCATCGTCGAGTAAGAATGTGGATTGACTGCCGGTCAGGATTGCCGCTGAAGTGTAACGTCGCTCGCGGTGGTTCGGCCGATAGGATGACGACTCTACCAGGGCCAAACTGGGAACTTCTAGTCATCGCCGGTGAGAAAACAGAGAAAACAGAGGAAACACATGGGGTATCCCCAGAAAAACCTGGAATCCGGAGTATCTCCGCGTTCTGGGTCTACTATGCCTCGGAAAGTACCGAGCACCTTTCAACATGGTCCAGTCTTTCGCAACAGGCCCACTGCAACCACAATTGAGACCTAATCTAACGAAATTGGCTCACCGGCATGGAAGCATCGGACCATGTTCCTCGGCTCGCGAAATACGGGGATAACCAGTTCTCGGTCGGGCATCTGGAGAATGTCACGGCAGAGTCGTATCCACTTACCCCCGGTCCCCAGGACGAGGCCACATGGCCCACTGGGAACACCTATTATGGTCATGACAAGCGACGGGGTCCAAAACCACTAGACGCTCAGACCAGTTCATGTAGCATTTGCCAGATTTGGCCATGACAGGGGACGGCAGTTGGGAGTGTACAGTAACCATACATAGTACGAATAGCATGCCACCTTGAAACTGTGCGCCAAGGAAATCAGAGATTGGGGCCCGATAATTACCCGTGGCGAAATTACTCACAGCAGGAAATTTCAGGCCAAGACCCAACAGCGGTAAGTGACTCCTGTGGTTGGTTGATTCCCCCGGAGAGAAAAGCCAGGAATCTTGTCTGGGGGTGGAACCATTTGCCCCAGGCTCGGTTATGCCCGAGATCACTGACATGTTGATCGGTCTATCATGGTCTATCATTGCCTCGATTCACGGTCTATCTTAAAATCTAGATTTCTTTACTCCCCGACTATAGGTAGATTCCAAGGTTCTTCCAAAAGCACACCAATATCTTACTGTATAGAGTCAGCCCGCTTTACGCCAAGACCCTTTCCTTTTCTCACTAAGGAAAGTGATATTTCGTGGCGTCCATAAGGTCTGTGCTTTGAGACGGCTGGCGATGTGACATTGAAGGGCAGGCTAACGGGAGAACGGCAGTTGCAAATTCGGTCCAGGTCAGCAGGCCCAAGCGGGTTTGGTATTTGCCGCTAAATAGAAGAGAAGAATAAAAATAAACGAGGAATAAAAATAAAACGAGAGGCAAACTAGAGTCAACGCGTTCAAAAGGGGGAGAGAAAAAACTTCGAAGGCACGTGGCCCACAGGGAACTGACAAATCAGAAGGGAAAATCCCCGGACCCCAGGCCCAAAGGGGATAGTGTCGCCGGAGCCGAGCGTCCAGCCCGAGACTCTGTTTGGTGGTTCAGGCCCTACCTTGACCAATCACAGTCCGAGTTCCATCGTTCTTTCCCCGGAGTCGCCTGTCACCCAATCAGCATCGACTTCCCCGGTTTCCTATACTTCCAGCCGACTTGGCCTCTTCTTCCTGCAGCCGATGTTGGTGTGAGCCGACAGTCCAACCCCGAGGCCAAAGCTGGACTAGTTACGCTTTTTTTTGCTTTTTCCGCTTTTTTTTTCCCTGACCATGGGGTCTGGGGATTGATGCTTTAGCGGGCCCCTCCCTGTATAAATCTCGCAGTCCTCCCCCCCAGTCTCTATACTTTTTTGTATTCCTTTCACATCTCTTTCTTACTATCACATATCAATCTCTTTCAAGATTTTTATAACCCCTTTGGATTTTGTCTTGAACATCTCCTTACCATGCCTGGTGGTGGAGTCATCTCCTCGCCTGCGGACACCATGCGTGTCGAGGCTCCGGTCACATTCAAGGCCTACTTGATGTGTGCCTTTGCTGCCTTTGGTGGTATATTCTTCGGATATGATTCTGGTTATATCTCCGGTGTTCTGGGAATGCCCTACTTCATTCAGCAGTATGAGAATCTCGTGAGTGAACTTTAATCTGGCATCCTGAAACTTCCACTGATTATGAATAGGACCCCGCTACTACTCCCTCGGACCTCTTCGTCATCCCCGCCTCAAGAAAATCGCTCATTGTCTCTATTCTATCTGCTGGAACATTCTTTGGTGCTTTGATTGCTGGTGATCTGGCTGATTGGTTTGGTCGTCGGACTACCATCATCTCCGGATGTGGCATTTTCATCGTTGGTGTCGTTCTGCAGACTGCTGCTAGCAGCCTGGGTCTGCTCGTTGCCGGTCGCCTGATTGCTGGGTTCGGTATCGGTTTCGTCTCTGCCATTATCGTTCTCTACATGTCGGAGATTGCCCCGCGCAAGGTCCGTGGTGCCATCGTTTCCGGATACCAGTTCTGCATCACCATCGGTCTCATGCTGGCCTCCTGCGTCGACTATGCCACTCAGAACCGTCAGGATACCGGTGCCTACCGCATTCCCATTGCCCTCCAGATGCTCTGGGCTGTGATCTTGGCCATCGGCCTGTTCGTGCTGCCCGAGTCTCCTCGTTACTTCATCCGCAAGGGCCAGAAGGAGAAGGCTCGTGATGTGCTTGCCCGTATTCGTGGCCAACCTGCTGACTCCGAGTTCGTTACCCTGGAGCTGGATGAGATCGACGCCAACAACCAGTATGAGATGCTGCACATCCCTCAGGGTGGATACTTCACCACCTGGTTCAGCTGCTTCAGCGGCAGTCTCTGGGAGCCCAACAGCAACCTGCGCCGCACCATTCTCGGTACCTCCCTGCAGATGATGCAGCAGTGGACTGGTGTCAACTTCGTCTTCTACTTCGGCACCACCTTCTTCAAGCAGCTTGGCACAATCCAGGATCCTTTCCTGCTGAGCATGATCACCACCATTGTCAACGTCGTCTCCACTCCCGTCTCCTTCTACACCATTGAGAAGGTTGGCCGTCGCCCCCTCCTCCTGTGGGGTGCCCTAGGCATGGTCGTCTGTCAGTTCATTGTCGCCATCATTGGTGTCACCGACGGCGGCAACTCCAAGGCTGTCAGCGCCATGATCGCCTTTATCTGCATCTACATCTTCTTCTTCGCCAGCACCTGGGGCCCCGGTGCCTGGGTTGTGATCGGTGAAATCTACCCTCTGCCCATCCGTTCCCGTGGTGTTGCCCTCTCGACCGCCTCTAACTGGCTCTGGAACTGCGTAAGCATCCTCCCATCCCTTGAAACACGAATGATACACTAACCTTCCCAACAGATCATCGCCGTCATCACCCCCTACATGGTCGACGCCGACAAGGGTAACCTCGGCGCCAAGGTTTTCTTCATCTGGGGCTCTCTCTGCACCTGCGCCTTTATCTACACCTACTTCCTGATCCCCGAGACCAAGGGTCTTACCCTGGAGCAGGTCGACAAGATGATGGAGGAGACCACCCCCCGCACCTCCGCCAAGTGGAAGCCTCACTCCACCTTCACCGCCGAGATCGGCCTCGTCGACGAGAAGAAGGTTGTGGGACCTACTGTCACCCAGCAGGAGGTCTAAGCTATCAGACTGGCTCTGATATGGTGGTCTTTTTGATTTACCCTTTTGAGTTTTACTCTATGCTTGCCTTAAGCGGCTCAGCCTCTTACTGTCTCTACCATGTGTTGACGTTTGATGTGTCATTGTTTAAATATCCACGAAGCTGTATGTATTATAATCGACTAATTATTATCGTGATATAACTCTTCTCTGGTAAAGCCGTGTAGTTACTGATAAATCTTCGACGCCATACCGGCGGGTAACACCACCAACCTCAGCCACGCTGGACAAATGCAACATACTGCAGCAAGTGGAACTGCAAGACGTTTGCAAGCAATTGCCAAGGATTGTGTGGTTTTCTGTGTCTTGGCGAAACAACAGTCTTGCCCAATTTCTGCATAGCCCGCCCCTTATTGTCGCGGGAAGGAGGTGCCAAGTTAAATACGCCTACCATCCATGTTACAACTATGACCCCTGAGGGGCATACCCTGTCTTGTTCTGCACTTATATTACTTATGCATAGTAATTGATTGGTCTATCAACAGGGAACTTGTCTGTCACGTTTGACATCGGAGCTGATGCGTGAGGAGTCAGGAACGGATCACCGACGCACTACCGAGGATCTTCGCCAATGCGAACAGAAATATTTTGTCTTTGATGTCTATAACTGCCATTTTCTATGAGTTGGCACGACTGGATGATGACTTAACATCGCAAGACAAAACACCAACAATCGAGCTCTGGAGAATTCGTTACGTGGGGTCCTGTCATTTGGAACACCTCCCAGGTGATGGCCAAACCGCTCAACGTCCTATTCTGCAACTGCAATATCCGGCATTGCTCCCTGCTTCTCCGCTGACTCACCGAGGGCTAAAGATTCAGTATTTCTTGGCCGGCGTTAGTGAAGGATGATCGACCAGGGTTGAGCATCTGTTTGCTCGGAATGCCGTCTTGTTACCTCCTTCTTCGGCCATCGCAATCCAATCAACCGCAGCCAATTTCACGGTCCTTGAAATAAGGCTGCCTCGCCTTCATTAATGCACTATGGAGGTCCGACGCCAGTTCTGAAGCGGTGTCCTTCTGAGAAATGCGCCGTGTCCTATTTGTCGAAGCAGACATGGGGCCCCAACCTTCGTCGTCAGCTTCATGAAAGAAGGAGATTGTGTCATCCGAGGCTATTCTCAATGGAGTTGCCCTCCGTCTTTGAATGTGCGCCATTAAGTCGCAAGAAAGATATAAAAGACTACTGATGAACCTGCAAACAATACCATCTTCATTCAAATAACATTCCAGAGTACCCTGAGTCAAATCAAATCTTCTTTTTGATTCTCATCCTCAATTGGAACGTCAATCATGGTCTACCTTGCATCCATTATCTACGTTGGTCTGATTGGCTTGACTGGCCTTGTTTCCGCTCATCCAGGCCATGATGTCAAGGCCGAAGCTGCTGAGCGGGCTGCGTTCCTCCAGAACGCCCCCATCCACTCACGCAGTCTTTCCCAGTGTACATCTAAGCTGAAATCTAGGGGCCATGAGAGACGGAGCGTCGCGCGCCGCGAGACGGCCGTCAAGCATCTGCGCCGTCGCCGTGGCATTGATTCTGGTATGTCCTTAAGCCAAGGCCTGTAGCGTCCATTAACAAACACTAATGGTCTTCATAGCTGGCTATTACCTCAAGGCACGTAGCCTCACTGATGATCTGAATATCTCGCATCACTCCAACCTTACCGGCGTGGATCTCTCCACCGACCCGAGCGTTTTGTTCGGATCTGGAGGAACCTGCATTCTTGCTCCGGATGTCACTCAGGGACCCTACTGTTAGCCAATCCCACCCCACACGGTATCATTTCAGTTCACTGATATAACACAGATGTCTCGGGCGAACTGGTTCGTGAGGATATCGTGGAGTCTCAAGCGGGTGTTCCTCTTTACTTGGACATCCAGCTGATTGACACCAACACTTGTGACCCACTTCCGGATATCTACATGGATTTGTGGCATTGCAATGCGACTGTGAGTTGATTACCTCTCTAATTGCCCTTCTATGTATGCTTAAATTATGACCGAGAATAAACTAACGATGATGGTGACAGGGCGTCTACTCAGGCATCATTGCCGGAGGAAACGGTGACTCTTCTGATGAGGGCAATATCAATACTACCTGGCTGCGAGGTATCCAAGCGAGTGACGAAGATGGTGTTGTCCACTTTGAATCCATCTTCCCTGGTCACTACACTGGCCGGACGGCTCACATTCACAGTATGTTACCCAGCCATAACATCTTCACACCACCATATACAAATCGGTCTACGCTTGTTCAAGTGTTTTAAAAACTAACTTATCCTAAAAGTTCTCACCCATCCAACCAACGAAACCGAAGTCCTCGCCAACGGCACAATCTCCGGTCTATATACCACGCACTCGTCATATGTCGGACAAACCTTCTTTGACCAGGACCTAATAACAGCCGTCGAGAAAACCACACCATACTCAACAAACACACAGCAACTAACAACCAACGCCGAAGACGGCATCCTCGCCGGAGAAGCCGAAACCATCGACCCATTCATGGAATACGTTTATCTCGGCGATGACGTCTCAGACGGGATCTTCGCTTGGATCTCTGTTGGCATTGATCCTACCAAGGACAGAGATGTCACTCCCGCAGCTTATAACACTGAGGATGGTGGAGTTGCGAATGAGAATTCTGGAGCCGGTGGCGGATCTGGTGGTCCTCCTCCTGGTGCCTCTGGTAGCCCTGGTGCCAGGCCCACGCGCCTTGTCTAGTTGAAGTCGTAGGTATTGACAATTGGGTTTGAGATACTGGGAGTCGAGGATAGGGACTGAGGTGCAAATGTTTTGCTTGGTTGCTTGGACCAGTATCAGACCCAATAAGCTTGGGACGTGTGTGGTGTAGTTCGACGGATTTGCAGGCTATGTTTAGCTGGGCTTATGCACCTACCAAATAATGGAAATACGCTAGAATTATTACTTAATGCTGCGCAAGAAGCATGGGAAACGCTAGACATTGAGATTTTCAAGCATCTCTCCGAGACTATGACCCATAGAGTGGCTGATGTTATTAAGTATGAGGGCTGGCATACTAGCTATTAAATTGAATTGAATTCCTGAGGTTTCTACCCAGCAGTCATCAAAAGTGTATCGGAGGCCAAATACTTATATGAAACACTGTAGATGGCGGCGGGCGCCGGGTGTAAGATACGGGGCCACCATAGTTAAGCTACGATACTAGCGTTACGGTACAGAAGCCCGTCTGTCGCACCCCATCCAAAAATTCTCACCCAACTTGATCATATACCACACCACCAGTCCTGGTCGGATCGGGCTCAAACTTTCGCAGGTCCTCGAGTGACTAGTGATATAGAACGGGCGCAATTTTCAGCGAGACCCGACGTGAACCCGGGGACCGGGTGACGGGACACGCACCTGGGGCTATCGGGGCACTGACCTACCGCCAATCAGGGGCGGAAGAACCCCAGCCTGACCCAGAGTGCGCGCGGCATAGAGTCTAAGGGAAAAGTATAAAATTGTACAATAGCCCTTATATAAGGGTGGCTTTTTGGACAGTTTTCTACTACTAGGCTCTCTCTGAGCCTGCCAGTGATGTTAAACAAACATATCTGTCCGTCGTGATTTGATTGTGCTATACTATTGGCATGTCATTTCACTTGTTTCGTTCTAGCTGCAGTCGACCGTCCGTCATATCTTCCAGTCTCACACGAATATTTTGTGCAAACTGACTCATCTGGCTGATTTTAGTGTAATCGGATGCAGGGCCAGAGCCATTGAGCCCTTGATCAATCTTCTCAGCGCCATTATAGAGTATGGGTAAGATAGATGACTTCCATAGGCCGAGTCGCCGTTGTCGGTTGATCATCATCGTCGAGATCCAAAAAGCAAAGCCGGCGACAAGAAGCACAGACGGGAAGGTCAGCCACTGCCAAGATACCTTGACGAATGCCTGCGTCAGCATGGCCGTGCCGGTAGCCCTCGCGTTGCTGGTTTCCAAAGTGTATTTGGTGAGAGCTGCAGCGATGTCTGACAGCACCGACCCAAGACCGTAGTCGATGACTCTGTCAAATGCAGCTCCGTAATCAGCGTTATTGCTGGCGCTTTCGCCTTTCGTCCACATCGAGGTACTATTGTCGAACATGTAAATCACATCTGCATACCCCAAAAATGGACTTCCCGAAGAGAGATGAGCGAGAGAATTAAACCCACTGCTAGTCCAATTTGCTTCGTTCGCTCGGAGACAAAAAGCGAATTGCTTAGTATCGGCCCAATTACCCGTGGAGAGCTTGATAAAATCGAATGGACCAGACCGATCGGTAGGCCTCCAGCAATCTATATCAGCGTAAAAGGATTCTTTGTAGCTGGGAAGGTTTTCAGTGAATCGCTGCCCGTAGTCAACCGAGGTGACATTGACCTGTGGCGTGCCGGAAGAGACAGAAACATTATATGTCCTCAGGCAGAAGGAAAGAACGCATTCCTGAACGCTGCTAATGCGAAGCCCGCGGACCAACTTTGTGAGGTTGGTATTGGCTTCGACTTCGAGTTTGGCATGCGCGAAGACATAAACCGGATAATTTACGCCCAGGAAAGACCCTAGTTTTATTTCAACAAGTGACCACACGACGTTTGTCGGGATCAATATGCTCGTGGGAAGATATAAAACGACCACGGTACCGTTTCCCCCGTGTCCGGTATTCACAGAGCAGCTATACTTCACGCCATGAAGGGCGCTATCAGTATCGTTGATTTCAGGTTCCGTCCACTGATCACAGTCGTAGAGGATGGCCGAGTCGGTCACATCCTGACATTTGCTGCAAAAGCCCAGGGACTGGAATTCGGGCCAGGTACAGTTTCCGGATGGGCAAGTGGGATTGACTGGAAAATCCGTGTTCCAAAGAGCAGCGTTGTAGTATTGCGTGAAGGACGCATAGTTCGCGTTTGGCGCAAAGGTCTGCGCCTGGGGCATCGTCGCTTGAGCTGTGCTGCCGGGTGTTTGTTGAACGGGGTAGCTTAGAATCTGCTGCATGAAAGGATCTAAAGCCACCGCAAGTACGGTAACAATAGCCCCCAGGGAGGCAAGCGAGAGCCCACGGTGCTGGAAGAGAAGAGTCAAAGAGCCCAGCGGCCCTCGAGTCGCATCGTCGAAGGACTGCATGTCTGAGATGGGCTGTTCCCTACGCTGGAACCAGATCCACTTCAATTGGCCTACTGCCGCGGCTACTGCGAAAAGTAATGATGATCGGGATGCTGTGGCTAGCAAAGAGACGATCGTGTTGAGTGTCAGCCCATAAGACAAATTGGGGGACGGCTTCTGGTCGTAGACTACCAGAATAATGATGATTGCAATGAACGAAGCGAAGCTGAACACCATCGCGAGGCACTCGAGAAGCCATGTATCATCAAGTGAAGCCCAGCCTCCAGATTTGGAGGGGGATGGCGCCTGAATATGGATTCCATTATGATCAGTCCCTGCAACGAGTGATTGCGATTGAGGGTCATCATGGTCATTGTGATCTCCGAGAACAGTCAAGTCTATTGTGTGCTGCGAACCCACTCTGGAGGATGCTCGACCGCCGGCACAGGGCGACTCAAATCGAAGTTCTTGATTGAAGATCTGAGTCGTTGTGGCATGCTTATGAGGATCCATCTTTCAGCCATGGATGGAGGCAGCTCATTGTTCTTCCGTTCGGGGGTCGGTCATCTTATGTACGCCGTATTGCCAGCACCGATCGCTGCAGAGTCCCACTTTCCAGCCTCACGGAATCGACCAATAAAGGTAAGCCATGAAACGCTAGCACGATGTTGAAACGGTATGATCGCCAGTCAAGGGGCCAACAAAACTTGGCAGTCTTTGACATCCAATTGGACCGGTTGAGAAGAGGGAATGCGAGATCCGTGCGCCGTTTGGCCCCCATCCTGGCCCCCAAGGCGGACTGTCGCGTAGCGTAGGTCCCTCGCTGCCTCTTTGGTCTCCACCCAAAAACCCCCCAAAAAAGTAGCCAAAGACTCTGGGCTCATTTACATTGCTCAAAACGCGTTTCGCCATCCTGAAAGTCCGCACGAGCCACTTTTTCGCTCGCTGTACACTGAACAACCTTCATACAACATACACCAAGTTGACTTGATAACTGATCGAAACAACGTCCGCAAACTTCTGTCTTTATCAATCCAAATATCTCTAGAAATGGACTACCTTATCCCTCCTTCTTTTAGCCGTGTTCATAGTAACTTCTTACATTGGGCCCTCTGCTATGTCTTGTCATCTTGAAATGAGCGAGGTGAAGGAGAAAACTCCATGTCAACAGTCTTGTATACGCAAATAGTATTGTAGATGGAAAAAGCCTTGTCTTCCAAAGTAGTGCATTACAAAAATCCAACCAAATCAAGAAGGCCGCTTACCATCCCCCGTCAACCTCTCCAACATTGACCCCCCATCCACCCCAGCAGCAGCAGAACCAGCAGCAGGACCAGCAGCAGGACCAGCCGCAGGACCAGCCGCAGGACCAAAATAAGGCGGCGGCATATCCTCCGGCAGGGACTCGGACTCAGACTCAGACCCAGATCCAGCTCCAGACACAGAAATAAGCGGCTCAGCCTCCGTCCTCAACCTCCTCACCCTACTCCGTCTCCACCAGAAGAACCCAATCGTCAAAAGCGCAACAGCAATCGGAACTCCAATCCCAATCCCAATCTTCTCATGTGTATATAGGAACCGGCGCGGAAGGCTCAGCGAGTCAGTCGGCACAGGCACGATCGTCGACTGAGCAGCCTTGAACCGAATCTGGATGGGCGATGCCGTGATACCGTAGATCTTGCGCTGTGTTGAGAGTGTTGCATCCACGTATGTCATTGTAGAGATTGTGTTGAAGGATTTTGCGCAGTAATTCTGGCCTTTGCATTCGAAGCCGCTAGTGTTTGTTGTTAGGATAGTCTAATTTGGTATTCGGGGAAGGCAGGCGGTGCTCTTACTCTGGACAGCAATATGCCGTCGTCTCTGCGCGTTGCGCGCCTGTAGGCAATGTACAGGTCTTGTATGACGTTGGACAACGGCCGGGACTAAAATATGCATTGTATTTCCATCCTTCTGGACAGCACTCGCCTCCGTATGGACCTTCGCAGCCTTGTAGTAGAGATGGGTATCCGTAGTTAGCGACTGTGCGGGGGGTAGCGCATGACGCAGCCGGTGTGAAGACTGTTGTTAGAGGGCCTGCGTTTGTGGCTGTTGTATCGAGGCGGTTGTTGTATTTGTCGTCTGCAGTGGCAGATGTAAATAGTAGGGCGAGAGGGAGGAAGAGGCCGTTCGACAACGACGAAGACCACATCGTGGAGATTGAATCTACGGAGAACGTAGAATTTTTTTCGATTCATTTTCGTCTCTCTGCCTTGCCTATATACCTATACTTTCACGTATTGTTCCGCGCCAAATCGCGATATGATCTCCCTGCCAAGACCGCCTATCCTCGTATTCAGCCTCTTTTGGTAGTTTTCTCGGAAAGCATCGCGGGTTCTGCCTCGTATAAGATATGCTTCAGCCTCAGGCACCGTGCCCAGGGCAGGCTCCTTTGCAGTGCCACTTTTGAGGCGTGGATCGTTTCTCGAACCGTAATGCCGAGACATACTAGTACATATTGTGAGTTTTACCGGAGTATCTAGGCGGAATAATACGAATGTTCTTGCAAAGGTGCGGGCTCGGCGTCTTACACTTTGGCGTTATTTCGATATCCGCGGGGACTCATCGGTTTCACCAAGCAATCCAGCCCATTTCTTCAGCTGACCCTTCTACTTCCATCAAGGCAGTCGCTGTCTCGGCTCCCATCGTTATCCCTGGCCTTCATATTCCTAGATTCAGGAAGGCGGCGGGGAAGGTTTGTGGGAGTAGCTTTTTGATTCTTTGACATATGCTGTAAGATTTTTTCAAGACAACCAATTAGTTGGTAGTGGAAAGCATCGTTGAGACAACTCCCAAATAACCGTTGTATCTTATCGTTTATTAACATCATTTCTCTCTTCAAACGGCGTCTTTACACCATATGTTTGCCCGGTTAATCACCTTTGCTTTTCTGTTGCCCGTATTTTAATTTATATTCCTAATATTGATTACTGATTATAGATCCCACAGTTTATGTCGCGAGAACCCCTCCCGTTTCTAGGATCATATACGACCCGGGGATTTATGGCGTGGTTCCTAGGCACGCTATTGATTGCTCCTAGGAATAGAAATCATAGTTCCTAGAGTGCCTATAGCTCCCGGGGCTAAACTATATAGCTCTAGGGAACGAGAGGTGGTATCCTAGGAGCTTAGGTTACTATCTCTAGGAACAATTGTGAGGGTTTCACGTATATATGGAGGTGAATAGTTCTCGAAAGACATAATCGATATTACGAATAACTATAGTTGACTCTAGATACAAAAACGTAGCGTGAGAAAGCAAAGACACAGGCTTCGCGTTTAAGGTGAACGCATATACATCATATAGGTCCCGTAAATCATGTCTCAATTCATCCTATATGCTTCATATATATCCCTCAACAACTAATAGCATACCTAGGTCCTCTAAAGTATTACAGCTGTTGCCGGGCTAGCTCATTTGCACGGTAGCCCATAAGATCCATGGCTATGAAGCGCCTTGTTTTCTAGGGTACGACATGATTTATGGCCTACAGTGAGAGTCCAGCTAGAACTGACTTCCACTCTACAACACAATTATGGAGGAAGCCTTTCGGTCTTTGACGGCAGGGAAAGCATCGCGCGTGGCAGTTCGGCCCATACTCAGTTGAGCATCATCTTTTTGCTGGCTCGCACACGTACACCCATGTTAATTAGGACTCTTTCTCTCACTTCGTTCGTTTCAGGGCACAATACGTGTATGAGACCTCAAAGAATGTATTTTACACGGAACTGCTTTACAAAAGCCCCTTCCGTGCCCCTCCTTCCCATCTCTCGCCTTTCCGAGGCAACAACCACGCTTCCTCACTCATCATTCATGAGCGTCAGTTATCCAAAGTTAGTCCACACGACATGGCTCCAAGGCTCCCGCATCAAAACTCCATCATATCCGTGACATGACAGACAGCCAGTCCCTCTCCATGTCTTAGATGGCTGAAGAAGCTACATGCAGCAAATCAGAACATGGCAATCGGATTCGTCGAATTTGCTGGTCTGGCCTGAGAGATATCCCAATGCTCAACAATACAAGTCCCATCCATACGATAGATATCTGCAAGAGAGACCGGCTCCGGATCTTCCTCAAATTTCAGGTGAATCAGACCAGTGTTATTGCCAAAACTCGACCGCAGAATAGTGAAATCTGCAAAAGGGATAATTTGAGATAATCTTGCAATAATAGCATCACGGTCCTGCGCATCGTCCGGATCATGTTCGATTATGTCGGAAGAGACGTAGGTTTCGAAGGCCTTGCTGACGTTTTTCTCGCCATATAACGTCTGGGTAAACTGTGTGAATAGGTGGTGTTGGAGAGCTTCGCTGGCGTCATATCCTGGACAATATGGCTTTTGCAAACAAGTTGAGATTTTGTGGTCTGGGAGAAGATTTGTTTCGGAACAGGGACGCTCAAATGGATTTTTTGCGCCCGCGGCTAACGCCAACAGAAGCACTTGAAGAATAAAATGGATCCCATGCATTTCGAATTGATTTTCCAAACAGAAGGAATAAGAATTGAACGCGATTCTCTTAGGTTAAACGTTGAAATCTCGGGACAGTCAAATGAAGGCAGGTACCGTTGAGCTTTATATACCTTTCTGATCCGGATTCCCCTAGCAACATGCTTTCCTTGTAGGTCCCTGGCCTGTACAAGTAGCTGATTATTCTTCTAACAACGATGTTGGGATTCCATCGGGCGGCGGATATTTGTGCCAGCCAATAACGTAGAAAATGGTGAGCCATCCTCTCTGATTGATACTTCTGCCTGAGATACCGAACATACATTCCGTGGCGTCTGGGTTTAGCTTCCTAGGGTATCCGTCCTATTATTTGCCCTTCCATTTTCTAACATAGACAGAAAAGCGCTTCAGATATCGTAGTTCCAATTTGTTAGCCCTTGCGGAATGTCAGTCTACCCGCATTTGGCTCCATCAGTTGGGTTTATCCCTTGGTACACAAAATTTGTCCGTGTCATTCCTTTGTTACCATTGACTGGCCAGCGGCCAGTCAGTTAGCCAACTTTGTCCCGGAATGCCTGGTCTGAGCGACGGATAGGTAGTGATCAATGTTTAAGAAAGGCGACACACATGATGCCAGTAGGGGGCTTTATCACCGTAGATGCTACACTCTCGAACAGACCTGTTGGTCTCATCTTGTGGTTTCCCTCATCTACCATAGGCTTTCTGACATTGTGTGACAATTATTAGCTTACAATCTGAATGCCATTGCTAAACGTGCCAGCACGGTGAATATAATTAAAATACACGCTAGATGCTAGTAGTTTCCGGAAGAAGTGTTGTAGGTGCTTTATAGATATTTTATGATCTCTCCAAGGCGGTTCACGACTGCTCAGCAGAAGCGGTCATATATCAAATCTCGGGAACATGTGGCAAAAACAGTAAACACGAAATAGGCAACGAGCCGGAGGATACGGGAAGCGCCACCAGTGAGGTTGATGTCTGTCCTCACTTAACACTGCACCTTGCCACCTTCAAGTTGCCAGACAGGACCAGAGATTGCGCTTTTATCGATCTTACCATCTGGTGTCGTGGCTTCAGGCACAATACCACCAGATTGACTTGGACCGTCAGAGATAGGCTATATCCCTGGTTGGGAGGTGTAGGTGGCTCATCATACACAAGTGTAACGTTTGGATGAAGACTGAAGTTGGAGTATTGAGTGCATGTGCGACGTGTTCCCTGGTCATTAAATTCTCACACATAGTTTGCACAGGAAACAGCGGATTTGATGCATTCTTCGATGCAATCACATTCGTTGTCGACGCCAGGTGTCACTGTGGTGAGAACACCGGTAGCATAATACCCTCTTGTGTAGCGAACACAACCCTGGTCCTGAGTCTTGAGGTAAGGGCAAATTTTCCGTGGCCGCGAGTCATCCTTGTCACCACTTTTGTTGACATAATCAACATTGTGGCCACTCTCACGGTTATTGGGAGTAGCGATGGTGCCGATAGTGAGGAATTAAGTAGTAAACGTGACGAGGAAACGCATTGTGGGACTTCAGTAGTATTACCCTTTCTGAGGAACTTCTTGTAGGGAAGCAGTTTAATGCCTGGGTTGTAGTTTATATCAAAAAGTCAGGAGATGTGATTGTTGAATATGACACCGATGCGAAAATAACGTTCTTATATACGCATCTCCTAAGGGCTGAATTACTGAAGAAAAATAAAGGACAGAGACAGCAATGAGGTTGGAATGAAACATTTTTGGCGTCTTAATGAATACTGTTATTCCAACATCCCGAGGTGAAGTGTACCAGAGAAACATTACATTCTGATTTTAGAAATTGCTAGACAACTTCGATCTTCAGAAGGGTAGGCAAAGTCAGTCAAAACAGGGGCTATATTGTTCATAACCTGTATGATATAACCGCTAAAGTTGTTCGTGTTTGACAGCCGACATGATAGTTAGCGTGAACAAAACTAAGCAACAGAATCAATGAAGCGCCCCAAAACATGACTTAAAAGCCTTATCAAATCTCAGAACAGAGAGCCAAGCCGCTCTATGAGCTTAGTGACGAGTTCTCGGTCAGTAGTGGCCATTGCAGCAATCTCAGCGTGTACCCAGCCATCCGCCTTGACCTTTATCAACTCCCACACATCGTGAGACCCAGCTTCATTTGTCTCCAAAAATCGACACACCAGAGATGTAGCAATCAAACGCGACCATTTTTCCACCGCAGATACCTCGTTCGTCTCAATTCCCGCCAGGAAGTCATAGTCGGTTTGTATGTTGACGCGGGCAGTGCTTGGATCAAGGCCCACGACCTGCAACAGTGCATCGCTCATCTCCCAGTAACCTTCAAAAGTCTGGAGCTGGATGAGTTTATTTACCGGGAGTGTTGATGCCGCGTCTGCGTCTTCATCGTCGTCTTCCTCCCAAATGGGTGACTTAGGTGATCCGTATGCTGGGGACGTAGGTGAGAACCCTGGGCTTATAGGAGAACCGTAGCCACTATATGAGCCCTCTTGATTGAAAGAATTGGAAGGAATGTGACTGAAATCAGGAATACAACCATCTGTAGACTTGAAGCGGGCGTAAGCTGGGCGGAAAATTTGGCGGCTAGGTATACCACTAGGGGAAGTAGGGGTGTAACCCGGCGACGTAGCGCTGTAAGATGGAATCATCGGGGAGAATGATGCCTGCAAGTCAGGTCCATGCGGCATCTGGGATGTCTTGGCCATTTTGTTCTTCGGCTCGAATCCAGCGGTGTCGTTATCGGTGTTGAGGAATGTGTCGAAGTCAAAGGATTGCAGGATGTCTGGGCGGTCAATTGCGCTGAAGTCCAGGTTAAAGGCAGAGGCCTTCAGAACATGGTTAGTGTATGCTTATGCAAACTAGTGACCGGAAGGGAAAGATGATTTACCTCCGGGACGCTGAGTCCTGAGAATGCGGGCGGGGGCTAGAAGAAAAATCAGTAGATGGAATTGCGACAAGATACATGGCACGGCCGTGGCATACCTGCAGGGCGCCAGATTCGACAAGTTCGGGCGAAGCCTTGATCAACAAAGTTAGCATAGGTAATTGCAAAAGGTTTCAGGATATGAAAAATGGCATAGCAATGCGATCGGTCTGGGGTACTGTTTCGTATACTGTAATACTCCGCAGAGTAAGTAGCGATTTTATGTTTGCATACCTTGGTATCCTTTGAGTTACTATCACGTTCAGCCTGGGTCTCGTCGCTCACCGCGACAAATGAGCAGTGTTTCCCTGCGATTTGGAATCTCACCCCCAGACGCTCGCATTCTTTCTGAACCAGTTCATCAACCCTACTCTCCCATTTTGTCTTAATCAGCTCGCATTCGGCATTCTTTGCAGAGTATATCCAGCCGCGGGACTCCTCAAGCTCGGTAATCGTCTTTTTGGCCGCGAGTTGATGAACAGTTTGGCCCTTGCCAATATCTTGAACGGGGATTTCCAGCTCTAGGGGACCGTGTTTGCTGTTGGCACGAAGGACGATCGTCTCCGGAAACGAGTCAATGGATTGTGAGAGAAGCAAGTAGATATTGGAGCGTATGAATGGGAACAGAGCCGGAAGGTCGTGTGGTGCTTGCAAAATGCTAGGAACAGCAATTTTCGGCAGTGGCTCATGCACATCACCAATTCCTTCCCCTTCTTTATGATCTTGATCAAATAGGGAAATTTGCTTTGGAGAGGGCTCCGTGTCTGTTGTATCATCACCAGGAAGTTCAACCTTCACGAAGTCTTCTTCAACCTCAACCTTGGAAATGTCCACATCCAGTCTGCTGTTGTGCAGTCGAGGCATCAAAGCACCCTTCAGCATTCGAACCACTGTTTTATTTAGGTCCTCATTGTTCAGGACCGTCTGGGTAAAGCCCTTGCCCGCTCTGGAGATACCATTGATAAGAGAGTGTGAAACGGAATCCCCGAGGCCGAGAGTGAAGAACCGAGAGGAATGCTGCTGGTTGGCCTGATTGACCAAATCGATGACCTCGGACTGGTTCCAAACCTCACCATCAGTGAGAACCAACACCTCAAGGAACTTGTCTTGGTAGCGCTTCTCCACAGCTGCTTCGAGGCCGGACAGAATTTCAGTTCCACCTAGATCGGCCCTGATCTTCTTCGTATACTGAAGAGCCTCTTCTAGGCTCTCTCTGGTACTCACTTTGCTTCGAGCCCAGAGAGCTTCAGATGAGGAGCCAAACGAGATTAAGTTGAAAGGCACACCCAATGGCAGCGACTTGAGAAACAGCCCAAGGGCGGAACGTAGAGTACGCATCTTATCCATCATACTTCCACTACGATCAATGACGAACACGATCTCAGATGAATCCGGTGGCAGACTGAACTTTGGTACCAGGGAGACCATTAGTGCCTTCTGATTTGGCAATGTAGGGTGTGTCTCTAGGAAAGCAAACGGGAGATCTTGTTTGTCCGTGTTGACGGTGATAACAAAATCCTCGTCAATTGTCACATTCTCACAAAGTTGGATTGAGGCATAGTTCGACGCAAAAGTTGACTCCGGCATATCAGCTGTCCGGCCTAAGTCCACCTGGATTGGATGGCTTGGCGACCGTATATTGCGGATATTAGACCCCTTCTCCATGACAACGTCCACCTTTATTGCTGTTTTTACTAGAACTCCTTCGGGCGGGTGCGGAAGCCCAACTCTAGTTCCATATCGAGGTCCAATAGTGACGGGGATCGTGTATCGAACACCATCTGTCTTGGCATCCTGGGCCAGTTCTTGGATGAGAGTTATCTCGACGAGAACGGTACCCCCGCTGGAACATTTCCTAGGCGCGTGCTGAAGACATCGGCGGCACTAAGCGACCGATCAAGAATAGCAGCGGTTTGCCCCTTAGACTTTGCTTCTTGATATATCTCATTTGCCTTTTCTTTTGGCTTGACTATTCCTTCAATCACAGTATCGCCTAGGCGACATGTGAAGCCGACGATACTAGAGCTTTCATATAGGGGGAACGAGTAGAAGACTTCGGAGATCGCTTCTGTAGAAGAAGGGTTCACAAAGGTCTGCGTGATTACTGTTCGTGAATTGCTAGCAAGAATAGTTGCATGCGCGTCAAGGCCAACCTGAGGCAGGTATTTGAGCGCTGACGCATTTGCGGCCAGTCGGTAAAAACAGCCGTGTGCCATGGTGCAGAGAGTCATAGAAGGGAAAAGGAAAACGGGGAGGCGCGAGATACTTATATCGATGGACTTGTGAACATGACTAACAGGCGCTAGGCTGCAGGTAGATGCTGTCACCCGTAGACTATGCTCTGATTTGCGGGTTTGCGGCTCAAGTGGTTCCGAATTAACACGATCGACACGTTCGGTTTCTCACTTGAAATCACCTGCTCCGTACAGATTATCCATGGATGTGGCTCCAGTATGGTCGCTCGGCTTAACACATCACATCATGACTACAGAAAAAAGGACCATGCCAAAAGCCATCCAGAAGTCGCAAATGATGAGTCGATTCATTTTGGCCCCCAATTTTGCGGTGGACCAACTAGCAGGCTAAATCCACTTGTATTTGGTGTAGATGGAATTGAAGGGGTGGAGCATTTCTCGAGTTTCCCCTTTTGTGGCATCATTGAAAGCCACGATTTCTAAGGCACTAACCATCTGTCACGACCTGAGCTGTGTCCGTCCAATTAGAGATATCAATGACTCTGTATTCCATTACCCCTATTTCCTGCTGTTAACGTATTTCATATGCGAGCCGCCCACCCAAGCGAGCCGCCCACCCCAAAACACCATAGTAAATGCGATATATTCTACACTTATATCTCAACAGCCACGTCTTAATTATATTTCATTGCTTACCGATAGCTATTGATAAGATGTATTAGCACTGTGCTTCAATTTCAAGGAAATAAAAAAGCCATATTATCCTCATTTCAAAAATTACCGAAAATTACACTGCTATGAGCTATAAATATATATCTCTCAATCACGAAGTCATAAAAGTTTTCCAATCTCCATAAAGAGGCTAGATATCACCTGAAGAACATTCTGTTAAGAAGAAAAATACTCATAGGCCATGGTTGTTGAGATGTAAAAGCTGTAATTTATCGCATTTACTATGGTGTTTTGGGGTGGGCGGCTCGCTTGGGTGGGCGGCTCGTATGTGAAATACGTTAATAAGGCAATTTTAATTACATTTCCGGGTTCCGGGCCTACTGTATTTCCGATGCTCTCGCCAAGCATCGGAAATTTAGATGTCATTGATCCGAGAATCCTCAAGCCTTTAGAGGTTTACCAAGCCCAGAGACCTCAGCTTTGTGGTCAAGATTACACGAAAACGGATATGCTTGAGATCCCGGATGAGCATGGTATCAAACCCCAATCATTCAGCTTTCGAGCACATCCAGGGGCTCATATTCAAAATTATTGCCGATCAATCCACTGCCGGTTTTCAAACTATTAACGTATTCTGTAAGCGAGTGGTGCATGGAAGCGAGTGGTGCACCCCAAAACACCATACTAAATCCGATATATTCTACACTGATATCTTAACTTCGACGTTTTTATTTTATTTGATCATTTGCCGATAGCTGTTGATAGGGCTTTTCAACACCTTATATCAATTTTGACGAAGTCTAATCCCTACATTGTTACCGTATCGAAAATTACGTTACTATAAGCCAGAATTATATATATCTTATTCACTATGCTACAAAAATTCTCTAAATTCCTTATAGAGCCTAGATATCACCTAAAAAGTATTATGCTAGAAGGCAACGTCGCTATAGACCACCGTTGTTGAGATACTAGGTTGTAATTTATCCCATTTAGTATAGTGTTTTGGAGTGCACCACTCGCTTACATGTACCACTCGCTTACAGAATACGTTAGTTCTTGCTCTCTCAAGCTGGCCGATCATAACACAAACGATGCATACCAAACTCGTGGTGATGTTACCAACCAGCTACAGTCCCCTAGCATGTCTCCAATCGAGGTCAAGGCCGCAGAGAAGGCCACAGAGAAGGCCACAGCGGTAAATTCTATGAAATTGCACATTCTGGAAGTGCCCACCACACGCTTTACCGCAAGCGAAGTGAACGAGAAGAAGAAAAATTCGCGAGATGCCCAACCTGTTTTCAAGTCAGGCAACCGCATAAGTTCTGATGTGGAGAATGAGCCGGAAAGCCATTCTCCCGCCCATCAAGGTCTTATCGATGGGATCACACATCTTAGTACGGATTTATCACTAATCTCAAGAAACCTATTGAGCCCAGGCCAGAAGACAACGGCCGACACAGCAGTTTTCGAACCATTCGAAGGTTGTAGGACTATCGTACCATAAAGTTGTTTTCCTTCAAATATAACGTATAGTGGGAGCGCCCGGAAGGGCAAATTGATTCGATAATAGTCACCTATTCACGATTGCCAGGTTGCAAAACGCCCCTGCGACCCGTGTAAGTTGACTGCGTAATAACCTCCGTAGTTGCATTACTTAACTTCCATCGCAAACCCGGTTCGTCAAAGTTAAAGATATCATCCGAAGTGATACTATACTAAGCAATGGTTTTTTTTTAGATAAGTTCAAACCACTCACTGATGGTATTTAGGTTTTCCATTAAGGCGCGTTTGTAGTCATATTTGCGAGAGAATCGACTAGTAAGCTCAGGATGTTGTTTGATATATTGTGTTGGCCAAATTTTGCCAACGTTCTACGGGGTATAACCTCCACGATTTTGGAGCAGTAAATTGGCCATATCTCTCAACATAGCGATAGTAAACGCAGCGCCTCTCTGATCCATAGAGATTAATCAAACCTGAAATGATTCCTCTCTAATTGTGTGGATCTATAGCCTACACCCTTTTCTTCATACAGATTAGGAATACGTTTCATCTGATTTGCAAGAGTTATGCTGGGACATAAAAGAGAGAGCAGCAGCAGCCTTCGTACTAATTCGTACTAATTCTGCCATTTTGGATTGATTTAATAGCTGGCAAAATCCTGCCTTCCTGCTCAGCTAAACTTTGAGCTTTTTGACTACGATTTGGTGGCATGGTAGGCGTCTAAAGAGAGGTGGTTGGATAGGGGCAGAGAACTTGACATTGGATGACGAACCTGCCGGGGTCCACCGTTAGTTACAGATACATGTAGCGTCTCTAGTGATTCCCTTACAGTAGCAGGATAAAGATTATGTTAAGAATTTAATGTGAGAAAGACCAAAGAAATTGATGACGCACTATCCAAGGAGTTCGGTGGCACGGAGGATCTACCATCCGAGAATCTAGAAAAGCTTAACAGAACGGAAGGTAGGCCAACCGAGATCCGCCAACAAATCAAACACTACGTAGCAAGACCCATGCTTACTCATACAAAGTTGAAATGTCGGTGCCTTTCCTAGTTCATATGGGTTCATACAAGTATATGGAAGCGCACAGAAGTCTAGAGAGTTCTGCGGTGCTATATAGTTAATCTCGATTGATGGTATATAATCATAGGACAAGGTTAGCTAAGACATATTAACAATCGGCTTATACTCCAACAAGAGGTTCGTCCTCGGATAAGTTCCACTTAAATCTATTTCACAGGACCTAATCAACCTCAGCTTCAGTACCTTCACTCAAATTCAAGTCCTTGATATCTCATATTCCACAGTCCAATCATCGGTTTGAAACCATGTCTTCAATCTTATCAACTCCCAACACCAGCACCACACCTGACCAACCAGGTCACTGGGTCGTCACCAAATTTGGTACTCCATCCGTACTGAAATGGGAATCCTGGGACCCAAATTCTGAGTTTTCTGCCGCCAAAGTCCTCATCCGCGTTATCGTGGCCGGCATCGCTGGCGTGGACAACATACAACGAGCAGGTGGCTATCCCCTCCCACAAACAATCAACCCGGGCTTCACAACGGGATATGACTTTGTCGGTGAGATCGTTGCGCTTGGTGACTCGGTGCCGAGAGAGAGTGGATTGACAGTTGGAGACCGAGTTGCCTCCGTGTGCATTACCGGTGCACATGCCACTCATATTGTCCTGTCGTACTCGGAACTTATCCGCATTGAACGCACCGATGATCCTGTCAAGGTGGCTGCTCTGCCGCTCAACTACATGACGGCCTGGGGCATGCTCAAGCATAGCGGAGTCCAACTACCTCCTGGCTCGAGCATCCTCATAGGTTCGGCGAGCGGTGGCCTCGGCACTGCTGTTGCGCAGCTGGTTACAGCCTTTGACATGAACATCAAGATGATAGGAACTTGCTCGCCCTCCAAGTTTAACTACCTCAGATCCCTCGGCGTGGAGCCGGTAGACCGAAATGCGCCCGATCTTGTCGAGCAGGTCCGGGCGCTGACGGACGGGGAAGGGGTAGACGTCGCGTATGATGGGGTTTGCAGCGAGGCTAGTCTCCAAAGGAGCCTCTCTGTGACAAAGGCAGACGTCGGAAGGGTCGTGGTGTTCGGAGTCATGTCGGAGATTGCGGCGGATGGAAGTGGGATGCAGCTAAGCGTGGGGGACATCCTCGCATCGCGGCTGCAACCGCGCATGAGCTTTTATGGTGTCGATGTGCTTTACTCCCGTAATGCTGGGCTGGCTGACTTTTATGGCATTTTGGAAAAAGTTCGGAGCGGGAAGCTAGTGCCAGTTATTGCTAAGCTGTTTCGGTTGAGTGAGGCAGTGGAAGCACACGAAAATCTGATCTCAGGAAGTATCGTTAAGGGCAAGATGCTGTTCATTGTGGATGCAGATCTGGCTGCTCAGCATGATATATAATTTAGGTTGTGACCACTGCACTTTTTTGTTTTGGTCAAGTGCGAGAAGAAATCGGCCAAGCCTCATTTTGGATTGTTGTAGTACTTTGTAGTACCATGATCATTGGTAAATATGCTATGCTGTATGGCCACATGTAGTCAGAGTCGAAAGCAGATTTCCCCATTTTTACACGCGGTTTGTTTCTGGAACCGTATTATATAACCTCTGTTTGGGAAAGTTGTAAATTCTTTACGCTAGCTATCTCTAGATACAGACCTTGGGAGACGCGCGGGTGACCCTTCCGATCCTGACTTCACATTTAGTACCGCTACTAGCTTTTTAAAGCAGCAGTTATTGATGTAGTAGAAGATCAAACACGTGTCATAGCATCCTTCCCAAATTTCCACCCACAATATGCTTTTCGCTTGCCCTCCCGAATCCACATGGGAGCTGTATCACAAACAAACCTAAAGTCCATCCGACTTGGGGATATTTTATCTATCGCACCACGTACTCCTCTCAATCTAAGGCCCACGTCTCTATCATCGTTACAGTCGGATTCGAAATTAGATTTCGTCCTTTACTTTCCAGATAACAGAAAATTGACGAGCATGCCAAAACATTTGTGTACGCTTGACGAGACGATCACGTGGTGATGGGTTTGAATTCGCGTGGGTGGACCCAAGCTGTATCAACAAAGAAAGCAGCGCTGAGTTGTCTGAGTCCATCAATTCGATGTTTCGACGGTACCGCCAAGCTGCGAAATGCTACGCCTACATGACTGATGTGGGTAGTAAGGATCAACTCTCCAATAGTGTATCGTTCACGAGGGACTGGACACTGCAGGAGCTTGTTGCGCCACGAGAGATGGTATTTCTAGCTAGTGACTGGTCAGAGATTGGAGCACGAAAGGAGCTCTCTTATAAAATTGAGCAAATTATGAAAATTGTTACTGCCTTGCTGCTTGGAAAATCGCGACTGGAAGAGTCCTGTATTGCTAAGCGTGTGTCATGGGCCACGATGCGCGAAACAACCAGGGTAGAAGACCGGGCGTATTGTCTTATGGGTATTTTCAGCGTTAATAAGCTACTGCTATATGGTGAAGGCGATAATGCGTTTATCTGTTTGCAGGAAGAGATTATGAAGGACTCAGATGATGAGACATTATTCGCATGGGAGAGCGATGGTGTCTCGAATGAGAAGCCCTGTGGGCTGTTGGCGCACTAGTCAGATTGTTTTGCAAGATCAGGGGACGTCATTCCATACGTTTTTGCTTAGCATGGAACGCCCTTCATCTTGACAAATCGTGGTATTAGGATGCAGTCGCCTCTAGTCCCTCATTGAGAAGCAACTACGTTAATGCTTTAATATGTAGCAGGCTCTGCACTAGTAGGGATTGGGATCAGATCCAAACCGAATTCAGCGAAGGATGAGGATCATTTCGTCCGAATAAAGAGCACGCTCATACGTGATGTTCCGTTTTCTATGCTACTTAGTGCGGTTCTAGACACGGTATACATTCCGAAGACCTTCGTCGGAGTCTTAGAAGACATAGCAGTCCTACAAGATCAAGACAGCGATGCGTGGAGCGAGGGCGACTACGAGATGCCCGACCGCATCTGGCATCGCAGAATTCAGCCTCGAGGACACTAAGAGGCTAGTTGTATGCTTTGATGATACCGACCTATGCTGGTGACGGATCCGCTTCTAATGTGGCTAAACTTCATTGTATGCTTGAGCGGTCCGAGGGTAGTCAAGTGGGTTTCTACCAGGCATGGGGACCTGGAACAACTCTCGAAAACCTTACCATGGCAGGGTATAAGTTCCGCACAGAGTTTTATCAGAGTGGTGATGAAGTCAGTCTATTTGGCTTTTCTAAGGGATATCATGCAGCGCAGATCCTGGGTGAAGTTGTTGACTTAATGGGGTCCTTTTCCTCGGTCACCAGAAAATGGTCGACGACGTGTGGAGTAGGGCTTTACGCCGGATGCAAGCCAATTCAACATACCGACCATCCAATCTACACATAAATAATCTTGACCCCTTGACCACGTTCAATAAGGGAGATCCGGTTAGAGAATGCTTCGTCCGTAGGACTGACCAGTGCCGTTCTCCAGGTGTTACGAAAGAGCGGCTTCTCTGTCCATTCAGTTATGCCTATATATAGTTCTAGATAATCTGTAACTTACTCTATGGCTGTTTTATAGTAATATGAAGATCGCTTGGACTTTTCCTTTCCTTCTTATCCCTATACTGCTGTATCATATTACCTTAGTATAGTTGTGAGGTAGTTATTACAGTGACATCCGAAAATGCTTCGGAAAAATCTTGCAATCTAATCACGGGCTATAAAGTATCTGTAACTATCCCCACCCTAAGCCCTAACAGATCCAATAGCCCCTAATTCGCAGTGTCACACACCCCTCCAACAACCTCCATTTTGCGCTACCTACCTTGGATTACTGCTGATCTATACAGCACCTACTCCTTCAGCGTCGCGATACCTTGGCCTCGACGAGGAACGCAAGTTCCAGTGGCACTCTACGTGATAACCCCAATATCAATCACAGTATGATCGACAGTGCAGTTCGCCACGCTCCAGCTGGTCCTAGTGGCGAAAGCCTAGAAACCTGAATCAACAGGGCAAGTCCATCGAGGTTATGTCCCGTTCTATCTTGACATCGAGAAGACCTCTAGTATCGCTGATACGTGCCGTCATGCATAGAACCCAACCAAGGGGTGTGATGCCTACGTGAGCTGGGACTCGACCCAAGTTCCTAGACAGAGCAAAAAGCTTACGCTGCCTCCCCACTTCTATCAAAGTCTTGGATCTAGACAACAGCTTTTATATTGCAAAAGACTTAACAAATAATCTCATAAAGTATTTTACTTAGGCCTTGGAGTTTTGATTGTAGATCTCCTCAATAAAATGATGTCTTTCCACAGCATCCTCAAAATCACAAAGTAGGCTTTTGTCACCTGCAGCAATTGCCTCATAAACGCGGGCCAAATTCCTATATATCGGATCCATCTCGGCAAAAGCCCCGTTCTTGAGCGCAATTTCCACAATTTCGTCGGTGTCAAAGTCGTGAAGCTGAATGCTGTTGGTACCGACAATCTCGATAAATGCACTGGGGCCTGTAATTTTGATCTCTCCTTTCTCGCCATAGATTCTCCACTCAAGTCCAGGAGATCCCTTGAATGGCGATCCACCTCTAATCGTAGCCGAAAATACTGCACCTGACTTGAGCGAACCCTGAATCATAACATGATCTGGAGTCGTCTTCTCGACGTTCTCTTTGGCCACGGAGCCATCGTCTTTAACGATCTTAACGATTGGTCGTTGGTTTGAAAGGAGAGAATGGAAGCTTGAAAATTCGCCAAGGACTGTGATTCATCAGTTTGCCGTGACAAGTTCCCTAAATTGCTGGGCCTCTGAGACGAACCTTCTTGAACGGTGTCGAGCAAATGTAAGGCTGGAATTGAGAGTAAAGAGCCACCACTTTCACGGTCAACCAGGTAAGTTTGACTTTCAAGCTCCGTCTGTCCTGCAATCAATCCTTGACTGGAGATTGTAGTGCTTAAAACTTTGCCAATTCTTCCTTCTGCCAAGACGCCTTTCAAAGTTTCGACAATAGCGTCAAAACGGCCTTGAAGTCCAACTGCAGTGAGCTTGACATTGTTTTGTTTTGCCACATCGAGAAGCTCTTTTGCTTCCTTAAGGCTTGCCCCAAGGGGCCATTCGACAAAGACATCCTTGCCAGCTTTCAGTGAAGGAAGAATAGACTTGTAATGGCGATCTACTCGCGTAGTGCAAACAACAAGGTCAATGTCTTTGTCGTCAGCGATATCTAGTCGTAGGAGTCAGGTACCTTGACTATACTTGGGAGAATGCATAGAGGGGTAAAGTTTTGTTACTTACCTTGCACATCTCCGTACGTCCTTACTCCTCCTGGAAGCTTGAGTTTTTTGACGCTGTTCGCAGCACTTTCCACAGATGAATTACAAACAGCCACAATTTTGAACTTTGAATCGGGGCTTTTCAGATAGGGTAGATGAGCATTAGCTGCCCATGCACCAGGTGAAAGACCAATTATGCCAATGCGAATTCGGACCATGGCGATCGAACAAGTATATTTAAGGCGTAAATGTTGAAGGAACCACTGTTCTCTCTCTTTAAATATATGGAAAATTCTTGATAATAGTTGGATTAATCAGTTCATTACATCATGACTCATCACCTAAAGAATGCCAACGAATGCCCACCCTGCACAGCCTCTGATGGTTTGTTAACGGTATCCCACCGGTATCCCATCGGTATCCCATCACCGTCACTATGTAGGCGATTCATCTATGTTACGGATCGCTAGTTACTCCGCTCCGCCCTTTTCCGAAGATTAACCATAGGCATAGACATACGGAGAGGGAAGCACCGGAGAATGAATCAGTCATATATATATAACTCTCTTAGCCCTAGCAAACTTGGCGGGTATATCTATTTAACCGGTAAAGTTCACGACGTATACTCTGCGTCTTAGTCACTTACTCTTATATTATATTCTTATCCCCGCTAGATCATAATAATTTCTAGAAAGTATAATATCGGATTGCGTGTCGAACCAATTAACTAACCTAAGACTATATATACGAGGCTTTCGGGCGTTAGGCATAAGATAGGGTTTAGATCGCTATAAACCCGGCATAGGAAACACCAGCAGGGAAGTCGCGTGGAGCTACCGCAATGGTCAATCGCTAGACCGCCACCACCAAGGACTAGGACGGCAATCCAAACACTGTCTTCCTCAAGGCTACGCTACCCAGCTCCCAAGTGAACATTAGAAGAAGCGGACAAAATGGGCTATTGAAGCTTATCTTTCGCGGGGTGCGGAAGTGTGGAACTCAGCGAATACAATGAACGGCTCGTTGTTCAGCATACGCACGACGAGATCGCTGGCAAGGCTTCAAGACATGCTTCAAATACCGCGTATGTCATCTACCAGGTCCGCTATTTGAAATATACCCACCTGAGGAAGGCTACAAGCACAAGGAAACAAGGAGGCAAAAGCACACGTTTCATCTATCTAGGAGAGAACGAGAGCAAGAACAGAAAGCATGCCTCAGATGGCCGCAGACAACAAAGGAGACAAGCAGCAAACCTTGGTCCTGGAAAAACCCGCGGTAACAGCCGTCTGGAGGGAGCCAATCTCCATCAATAATGTATTCCGGAACTGATTATGACACACTTACTTAGAATCTTTACCGCTCTGACGCATCATAAGAAGATGGATGCCCCTCCAGCAGGCTTAAAGCATCGTTCCACCATAACAGATCGCCCAAAGGCGAGTCAAAAGCCCCGTTCAAGGGAATCGAACCAGAAATGTCGAGCATCCTTAGCGGCGCCTGGCCAAACTGAGAGGCGCGCGCCGAGTTTGCGGATGGCTTTAGCACTGCATCCACAAGATAACCCATAATCTGGGAGAACCGGCCTGCCGTGTGGACATCATCCGGTGCACCCCGCCGCAAGGCCTCAACGGTCTTGCGAAGGAGTTGTATATCCAGATCTTGGTCCGTGATATTTGGTTCATGAAGAAGTGCTTCCTATGGAACTCCAAGTCAGCCTACCAAACGTAATTTGGGAGCCTTGAAATAAACCTTCAAAAGGTGCAGTGAGGCAGCCATCGTGAAAAGCCAGCAATGCACCGGGATGTAGCGGAGTAAATTGGAAGGTTCCAGCACATCAGTGACCAAAGATAATAGCTCCCGAGCAGCCCGTACCGCAGCATCGCGTAGGTTCTGCACCCTCAAGAGCCCCACCTCGTCGACCTCGGAGACCCTGACATGGCTTGCGGGCGACAGGCTGTAGATCACGGCATACCGGACTTCTATAGACAGGCACGCGCCCAGAAGAGATCTTTGGTCTGACTCAATCAGCAATGCTTCGACTTCTGGGTGAGTGCCTTACCCTGAACCGCAAACTGACAACGCCAGCGCTCCAACCTACGCTGTGTGTGCTCGAGGACAGGCACCACATCATAGCTATAGGGTCTCGAAGCCGTCTGCTTAAGCCCGTGCAAGTACTCTCTGGTATTTCTTATCTCTTCTGTCAGCTCAAAGTAGCTCTCCCAGTGATCCCTCTCCGGCAATGCGGAGGCGAAGACCTTCGAGAAGCTATGAACGACGATGCTTCTCGACTTCTCGGGCAGCAGGGGTTCCAAGCCCAGTCTTATCGCCAGGTGCTCGTCGATGAGGTAGATGAAGACGCAGACGACACAAGCCCAGCTTCGTTCGGCCGTTTTCTCGTCGTCTATCAGGTTGGGAGTCTCGATCTCGAAGCAACAGCCTTCCTGCGCCAGTGCAATGGCGTTAGCAAGCAGCATCCTGTTCGCGTCAGTCCGCGCAGACGACGCTGGTGGGGAAGTAACTGAAGAATCCGGTACTTACCACGACATTTTATTGCTACGGTAGGCAGACGACATAATATCGAGGCCACCCAAATGACTGAGCTTCTGCATACTGATTAGGTTCCCAGCGTTTTCAAGTCTGTCATTTCCCGCCACCCTCAACGGGGAATCAGTCATGAGACTGTTGCCTTCCAAACCAAACGAGCCTGGGTTATGGATCGCTCTAGTATGCCAGCCGATCAGTAGCAGCATAGAGGCGATTGTTCCCAGGGATCGCGTCTTGATAGAACCCCATATGGCTGATTGTAGAAATGTCTGCAGAGTACTCCATACCTGCCAGTGTATTCGCTCAGACCTGATCTCGCCGTGGCTGCCAGTGAGAGTGTGATATCGCGAGGCCAGTGCTATCACTGTATTCAACAGCACTGGTTCCTCCGTTGCCAGCAGAACATACTTGGATGGATCCTTGTAATATGCTGGGATCACGGGCTTGAGTGGCCAGAGGTATGAGAAGAAAAACCCGATGTACTCGATGGCTTCATGTACTGAGACTAGCCTTCTCTGGATTAAGTAGCATTGATTCCACCTGCTATCACTTTCAATTGCGATGTCCGTTCGTGCACTATCTCCTTGCAAGAAGCTTCCGGCGTTTCCAGGTGCGCTGCCTTTCTCTGGAGAACTGAAACGCTTGAATTGCCGTTCCGTGGTTGCAGCAAAGGTAAGGAGATCGAGTGCATCAGCAGTATTGCGCATTTGCATTGACATGATTGTCATTTTTGGGTCTAAGTTCGCCGTACTGTTGGATGCGGTCCCCGGACTACTGTCAAGGTCCAGAGGGTGCCGCACCTCAGAGCCATGCTCGTATTGCATTTCACTTGGTACTGTGAGCCATGGCTGCTGGCTTGTCACTGACACCGCGGTTGTCGCCTGATTTTGTGGCTCAGTACTGTCCGCATCGCCTCCTGCCTGATCGTTGGCTGCCGATGTTGGCGCAGATGCATCCGTCGATGGCTGGATTCGCCTGCGCCTATATTTGACAGTGCGGAATTTGCAAGTCTTTCCATCCCTCCGGCATCTCACGCAAATCCCGGGCAGGCTTTCTGAAGCCTCGCACCGCAACTTGCGCTTCCGACACGGCTCGCAGGACAGCTCGGCACGGCGCCTTTGAGATTGAGGCGGAGATCCTGGATGCTGGACATGGACAAAGGATACGCCTGAAGGGTAGGTTGCCTGGATGTCTCTATCGCTGGTTGCTGCATCATCCATAACTAGGTTTGACAATTCCGCTACAATGTTGAAAGCACGAACGGAAACTCGCTAGTGAGCATTCTGAATGAGGGGGGATGATGAGGAAGATGTAAGTTTGGAGAGAGGTTGTGCTTTCAGGTGAAGTAAAGCGAGACCTATCCACCAGCCTAGTGGACCCCTGGGGCTTCTGCTTGCCTAATACTCACTGGAGAAAAGTCTGTTGCCACGAACGTACAGCAGATTTTGAAACCACGTTACCCCTCAGACACACACGCTTTTTCTTTCCCAGCGCCCCACTTGGGGGGAGCCAAGTCTGGACCACCGAGATTCAGATTACACTACAGCCAATCATACTGCTAAGCTCCCCCCACAGGGGACTATCTCCAGCCAAATTCAGCTAAGCGCAATAGGAGTGGGGCGCTGGGAAAGAAAACGTGTCTGCGGAGTAATCTGATTTCGAAATCTACTGTAGGGTTTCTAAAAAGACTTTCCTCCTTGGCGTACCCATATGACTTCAGATTTTCGCGCGACAGATCTACATTTCATATCAAACGATGGTGGAAAATGATGGACAGGCAATATTTCTGTCAGGATGTCAGCTTGGGATGCCTGGCCGAGTTGCACGACGGCAGCCGTATACCTAATATACGGGGTAGAGGCGCAGATTTGGGCTTGTGGCACTCGTGTCACGACTTGTTGATCGGGCCCTCCGCGTAGACCTCATCACAAATTCAGGAGTAAGAGAGAGATGGTAAGCTTTGCCCCTGTAACAGTAAGCCTAAAAAGCGTACACCTGGCACCTGGGCAGTAGTAGTATGCCATCTTTATGGTAGGAGAATGATAATGGTTAGTGAATAAGTATAATATCTTGCTATTAATTGCGCCTGAGTTAGTAGAAAATGAAGTCTTCAATTGCGCAACTAGAACTCTGATTTCAGGAACCTAAATCTTCAACTGACCCCTGTTGACTTTTCAACGAGAGTGACTTGAGATTGGGGCTATGGATGCATGGGTAAGATGGCGACCAATCCTTTGTCCGCTAACTGTGAGATTATAACCAGGGCACATGCTTGGAAAAGCTTCGGCGGCATTCACATCACAGGTAACACTGAACTAGCTTACGTGGTTTAATGTTCCCACCACACCCCACCAACAGGCCAAATGCCCTCAAGTAGTAAGTATGAGGGCTCATGACGCTAAGGGTGCCAAGATGTCTTTCCATTGTGTAGAAAGTCCTGACCCATCGCAAGGGCTTGGCTGTTATGCTCCCCCAGCCATTGAGGCTCAAGGCTCTGCAAGTTGTCTTCAATCTCAAACGACTTTCCTCCGGCTACAAGCAGGATCTTCCCGTGGAAAGGAGTAACAGATCCGTCGTGGGTTGCGCCGTTACTCCGACCCGCCGTAGCGCAAATCAAAATGGATGTTGCCACATCCTCAGGCTCGTTCATCGGCAGTCCCAATTCCTCCCAAGCAGCCGCGATAGTCTTTGTGAGTATTGTTCCTGCTACAGCTTCAGCGCTTAATCTCGCGGTCATCCAAATCACGATACTCACGTGTTGTCCAGGGACAAATAACATTGACTCTGATGTTATCATTCAAAGAGGTCATGCGGAGTCCTCGCATAACTCCAATGACGCCATGCTTGGTGGCGAGATAGGGCGTGAGCTCGGCCGTTTCCTTGAATCCTCCTATACTGCTGACAAGGATAAGGTCACCTCCACCGTGCCGCCTCAAGTAGTGTGTCGCGATTCGACTGGTAAATAGGACACCTCTTAGGTTGATATCCACCTCAGGGAGAGGGGGTTCCTCATTGATGTCCTCGATCACAGTGAGCGGGTCCGGAAGCTTGGCAACGGCAGCGTTTGCGATGACAATGTCAACATGGCCAAAGGACTGAGCTGCCTCTTGGAAGAGTGCAAGCTGATCTTTATACTTGGACACGTCGCACTGAACAAACCGGAGGTTTTCCCCAACAACGAAACCAAGCTCTTGCCCTCTTCCACGTTTACATCACCAACCACGACCTTTGCACCATGGCCTGGTTCAATAGAGGCGGGTTAGCTGAGGATTTGCCAGGGTAGAATGCTGCTCAACACACCGTGAAAAGCAAAAGCAACAGAGCGGCCTATTCCACGGGCACCGCCTGTGATAATGACCACCTTGTCTTTGACCAACTTGAACAAGGATTGATTTGGTTCGATAAGCGACATGATGATTCCCCAAGCCCGTTTCTCAGTTGAAAACCACGATGTGATGGAGGGGATCTGTCAAATATATGGGGCCTATTCAAAGCATAAATACTGCTAGACTAAAATTGCTCCATGGGTAATATTCTTACTCTATACGGTCATTCATTGGTCTTGATAGGATTTACTCCATAAGTTGGCAAGATATATTTCCTCTCGGATGTGGAATCGTCCGTCCGAAAGGTGGTCAATAGCCGGTGTTCCATCACATCCGGAAGACCTGGGAGCTGGCTTTTGTGGGAACTAGTCGTTTTTGGGAATTGCCGATGAATAGGGTTGAGGTAACTAATATACCCCGCATCTCCGGGGGCATCCGAGATCAATGCTTGTTCCCTCGACTGCACTAAGTTACGTGGAGCTAAACTCTAATGTATCCAGAGCCGCTCGTTGTGATATGTACATTGGACCCATGTCCCGCAGTTCCTTCGGATTTCTGTAACATTCCCGTTTTGGAAATTCCGACCCCTTCGCCTTGTTTCTAATTGCCGTAGCACTTCGAGGCATTGATCTTCACATAAAATGCGAACTTTTGCATGCTAACAGATCTCTCAGCTCTCCACATCCCAAAGCTCTCCCCAGTGTCTCCACAGCTCTGCTTGCAGGATTCGCCCCTCACCCGGAAAGTCCCCACACATCCAAACTTGTGCCCCAAAGGAAATCATGGAGGGAGACTCAGACTCCCAGGCCACCTCAAATAGTAACGCTATCAAGGTCCACCTAAAGACATGGATTGTCGTTCTTGTAACGTGTTTCCCGTTAATCGCGTCGATAGCAACAGGGGAAAGGCTGACAATCACCTCATAGTGCATCGGTTTCGCCTACTTCTCCCAGCTCACAGCCATCATTGGTGCAGGCTTCCTAGCTCAGCCAATTGCTGCGCTCGTGGGCGGCGCCTCGCAGACCATGTGGTTCAACCAGTCCATTAACCTTCTCGGTATTGCAATCTGTCTGCCGGTGAGCCAGATGGCCGATTACTGGGGCAGAAGGCGGGTTCTCGTGGTGCTACTCGCCATCGGCTTCGCAGGCACGATGGTAGTTGCCCGAGCACAGAACGTCTCAACTGTGATTGCCGGGTTTGTCTTGGTTGGCATTAGTTATGGCGCCACACCTCTCTTGTTCGCAGTGCCATCGGAGATTCTCCCTAGAAGTCAACGATCCATTGCTCAGTCAACCATCAACCTTTCGGCTAGCGTTGGTGGGATCCTTAGTCTGGTCATGGGCGGAGTCCTGCTTCGACACAACAACCTCGAAAACTGCAGGGTGTTCTTCTACGTTGTAGCGGCCTTCTTTGCTCTCTCATTCTTTGGAATCCTGTTTTTCTATTATCCGCCTCCAAGAGAAGAACAAGTCTCGCTTACGTTGACGCAGAAGCTGGGAAAGCTCGACTGGATCGGTTATGCACTTTTCGCCCCTGGACTGACTTTATTTTCTATGGCTCTTTCATGGTCAGAGAATCCCTACCAATGGTCTGACGTGCACATCATTGCTTCCTTCGTTCTGGGCATGGTTTTGATCATCGGTTTTATTCTCTATGAGTGGCTAATCAAAAAGGATGGTAAGCTAGTCCTTGGCTACAGGCGTCGAATGTTATTGCTAACTCATCCGTCGAGGTATCCTCAATCACGCCGTTTTCACCCACCGCAATATAGTTATCTCGCTCCTGGCTGTGTGGATCGATGGGGTTTCCTTCTATACCGCCAACACTTATTTCGCGCGGCAGTTCGGCATGTTTACTGGAAACGACATGCTAATCTCAGGCATCGCATTTGGCATGTTTTTCATATTTGGCGGATCGGCCACCGTGATCTTCGGTTGGGCATCAACCAAGTACCGGATTGTTCGCATACCCGGTGTCGCCTGTTTGGCCCTGATTGTCCTCTTCAACATTGTTATGGCGACCACTACACTCTCGACCCCTGAGGCAAACTACTGGGGCTACACGATCTTTGCTGGTCTTGGTCTCGGAGGTGTCGTCCCAACTTTCATGGTCGCTGCACAGTTAACGACGCCACCGGAATTGATATCTCTGGTATCCGGACTTGTCAGCGTCGCTAGACCAATCGGCGGCGTGATCGGCCTGGCCATCAACAACGCTATCTTTCACAATAGCCTTTCCATGGAGCTAGGAAAGAAAATCACGGTAGCAGTTGTTCCTCTTGGCCTTTCTGCTTCGTCTCTCGAGGCCCTGATTTCAGCTGTGGCAGGTGGCGACGATGCGGCACTGTCCAAGATCCCTGGTGCCACACCCGATATCATCGCTGCAGCCCAAGATGGTCTGATGAAGGCCTACGGAATTGCTTTCCGGAACTGCTGGATTGCTGCCGCGTGTTTGTGCCTACCTGGCGTACTCAGTAACGTCCACCCATTCCAACCCAGTCGTGGGGTTCTGCTGACAAATTGCCATGATAGTCGCCCTTTTGGTTAAAGACCCTCGCTCGGAGTTTAAAGGACATATCGACGCCCCCGTTGAAGTTGAACTTGCAGAAGAGCAGAAGAGAGTACAGGCGCTTCATGTGGAGAACGTAAAGGACGGATTGCAAAATTAAAAGGATTGGACGGGAAAGATTATTGACACGAGGTGTTGTCACTTCTGTAAAGAACAACCGAGAACAGCACAATCTGGACCCGAATAAACTCCTGTTTTCCGCTGGAGGAAATGTCGCAAATCTCGCGGTCAAGGTCGTGATAGCAATACGGACGCTGATGGGAAGGCCGATACAGGATTTTGTGAACCCTGAACCCCAAGCGAGCCGGACACCTCACCCAAAACCGCGTATTTCTAGCTGTCTACCTTCTTCAATCACCCACTATGCCACCAATCTGCTCGCCTCCTCGCAAGATTTAATACAGCAAGAGGCTAAGGTCTTATTAGCCCTCCAGGACCTTCAAAAGGGCACAAATCAAATCAATTCGCGCAGCTGCAAAGCTATATAGTATACCCCATACAATCCTGGCCGGTCGCGCAAAGGGGATACCCTCACACGTTGATAAACGCCCGAATAGCTATACATTGACCTAGTTGTTGGATGTGAGGTTGTGATGAAGACGAGATGGGAGGGCATGCGAATAACCGCAGGCATTACCATTCATGGATCATCTGCCTCAGGTGTCTGCTTGCTTGCTTTGGGAAAGTTTGTTATATCTAAAACTCTGTCTTTCTGGCTTGCCTTCCTTTCCTTCCTCTTTCCCTCTCTAATCTGGGTACCTTCGTCCAGACGCACAAATTTGTCTTCATGATGAGCTTCCTGGCATGTAAATTAGTTAGGAGATGACCAAATAGTTAGAAGAGGGCTCGCTTGTTGAATAGGTCTTCTCTATAGATTTGCGTGGAGCTGCGCCTAGGCCTGCTACCGTACAAGAAATGGCTAAATAGATTGACCCCCACTTTGACTGTTAGTCAGAATTGGGTATCAAAATTCGTTAAACGCAGTGAAGAACTTCATACACGCTTCTCGAGAGGCTACAATTATCAACGCGCCCTACACGAAGACCCAAAATCGCTGCTCGAGTGGTTTACTACTGTAAGACGCGTGATCGATGAAGAACGGTTTTTAACTAGGCTTCAGCAAAACCTAATTTAGACCCAGTTTGAACTCAGTTTTGTATAATCCATAGTCTCGGCATTCATGATTCTTAAATTTAGTACCGTTCTTTACACTTGTTCTGGTTCTGCTTCCGTATGTTGCTTGATATTGTACTCAAGGGGCGAATTTTAGGAAGCTATATTGAAACGGAAAGGAGGAACTCTTGTTTTGACTATTTATTAGAGATTTTAATAGGTCTGGAGCGATTAAGGTGTTATGAGGGTTTGGAGACTTAATGGGTGTACCGATAATGGTGTCTTTGTAGAAATTTATACTTATTATAACGTAGACTGCATGTGTATTTTTGAGACAGGAACATATAAAATACAGTCTTATATTTTCTACTTATTTTTATACATGCTCTGTATTAAATGAAAGATAGCGGCCTCTTATATATCACCGATGAAGAGCCTCTACAATTCTAGAAAACGCATCAGGGTCGTTTCCCTGAAATTGCGTAACTTGCGAGAGATATTCTCTCTATCTCGGCAACTGGCGCCGGCGTTGAAAGACTGTTTATTACTGCTCCAGGTTTTTGTCACTATCGCCGCGGCCGTATGAAGTCTGGAACAATTGGGAAACCGATCATATCTATTTATGCATCAAGAGTTGATCTTGAGGTGCAAATAGCACGGGAGCTTGAAACTTTCTTCTCTTTGGATGAGATAGAAGCATTGAAAGAACAGAAGGAAGAAAAGTCTGATGATATTAAGGTTTTGTCGATCAGTAATACTGAAGAGGTAGATGAGAGGTCTGCGGAATCTGATCTGATCGATGTTCATGATGATGAGCCGCAGTTACCAGAAAATACACAATTACGGTTTCCATGGAGAAAGCGAAAGGTTAGAGAAGATGGTGACTTTGTGAGGATTCAAAAATCCAATCTATGACATTCGTATAATCTTATCTTACAATTTGGTCGTATTATATCAAGAATAAGTATAATGACATACTTCTCCAAATCAGTAAGAGAAATACTCAATGTTACGGCAAGAAACCGTAACGATGCATAGCGCGGTGCTACTACGTGCAGCAAACGAGAAGAAACGCCAGAAACGCACACGGCCAAATCGGCAAATCCAACACGAAGGTGTCTATCTGGTGAACAGGGTCTACAGCTAGCTCAGCAGCAAAACAGCTAGTTGAAAATGGTGGGGTAGTATCGCATGTGCAAGGCGATTTGCCTATTCAGCGAGATCAACCGGTCAAAAGGGCCACACCGAGGTGTAATCGGTGTGTGGATTAGGCATAAGATTAATCAATGTAAAATCCGCTAGCTTTAAATTAACCAATGGGTATTGTTTGAAAGGCCTCGACTTGAAAGTTTTCTATATGTGTGGGGTGTACGGCTCGCTTGTGAATTACCTTAACTATAAGGTTCGCGGAAAGTTCTAAGTTAAGTTTTGAAGCTAACGAGTGGGAGAAAAGCGGAAGCTCTGATTCTGAATTCCCGAATTTCCGTTTTTGAGTTTCCGCTGGTAGAATCGGCTTTTGTCCATGGCACGGTACACCTGGATCGGAGGCCTTTGCGTGCCAATTTGTCTTACCGCTAAAAGTGGTCAGCCCAGGAGAAAGTTACTTGACTTGACCTCTGCCATTACTAGTTGGTAAACATTGACAGAATCCATTATCATCCCCATTGAATATCTTGCCTACTTTCATTGGCGTCATGGCACTCTATACTTTTCTAAAGCATCCCACTAGCACCACCAACGTGGACGGATACAGTCGCATTAAGAACACCTATATCAGACTTCGCGACGGTATAGCGCTATGTGCTGATGCTGATGTCTTCCTACCCCTTTCCGAACCAGGCACCAAATTCCCCGTCATCCTCAGCTTGGGTCCGTACGGTAAAGACGTTCCTGTACTCGAATTCGGCCTTCCGAAAAGACTATGTATGTGGACATGTATAGGACAATCGGGCTATAGGACCCAATGCTTGCTTCGAGCTGGTTTATTCTATTCTTTGGGTCAGTACTCCTAGTGCCAGATTAATGCTCTCATTTGCCCATCCTATTTTGTCCAATGGCCAGGAACTGACTCGGCTTTAGACTAAGGACTTCGGGTACGGTCTTGTTAAGAGTTGATAGTCGTGGCACTGGAGGTAGTCAAGGACGTCTTGATCCCTCCCGAATGGAACGCTCCCTTCAGATACAAGCTGATGCAGAAGGCCAGGGTAAGCAGCGGGTATACCTTGACAGTACGTGGTATGTTAACTAATGACTTGCTTTTCAGATCTATACGATGTCATTGAATGGGCCGGGACACAGCCTTGGTCGTCTGGGAAGGTGGCATTGAGCGGAATAAGTTACTATGGAATGACCGGATACAGTTCTTTGAGTTATAACCTTAGTAGTAGCCGTAAGGCCGAGTGCGAAGCTAGTCTCGTCAAAATTGTAGATGTCTTCCTCTATAATGCTGTACTTCTCAATTGTAGTATTCACGAAGTTAAACCACGTGCGAATTGTGCTTTTATCCTCGTGTAATGCTCGCCGGTAGTCGTAAGATCGTGAGAATCGAGTAGAAAGGTTAGGATGCCGTCGGACGAAGTTTTTAACCTAATTTTAGCCGACCGTAATAGGAGGGGTAGAACCACGCGCTTCTAGTAGTATATTGGCTGCTTCCCGTGCTATATTAGGCCGGGGGCTGCTCCACGATTATCTAGTGAGATAATCTATTTATAAAGCGATTTCTCTTTATAAGCAGTCAATTTATGGTTGTTTGCGCGTAGATTAGCGCGGTAATTGATGCTATTCAGACGCGTCGTGAGCGCACTGCGGGGGACGTCAAAAACCTCCGCAGCTTTGTGTAGAGAGCTAAATTCCTGATTTTTAGTGGCCTGAATAGCTATTAAGAGTCTACCCTCTTGCCCTACGCGTTTTTGAAAATTTTGAGAGCGAATTGGTGGCATGGTAGGTGATTGAAAATGGTGAGTCTAATTACATGCTGTAGTGGAGGAACCCGTGACAGTAGCGTATTCGTGGCCTGAGGTATCACAAATGCTTCAGGAAGCTTGCTTGCAGTCTTCTCCTTCGAGAGAGAGCATCCTAGCATCATAAAGATAACTACAGTTTTTCCACCAGATTCTTCATTCATGATATAGCTTTAAGATCAGTACTTTAGTCGCTTCCTGAGACTCCTCTCTATGCCTACGGTGGGCATGGGAGTGGTTGGTTGTCTTCTTTCTATTGATATCGACCCGTCTGCTATATCAGACTGCCATCGAGCCATCCCCATTTCAATGCGGAATTTTTGGTTGGGTGGCCAGCTCGCTTGTGAAATACGTCAAATTTCGAGTGAAACATGTGGCTATGGCAATCAACATAGTACAATAGTAGACCCTCTAGAAAAGCCCTGTAAAATCTGAGGCAGCTTTTGGCGCTTAATGGTGCGAGTATGCCTTTGAGAATAATGCATCCATTCCCGGCGTAGATCTTTATCTTTGTGAGTACATAAACGGCATGATCCGTAATTTCTGGAACAAGGTCGGTACCAATGCTGTGCAAGTAAAACCACTACTGGCGAGTACTAGAGAAATTAAGACACCTGACAAATATTGATCTCATGATGTCTATGACTAAATCACCTGAAGGAAAGTTCGCGCGTTTCAAAGACGAGGAGACAAGTATGAAGTGACCAGTTACTTTAAGAAATATGAAGGCACACGACTAGACGCTTGGCCCATTATTAGATAACCATGTGCCCCTCGGCATCTTCTTTTCGCCGATTCCTGTTGTGCTAGTCTATCAAGTGTCTACTAATCCATCCAAGTTGGCAGATATTCATCCGTTCCAATCACTATCTTGACCCTGTAAGCGTCCTCCTTTAAAATTCTCTCTCTATCGGCAAGATACGCCTCCACCTTCTTGGAAGAATCTACATAACGTCCCGACATAAAATCTAGCCTTCCACTCGCCAGCACCAAAACCATACCCGCGGGCATCTGCGGCGTGTCGGCGGGAACATCCTTGAGGAAACTCACTGCGGCCTTGGCTGACTTCACGTCGCCTGGCACTCTGCTAGACACATAGCTACTCCCGTCGTCCTTAATGTTTCCTTCCACCGCCTCGGCAAAGTCCGTGTAAAACCTCGTGCGGACCACGCCTGGGTGGATGCTGAAGGTTTTGATCCCGGCATCCTTGTTTTCGTGGTGCAGAATCTCGGCGAGCCTACTCGTTCCTAGCTTTCCAATCGTGTACGCACCCATGCCGGCGGTGACGTGCGCGGCAGCACTGGATGTGAAGATCAATGTGCCTCCTTTTGCCGATTGTCGCATAAGCGGCACCACCGCCCGAGCAAAGTTAAATGAGCCCTGGAGAGAGACAGCCACTGTGTCCCACCAGATATTCGGTTCAGACTCGTGAATTGGTAGAAACTGCGGGGGGCGGCCCGCGTTCATGAAAACAACGTCGATCCCTCCAAGATCATCAGCCGTCCCGTCCACGAATGCTTGCACGGCGGCAAAGTCGGTAACATTGAACGCGGCTGTTCGTACTATGAGGGTTGGGTTGATGACTTTGCAAACGCGGGCTGTTTCCTCCACCTCAGGAAGTTCGAGGGCGATAAGGCTTACGGATGAGGCAGCCGTGCGTGCGAAGAACTCGGCCGTGGCGCGGCCAATACCGCGCCCGGCGCCGGCAATGATGACATTCTTGCCAATGAGCGAATTGGCGAGGTCTTTGTTTTGTCGAGGATCTGACTCGTATTCACAGTCATGCTTTCCGCCTAGAGACATGTTGATCTGGGCGAATGTGGGTAGTCAAGTGAGGACGGGGAGGGTAAACAGAACGTTGCAGAAGAGCCAGCGGGTGCTTTCATGGACATTTTGACGTGCTCGAGGCACGCTTTAATAGCGAGCCCTTCTAGCGCTCGGCAATTCGCCTCACTGGCATACAATATTTGTTCGGCAAACAAACGTGGAATTGCCGATGTAATGCTCCTTGGTTGGGGCGACTGATGCATTGGCGATGACGATGATAACTCTATTAGCCTGGTGTAGCTCAGCTAGTGTGTAGTGGCTATTTTGGGGCTTCGTCCGGCGGAAGTCAGTTTAGAAGAATTGCCTACCGGTAATATATTGTGTACTACTTCCTCATGTCAACATTGTTTCTCGGCTTCCATATGAGGCAGGGGTGGCGGGGTGGCGGGGTTTCTTTGGCACTGCAGTGTGTGGTTTACACGCAGCGTCAACTCCAACCCCGCCCCCTCACCCACCACCAAACATCAAAGAACTTGCAAGGCTCTGTTAATGTATCATTTGGAGCCAGTTATTGACTTGAAAAGCTCCGACTTCCGCTGGCAGATTGCTTAGCCATTTCTCCGTATCCATATCCCATTGACTTTCGGATACAGGAGCCACGGTTGTCTTCTGTGCACCATCTTTTACCGCACCTAGTAGAGGCGCGAATATATTTGAATAGCGTGCGTGTTTCACCGCTAATCTAGAAATTCGTAGTTGAATTCGTCGATCTTGTAGGCTATTACTTTCCTGGGTCCTCATTGCTCGGAGTAGGTAGGCAGCACATATAGTTATCGCGCCCCGTATGTGGGGAGATTTATTTCTACAAAGCCGACGGCACCCCACAACTCGCCACTTACCCATGCTTTTATTACCGTCACCCGACGACAATTGGGGAAAATGTGTGCTACACAAGCGCCCGGTCAGCCTTACCGGTAACAGGGCTTTTTCAAAAGCGGAGCGTTTCACGCGTCATGTGCGGAATCATACCAACGAGAGCGATGAGTGTTCGGCCTATGGCAAGCTGTATTCCAGGAGGTTGGCAATTGCAGATAAGCTGACTACACCGCAGTTTGACATATTATCTGGTGCAGCGGCGTGTTACGACGACATACGATCGGATGGTATCTAAACATGATAACAGGACATTTATCATGCCGCTGTCTATTTCAGTCGTATCATTACTCTGGCTATTTGACTGGGGCTATTCCAAACTTTTCTCTCTTCTGATAGAACGTGGCAGCGAAACAGAGCCCGACTTAATTCCTCATACTTGTATATACATCTACCTAGGACGGGAATGCTGCTTTTCCTTCACTGATATTCCAATAAAAAAAGGTCATCTACCAATGACGCATACTCAGAGTTTAAGAGGTATTACTTCAAACCCCTGCAGTTTAACAATCCAGTGATTCTGCCCAACCGGCATATCCTGCTGACCTCCAAGCTCAAAATCGAATTTTTACCAGCCGTGGGATCAACTTGCAAATTTCAAGCAAGCTGATATTCTTCCCACCACAAGGTCTAGATCCCTGGCCGAACAGCATGAATTATAGTTCCGTGACGTGTGAGTCTTCGCTCAACTAGCGCTCTGGTCGAAATATGTCCGCGTCATCGCCGAAGATCAAATAATTATAGTGCGCAACCCATGGATTGATTCCTTCTACCGTCTGATAGATAATCCGTTAGCAACGAGTCGTAATACCCTAAGTCAGAAAATTCCAGGGCTACGGTAGTACTCACCTTTTCGGGGAAGAACTTGTCACGCAGCATGACACCACCTGCCGGCATAACGCGAACAAGAGGCAACCCCACTGCCAGATTCATACGCAGAGCCTCCTTAACACAGCCTGCAGATTGCGGAGGTTTTGGCTCTGCACGAAAGTGACAGGGTCCGAGATCCTCCCCTCCCTTGCGGCGCTGATAATTTCACACGCAGTTCTGCCAGGCAGCGCTGATTCTGCATTAGATAAAAATCATCGACGACAGCGCGATGCCTGTTGTATCGCTCGCCGCGAAAATGTTTTGCACGCATCCGAAAAGAAGATGTGTGGAGGTCAAGGGAGAATGGTCCCGGTCGTGGGCTGCCAAGAACTTCCCAAAAAGTCTTCTGTACGTCGTTCGCTCTGAGGAGGCTCCGAGTCGCCATCTTGAGTGATTGTTGTCTTTGTTTTACGCTGGATGACCAACTATTGTATATAGTCAATCATTACCTGCGCTGGGGATACTACAAGACGAACGAGCATGGCGTGAACCAAGGGAAAAGAACCCGCTGAGGCGCTGTATAGATTGCTATGATCAAGTCTTGCAATCATGTTCGATATCTTCTGCCTTTTCAAAATGACCGAATGGTTTGCCGGACTACGTGTAAATAGCCAACTTGCTGTTAGCTAGCGCTGGCCAGGTTTGTTTACATCCCTTTCTTCTTCACTTACCGTGATATTGGTAATCACATCAAAAGTGTAGTATTGAAGCTAAGCATCTATATCTACGGACTGTTTTCTCTTCGGGAACCCCTCCAATTTCCAGCAGAAGTCCGGACGCATTCATCAACATAGATCTCATACTGAACTATCGACGCCATCGAGTAATAGCTAAGCAACCGACGCCGAGCAACCCCATGCGCCTTTGCGTCTTGCATCACGAATAGATTCACAGTCCAGATCGCAGGGGCTGTCCAGGCGCAGTCCGCTTTCAGGAACTTAATTCCGTGACGTAGATTAGCTTGGCGGATTCAAGATCGTTCATGCTGTACATGTTTGGCGCAATGCGGACAATTTTTCCTAAGAGCAGTAGAAGAGAGCACGTTAGTGGGTAACCAGTGACAATATTCAGAGCCTTATTCTACCTAGGGCGGAAACGAACCATGTTCTTCATGCAACTTGATATTATCATAACGGATATCTCCTTTAAATACTTTGCGGAAATACCACAGGGCTCAGTAGCGTGCCGTAGTAGGACCTGGGATGCTTCTCGGGGGATCCCAGGTCGCTCGTACAACCCGGAAAGCGGCGTAGACGGCAGTACCGATAAGAATAGCGTAATTTGCGTTTGATGGATCGGAGCAAAAGAATCCTCGACCGGGGCCGTTATTGGGACTGGGTTGCTTGGTTAAGGCCGGTAAGTGCCAAGTATGGTGGGCTTTAGAAATGCCACAATAGAGGAAGTGTACGTTGGAAGAACCCGACGAAATGTGCTATGGAAGTACGGCTTGATCTTTGAATGCGTGGGTGCGGGGGCTTGGTACGTAAGTTAATAGGTTAGATGTTCCCTAGGTTGACAGTTGCGACACCTGTAGTCGGTACACAACTGCCATTGCGCCTAATCCTTGGTGGATGCCATGTATGAGAGAATATTAGATCCCAGTGCGTGCCAGTACATCATTGAGGGCTATGTCGTCGAACTATCCCAACCGTTGCAGTGCTAATAGTGACGAGCGCCTTCGGTAATCTGTATGTGGACGATGTACCATTCTCACCCCGCCGGTTCCGTACTTTGTGGGGGCGGGGCATGGCCAGTGAATATCTCTGGTGGATGGCAGCGGTGGCTATTTAATTCCAAAAGCTCCTTGTGCAAGTACTAACAATACCGCTTCCTGTCACTGGCATTTCGAGCTAGGATTATGGCGAATGAAACTATGTTTATTCTCTTCCCTCTCTTATCTTGTTGCTGGGTGGCTTGGAAACTCGTGCAACTTGCTCGCTCTGCCCGCCGCTCCCCATCGCTTCCTCCTGGACCCCCAACACTACCATTCCTAGGTGAACAACCCATCCTGATATGTGGTAATCCGTATTAACGAACGGTAAAGGCAACTTACACCAGTTACCAGCCCAGAAGGCATTCTTGAAGTATATATGGATGCGGCGCGGATCGACTTTCATGGTACACCGCTGATATAAGTGCAGATTCCAGGAGTGGTCACGAGTGTACGGCCCCATTATTTCACTAAAGACCGGACCTGCAAACCTTGTTATCCTAAACACGGCAAAAGATGTCAGAGAGTGAATAAACCCACAGTTTGTTCTATACGTATTACGCCGACTCACGCTGGGTTATAGATTATTCGACAAACGAGGCGCGATATATTCCAGCCGACCTCCAAATCACATAGGGAGGGAACTCATTACACGCGATAATGTGCACTTACTCCTCATGCCGTATGGACAAGCATGGCGGAATCAGAGGAAAATATATCAAGCTATTCTCAGCATCACGGCGGTGCGCGCTCTCACACCATTGCAGGACGCTGAGGCTACATTGACCTTGTATCAACTTGCACAATCTCCTGAACTTTACTACGACCATATTAGGAGGTACTCCACCGCCGTGATCCTGTCTTCAGTTTTTGGTATCCGCGGGCCCGAGTTCAACCATCCCAATGTCACGCGCCTTTACCATGTCCAGGACCAATTCACCGCCATCCTGGAGACAGGGGCAACGCCCCCATTGACATATTTCCCTTCCTCAAACGTCTGCCTGACTTCGTATCCCCCTGGCGCCGTTGGGCCCGCCGAATTCGAGCTGAGCAGCGACAGCTTTACTTTGAGCTGCTGCAGGAGGTCAAGGGTCGGCGGGAACGAGGGATCCAAGTGAACTGCTTTATAAGCCAGTTGCTAGACGAGAAAGCGAAGTACGAATTGGACGACGAGCATATCGCATATATTGGTGGTGTGCTGATGGAAGGTGGTTCGGACACTACCGCATCTACGCTACTTTCGTTTTTACTGGCCATGGTCAAGTATCCTAAGGTGTTCCGAAAAGCCCAGGAAGAGGTTGACCGTGTATGCGGGACGAAAGAATCCCCTACATTTGAGCTTCTCGCACATTTACCTTACGTGAAACACTGTGTTTCTGAAGTAGGCTTTCCTTGCTTTTTGCTGTGGAAGGCTCGTCCACTGACATGGATTCTCGCAGGTCCTTCGCTGGAGGCCGGTTGCAGCTGGCGGTATTCCACATGTGCTGATCCAAGGTACATCTTCGTTCCCCAGAGACTTCGGTTAACTACTAATGATCACAGATGATGAGTACAAAGGATACAAATTTCCTACAGGCAGCACGTTTCTGGCTAATGCATGGTATTCAATGAACTGTTCATGTGCCTTGCACTTCAGCAGGCTGACCAACGCATCTAGGGCGATCCACCATGATCCGGAGCTCTACGACTGCCCAGACGACTTCGTCCCAGAGCGCTACGAGCACAATCCTCTAGGTTTCAAGTCTGATATCGAAGAAGTGACGGATGGCATCCGGAAGACATACGGGTTTGGAGCAGGTAGACGAATTTGTCCTGGCTTCCATCTTGCTGAAAATTCCTTGGTAGATAACAAATCCTCTCATTCCATTCTATTCCTGTACTACTATCATAGAAATCAAGGGAAATTAATCTAACGCATGACAGCATATTAACGTGGCGAAAGTCCTCTGGGCCTTCGATATTCGTGCCGGAACGGATCCCACCACAGGACGTCCGCTGCAAGCCGAGGAGGTCAATGTTGACATAGCTACGCAGTGGACAGATGGATTTCTGATTGCGCCGAAGCCGTTCCCGATTGTTATGTCGTTGCGCTCGGAAAAGCACCGTGAGGTATTGGACAGGGAGCTTGATGAAGCTCAGAAGGTTTTTCAGAGATATCAAGATTAGCGCCTTGAATGACAGAGGATATGTCCAGACAGCCAGACACCTCCAAGAGCAGGCACACGTACGGTCCGAAGAGACTTTTCCTCCGCTCTTCCATTCAGACCCCACAGGGCTTACAAGTTCTATTTCGCGTGCAGCTGTCGATGGGTATAGAAACGATTGAATTTGTACGTATCCGCAGTATTACTCGCCGGATTCAGGTTATGCGTTTCTTTCATATATATCTTATACATAGGTACTTTATCTGATGACGTATCTATTAATGAGCTACAGCTTCTTGTGGTATGGAAGAACAAATTTCAGACAACCACGTACCATCCAGGTAAAGACCAATTTTACTTGGCGTATAATGCCCATCTGTAAACAAGTGTATGCTCAAATAGGGTAGTGGTTGAACCCGGGGCGACAGCACGGTGTCCGGCATCTGACAATCGTGTCTGGCAGGGATTCAAATTCAACTTCTCACTATCCGCCTCCGGTATGGAATGCCGGTCATAAGAGCAAGCCAGGATCCGTCCAGTACCCCGTATATGCTGCCCAGGGTTGAATAAAGCCCTGTCATTTTGGGACAGATTCAATTCCCAGCTCTCTAGCAGACTACCGGAGTTGTCCGACGCATTGGATCTCTGAACAAGTGGCTGCAGCACCCAGCATCGCCTAAACCAGCCGCGGCAAATCACAAAGTTGGCCTGGTGGCCGAGTGCATATCTCGCTGTCACAATAGGTCTCGTATGCACCCAAAAACCAACCCACCTGGTTGGAGCCATAGTTCAAGCAATCGGAATGTTATCCACTACAAAGAACCACGTTCCAAGGGTTCTGTTTCATGCTGCCACCGCCAGAACTGCGCTTGCTGGGCTCATATGAACCTTACATTTACAACACGGGGTGTACCAGACCCCCCTCGTGTCTTCTCTCCCCTGAGCTGGTTTCCTGTCTCTAAGGCAGCTGACTAATCATCTATACGGCAGCTGGAGTCTTTCCGAAGCGCCCAGACATGGACTCCATCCGGTCGTAGACGGAATGCCGTGGTCTGCCGTGCCCACTGCGACGACATTCATTGGGTGCCGAGGTTGAACTTAAATTTGTGGCATTCAATAATCTGCGGGCATGCATCCAGGGAATAACCTTTCTTGTTCGCTGCCTTTCCCCTGCAATCAGGCGCGGGGGGCGGTGGCTGACAAAGAGTCTCGGCCTACTCCATACTGTATTTCCCGTATCCGCCTGATCAACTGTGAAATGTGAAATGGCTGAGTTCAACCCCACAAAAGTTTGGTCAGTATGGGGTTGCGGGGATTGGAAAAGGCAAAAAGAGAAGGGAGGGAGGGGGAAAGGGCGAGCTCTGGACACTCACCCTCGACTACTCCCTTCACCTTCACTCCATCTGCCCCATCTTCAATTCCCTCCCTACGGTCAAATTACGTCCATTACGTTCTACCTTGTTCCACGTACTGATGGACTGCGTCGAAGTCGCCCTGGACAAGACCTTCACTCCACAACTGCACCCCGCACAAGATAATCCGGCCCGTACGACTCCACGCGAGACATGGAAGGGCCATCGCGCCTGTTTCGAATGTAGACGGCATGTGTTTCCGCCCACGCTTTGATTTCCCCTTGACCGTGCTGATCTGTGTGATTGTGTGTGATGACCCCAATACTGACGTATATTCTTTCTCTTCCTACAGAAAGAAGACAAAATGTGAGCCTCCCTAAACTGTATGCCGCCATCACCCATGCACGACCGTACTAACCAGCTTATCTAATTAGGCGATATGAGACAGCCCACTTGCGGGCTTTGCGAGAGGACTGGCGGGTCTTGCACCTTTCCCACCAGAAGAAAGACACCCGACGTGCGTCGGCTATCCGCCACTCGCCAGAATAAACCCAAAGTTGATTCACGGAAGCTTGGTAATGCCTTAGCGCCCCTGACACATGCTTAAGGATCTTCAACATTAATGCTTACGCCAGAACGCCTCGTTGACTTGCTCGAGTCACGACTCGGCGATAGACAGGATGTTGACATGCTGGCGTGGCGGCTGTCTGAGATGGACCATTCGACTGTTGGTTCCAGCGACAGTGAATTTCGTACATTGACCTCGCTCGATCATAGGGAGCGAGCTCAACAGGCGCGGGAAGACAACGCCGACGAAGCCGTGTCCTTGACGAGAACCCCAACTAGTGCCTTAGATAATCACATCACTGACGACTGGATCTCCCGGGCCTCATCCCTTCACTCCTTGAGAGATGGTGACGGAGACGTAAACGCGGGTTGTGGGTGGTGGTTGGCTGTTCCGGAAAAAGTCCTTACTGAGCTTGTTCATCTGTTTTTTGACAAGATCCAAGGCTGGCTTCCACTTCTCCACCGACCGCGATTCTTCGATCATTATGTGAAGAATTGCGTATTCGATAAACGAAGCGCACCATCCTTTTCAAACACTGAGTCACTCCTACTGTGCGGCATGTTTGCCCTCGCTGCCCGACACTCGTCAAACCCCTGTTTCCAGGACATTCCAGCACCAAACCGGGGACAACGATTCGCAGACGACGCAAGCAAGTATTACGAGATGGCTCGTACGTCCGAACAGAGCCCAACGCTTGGGTACCTTCAAGGCTGTATCTTGCTCGCCTTCTATCAGTACACTTCCGGGCCTTCCCATCGCGCCTGGATCCTTGCCGGTGACTGCGTTCGTCTGGCCTACGATTTGAATTTGTGCAACATGGACGAGCAGCAAGACGACTGCCCGAAGCCAACAGAATGGTCGTTTTTAGAGGAACAACGACGAGCGTTTTGGCTGGTTTGGGAACTTGATACGTTTGGCTCCGTCATGTCGAGACGTCCATGCTCTATCAACCGCTCAATGATAGCCGTACGGCTGCCTGTTAATGACGGGGTCTGGTTCGCCGACAACCCGGTCAAGTCTCCCATTATTGATCCGAGGCCGTCTGCAGTATGGGAGATACTACTCGATTCGCCGAATCAAGGCGATCGAGCATGGTACCTCGTTGGCAACTTCCTCATGACCATGACCAGCGAATTCGCTGCCAGTCGACACATTTGTACGCGCGATAAGGACGAGCTCGTTGATGCCATCACATGCTACTCTCTCGTCATTTCGCAGAGATTCAGCCTGGAAAGCCTCGAGCTCTCTGGTCACTCCGACGATGCTGCAAAGCACAACTGGGTGATTGGCATGCACCTGATGGTTGTGTGTAGCCGCGCTACGATTCGGGCTAGTTTCGCAACGCAACGACCCGAGATGCTGAGCTTCTCACGACACTTATCTCAAATCTTATACCAATGGCAACCCGAGTACATCCGTTTGAGCCAACCGTTTCTTGCATGCTGCTTGCTATCAGGCCTGGCATACCCCTCAGAAGAAACAGTTCCGGCCTCAGGTACGCCGTCCCACAGCACCGACATGGTGAGGCTGGTGTTATTACAGTATGCCTCAGTCTGGAATCTTGCTTCTGTTTTATTAGGTATGTTCGCTTCCCGCAAATTGCTGTGTGGGTATACTAAGGCCTTAAATTGACAGATCTAAGAGGAATGTTGATCCATGGCGACCATCCTTCGGCAGAGATGTCGTTCGAAAAGCGTTTTGCTCTATACTTCCCTCCTTGTGTCCACCCTAGGTCCTCCAATTACCCTAACGTTAGCCGGTCTGGCTTAATACGAGGGATTACCGGTGAGAAAATGGGGGATGATAATAGGGGTAACGAAGACAACAGCCCCGCCCCCATTCCAGGACTAAAACAGCTCACGCAACCCGGGGTAGAGTTGGAGCATATAGTGCCTGGAATGGTCGAACTCGCCAGTATATCTAGTGGAGGATTGTCCAAGTTCTTAGACTTTGATGGCCGAAATGAGTGGAATTCACGAGACTCGCTCGATTACGCCTTTGAGAACAATGAGCAGTTGAACTATGTTCAGTTGCAGGGGTTAAAAAGTGGCGGGTATGCTGACGAACTATACGTAGCCTAATGTGGCATGCGGCAGACTTGTTCAATCGCTTTTGTTCGTATTAGTCTTGCATATCATCACTTTTTTGGCAATAGACTTATTCTTCCAAACTATCAACAGTAAACATGTCAGTCAATACCCTATTAGGCTTGATTGTCATATGCCACAGGCTACGTTTAACCGACAGCCGCACGATCAACCTTTCCCAGGTACCTTGCTGTTGTTGTGATAATGGTCTTGTAGACGCTAATATTCAACTGTTGTGTGATTGCCGAGCTGTACACCACGGGTTATATCCTATTTTCTTCTTATCCCGGCCATATTAGAGTAACGACGAGATACCCAGCTTCTTCTGTGGCGTGAACTCCTTTCAAGAGAGCAATTTTGAACAAAAACCATACAATCAAGTACAAGTATGCAGATAAGCTGCGTCAGTAAACACTCAAACTTTGACCGACTCAAACCACCTTTCCGCTCAACCTTGGTCATGGCTATCGGCTAAGGTGGAACGTTTTCTTCGTGCTTCACGCTTGTCCCTTGGGGGCCATGACTGTCGACTGACTTTTCCATATCTGGCGACAACACCAAATGGCCTTGTACATTGTACAATCCAGCATCCATGGGGGCATCGATGCGGGCGTCAAAGTCAGCTCCCTGTTCCTTTATGAAACAAGATGCTGTGGCTGATAAGTATGTATTTTGATAGGGGACATTGTAAGACTCACATATCACTAAGACAGCACAAAAGGAGGCTGAAATAATCCAGGCGTTTCTAAAGGCGGACAAGTACGCCTCTTTCATCGCTACCACTGCCGCCTGAGCAATCTCAGGCGTGACCCCTGGTACCGCGGCGACAGCGTTCTTGCTTTGCGTAGCCAGAGCGTTGATCAGTTCAGGCAAAGATGAGGAGGGCAGTCCCAGTGAGAGCGCCGCCGCACCGACTTTCTCCGGTAGCTCCTTATTCAAGGTGTCGTTCAGAACGGCATTGTTGATGGCTAGGCCAATTGCACCTCCCAAGCTCCTGACTGTAGTCATCAACGCCGATGCTAAGGTGATTAACTCTGGGGAAGTCGTTAACTGAGCAGAGACCATTGAGAGTGGCACAATAGATACGAGAGCAATGCCAGACAGAAGTGGGAATATGTAGAAGGCATAGCGGGGAGTGTCTATCTTGACCGTTGCCAGAAGAATAAAGAACAATAGAAGGAAAACACCACCCAGAACGAGGGGCGGCCGAATTGTCTTGCGCTTCGACGACCACAGCCCGAACACTGGGGCGAAAACCAGACCAGTACAAAACATGATGGTAAAGTTGGCACCAGCCAAGAGAATGTTCGCGTCATATATAACCATAATTTCAAAGGCGAAGTAGGAGTTGGCCGCGAAGAAGGCAAGGCCTTCGACGAAAATGACAAGAAGGGAGACGGCGAAATTCCTATTAACCCAGAGGTCATGATGAAGTATGCCATCCTTCTTGAAGCGCCACTCGTAAACGGCGAAGAGAATCATGGCTACGACGCCGATAATGAATGGACCAAGGATGTTCGCACTGCTCCAGGAATATGGGTTTTTGGACCACGACAGCGCCATGGAAAATAGGGCGAGCCCCGGGGCAAAAAGGAAGTATCCAAACCAGTCAAGACGTTTGAGCTTTTCAGACGTGCTGAGGGATGTTTGAAGTTCTCGGGGGGAGGATTGTAGCCGATAAGACACCCTAGGACCGCGATTGCGTAGAGACCAGCCTCAATATACCAGTAGATACGGTAGTGGGGAAGGTTGCCGTGTTGGAGCATTCCTCCACCCATTAACAGCCCAATAATTGCTCCAAGGCTGGCTGATGCCATGGCAGACGCTTGACCCATGGGCCGGTATTGTCGGGGCAGAACTTCCGACAAAACAGCCAGGATAACTGACTGGCATCCGAAGTTAAGGCCGAGAATGGCAAAGCCGGCGATGATAGTGCTAGAGTTCCGGGCCCGGGACACAATTATGGATCCGACCACGCCGGTAAGAGACAATGCGATAAGGATAGGTTTCCGGCCCCAGTAGTCAGCGGCCTGGCTGATGGGCGGGTTCAGGGCAACTGTCATAATGGCGATGCAAGAGGAGTACCAGACGGTCTTGTTTGTACCACCGACGACTTGGGCCATTGACTGTGCCAAGAAGCCTGCCCCGATGAGAGAGATGAACTGTGCCATGTAGGTGATATTGATGGCCTAGATGGAGGTTTGGTCAGTCTGAAGCTGATCGCTGCGGGTAGTGGTTAGAGGGTAAACCAACCACAAGACAGATGATTGTCTTTGAGTTAACATGGGTCGTCGGTTCCTCTGGCGCCGAGAGCGCAGTGGCAGATTGTGAAGCCATGTAGGGCGGATTGAGACCCCGAGGTGACAAATGCTACGGAAAAACGTTTGTTTTGCAACTTGGGCGCCAGCAGTGTGAAACCTGGACGTCTTTACTTGATATATATATATATGTATATATATCCACAATGCCAACGCCACAGATAAAGGAGGACGTGACTTATATTAGGAAAAGGTCTAGTTAGAAAACCACGAACCACGCTAAGCGCTACCCCGGTTTCCCCGTATTTCAGGGTTTCGCCCCACATGGTCTCCTTTAGACTTCCAAACGGGTGAGGAGCATAAAAAACACGGCCTAACACGGTGACCGGTTTGACCGTGTAGCGGTCACCGCGATTGCGACGCACGGCAGAACTGCAGTGCCAGGAAACACCCCGCCACCCCGCCACCCCCGGCGAGTTGAGATGAGGAAGTTCGTACCCAGTATAACTAGTATAACTACCGGCAATTCTTCTACAGCTGATGTCCATCTCCCTTTAACTGGAAATCAACGTGGTAATAAGTTAAGAAGACATCTATTACCGCCAGAATCAGCGGCTCCCGCCACGTACAACGTCCCCTACAAGCATCCCACCTGCTCTGCCTCAATCTTTTGTCTACGCCTTGCCATATCCTCATCCCTCTTCCTCATCTCCCCAACGCTCTGAATTTGTCTCACAATGTCCGCAAATCGGCTGAAATACGAGACGTCCACGGCGGATGTTGAAGGATACACCCGTGCCAAGCACCTTTACATCCCCATGCGCGATGGCATCGAGCTTTGCGCTAATTTATTCCTACCTTTCTCTGCATCCAAGGAGGGGAAGAAAGTACCAGTAATCTGCAGCATGGGACCCTATGGGAAGGATATTCATGCCTCTACTTTTGGACTGCCGCGTACGCCAATCTACGCGGAGATGTATAAGGACATCAAGCCATTGGGTCCTGATGCTGCATTCGAGCTATGCGATCCCGCCATTTGGGTAAGTCGGCTGAGCTTGTTTTTGTGACCGCTGATGTGAGGCTGATATCAGGCATGGGATACAGTGTCGAGAGTTCGGCTATGCACTTCTTCGTGTTGACGCGCGCGGCATCGGGGGTAGCCAAGGAAGGCTGGACCCATTTGGTCTCGAGCGGTCTGTTGCTATTCGGGCAGATGCGGAAGGACAAGGTAGGTGCATTTCGTTCCCTTTAATTTCGAGCCGTGAGGTAACAATTTCCAGATCTCTACGACGTGACTGAATGGGTTGCTCTTCAGCCGTGGTGCACGGGCAAAGTCGCCTTCAGCGGCATCAGTTACTATGGCATGGTTGGATACTGGGCAGCCATGCAAAAGCCCCCGCATCTGACATGTGTCATGTCTTATGAGTCGGGGTGTAACGTCTATCACGCTGCCAGAAAAGGGGGCATTTACAGCAATAATTTTCAATCGCACTGGTATAACAACGTTGTTCTCCCCTATCAGGCTGGGAAGCAGGATGAATCTTTGAGCGAACAGGAGCTGGCAGCCGGCCGGGTTGATTTCCCGAAGCTGCTCGCCATGACTGAGTACCCGAACGAAGGAGTCTGGGGTGTCCTTGACCGGGTCCGCAAGCTTTCTGACATTGAAGTCCCTTTCTACTTGGCTGGGAACTGGACAGACCCTGAGGTCCACTTAGCAGGGAATATTCGAGCCTTTAACGGTATCTCGTCCAAGTATAAGTGGTTGGAAATGCATACCGGCAACCATCTCGCTGCGTTCTATGAGCCGGCACACATTGAACTGCAGAGGAAGTTCCTCGACCACTTTCTCTTTGATATGAAGGATAACGGAATGCTTAGTGTCCCTCGTCTCCGACTTCTGCAGCACCATGGCAAAGAGACGTTTTATAGAGACACTGAGACTGCATTTCCCCCACAGGACGCAGAAGACGTCGCCTTCTACCTCACCCCAGACAAAAAGCTCTCTCTAACTAGCCCCGCTCATGCAGAGCGCATCGCATTCAAAACCCAAGGCTATAATTCCACGTCTAGAAACCTCCATTTCGTACTCGACTCGTCCTTTACCAAATCCTTCGAGATCCTCGGTTCCCCCTATCTCGAGCTGGAAGTCAGCACAGAGGCCGATGATCTAGATCTATTCGTCTATCTTCGCGCCATCGACTCAAACAGCGAAACCATCATCCTCTCTGGCAACCATGGCGAACCTATGGACAGCTTTGCGCGGGGTTATTTCCGTCTCTCGCACCGTGATGAGGTTGCACTGAACTTCGTAAAGGAGAAAGTCATCTGTCAGTCCAATGTTCCCAGATCTAAGGTTGTCCGAGGGGACGTCTACAAGATTCTCCTGCCCTTGTACCCGGCTGCATTCCTCTTCGATAGAGGACAGTCACTGAGCCTCGAAATCGGGCCTGTCAATACTCCAAGTACCATACCTCCGATGCGACATGAGGGCGGCGATCGGACTACTGATAGATTTGGAGGAGAGAATGTTCTTTACTCTCATGGAAGACTGGTTCTTCCGAGAGTGAGACGGTGATTGGATAATAAGTGCTCTGAGGCTTTCTTTATTTAATGTATGTAGTAGACTTTTCATGCAAATCAAGTATCAATCATGTACGGAGACACCACATGCTTCAATCGATCAGTCAATCAATCAAAGGTCTATTAATCTGTTGGAGCCTAACTAGTATCGTAAGGGCTATGCAGGTGCTTCTTTCCAGTTGAAGCAGGAACCCGTGTCCGTACGCCTAATCGTGCTCTAGTATAAAATGTGAGGCTGGGTCTTAAAGAGTGGAAGCACTAGCCTGTTGTATATAAGCCAAACCTATAAAACCTATAAAACCTATAAAACCCGTAGTATAAATGAAAATTTAGTGCTAGCAATGCATTGAATACAAAAATGAGCCGTGGATGCACCTCCAGCTCTCTAATGTCCTGTCCTTCTCACGAGATATGTACGCACCTCCGCGTTAAGATCCCAGCTAATATATACTACTGTAAGATTAAATCCCCTTTCTTCGATATTCTCACTTCTTCCTTAATTAAGTGTTATGTTAAGCTCCGGCTATTTAGAGCTTTAGCCTATTCCAGCAGCGTGTATTCGAATTAGATCTTGACATTTCCCATGAGGGACTAGCCAAAATCTAGTCCTACAGTATGTCCATGGGACTAAAATATTTCCTTAGTCCCACCATGGGAATTCCCATAGACGTCTATACCAGTAGAAAAGTTTCCTATCTATACTATATTAATATTACTTTACTCTATATAAAATTACCTAGAAGTTAAAAAGCGGTTATTAAATAGCTATATCTTTTGGTATTTACTCCTATTGGAATTCCTATGGGACCAAAATTTAGTCCCATGGTGGGAGTCCCGTGGGAAATGTCAAGGTCTACCTATGTCTTACTTAAGAAGAAGCTTAGTTTATACTATAGCGTAAGAATTGTGCTAATAGCGTAAAGATTCTGTAGATCTCCTCGGTTTTTACGTAGTAAACTAAGAGCGTCTTTATAACCGTATATAGAGCATTAAGTATAGCCACTTTCTAAGAGATAATTTTAGTATAAGCCGTTCGATTGATTTCTTAAAGTAGTCAAAAAGTGCGTTATACACCCTAAAGACGTTATATATAGTGATATCCTTCGTTTTAGAAAGGATGGTACTAAATGGTTAGAAAGGCTTAGTGATAAAGAGGAGGTGATCGATCTACCGCCACTCTACCTTGCTAAGTTTAAACTTAGGTCGCTTGACATAATCGAAGTATATATTAAAGCACTTCGATATTCGCTTAGTATAGCGAAGTATTAAAAATATAGAATTCTAATATATCCGGATATCTTATAGTAGAATAAGCCTTAGTTCTTAATTTTAAAGGCTTAGTGGCTATAGTTAATATATATAGTGAACCTTGGAATGTAGCTAATGGGAATAAGGGAATATACGGAGATCATTACGATACCCGCTTCCGGTTACAAAGCGGAAGTATTCGACCTTGGGGAATGTTCCAATGTACAACGTTGGAATACGGAGGACGTTGGTCTTTATCTAACCCTCGAACGTGTGAATATTTCTTATTTAGCTATGTGAAGAATTTTAGGTTCCTCGTAGTCGAACCAAAAGTTGTTCATAAATCTTACTGATCCCCCACCACTTGAGGGTCCTCATGACGGAAATCGATTCGTCCAAGAGTTTTCCCAAACCTGAAGGAGAAGAGATATTTCCCACTCCCGAAAATTTGATACATCCTCGACCAGTCTCAATCCACTGGATCCGTTTCGCGTGATTCAAGTCTGATGTCCCTATAACGACAGAGGTCGCGTCGGACGGAGAGTCCTGTGACTGACCCAAGATAACAGAATATAGCCACAGAACCAATGCAGATTTGAACAAAAGTACTGGCGTGGAATAATGCGTGCAGTGGGTAGATCGAACGGTTTCAAATAAGTCTGCCGCATACACAACAGCTTGCCTCGTTTTGTGGGGGGAAGAGCTCCATTCCCTTTCTAGTCGGGCTAAGTCTGAATTGCCGTATCGCTTGAATTTGACTTTTAACACAGTCGATAAAAGTGGCATTTTCGGTAGATTGTCCATCATCAGCGCGGAGAGAATAATGATCCGATGAGCACTCAGAGCCTTCAGTTCGTTCATAGGAAGCTCTTGCCCTTGGTGATATGTTATTGTAAGGATTTGTCGTAGTGCATCTGCAGCCATTGTGCAATCATCGACCGAGACATTGGAGGAATAGTATAATGACTGCCGGCGGTTCTCTTCAATAGTATTGAGGAGTTGCTGTAAAATAGCACTTTTCCCGAGCACTCCTGTTTTATTCCATGTTGCAGCCCAGCTTGCGTCGCACACCACCTGAAGCAGAGTTTCCGGGGAATTGGTTGCTATTTACCTCGTTAGAATAAATGCAGCAATCAGTTGAAATTTCACCTACCCTTGCGAGCTGGATAGCCAGCCCAGGCTTGTGCGCTGGATGCCGCCCATGGCTTTTCCTCTTGCGGCAAGGAGATTTGCATTTCATGGGTTCCCATCACGCGGCACAAGTCAAAGTCGGTTTCAAAAGCCGAATCCATCAACTTGATTTCAACGTTAGAATGAAAATACGGAGGTCTATGTTTGAGGTGTTCCTCCACTCACCCAAATGGCAAAGCCAGTTCGCCGCCTCCCTTCGTCAAGAGTCCAGAGCTGCCATTTCTGATCCAGGGGTAGATCCAGATGGAATACCCTTTGACGAGGCAGATAGTTCGCGAATAATCGTTTCCGACGAGCTAGGGTTACAGGAAGTGCTTGCAACAGTTCGGCAATTTCGAGGGCCCTCCGTTCGCCAGAATACCGTAAGCCCAATTGATTGAGCAGGATGACCTGTGTCAGCCAGAGTTCCCGGCCATTTTGATTATGATTTTCGCACTGATTTGGCGTTAGTCTCACATCGCCTCATATGTTACTGGAAAGCACCGTTCAAAATATCGTACCAGATATAATGTCGACCGTCGGACCATCTCATTCATAGCCCTTGAACAGGCTTGCGATTGGGGGAGTTCAGAAAATTGAGCCCCAATGGCGCCAACAGCAAATATGAGCAGCCAATGTGTGTCCGAAGTACCAAAGGACGGCTTATGCAGGAAAGGAAAGATTGGATGAAAATGTTCGAAGTAGAGCTGCACCCAAGCGTTGATTATAGGGGCAGGTGGCAACCTTGAGTCAACAAATCTTGGAAAAGTTGATGTCGTTTCGATAGTCAATGCCAATTGGGCCATCTGACCGACAACAATATTTGAGACTTCAGGGACATGAGCCAGGTTCTCTTGATCCACTTCGTCTGTGGAGATATGCTCCATATTGGGGAATGACAACTGCGCGTCAATGTTGATAGAACTTGGCTGATATTGCCGTGGTTCTATGGCTTCTCCTTCCAGGGTTGGTGAAAGGCTGCAGTTATAAATCTCAGCCACTGCTGCGGGTGTCAAGGGTGTGGGAGGTACAAGGGTCTTAGCCGCAACCTGCTCAGGCTCTCTCGGTGCCGGCCAGAGACTATCGGGTCGCTCGGCCGCTGAGTCGAGGTCAAACAGGCTCGGAAAGAAGTTCATATCCAGGTCGAAATCCCAGATATTATCCAGCTCTGTTCCTCCTTCGCTGAAGGGTTGGATGCCGTTGGGCTCGTGTATCATAGACGGCGTATTTTCAAATAGCCCATCATCAGAGATACCTTCGAAAGACACGGATGGTGCATGGAACTGATCTGATTGTGTAGGCGTTTGAACGACGGGTCTTTCCATTACAGTAACGTTTGCTTTCTTTCGAGTTGGTTGACTGTAATCCTCAATCAGAGGATCAACTGAAAGCTCATTCGAGGAATTATTCGTCACAGCGGGTAATTTCGTTATCTTGCGCTTATGGGAAGCTTCATAATAGCAGTCGATGCCATTATTTTGGCAACGCTGACACGGTTGATTCCCATTACACCTGACCTTCGAAATGTTGCACGGTTTGCACGCTTTGGCTATGCGACGCCGATCGCCGGTCTGAGCCTTACTGTCGAGGCTGCCCTGATGGATTGTGGTATAATGACGTGATAGCGAGTCTCTTTTTGGGTGGTTAGTTCTTTGTCTCAGCGGGGAAATTAGCTCTGGAGACGTACACTCTGCCAAAGTGCTGACCACACTCGGTACAGGAGAACGGCTTCGCTTTCGTATGGGTGCGAATATGCCGTTCATAATGTTCTCGCCTCTGGAAGGAGGTGTTGCAGATGTCACAATATATGTCGGTAGATTGCATTGCAGAAGTAACCGATGCCCAGGTCAAATTGACACAGACAACCAATTCATACTAGTTTCACTCCAGATTGAATCTAGCGAGAGGTGGGAATAATTAACAGCATCGACTCAATAATTGTTACAAGGTCATTCTCTTATTAAAGGGAAGCATTTCCGCCCCGTCGATCGAAGATCGACGTTCATTTTTGACGATCACGTGGATTGTTTATGAAACGCCACCCCTCGAACAACAATCACCGTGAAATTTCTGCTCAGGCTCCCAAATTGCGCAATATCTAGCAAGTATATTCTTAACAGGTCTATTCTTGGTCCATAGGTTGTGAAAGGTATGAAACAAGGCTTATTCTGCCTTCAGCATGGACCCTGATTTTCTGCACAAATTAGCGGAGTATTCATAGTATCCAATAGTTGCCAATTGCACTTTAATACAGGGGCAAATCATAAAGCTAGCGACAGACTATAGCAAACTTTAGGAATCTTCCGTTGTCTCGGTGGTAAGGATTGCCGCAGATTTGTATTTGTTTCGAAGTACGGTAAAATAGCATCGGCTCTCCACCGGGTAATTTTGACTCGACATACCCTGCTAACAATGTAGAGGACACCTTGACTATTCTTTTTACCGCTAATAAGATAAACCGTCATTTTCAAGCGAATACTATGTTCTAGGCATCAATAGTTGAATTAATTAAGGCCTAATTGGGCTCATTACCGTGCAATACAAAAGCGCTAGCAAGTGGGGTTCAAAGGAAGGTCGGGTACCACTAAAGAGTCAATTGTTGGATCATGCGGAGAAATGATTCCGACATGTTGGAAGTGTGGAAGAAGTCGATGCCCGCAACCAGCCCTTTCTTAAAATGAAGTCATTTGGTCAGTGCCTCTGAAGAACGAACACGATTTTGTGAGTTTAGCAGACTTTATGGTCTGTTTCTGTCTTCTGATTGGTTACTTTCCCTTAGCTACTTCTGTATCCCGCCATCCTTTCACCTACGTATTGATTTCCTCAGCATGTTCTTAGATCCTTTAGCAAGTTGCTGTTGGGGACTTCTAATAGATTTTACACTAAGTTTAAAAGTATATTTTGAATCTCCCTGACAAGCTACGTATTGTATTCACATCTGAAAAGCCGCATGAAAATATAGAGGCTTCCTAAGGGGGTCATATATTTTGTCAAAATTGACTTAAAGAAGTGCACAATAGGACTACGCACTAGGTACTCTCACTGCTCGTCTTCTCTCTCTTAATAGCTCAAATCCATCCTATAAGTCTATAGCTGGTAAATTCAAAGATGGGAGAGAATAAATGGGACAATGGAAGCAAAATATGCAGTGTTTGTTTGCCAAAGGAATATCTAATCTATATGGTTGACACCGACTTGCAATGACCGATCCTTTCCAAAATTAACCAAGCACAGCCCTCTTGACATTTACCTCAGTAGCTAGCAGGCGCTGGGCATCTTGTGCTGGATTGGAAGGCCAAGTGAAAGAAAACATGTCTTTGGGGAGTTCGGCATTCGGCACATATTTGCGCAATTCGTCGAGCATCTCGGCGCGGCGCTCGTCATGGGTCTTTGACATCATCATGACTGTCAATGCTCGCTCATAGCGGACCTTGTTGTACAACTCCAGGCGTGCAGATACCTGCTCCGGTGTTGTGTCCGAGGGAAACAGCGCACCAAGTGCTGCGCCATCCTCGAATGCCTGAGCACCACCCTGGCCTTGATCTAAACCATGCCATTAGTTAGCCAATGCCATCATACTAAGTCACTTTATAGTGTAATAGAGAATGAAAAAACTTACGGGGAAGAGTCGGGTGTGCTGCATCTCCCACAAGAGCAAGTTTACCCTTGACAAATTTTGTTGGTGGCGAACGGGTTCCTAGACTCCACAGCTTCACGTCTTCACCAAGGCGACACATTTCTCGGACCTCCGGTCCAAAATCTTGGTAGGTCTCATAAAGATGTTCGACATTACTGGAATCCAGCCAGGAAGAATCCTTTGTCGAGACGCCGTCTCTTGCAGGGTGAATACCGACAACATTCAACAGTTGACCCTGACGGCATGGGTAGAACACAAGTCGCCGGTCGCTCGCTGTGAATGCGTGGAGACCATCTAGTCCAGTCTTTTTCAAGAGAGAGGCAGCCAATTCATTGTCCTGTGTCTTGGAAACGGGAATCAAGAACCGAAAACAATTTTGACCAGTGCTTTCCTTCCGTGGCTCCTCTCCGGTGACGCTGCTCACGGTTCGGGACTGTTGGTTTAATCAGTGAACTGTGCACTCGCAGGCCAAGGTTTCGATAGTTAACTTACGTGAATCCCATCGGCACCAATGATCAAATCACCAGAGAACGTAGCTCCATCTTTGAGTAAGACAACTCCCGTCTCGGCATCCTGGAATTGTCAGTGAATTTGAAATATTAAAAACATCTGTGGTTGTTACGCACTACTGATTCCACACGAGAAGACAACCGGACGTTCACTCTTCTGCCGTTAAACTCCTTCGCAGCTGTCACCCGAAGGGCGTTGTGTAGATCAACACGATGAGTCAAGAGCCAGTCATCATGTATATCCAGTGTTGTTTGGAGTTCCTTGGTCACCTGCATCAAACAGTTACTTTAGGGGTTCAATCATATTCGGAGAGAGAAGCATACAATAGGAGTCCAAAGCAGTTCACCCGCTGAGTTCCACACTTGAAGTCGATTGCATGGGGATGCCTCTAGGTTTGTGAAGTCGCAGCCCCATTCTCTCAGGATGCGACTTGCGTTAGGGGCAACGTGAATAGCTGCACCGACCTCGTTGAGGAATCCGGACTGTTCAATAACCTGGGTGGACAGTTAGTAAATTGAATTAACACATGCGATGAATTGGAATAAACCTGAACATCGTGTCCGGCCCGATTCAACGCAATAGCTGCGCCCAAGCCTCCCAGGCCTGCACCAACGACAATGACCTTTAGTGGCATTTTGTGGCTAGTGTCACAAGATAGATCTGTCAATAACGCGGAAATGATTCCAAAGCGCTTATGCTGAGTCTTATTGTTTCCGCTTTTTATGTTGGGTACTTCCACAGCAGGTTTCCTCCACCTATCGGCTGCCTCCACCTTCGGTTGCGCCCACCCGGTCTCTCGGGTGTTTCCCTCTCCAGAGGTGGGGTGATGCATCATACTATTGTATTTGAAGATCAGTGTGATGAGTTAGCTCCAGAAAAAATGCTTAATCTCCCAACCAAGGACGGTGTTGCACCAGCCAACCTCTGAAGAGGCACTTGCCACCCTTATCTCAGAAACCATGTACCAGTACTATTGACTCGAATAGAAGAATAAAGCGCACCTCATCCAGGTAATCGGGGTAAGTATGAGTGGGATGCATCGTTATGATAATAGATATCAGGCGAAACAGGTCGAGGGGCTGTCCAAGTTCTGGAGCAAAAGTGGCATCAAACTCCTCCTTGGAACCGCGTGCGGGCTGAGAACTTTGGCATCAACGCTTTGAAAAAGCGTCTCCAAGAGGTTCTCACATTACATGTAGGCCGCACATTTCCGTCGGTAAGTCATCTTGAAGATCCTTGGAGGATGTGGTGTATTACCGTCTCCATATGTAGTTTTCTTCCAGTATAGTACACCATCTATATAACCCGTTATCATTGGATATAGTTGTTTGTTGGTCTATATCTGGCTTCGAATAAGAAGCGCTTGGGATCGCAATACAAGAGAATTAAATCAGTGAAGAAAACTTAAAATTGAGATCAATAAATCAAAGCTGGAGATGGAGAGGAGAGAGAGAGAAGAGAGCGAGAGGTAACTACTAATATAGATGATGTCTCGACATGTGGTACCTTCAGGCGTACAGGCACACAACAGAAGCTTGACGTAAATTTAATTTGACCAGGGCACATACTAGGTACAAAGGTACGGAGAAGAGAAGGAGTGGAATAATCCAAACAGCAATGGAAGTAGCAGAGAAGGCAGTAGTAGTAAGGGACCGTGCGGGAACGGCCATGTGGCAAGGCCATAGAGTGAGAGGCGGGTCAACACCTTACATATCCAGCTCCCTAAGCAGTTTAGATGGAATTTGTGATACCTGGCTGGGTCTCCTCCAAAATTTCTCCCAATTCCCTCCACACTTTTTGTTGTGCCTCCAATCCAGCTTCGCTTTGGACGAATGTTGACAATACTCCGTTGTTGACCTTGCCATCTAGCATATATGCACCATGGCTATCCCAGTCTGCCTCTGCAGCCGCGAGTATGGTCCGACTACCAACTTCTGTCTGACGTCCGAAGAGAAATATCATTAGTCGGAGCCCTAAACCTGCTTCGCGTGACAGTTGCGATTTGCACAGTCCTGGAGTCAACATGTTGAGAATGACTCTAGAATCTTCAAGTCTGGTGGCAAGCTCCCTCACCACCAACACTTCCAGGAGCTTCGAGGTAGAATAGCGCTCTTGCATATCTGCCGTTTCCTTCCTATCCAGCGCGACAAACGTGTTATCTGCAGTCCGCTCCGGGAAACTTGTCCAGGCGTGAACGTCGCTTGTCACGATGGAGAGACGTGGGCTGGATGTCGGGAATGCTTTGGCAGTTGCTTTCAACTTAGGGAGGAGTAGAAGGCCTAGCAGAAAGGTACTAATAACGTTGACCGTAATAGTACGTTTATGGCCCTCGGAGATGTCAAACGTGTACGTCGCAATTCCAGCATTCTCAATCACGATATCCAGTCGAGGGAGTTTGGATGCACGATCTGCAAAAGCTTTGACAGAGTCAAAAGCTCCGAGGTCAAGCTCCCAGACCTCGCACACGCCAGCTCTCTTTATTGATGTCTCGATTGACCGCTTTGCTGATTCCCCTGCCGAGAGGTTTCGCACTGCAAGTATCACTTTAGCAGCATTAAGACGGACGAAATGTTTCGCTGCTTCAAATCCGATTCCGACATTCGAACCGGTCACAATCACAGTTTTGCCATCATAAGCTTTGGTTGGGTATGCTGGTGTAACAAAAACTTGGGAATAAATGGCGCCCATGATGAAATTTGTGTCACTGACCTTCGCAAGAAAGGATTCCAGGCTGTCGTAGTCATATACCCCGCTATAACCATCTCGGATATAACGGAAACCGGCGCTTGACTTAAACCGCCATACAATATTCGGTAATACGCCCTTCCATAACTTAAAATTTCTCTGAGACAAGATTCGTTGCAAATAGGCTTTACTATGGATATTCGCAATGCGCATATCTCCACTTTATAAGCTATGTGATGTTAGCACCCACGTGGGCAGCCAGCCGCACCGCTTCCAAAGTTTGGTTACGAACGGATTTAGGAGCGTAGACCGAGGACTAGCAAGTTGATAGGCGTGAAGCTTTAGTCCGGTGATGTTAAGTCCGAGAAAATAATGGAAATGGGGAGAATATCGAGGACCATCCTGACCCGCTGCAGGATACCCGCCTTGGATCGTCGCGCCAAGGATGTGGGCGGCTGCCCGACGTCTGGATGCTTCCGCTGACTAAACGACACAATATGCCCGGGCGTCCAGGTGGTCATTACTTTAATTAATCGGTCATAGCGAGTTAACTAACAGTTCTCACTCTCCGCTTCACTCCATTTTCTTACTTCCTCCTTTCCGTGGGCTTTTCTCTGTACGCTGTTAGAATCTAGATGATAGATGAAATCATGGAGTACAATAGTGTGTATAGTATGCGTGGTAAACTACGTGACAGGAAGAAGGGTAGATAGCTTCTACTTATGTGAGGACGAATCATGTGACAATGGGACATATCAACCCGTCGACAAATGTTACACATTCGATTCTCTATCTTCGTAACCTTTCCAGTATGGTTTCCCACACCTACAAGAAAAGGCTCACCTCCTCGATGCAATGTATTATTTGATGTCCACCGCTCCGGTAGTAAGAATTGGAAAGTCACAGAAGCATTGAGCTTTAGTATGCCAGTGATCTTGCAGACGGTGCCTTTTCCCCACGAACCTTAGCATATGGAATACGAGGATCACTTTCTGCTTTCTAACTACCTCCTTATTCAACCCAAGATTACTTATAGTATAACATTGCGGATCCGCCTCATAAATTGGTGAAAACGCGTTCGTCGGCTTCTAGTGGATCCAGTCAATGAACGTCATGGTGTAAGATTGGCTATAGTTTGTTCGAATGGAGATAATTTCACAAACCCTATCTCCTTGTGTGGAAAGTAGAACTTCCTTTTCGCTCCGATCTCGAATTCAAGTCCACTCGTACAGCAATAAACAGAACTCTTCGATTTGTTTTATGTCCCGAAGAAAGTTCCCGTTATTAGTCAGCGGAAGACATGACAGCCGGGCTTAGGCATTAACACTAACTAGCGCCCATTCTGTTGTATATAAATAATGACATACTATTTCTTGCTAATATCTCAAAATCATCTTTCGTCGATTTTATTCTTTACATTTGTTAGACATTTTTCACATCATGTTGGCGAAGGCAGCTAGCTTGCTGACAGCGGCAAGCGTTGTTGCTATGTCTTCCGCAAGCCCTGTTACCCACACCATCTCGAAAGATGTGGTAGTCGTTGGCGGCGGTGCTGCTGGCGCCTATGCTGCTGTTAGGCTCCGTGAGGATTATGGGAAGAGCATTGCGTTGGTTGAGAGAGAGGCACGTTTGGTGAGTAACCTGGAAATAAGTATTTCGTGCCTAGTGATCAACGCCTAACTGATGTGCTCGTTCGAAAGGGTGGTGCGGTTGATACCTGGACTGATCCAAAGACCGGCATGCCTTACGAATTGGGTGTTGAGGCCTTCCTGGATTATGGCAATGCTACGTAATTCTTTGCGCGGTTTAATGTATCAGTACATGCGTCTGAACAGGAATTAGTGAACACCCGGTATGCAGATTTCAGCACTGGAAAATTCGTGAACTACACGTCCCCCACAGCAGCTGAACAACTTGCTGCATTCCAAAGGTATGTGGAACTGTGTGAGAAATACGAGGGCATGATGTTGCCTGGACTGTGGAATTTCCCCACCGCCGACAATATACCCAAAGATTTGCTTCTAAACTTTGGTGATTTCGCGAGAAAATACGAGATTGAGGCTGCTGTGCCTACAATCTGGGACATATCGGCTGTAGGCCTAGGGCAGCTAGAGGCTTAGCCGACCTTTTACGTTATGCAGTCGTTCCCAGCACCGCTTGCGCGAGTCTACACTGGCAAGGCCCGAACTCTATATGTGGCGTCCCATAGGAACCAGGACATATACGATAGAGTGTCGGACACTCTGAGTGATGATGTTCTCTATTCAAGCACTGTTGTCAATGCAACAAGAACACCTAACGGTGTTAGCATTATTGCCAAAGGAGCGGACGGGCATCAAACTGAGATTCGCGCAAAGCGTTTGCTTATCGCTATCCCACTAACTGTACCCAACCTCACGCCGTTCAAGCTCGACAAAAAGGAACTCAGTGTCTTGTCTAAGACGGCATACACACAAGCTTATGCTGGCGGTGTTGTTTCTTCGAACCTGCCATTGAACATAACAATCATTAACTCCGCTTCCAGAAACTGGCTGGGTCTCCCGGATCTGTCGCTCCTGCAATGGTATAAAAACTTAGATTCTCCTGACCGCTATCACAAGGTCATGATGTTTGGAAATCAGGCCCTGGATAGCGATGGCTCAAAAGCGCTGGTCGAGCAGAGTTACCGTCAGTTGGTCGGTGCAGGCAGTCTGCCGGAAGCAAGTGGCAGGGGCCTTGAATGGCTCCACTTTCAATGCCATGGATCTGTTAACATCCGGGCCTCCATGGAGGACTTGAAAGCTGGCTTTATTCAGGAACTGTATTCTCTACAGGGTCATCTATCCACTTGGTATACGGGTGCGGCTTGGTCCGCGCAATTACATACTCCCACATGGGCTTTTTCGGACTCTGTTATCCCACGACTGGTAGAGGGCCTATGAAATGAATTCTCTCACGACAATTTTAATCATTGGATTATTTACAGCCTGCTCTATCCCACAAGGGGTGGCCCAGTCTACTAGACTGGGAATTAATTTCCTCGATAGACTGGGCATTATAGAGGGCTTAGATAAAGCTGAAAATTTGCAGAGTTTTAATAGACTATCTAATTTATCTCCTATTCGCTTCGGAGCATGCGCAGCCTAGTAGTTATCGAGAAGGCGGCGATTAAAAATTAGAGATGTTTTGATGGGGTGCGGGAACTAGGCTAGTTGGGGTTGCGACCGGGGCCTAAAGCTGACCTCTAGGCTTTCGGACGAATTAAATCACCTCGATAATTGTAAGCTACAATGATCAGGGGGGTAAGCAATTAATTTAGGGGTTATAGAAGCTCCCTAGCTATCATCTCACAAATTTTTACACTATTACACCCTAGATTTAGTATTCGACATTCTTCAAATTGCATTCAATTCATATCCCACGATATATATATATTACTCTAGTTCAATATAGCCACCCAACTTTTTCACTACCCTTCGACTACCCTAGTTATCGTATGTAAGCGATGCGAGCACGCTGTTCGACTAAAAGAGGTATTTCGATACCTTTAGTCTCCGAATCACCGCTTCCTAATGCCGATTGCTCGCTAATCAGCAACGAGATCTAAAGTTAGGACTAGGTAGCGGCTTACGACAAATAGCAGGTTCCGACCGCCGTAAACTAGCTAATTCTAAATTTGCTAGTTTACTCGGACGACATTTTATGTGAAAAAGACCTATTCTACTCATTTATCGCGCGTATAGCCAATACGATACGACAGCATTAGCGCGATTAGCGTAGTTAGGTAGCACCCAATAGCACTCGTGGACGGCGACAATAGGTATCATAAACAATATTAGCAGCCGAGCAACAACGCGTCGTACGACGCCAGCGAGCATTCATCCGTCGGACTAGATCTCATTATATTCGGGTGCGTACGGTTGGGGCGGAGGCTATTCCCGAGGCCGATTTGATGCTGGCGACCGAGGTTAGCGACCGGCTAGTCGAGCAAATAAAATAGATAATAGTTGAGCGTAGAGAACTTCCCTAGTTTATCGAGGCTGGCGAGCGTGATGACGCGAATCTATAGCTTCGACGGAACTAGTGGGCCGTGTATCTCCGTGGAACCAACCCGGACGACCTTCTCGGCTACGTCGAAGCACCCGACGCCGACTTATCCGATTATGAAATTTAATGGCCGCTATAGCCCGTATTAGCTAGTAGTTCATGAAGGTACTAAGACCCTTTCCTCCACCTGGGCCAGTCCTTTGAAGCTGAAGATTCGAAACATCATCAGTGATGGTAGGCAAGTCGCGGTGGAGATGAAAGCGGTGGATACTAAAAGCAAGAATGGACTACCTTTCACCAACGGGTACCCGTGGGTTTGTGAGTTTAATGATGAGACCAAAATCGTGGCCATTCGGGCATATATGGATACGTGGGTTGTTTCTTTCTCATTGAACGGTGTCGGTGGCTGACAATATCACTAGAGATTTGGTCTCAAGGGCTATCCGAGAGAATTCTTAGAATTCCACCAGTGAGAGAAGAAATTATTGACTGGGATTATGGCTAGTGTTGAAGCATGGAACAGACAATTGAAATTACAATCTAAATTTTGAGTTTATTGAGTAACGTTAATACATAGTCTAATTCCTGTATATACTTCATCTCAATAAATTACAGACCCTCTTCTAGTATAGGAAACAAGAGCACGGGGAACAACACGCAGACAAACGCACTTCAAACACAAAAATAATCTATTATATGATTCACCTAATAAAAGATAGATTTGTTGAGCTACAAAATTTCCGTTTTTCCGTTACTCAGCTCTTGACTCGGTATCGCTCAGGAACTCCTTCATCTCCTAGCGCTTCTCCAACAACAAATCCTTCAGAGAGAAGCAGTACAAAAACGACTCGACAGTACCGGTCAGTTAAGTTATTCCACTGGTGCATCGTCTGTTTCCTTGTCAGCAAGTGTGAAACAAGGCAACGGGAGCTGGCTAAGGTGTTATTTTACTGACTGTTGCACGACAACATCCCCTTGACATAAGATGATCGTGGAACTGTTGTCAAGAACCAACTGGATCTCATCGCTCATTATGATTGCATAGTCAAGAGATTGAGTACGATGCCTGTGTCCAGTAGAGTTGGGCGGGAAGTCCACTAACCGAATAAAGGAACCCCGGATATAATTTTGGACACCAGCAGCATCGACAGTGGGGTCGATATCGGTGAGTTCCGCTGGGTGATGGCCGGTCTTCCAGATTGTGACTGCATTGGCAGCAAAGCCGGGCACTGGCTCTTAGCTGTCGTCCGCTAGAATGGCGGATAATGATTTATTGTGCGTCGTTATGACACGACATTGCAATGTGGTCTCCATGATAATCAAGGCGTGTTCAATACTGCCACCTGAAGAGTAAGAAAGCGAAAGGAATCCGTTTGTTGAACCATTCTAGTCTTGTTTTTAATTGAGAGAAACTGAATCCGCTTCATAAATTGTCGCCTTGTTTGGCAATTCACACTCACTGTCATTTTAAATGTGGATAAAAGTGTTATACATAAAGAAAATGCCCACTGGGAGCTCACTCAAGTTATCCACGGACCACTATGACTAAGGACCACATGAGACTGAAAATTTCCAGAGACTATCAGTTTGGGATCAGGTGATCCCCAGTTCTAAAGACAGGATCTTAACTAGTTTCTCTCTTTCTTTTTCTTCATGAGCAGCAGTCCGAATACATGACTTTCTCCTTCCCTTTTTAGCTTTTCATCACTATCTCTGTATAATGGGCTATGGAGCAACGAGAAACACGGTGTTGATGTATGTTAGTGTTACTTAGCAGAAAAGAAGCTTAATTAGGCACTAGGTCTCAGGAGTTGCTGTACTGTGCACGTGTAGAAAAAAATTAAGAAAAGGATTATCGTAATTTGCCTATAATACAGATTCAAAAGTATACCACTTAATAGCTCTACGGAAGCTATCCTATGTGCTGCGTGCTCGAGAAGGCAACTTAGTGAAACAAAAGCTTCAGCCCTTGGAATGCAACATAGGAGACAGCGAATAAGGAGATCACGGTAGAAGCCATGCCCACAATCAAACCCTGTTCGAAGTAAGACATACTTCCTCCAGCGGACTGACGAATCTTATTCAAGTTCAGGTAGCCAAGTTGTGATGTGATGGCTGTGACCTTTGAACCGTTGTTGGTACCGGCATGATGAAGAGGCTTTTGCAAAATCGATTTGTTGATTGAAAAGGCCTCTCTTCGGAAGGGAAGCTCGGACGAATCGTATTGAGAAGATGGAGCAACAATTCCTAAATATGTCACAATTAGTGTGATGAAGCAAAGAGTTTGCATGCCAAGGTGCCTGCCTCACCGTAAGTGTCAGATGGAATATGATTGACGAAGAAATGGTCAGAGTTGAGGAAATGCGATAGATAAAACGACTCTCTGCTGGCTGCAAAGATGTATGTGGCTTGGGAGGCGTTTCCTCCATTCCTGAAGTGAAGTAAAAGGTCAGCGACAGGTCAAACCTGAGCTCCAGTCTGGGTTAAGATTCATACAATTTGTTCCAAATATCAATTCCGTGGTCAAGACTTGTGGTAGGAATGAACAGAGCGCCTTGGCAGTGGGAGGTTAAAGTGCCGGCAACCTTTGTAACGGTATCCGCAGTCACGTTGCTAGATGTGGATGCGGTTAGTGATGTACAGCAAGCGGTGCAACTTATTCTTTTGCAAAAGAGCATACCTGGTTTTGTTGACAACGATCAGGTTGGCAATATCATTCGAGCCAGGAGATGTGAAAGTTGATTGTTGAGAGATGCGGAACATGTTCCCAATAAGCTGAGTGAGTTCGCTATATTCCACTTGATTCAATTGTTCGGTGTGCCTCTCGGACAGGATCTGGTGAACCATTTGTGCCAGTGCATCAATGATGAATTCATCTACAAAGCAGATCCTTGGTATGCGACCTGTGTGCTTCCGTGGAGCTTGAATAACATGATCTGCAATAATCGATGCCACTGCTTCCAAATCAGGAGTGCTGCGATCAACGAAGACGGCAGGATGACCAGACGAAGGAGCATGGATCCGAATAGCAGGGTTAACGATCCGCAGGCTGGCGGCAACATCCGAGCTGCTTTCCAGGTTTTGAAGGACAGCAACACCGAAGCACAGTGAGCATAATTCTGCGTTGTCCCAAGATTTCCCTTCGGGGGCTACCCCAATAGCTTCTTGATCGAGGCTTGTGTCGATAATCTTCCGCAATTTCTCGTTGGTATGCAGTGAAGTAGTGTTAAGAACAACAAGGGAGCAGCTTCCGGCTGCTATTGCAGCCGCTAGTGGGATAATTATGGATGATAACGGACAGTGTGGTGAGGCCAAAATCAAGACTGGCCCCAAGGGAACAAGGTTGGTTGGAGCATTCTTGCCAGCCTGAATAGATCTTTCTTTGGCCAATGTGGCTGGAAAGCTTAGTTCTTCATAGAGCTGGTTGATAGCGTTCAGCGAGGAGATAACCTCATCGGAGGCACTTGCCTCGGTAGTATAGAGATCTAGGATCGCACGAGGTCAGCGGATAGTTCATTCTAATAGTCTTTGAGATATTTCAAACCGTACCTTGACGTAGTGCGTTGATCAACGCCGGCTTCTCCCTTTTGATTATTGCATGCAAGCTAGAAAGTTCTTTCTGACGCTGAAGAACATTTTCCAAGCGGCCTTCCACCCATGCTGAGAGAATTTTCTGATATGCCAAGATGAGAGACATTTTCAAGTTTGTGCTTCAACTAATAGGGGTGAAGTCAGAATGAAAAAAGGGATCAAGCAGTTGCAATGATGGCATAATATGAGAGAAATACCAAGATAATTGGCAATACATTGTTTTCTATGTCAGCAACCTGTTGTGTTTGTTCCCACATCCACTTCCCCGGGCATTTCGGTCGGCTCCACAATGCTGGGAGTGGGTCACTTCAATAAATAAAAGATGCTTAGTATTGTCGGCTCTCGGGTGTTTCAAATTTCTGACCAAGGGATATTATCTCATTGCCCGGAATAGTTTTGAGCTGTAATCCTCTTCTTATCCCAAGCCTGAAGACTTACCACTTGTTTAATCTTTGTTTCAACCAATGTCCACCATGACTGTACCAAATACGAAAAGTATGGTACTAAATACGGAACTATTCTTTTCCCTGCTGATTATAATCTCAATCCAGAGCCCACACCCGTATTTTTGTTTGCACATGGATCAACCATGATGCTAGGAGAAGAGTCTGAACCAGCCAGAATCTGGGAGAATATAGGGAATGAAGCCCTTCGGCGAGGAATCAAGCGAATTGTGATGATGGTAAGCTCCCAAGATTGCTGAAATGGGAACAACGACTGACGATAATTCTCGAAGGGTGCTCATTGGGAGACTCCAGGTGATGCGGTAGAAGTTAGCATGAACCCGAACCCCCAAAAGCTTACAATGGGAGGTGTACGGAACGACCGATACCTTCCGTACAAGCTGGCACCAGATATCGAAGGTGGTCAAAGAGTTCTGAATATGCTTCAAGCCGCGGGCTTCAATGCCAAAGCGGCTCCCAAGTTTGATTGGATTCATGATACTTTCCTTGTGGTGATTCGAATGTTCCCCCATTGTGTCCCAATTCCTACAGTTCTTGTGTCAATGAATGCTCGCTATGATCCTCACTTTCATGTGAAACTGGGATCAGTACTTCGTCCGCTGCGCTACGAGGAGACCTTGATTATCGGGAGTGGAGGATCGGTCCACAACCTTTACCGAAATCATTGGGAACACATGTTCCGATTCAGCGACAACTTTGCACAACCGGTCCCACCGGATGGGTGGGCACTACAGTTCCGCCAGTCGGTCGAGGACGCTATTGTGCACAATAAGGGCCCGGAGGTACGCAGAGCGTTATCTCGGCTAATGAAACACCCAAGATTCCGAGAGGCTCATGGCACTGATGATCACTGGATGGCTTCACTGTTTGTGGCAGGGGCCGCCGGTGGATTTGAAGACAATGGTCCAAATACTGTGCTGGGAGAATGTTGGGAATTGGTCAACATGTGCAACACTCAGTATCAGCTAGGCTCTTGGGAATAAAAGACCCGCTCCCTATGCCAAGTTTCCTAATAGCTATTGCGTGGCGAGGGCTGTCTTACCTCTCGTCTTGCTTCCTCTTGTATGAATATGTTGAAGGCTGATGCCCCGGTTGGTGCGAATATTTTTGCCTCTTGACGGAACGGTCATTTTATTTCCCCTATTTGCAATATATGCTTCTCTTCCCTCAATGGCCTCTTCATTCATGTAGAATCATCAATCTTTCTTCCTCTGATTTTGATTTTATCATTGAGTAGGCAATTATGGGCTCTTGTGGTTGGTATTGAACACGTCTCTGCTATTTGTCCAAGATTACCTTATCTGAAAAGCTGACCGTGCACCAACTTGGCTTTGTGCTTTCACTTATAGCCTGTAAATGAAGTAAGTCTACCAAATTGCTCCTCAACTGGAATACATCCCCCCAACCTTTTGGAGGAGATATGTGGGCGGCGAACAATGACACCAATAGTTCATGGAAGCAGAATTTACAACGAACAAAAAGAAAGCCAGATAAAAATAATATATCAAGTCATTCTCCCTGAACAAATCCTCCATCAGGTTATGTATATTCACGCGCAGTGGCAGGACTGCCCACTTCTTCCCTTGTGGTAGCCTTCGATTAGATCGTTACCATTCACCACCGATCTCTCCAACCCCAATCGTACTGAATTTTCCAACGGTATTTCTCCACAAAGAAGACCAGTTCTGAATATGGTCAGGTTTGTGGTAAGGTAAGACCGAGAGCAAAGGGGGAAATCAAGCTAACTCACGGCAACCATGGAGCATCCAGCAATCATGAAGAATCCCACAGCCATAAACAAAGGAGACTGCCTTCTCTGCTCTCGATCAAGTTCTCGATTCACGGGTTGGAAATCTGGGACCTTGCGGTACTGGTCCTGCCACCATTCCGGATTGGATACCGGATAAGGTACAGGAGGATGTGGTGCGAGGGTTGGGTCAAATTGTGGTGCTTGTGCCTCACGCAGGATTCCGGAAACCAAGACTAGCTTTGTCTCGGACTGGGTATTTTCTGTATAAGTTGGGGATCGCTTGATGTCGTAGTCCCCTATCACTCCGAGCAGATCTGTCCCTGTGTTCTTGAGTACGTGGGCGTCGCGGGTTGCTGATGTTGCCACCATGATGAATATGTCGGTTATTAGTTTGAAAAGATAGCATTTAAGGAGTAAAGATATTCTAAATGATTGATTCGCAGCGGGTGTCAGGTGGTTGCTTGATAGCTGCCTGCCGTCGTGGAGCCGAGCCGACCTGCCGGAGCGGGGCCGAATCCTCTATGGTTATATTGAGTAAGTATATTGGCTGCCACAATCGTGACTTCCTTTATTCAATTCAAGGAATATAGTCATGGCTACCAATAAGTTCTCCGAAGTAGAGCGTGAGAAGTATCCTTATATCTTCATGAAAAATGTTGATATTCCACTCGTCACTCACGAGAAGGGCGTGCTGCGATGCAATGTGTATCTCCCAAAGGATGCAGCTCCTTTTGGTACAAAGAAGTATCCTGTGATTGCAACTTACGGTCCTTGTAAGTATCCTAGTTAGCCATAGCAAACCAAGTTCTCCACTGACGATCTGTTTTAGATGGTAAGGATGTCCCATACGAAAGTTTCTTCAAGAATAGCTGGGATCAGGTCAATCCTGAGATGAAATCACCTCATTCTTCATGGGAAACCCCAGATCCTGGATTCTGGACCAGCAAAGGCTATATTGTCGTGAGGACGGATGAGAGAGGCGCAGGGCAAAGTCCTGGTGAGCTCGACACCATGTCTCGGGGAACAAGCGAAGCTTTCTTTGATGTCATCGAATGGGCCTCCGACCAGGAATGGTCAACTGGCAAGGTTGGGCTGTTGGGTATTAGCTACTATGCTGGCACGCAGTGGCGCGTTGCTGCCCGGAAGCCTAAGGGCCTCGCTGCTATTATTCCGTGGGAAGGAATGAGTGACTACTACCGGGACCGCGTTCGTCACGGTGGTATTCTCTCAGACCGTTTCATCTGTGAGTATTCCCTTCCCCGCATGCCCTCAGATCTCCGTGATAGAGAATATATTGCTCACTAGAGGGCATGAAACAGCATTTTGGTGGGAAAATGGCGTTCAGCCAAACCAATACGGTATGCCAGGCCGCAAGGCACGCCAGTGGGGAGACGACACTCTGGAAGGGGATTTGGACGAAGCCACACTGGTCAAGAACCGCCGAGACCAAACGCAGGACACCGCCGTTCACAAGTTCATGGATGAGGAATACTACAAGACTCGTAATTTCGCTCTTGAGAGCATTGAGGTTCCCCTCCTCAGTGTTGCCAACTGGGTAAGAGTCCCGGAATTATGCTTTAAAAATAACTATTGACATGAAAATTACCTAGGGTGGAATATTGTTGCACCTGCGTGGAAATGTTGTCGGTTGGACGCGTGCATCATCAACCTACAAGTTCCTCCGTTTTGTCGTCGGCCGTCACGACCTTCCTTTCTACTACCCCCATTCAGCAAAACTTCAATTGTCCTTCCTGGACTCCTTCCTAAAGGGCAGTGACTATGACGGCTGGAAGACTGGCCAGCAGCCCCGAGTCGAAGTTTGTCTGCGCGAGGGCGACTGTGGAGTGGATGATCCAGAGCGTGAACTCAAATTCCCATGCCGCGGGGAGGTTGACTGGCCCATTCCGGACACTCAGTACACGAAGTTCTTTTTGACGCCGGGTCGCACTCTTTCTAAAAAACCAAGCCCAACAATCAGCACTTTCACATATGAGGCGCTCCATGGGTCCGTATATTGATTCTGACTATGTATAATTTTCGTTTCTAACTTGGACCTAGTGACCCGATTTCCTTCCAATACAAGACGGCATCCCGTCTCGAGATCACAGGCCACATAGTGGCAACACTGACGGTGTCCGCTTCCCGTTCTAATGAAATTGCCCCAGCCCCGTCCGACATTGATCTTTTTATCACGCTTCGGAAACTAAACGCCGATGGAAAAGAAGTCTTCTATACCGGTACCATGGGAGATCCGGTGCCAATTGTGAAGGGATGGCTTCGTGTATCCCTTCGCAAGGTCAACTCGGAACACCGATTCCACCGCGAATATCTCCCCTACCGCGACTATTTCGGCAAAGACGCCCAGCCAGTGGAGGAGCATGAAAAATACAAGGTTGATGTTGAAGTATGGCCTACCAATGTCGTCTTGGAGCAAAATGAAACTCTCGTGCTCGAGATCGCTGGTCGTGATACCCAAGGAGTCGGAAAGTTCTCTCATGAGCATCCCTCGGACAGAGATCCCAAGGTCTTTGGGGGCCTGAATAGCCTGGAGGTGGGCAATGAGCAAAGTTGGCTCACGCTCCCTATCATTCCATCCCGGTAAACCATGATTGGCGTTATTTGAAGCCAAGTTGATTGTATATAAGACATCTATAGAATTTCGACTGATAGGAAGCAATCATTGAATCTCACTATTTACGTAAATTAAGATCATCAAAATTCTGTTTTTGCTTGCCAAGAATTATTGGTCAGTCAACTACGTATTTCATCCAAGAGGACCACGCTACACCTCAAGCATCGCTCACTATGACAGGTTGAACTTTAAGAACGGGCCTTGGGCAGCCGCTACCCCCACCCCGTTACATGCAATTCTGGAATCTACTCAATCTTCGATGTATGTTGTATTGGGTTTTTAATTTAAAATTTCTAATAGTTGCACATCATATAGATAATTTAGTCGTAACACCTTCCATGGTGCTCTTTGAATTCAACCCTAAAGGGCGCTGCGTCTCCGACTGCCCGTGATATTTCCGCTTGATCAACATACCAAAAGAGAGTAAGCACGAAGTTTGGCACACGAATCGCCTTCATAGGCTCTAAGAGCTGAATCACCTCATTCCAGTCTGGATATGAGTCATCATCCTGCTGGAATTCGAACGGCCAATCATTCCAACGGGTGAACTCAACCTGGAGATTTAATAGTGAATTCATATCGGCGATAGTTTCCCATGCCGTCCACCAGAGCGACCTTGGAGTCCCTACAAACATACTATTAGACCGTACCGACATACCGTCCCGAAAAGGGATCGACAACTGTAGAGACCGAATGCTGTCGAAGCGTTGCGGTAGGATGGTACGCTGGAGATCAACGATCGTCCGAGATTGGCGGAAACTGAGCACATTTTGAGAGTAAAGCACTTCAATTGATTCCGAATACCTGGGTGGATCAATGGTCAGCTAACGTTTCACGTTCAAAACAATGGGATTGGGCATACATTCACCGGCACGAGCGCAGTAATTGAACTCTTAACGGGGTACGCGTATATCGATTCACCGACGGGGTCGTACGTCGTGGTTCGATAGATAGGAATTATTGTTCCATCCCGGTTCAACAGTCGGCCCGAGCACTTGTGACACCAACTAGGGTGGCGTGGGTCATTTTCAAAACAGCGGCGACTCAACAGCCGTCCGTCGCCGCTGGCTACATGAAGTATGGGGTAGTCAGAAGGGGCGAGGACTTCCTGATAGACCAAAAGTCGAATCTCCAAAGGAATATTAGCAAAGAATTGAGATTGTTCTTGGTGGTAGATCGGATTTTCAGTGTTCGATTGAGTCGCGGCCGATGGCGATGATGGCAGTGTCAGAACCCGTCTTGTTTGCGTGGGCAGCGGTTCAGGGCGGGCTCCCCAATCCGCCTGCTGTCGTTCTTCGACTTCATTGTGATCACAAAGCAATTTTCTGAGATACTTGAAGGGATGGAATGGGAAGATATCTTGCATCGCTACCGTTGGAGGGAAGAAAAAGAGGAATGACAGAAGATAGAAGGTATGAGTGGTGTTTTTTCAACCTGCATGATTTGACGTGGGGGCTGAGAGCCGCCCCGGCCCAACGAATGGGTGCTTATCGTGCTGTGCGGTCTCGGTCGCCTCGGCATCGAGGTCTCCGATGCCTGCCTGTAAAATGGTTAATCAGCTACGGAGATGACCAGCGGGATCAGGAGAACCTTTCACAAGGTTTTTTGCAGAGAGCTTAGGAATAATATTTTGATTGAGTGAAGCATAGCACGGTGAGCAAGATCCCAAGTGCCACCATACCGGCCGTAAGTATCAAGGATTCCCACTACAGACGCGCTCGAAATCAGTTTCACCACTTTACTCTCTTTGATTATTCCCTGAACTTAAAACATGAAACACGCTAGACCATGTTCGGTTTTGACAATTTTAGCCTCTCGATACGTATTGTAACTGAAAATTGTACGATGAATTATTCTGTAATCTATTGGAACCGTTCATATGATTGATACCTTATATCTGCTACGCTTCACGAGTCACTAGTCCAATATTGGCATCATCTATTCTTGTGTAAAGAATTCAAGTGGGAGAGTAGAAGACCAGCAACGGGATTACGTCGCAGAGCGTCATGGAGGCTGTAGCTAACGCGCTGAGAACAGTAGCTGACAGGTTCAGCTTCTACAAGATTTACTACACTCCTCCGCTCTTTCTTAGCGCCACATCCTTGCACTTATCTATACTCAGCTTAAGATGTTAATTGACTATTTCCATACTATATTGGACCCGATGATACATGGGCTACTGTATAATAATTGCTTCGCAAATACTAATCGTTCTAGGATTTCCGGTGCAGATAGGGCAAACAAAGAAAACAGCCTTGCCTAAGGAACGTGGCAACGATTTGTCTTCGTCCCTCTTCGAAAGACCTTCTAATATCTGCGTGAGTCGGCCACAGTCTCCAATATAGAAAAAGCGTCATTGTCCTTGCTTTGGTTATAGCCTGGTCTTTAATAGTCCGGTACTGGGCATCGCACATTCCGTAAGCCGCCGGTTCCGGGTGGCGAGAGGTCAGCCTGCATGACCATAGATATACTGCTTTTAGTTGGAGAGCTCTGCAATGTCCCTCATTGCTAGTGCTGATCGGTGTGCATCTTTACGGGAATGTTGGCTAACACTATAGGGCCCGATAGCAAACCATAGTTCAAGACTTACCCTAACCAACCATAGTGCTTTTATTACGTCATAACTCTAAGTACGAGGAAGGGGTAATAGACTAATCATAGTCTTAATAAAAGATGTTCAGTATCACTAGTTAGCTGCTACTCCTTTCTCCACCTTAGAGTAGCTAAGTGCTCGCCTCTAGATCCGTGGTAGAATTTGCCCTCGAGCGCTAACCTAGCTTAAGGCAGGTCGACTAGGCATAAGTTCATTCCACTAGTGGCGGCATACTCTCGAGGGTGTTTGCTATACTTAAAACGCAAAATAGATTTTGTTTGTCAATGCCTATATAGCCATGTTTATGTAGCCCGCAGCCGTAGCACTCTAATCGCCATTCGAGCATCGGCCTATTAAGCTTCTCTAATAGTTCGGGGCGCATGGCATTCAGCCTCGAAATTTCTCAAGCTAACCTTAGCGCTTCCCTAGTAGAAGATTTTCTTCTCAGAGTGCAGCCGCTTATCTACTGCGCTAAATTTTCATATTGGCTAAAGTTACGAGTAGTTAATATTCCCGTTCTCGCAATATTATCAATCTAGGAAAATTTTTAACTGTTCGGTTTCAACGGAGATTAGGGCGTGCGAGACTGCAAAAGGCCTCGGCGATACGCTGGGGTGCTAGGTAGCGGGGGCGTTTCGCCGCTTCATCGGGATAAGGCGAGCCATTATATAGCAGTCCAAGAGTGTCAAGGCGTTATTGATGCGCTAGAATGTCAGCAGCGTGGGCGTTTCGCCGATAGTTTTTACCCGGATTAGGCGAGCTGGAAATAGATCACAGAAATGTGGTGTCATTGCGAGCAGCCATTCGACCTCGGATCGTCTGAATAGTGGGCTGTAATAAAGATAGTTACTGCCTGCTAATCGGTGTAGCATTCGCTCTCTCATCCCGCGGAAGGCAGAAGCCTCTCCCATTCCGTGGAGATCATGTTTCATTCCCGTGACTCTGACGCGGGCCGCGACGACGCCCGGTCCATTGACCGGTCGGCATCCCTGTCATCACGGAATTCACTGAAGAACGTCACGGAAACTCTGAGTCTGCGACTATTATTGATCGTGGTCATCTATTGGGATTTAGGGCGTCACGCCATTTTAGCAGAGCGTTGTTGCTGGTTGGTTCTTTCCATACTCAATTACTATTTTCGTTTTCATTTTCTTTGTCTCCGACACTAACCTAACCATATCACACGTATCCATCTCTTGCCAACCTAACCCTGACCATTCTCTCATGTTTCCATATACGGGGATATTTTCGTCATCCGTGGAAACAAATCAGGCTCAAGTAGTGATACTACTTAAGAGCACACTTTTGCTCAGGTTTCTATCACGGCCAATATGCTAATTATTCAGTTAACGTGGAAATGTTGTGAATTCGACAAGAAATTGACTTACTCTTCCTCCCTAAGAATGAAATGCTCTTCACCATCAATCTTGACCTCCGTTCCACTGTACTGTGCGATGTGTTAATATCACTTTCTATTTGTCTATAGGGAGAAACTTATACCTTTGAATAAAGAATAGTGTCTCCTTCTTTCACGTCAAGGGAGCTGGCGGTCCCATCTTCGGAGACTTTGCCTTTGCCAACTGCCACAACTTTCCCTTCGACAGGCTTCTCTTTCGCGGTATCAGGGATGTAAGGCCCTCTAGTGCTGGATTCCACTTTTTCGATTTTCTTAACAATGATTCTATCCTGGAGAGGTCTGATTTTCTGTAGGTAGTGTTAGAAAGGGCTTAGTCAAGTATAATAGATGTAGCTCGCTGTATACGAGAGACCTACCATCTTAAGTTATGAATTTGAGTTAAAATGGTTTCAATCAAGGGCAATTCGATGTAGGTTTTACAGCGTTATATAGTGGTTTGCAGTTTCGAATTATAAGAGGTCGAAGTGTGGAAAAACCTTGTTATGATCAGGATCGAAGGGCTTTATGAATTCAAATAGCAACAGTAGGGATGTGATATCATGACCAAGAATGCAATTAAGCAGCAGGGTCGTTAGAGTTAAAGATCACGATGCATCAGTGCCTTATCAGTCGGAAGTCGAAGCACAAGTTAGGCTCCGTCACGCTTCTGCCAGCTGCCTATGGCCGCCCGTTGGTCACAAATATAGCAACTCGTCCAAAGCGGAGAAGAGGAGAGCACACCGCTACTTCTTTTATCAGATCTATCAGTTTATCCTACTTAGAGCAAGCTTCTTGAAAATACCAGGGACGGACGCCTCCCAATTTCAGAACAGTCTGAGATATGATGTGTCTACTTTTGCCTATCAGAAAATGTAGGAAGTGTCGGTGTAGACGAAAGATGACGCAGACTTATCTGTGTGGCATAGGTAGCCCTGACACTCACCCTTAAACAGATAAGTGCCCAGCACTGTTAGGGATGTCACGCTCGACCTATACCATTTCAATGTGCATCAACGAATGCACCCGCCGAGCGAGCTGCAATGCTAAGGGTCCATGCCACTGCAATTTTGATTCGTTGCCTCTTTCCTCAGGACTTGTGACAAATGAACATAAAACACGTCTGGGTCGCGCTCGTGAAGACCAGGAGCCCGTAAAAATGCTCTTGCTGCAACACGCAGAGAGTGGGTACTGTGAAAGCTTGATGGATAGAGAAAACCCTCTGAGTATCTAATCTTCGCTTTGTCAGATCATGCATAATTTGAGCCATGCATAGGATCATCTGATTTGTTTTTACATAAATATAGAGCGCGGTCATTATTCTCGAATGGAGCACTCCAAGACACAACAGTTTATTCTAAGTAACTTAATTATGAGTCCAGGGATCCTAGGACCATTGTGTTTTGTATCTTGAGTCGACTATTGGCTGTTACGTGTTCCGGATAAATCCCCTTGAACGCGAAGAATGCTGTCCCTTTTGCTTCCTTACGCTACGTTTTTGTATCTAGAGTCAACTATAGTTGTTCTTACTGTAATATCGATTGTTCATCTCGAGACACTTTTCACCTCTATACATACGTGAGACCCTCACAATTGTTCCCAGAAGTAGTAACCCAAGCTTTTTGCATCCTAGGGTCGAATATGATCTTAGGAACGTGAGGGTCTCACAACATAAAATGTGGGATCTGTAATCGGTAATCAATATTAGGAATATAGATTGAAATGCGGGCAACAGAAAAAAGAGGTGGTTAACTAGGCAAAGATATGGTGTAAAGACACCCTTTGAAGAGAGAAATGATGTTGATGAACGATAAGATGTAACGGTTATCTGGGAGTTGGCTTAACGATGCTATCCGCGACCAACAAATTGGTTGTCTCAGAAATCTGAGTACAGCCTGGTCGAAATAATAAATAAACGGAATCATTCACTTATTTCCTTGTTAAACACAGTGAAAGAAGTAGGGTGTTTATTGAATATTATTGGCCAGATAACAGTCTCCACAATATAAAACAGCGTATTAGGGCGCTAAACTTAAAAGGGCAAACTCACTCGTACAGGCAATTCACAGGTCTCCATATTACGTGTACATTCTCAACCCCGCTGGATCACAATGTCTTCCGGAAAGCATGATATCGGATTACGTATCGAACCTATCAACCAACGTAAGGATATGATCCAGGCGTTTAACTGTGCATGCGAGGCTTTTGGGCGTCAGGCACAAGATGGGGTTTGGATCGCCATGAACCCAGCGTGGGAAACACCAGCGGGGAAGGCGCGTGGAGCTGCCGCAATGGTCAATCGCTGGACCACCACCACCAAAGACCAGGACGGCAATCCAAACACTATCTTTCTCAAGGCTACGCTACCCAGCTCCCAAGGCGGACGTGTGATCGCCGGATTTGCCATTTGGGTACAGGCTTCAAGCGTGGCAGGTCGCGGCGATAAGCCAGCGGAGGATCTGCGCGATGCCATGGAGCTTGAATCGCTGTATCCTGGAAATGAACCGGAACAGCGCTACCTATCTCAAGTCATGTCCTCTTTTTTTCGACGCCGTACTGAGGTCATCAAAGAGAAGGCCACTGCAACACCACCGGCGGTAATGATCTTGGATATGTGCGCCGTTGATCCGCGCTATCAACGAAAGGGCATTGCACGGGCTCTGGTGCAATGGGGCCTCGACGAAGCTCAGCGACGTGGAGACCTGGAGGCCATTACGGAGGCATCTAGCATGGGGAGGCACGTTTACGGCCAGATGGGCTTCCATCCAGAAGGCCCTGAGATCGAGTATCATGTTGATCCCGAATTTTCGCACCGCAGCAGGCCAGCCAATTTATTCATGCGAACCGGTGGCGGCTCCGAATGATTGTTTAGGTCGCAATATATGCACTATTAAAGTCGCCGTCGCAGGAGAGATAGACTCAACCTGCCTATGAGCCTGGAATAATAAACAGGGACACGCTTGTTGCCTCATTAGATCAAACCGGTAGTATATTTGCAGATAACCTAGAGTTGGTCATCAGTATTTGGCTCTAATACCTGCCACCATAGACTGGTTACGAACGACCCCATGCTCTGGACTCTTCAGATTACTGCCACATAACACCTGTAGCAGAAAAGAAAGCATTCTTAAGCATCGGACAAAGAGTCTCGTGGAGTGATCGTGGCTAACATCAATTATTTAGAACAGTGTTTCCCCATAATTGGCAGCGTGTGGCACGTACTAAATCAGCAACGCGGGCACTGGGCGTCGATTCGCACTGCCTGAACGATGTTTCGCGGTGCTGGGGGCTGGGGTCTTGCAAAAGGCACTTCGACCAGTGGGTGTAATGTTATGGTTGCATTCGAATTTTACTGCCTTGTACTCATGCCCACAGACTGCCGAGTAGTAGATGTACCAACCACAAGGGCAGTTGCCTGGGTTGAGAGGACTGTGTCACCATTTGTCCTGTATCCACCCAATTGGAGATGTAAATGACTCTGTATTTCCATTACCCCTATTTCTCACTATTTATGGGTCCATTCTAGTTACATAAGCTATGCTGACGGATCATCTATAGACCCGGTTTCATGCAGTATTCGTAAGGTAATCGCGACAGACTGTTTACCAGACGATCAGGTACATCTTTTTCCATTTGATTCGGTGGGATCTGAGTCGTCATATTCACTGGAGAGCTGCATAGAAATAAGTAATAGGAGGGTCGAGCTTGATATGGATCATAGTAAAATAAGAATAGTCCGACGAAGGTGTCTTTCCAAAATATTTATTACAAGCCTAGCGCTGAAGTGGGGGGCGTTTAAGTATCTCGCGCGCAGGAAGCATTTGTGAGTACATCACCAAATGTGATTTCTCCGAAGGCTATCTCTTGAGTGCCCAAGTCCTACTTGGCTCTCATTGGCCAATACGTGCTACAATTTAGGCGCTTTACTTCTCTATTCATATGCATAAGGCCTCAAAACGCATAGGAAGGTGGTAAATACAACAGTTGGAGGGGCGATCTTTGCTACGTAAACACCAGCCGCGGAGAATGTCTGTAACATTTTCAGCCTTGCAATCCGGGACTAAATAGGATTCAGCTCTTTGAGTTATTATTCTGGGCTGATTCTAGCAGTGGCAATCCTTTTACGAATTATCTTTGCTTGTGTGATAGGGTTCAGATATTGATAGCCACCCACTCCTGACGCATCTACACAACAGCGGCCGAACTCTAGCTCATCCAGTGCCCACATCAACGAGACCTGGATTGGCTACGCGGAATGAAGGCTCTCACCACGGTACTGAAGCCTTAGGTAGGAGACAAATATGATTACATTCTCCACGATCAGTGTTTCCACGTAAAAGGGGTATCATTAATACATTGATCTAGCGCAGAGTTAGACATTTCCAGTGTCTTTCTCCATAGTGAGCTTGTAATTTACTTTTCATGCCATTCCTTTGAAGCGATTTATAACTTCGCTGCTTTTCTCTGACTTTCATCTAGCCACACCTGAACCGTGCGCACTAGCCCATCAATTTCCGCTTCCGTGTTGCCTGCATGTAAGCATACTCGTACCCGTTCTTTTCCCTCGGGGATGGTGGGCGGCATTATTGCACGAACGATGAATCCTTTCTCCTGGCACGCACTTGCCAGCTGTCTTGGTTGTGACGTGCGAAGAGAGATGATCGGGGAGGTGGGGAAATGGTCAATCTCGAACATGATAGATGGACGTGTGTGAAGCCCATCCAGTCTTTGCCGCAGATGCCGAATCAACTGCTGAAGTCGGTATTGTAGCTGCAGGGGCCATCAGTAACTAGGTTATAAACCGTGGAGACAAGAGTAACTTACTGATGTTGTTTCGCCAGATGAAAGGAGCTCATATGCAGCGCGAATCGACGCCAAGAACGGGTATCCCAGCGCAGTGGTATAGATGAGACTCCGGGCATAATTGATCAAGTAGTCCCTTGTCTCGGGTCCACAGAGGACCATTGCTAGGGGGTGTTAGTCAATCATCTCAGATGCGTGTCAAAAACTTTAAAAGGCCATACCTCCATGACTGGCCAGGGCCTTGCCAAAGGTGTGCACTCGAATGAACATGCGATTTTGTACACCAAGTTCCTGGACTACTCCAGCACCTTTCGGTCCGAATACACCAGTTGCGTGCGCCTCGTCGACATAAAAATATCCATTCCCGGTGGGAAGCAGGTCATCCACAACCTTAATAAACTCCTTAATGGGAGCCACATCACCATCCATGCTGTATATCGATTCAACAACCACGAAGACATTACGGCTACCTTTTCGAATCGCTGGATCCGCAGTTATCTGGGACTGGAGCACCTCTCTCAACCCCGGTGGCGAACTGTGAGGGAACATTTTCCGAGCCCCCGCCCGGGAGAGACGCATTCCCTCGTGAGCACTGGCATGAATGAGCTCGTCATACAGAATCACATCCCCGGGCTGGGGAATACTGGAAAGCACTCCGACATTGGCATCATAGCCGGAATTGAACAAAAGCGCCGTCGGAGCTTGATGAAAGTCCGCGACAAAGTTTTCGAGCTCTTCCGCATACGCCGAGTTCCCGTCTAACAGCCGAGAACCGCCGCTGGCAAACGGGAATGAGGGAGGCGTGTTGTTCAGAAGAGCCAAGAACTTTTCCCGGTAGGCGGGCGACGTTGACAGCGACAGGAAGTCGTTGGACGAGAAATCCACGGCCGTCCGGGGTAAAACGGTTAACCTCCGGCGGGCAGATTTGGTTTCCCGAAGTGCCAATGCGGCGGACAGTGATTCAACAAGAGTTGGAGCTGAACATGTATGAGCTGGAGCCATTGTGATGTTCTGGGCTTTCTTTGCGACAAGAATATTCGAGATGCGTGTTTTATGTTCCTGGATTCCGATCTCGGGAGCAATGATCGCCCACTTTATTTGCTCCGAGGGAAACAGAGAAATTGACACAAACAGAATGACTCAATTGGACCAACTGGAGACACGAGAATGGAACCGGTTGGGATTCAACGAGAGAATAACCTCGGTGAGAGCGGAGAGGTCACGGGATCCACCTGGTTGACTCGCCCGCGGGATCTACAACCTCAGCCTATTCACCTCAACAATGCCTGTCGGTGCTGCACTATGGCGCAATTTACGCGCTCATCAGGTCTACGGGGCCAACACTGATGTGGGAAAGACAATTGTATCTACTGTGTTGTGCAATGCAGTTCAACGGCAAAAACAACAAGCCGCATTCCTCAAGCCTGTGTCAACGGGAGCGTTGGACGACGCCGATGATCGGTAGGCTACAATTGAGATAGTTGTATTAATTTCGATCTCTGATTTGGTCGCAGGCACTTGCAGCGCTTTGGCGCGGGGACATTAACTAAGTGTCTCTACCAGTTCGATGACCCAGTGAGCCCGCATTTGGCCGCCAAGGACAAAGTGGTGAGTCCCGATATCTTATCCTCAACAGGAAGCTAATTGATACAGATCCCGCGAGATGATAATCTCCTTGCCTCAATCCATAAGACGCTGTCCGGCTGGGCCCGGTCGGACATCGACTTTGCTCTCGTCGAGACTGCTGGGGGTGTCCACTCCCCAGGTCCCAATGGCAACTCGCAGGCGGATCTGTACCGCCCTCTACGGCTGCCAATTGTGCTGGTCGCGGACTCTCGTCTAGGAGGAATCTCTTCCTCCATCTCTGCTTATGAGTCGCTGCTACTTCGTGGCTATGACGTGCAATCGGTGCTCTTGTTCCGAGACGAGTACTACCAAAATCACGAGTATCTCCGTGATTACTTCAAGGGGAAGAGCATCCCTCTAGTCTCACTTCCAACACCTCCACCCCGACCGTCTCAGTTAGATGCGGATTCCCAATTGAGAGACGAGGAGGCCATGTCCACCTATTACCAAAAGTCCGCACAGGAATCCGACATCCTCAGACTGCTTGAGGAGATGACAGTGAAAAATACTGAGCGCATTGAACGCTTAGAAGAGATGGGCGACCGGGCCCGGGATCTGATCTGGTACCCCTTCACTCAGCACCAAGGCATGCGCGCAAAGGACATCACTGTGATCGACTCAGCCCACGATGACTACTTCCAGACATTCGGATCCAGCTCATCCAAAAATACCCAAAGTGAACTGCAGCCAACATTCGATGGCTCTGCGTCCTGGTGGACCCAAGGCTTGGGCCATGGTAACCCCGAGCTGTCGCTTTCTGCAGCCTACGCCGCTGGCCGGTACGGTCATGTGATGTTCGCAGGCGCCGTTCATGAGCCAGCGCTCTCTCTTGCGAGTCGCTTGCTAGAGACCATCGGAAACCCACGGTTGACCAAGGTTTTCTACACAGACAACGGAAGCACAGGAATGGAAGTTGCCGTGAAGATGGGTCTCCGCGCCTCCTGCAACCGCTACGGCTGGGACGCAAGCCAGGAACAAATTGGCATTCTGGGACTCAAGGGCAGTTACCATGGCGATACTATCGGAGTAATGGATTGCTCAGAGCCGTCCACTTTCAACCAAAAGGTTGAATGGTATCGTGGCCGTGGCCATTGGTTTGACTTCCCGCTGGTCAAGATGGTTGGCGGGTCATGGAAAGTCGAGATTCCCGGTGAGCTCCAAAAGGACTTGGGCGAAGATGTCGACTTTGCTTCATTGGGCTCGGTCTTTGATCTTGAACAGCGTATTGAGTCTGCCGCCGCTCGGCGCTACAAAGATTATATCCGCCGCACCATTGAGGACTTGGTACAGCGCCAGGGTATGAAGTTTGGAGCCCTTATTATGGAGCCCGTCATCCTCGGTGCCGGTGGAATGCTCTTCTGTGACCCGCTCTTCCAGAGATGCCTGGCTGATGTGGTCCGCGACCACCCAGAGCTATTCTCTGCCAATGCCACTTCTCATAAGGAATCCCCATCCTGGTCAGGCTTACCAATCATCTTTGACGAGGTGTTCACTGGCCTGTATCGCCTGGGTCGTCGGACATCCGCTTCATTCTTGGGTGTCCACCCAGACGTCGCTGTTAACGCCAAACTCCTCACGGGCGGATTGATCCCGCTCTGTACGACTGTGGCTAGCGAGGAGATCTTCGATGCTTTCTCCAGCCCGGAGAAGAGCGATGCACTCCTCCACGGCCACAGTTACACTGCCCATGCTGTTGGCTGCACCGTTGCCGTCGACTCTCTGAAGACAATGGCACAGATGGAGTCAGACGGGTCCTGGGATAGATACCGCGATGACTGGCGCAACAGCTCAGTGGTTGCTTCCGAAACCTCCACTCCTGATGTGTGGAGTGTCTGGTCACAGGGTCTACTTCAGGACCTGTCTTGTGCGGAATCAGTTGAGAGCGTCTTCGCTATTGGAACTGTGCTCAGTATTTCCCTGCGCGATGCCGAGGGTGGAGGTATGAAACTGAACGAGCCTTTAACGGCCTCTTTCCGCTAACATCTATCTAGGCTACACCTCTAACGCTGCGAAGGGTCTGCAACAAAAGCTCTCCATTGGCGGTGATAAGTTCAATGTTCACTCGCGCGTCCTCGGCAATGTCTTGTATCTCATGTCCAGTGTGACATCCAAACCCGAGTCGTTGCAAGAGATGGAAAAATTGCTTCGGTCGGCCTTGGTGTAAATTATTGCCTAATATGGATATCAAATGAATACATGTGAATGAATAGCAAGCCACGCATGAGGACGAAGTCAGGTTCGTCTATATGCAGCCGACTAGATCTCTGATGCTGAACTTTGGTGAAGCTTCGCAAAGTCATGACGGAAAACGATTGGTTGACAATAGGCGATATGTGCAATGAGGTACAGATTTGACTATAAATATGAACGATACATAGTGCTGTGTATGCAAATATCCTCGTCTAGCATCAGCGAGAAATAGATCGTCACGACTCAGATTTATAGATCTGTGACGCAATTGAGGCACATTTAGACTTAAAGCGAACCGTGGGCCGATGATCGGCGGCTCTCAATTCTTGCATCCCTTGCGCGTCTCGCATCTCAGCTTCATTATGAAATCCTAAATCGTCGAGGAATCAACATGCCAGGCATCTCGGGGATGGAGGCCCAGGAGCTTAATTCCAACTCTCGATTCCTGTTTAGCCAACCACGCGCATTACAATGGTTCGAGGGCGGGAAGTTGATGAAGCTCCAAGATGGCGAGCGACAAGCTGGACGGTTCGAGCTGTTCCTCGATCTGCTCTATGTCGCGATCCTGTCTAACTTTGCCGATGCTCTCGCAGAAGATATCTCAGGCGCAAAGCTCGTCAAGTATATTGTAAGTCGGCGAGCAGCACCACCCCTTATCGCACATGCTAACGTGTCCCAGTTGATCCTGGCTCCCTCCTGGAACGTCTGGAGCGACCTGCGCGAGCTGATGAACTCGTTCTACAATGACGATCTCATCCAACGCATCCTAATCCTATGGGTTATGGCCGTCCTAGTCGTATATGGCAACAACGCCCCGCTCGTCGACGAAGAGATCGGCGCTATGCGCTCAACCGTCGGCGCTTACATGGTCGCGCGCATTTCCTGCAACCTCGCACATCTGCTATACTCGTTCGCGAGCTACCACCACCGCCGACAGCAGCGTCTCTGGGTTGCGCTTTCAACCCTAGCTCTATGTATCTACATCCCGCTATACTTCGAGTCGGTTTCCATCCGCGGGAAGATCGCCGCAGCAGTTGTCGCAGTCGTTGCCGAGTATGTTGTCTGGGTCGCTTGCTATTCACCTGCAGGCAAGAAGCTCCTCCGCGTTAAATGGTCCACGGCAGTCGATCTCTCCCATGAGATCGACCGCTTCGCTGCATTTTACATTATCGCGCTGGGCGAGTTTCTCTACCTCATTATTGTGGGCTCGCATACAGCAGTCGGGTTGAATGATCGTCTTCTCCACGCGGTGTGGACGTTGATCATTGCATTCTGTTTGAATTGGCTATATGTCCATGCCGACGGCGCAATGGAAGCCACCCATCCCATGCGCCACTCTGTTTTCACGGCCTTCTCGTGGGTTTTCATTCATCTTCCGCTCATTGCGAGTCTGTTGGCTGGTGGGCACGTTGCGGCTCTTTCGGTGGAAGAGGAGGAATTCGAGGATCCGCAGCAGTGGCTTCTTTGTGGTGGACTCGGCACTGGTATGATCTTCTTATATCTGTTTGCTCTGCTCCACGCCTCGAAGGATGAGCCTGGGACTTTGATTCTGGCCAAGGTATGTTGTCAGTTTCACTGGTGGTATATCAGAACTAATGCTAACCGTTCATAGCCAATTCGACTTATCATGCGACCTGTAACGGGTATCATCGTGGTTCTTCTGCCTCTGGCTCGCCATCTAAACGCTACCTCAGTTCTGTCGGTGATCATGGCTCTTTTCGTGTTCTGTGTGATTTGGGAGACTGTTGGCTCGCTGAGATGCGGAGCCTCATTCATGGAGGAATGGGTGGACACCGAATATCCTGAACATCATACCGAAGAACATCACTAGAAGGGCGAGGAGCATCATTCCAAGGAGGTTGTCCCCGAAGGTCCTTGATCGAGATGGAGATCGCCTGGGCCATTTGGGGGAGAAATAAATCTAGGCCAACCCTGGAACCTCAAAAAACGTCAAATATACATCAGACAGTCCAGTCAGTATAGTATCTTTCTACCTTTCTATCATTATGCATCCGATCTGCTGAATATCTCACATGTTACGTCTATTCTAAGTGCAATAGCTTGTGGACTGACCTCCCCGAATGTCGGATCCAATCTCAATGATTCGTCCGCGAAGAGCTGGATCAAGGGACTGACGAAGTAAAATGTTGTTCATATCCTTCATGATATCTCACATTGCTCGTCCCCTGAAAGGGTGAATTATTGGAAAACCTGTACTACTAGGAGGTATCATGCAGACTATCTACTATATGATATGAGTTAAATGAAGTTCATGCATTGAAATCAAAACTATTTGGTATATCTCTAAATCTTTCATGAAGATCATCCAAGGATCTCCGAATGCAACGTATCTGTAAATCTATGCAAATAGATACTCACTCAACTGGTGCAATCTAAACCATAGACCGCTCAACCTTCATGTCACTAGCCTGGGTATCCGAGCGGTCCATAGTAGTGTAACGACTGAAGTCTCTCAGACCCCGACGCTCACCACCAGGCAGCTCACCCGCGGCTTCAGCCTTGCGTGCCTGACGACGGAAGTAAACACGCTTGCACCACTTCCAACTCTCAATACCAAGGAAGAAGAGAACCGTCTCAACAAAGACAATACCCCATTCCCAGGAGATACTGCTATGCTTGAAGACGCTGTGGTTGATAACGGGGATATAAAGAATCGGGAAAGCAAGAACGAATCCAGTCATGATACCGAAGAAAAGGACCTTGTTGCGCCAGATATCGTGCATCCACTGGGTAAAGCGCCGCTTTGAGTCGGGCTGCATTTGGAAGAAGCTGCGGCGGAGGTTCATCATCTCCCAGGCGAGGAAGAGGGCGAACCAGGTCATGCAAGTAAATGTTGTGGCGCGAGCGCGGAAGACTGTGTCGCAGTCATATGGCTTGGTTGGGTCGTTGTATTGGGTGTTACAGCCCATGGCGAGGTTTCCATCGCCCCAGCGGAACATGACGAGGGCGAATGCTGACAGACAAAGGGCGGCCATCCATACTCCGTAGACCAGGGTGTCGATGATGATTTCCCAAGTGAAAATTCCTTGTTTCTGTAATCCTGTTAGAATGATTTATAAGATAAGGGATAGTAAAACATACGCTTTGTGGGGGTCGGTCCATCACCTCTGGAGCGGCAGTCTCCATTCCCAGACCCATATCAGGAAGACCGGAGGTAATCATGATAATCCAAATAATCTCGACAGGCGCAATAGGGAAGACAGACTGGTTGCTGTCGTCCTTAAAGACCAGACCAATAAGCAAAGTGAGGGCCAAGGCGACGTTCTCAGCAAGAAGATGCAGAACGAACTTCTGGATATTGTCGAAAATGCGACGTCCTTCCTCGATGCCGTTAATGATTGAAGCAAAGTTATCATCGGACAGCACCAATTCAGATGCGTCCTTGGCAACGTCAGAACCATTCTGGCCCATGGCAATACCAACATCAGCTCGCTTAAGAGACGGCGAGTCGTTGACTCCATCACCAGTCATAGCAACATACTTGCCGCGACGATGCAGAGCATCGATCATACGGACCTTGGTGTTAGGTGCACAGCGAGCAATAACCAATGGAAGAGTGGGCAAGTTGTCGATTTCGTCTTCGGTCAACTTGTCGAACTCAGAAGCAGTCATCACCATCGCATCGGCGACGTCCTTGGCAACTGCATCCATGTTCGCAGGGATGATTCCAACCTGTGCTGCAATAGCACGGGCAGTTCCGGGGTGGTCACCAGTGACCATGTGGACAGAGATTCCAGCCTTGTAACATTGGCTGATGGCTCCGGCTGTCTCGGGACGAGGGGGATCGTAGAGACCGATGAGACCATAGAATGACAGGTCTTTCTCAATCTCTTCTCGGGGAAGAGGCTCGCCACCTTCCTTCGTACCGGCTGTGTTCTCCCGACCGGCCATGGCGAGAACTCGAAGACCCTCTTTGGCCAGAGCCTCCATGTTCTCCAGAATCTCGTCCTTGATTTCGTCGTCAAGTGGGACGGGGAGGCATCTGCCTTCCACTTGATCGTGGTACAGGCCTCGAGAACTCGCTCAACGGCACCCTTAGTGAAGATCATTTCGCGGCTCTTCTCTGAGCCCTCGTCGTGCTTGGAGAAGATCACTGACATCTTCTTCACGCTCGAGTCGAATGGATACTCGGCCTGTTGCTGCCAGATAGGCTTATCACCCTTGGTCCAGTGGTCCAGACCCCAGTTGAATCGAGAGGCAAAGACTTGAATGGCGATATCTGTAGGCTCGCCACGAGCTTGCCATCCATCGTTCGCGGTTTCATGGATGTGGGCCAGGTTAGCCATGGCAGCTACGTCCAGATATTCCTTGAGGGCATCGTTATCCTTCAGCAAGTCATCTGGGCTTGCAGGTTGGCCGATGGAATTATCGTCAAGTTTGATCGGCTGTTCAGGTACCAGACTCAGATCGCCTTCTCTCGGGTTGAGAGGGTCATTCGAGGCGCCGACCGAGTATGTTCCCACAGAGGGAATCCAAGCCCTTTTGGCCACCATGCGACCCTGTGTGAGAGTACCAGTCTTGTCTGAGCAGATATTAGTGACAGCACCGAGTGCTTCCAAGGAGTCCAGTTTCCGGACAATGACATGTCGCTGCACCATTTGCTTTGTTCCGACGGCCATAGTGATAGTCAATACAACAACCAAGCAAGCCGGAATCATAGCCAGACCAGTAGCGACGGCATAAATGATGACCTCGCTATCTCCGCGCCAATTGTTAGATCCAGCGACAACAATGGCAAAGATCACAGCAATTGCAAAGAGCAGAAGAGCGAGTTTGGACAGCTTTCGTTGCAACGGCGTACCAACATTAGTTCCTAAGAACCGTCCAATGGCATCGGTAGTAGTCAAAGTCCAGGCCTGAATATACCATCTTTTCTTGGTTTCTCCTTCAGGGCCACGCTTGACAGGACGGCGCTTCGAGTCTGTTCCACGCAGGGCCATGGCAATAGCTCCAATCTCAGTTCTCATACCCGTTCCCACAACAACTCCACGGGCACGGCCGCGAGTCACGGTGGATGAACTGTAAGCAATGTTGAGTCTATCGCCTGGACCGGTGTCGGCGTCAAATGTGGCGTCGGCTTCTTTCTGGACTGGTAGTGATTCGCCTGTGAGGAGGGCTTCATCGGTTTCGAAGTTGAATGCTTCCACCAATCTATATGTGTTAACTTACGCCATACTGAAGAATGCTGTATCTACATACCTGACATCAGCGGGAACAGTATCGCCCACTTTCAGTTCAACCATATCACCAGGGACAATCTCGTTAGCTGGCACAGTGGATGTCTTGCCATCGCGAGAGACAACACCGGTAGGTGAACTAAGGGAACGCAGTGAGTCCATGGTCTTCTCTGCTGCGTAGTCCTGGTAAACGCCGACCACAATGTTGAGGGCAATGACGGCAGCAATGAAACCACCTTCAATCCAGGACTGGATACCAAAACTGACAGCCATGGCAATAATAAGAACCTACATGGGTGTTAGTTAGGAGTTTCCGTTAGTTCCGGCTCATCACTTACCAGCATCATGGCATTGGCAATCTGTCGAATGACAATTTTGGCGAGGGAGACGCCTTCGTCTCCTTCCAACATGTTCTCGCCATATTTCTCCAGTCTTTGCTTGACCTCTCCCGAAGTCAATCCATCATCGGAGTTTGTACCCAGTTCTTTGATGACATCTGTAAAGGTGAGACTGTGGGCAGGCTGGGAAAGAGGTTGTTGAGTCTCGTTAGGACCCTGGCCTTTCTCCGCTCTATCCTGCGACATCGCGAACAGGTAAGTGGGTGAGGGGGTTTAGTCGTGTGTGGTATGATGTATTTCTATAAGTCTCTTAAGGAGGCGTCATGTAGAAGGTATCCGCAAGAGAATGAGAGTCCATACACAGAGCAGAGTTACTTCTTTTACGCGAGAAGAGTATAGAGTATGTTCTTGATTCTTTTCCTTTTTTTTGTTGCCGGGGTGTTTCTGGGTATAAATATGGTCCAGCCAGACAACGATGGCGAAATACACCTGCAACCGGGTATCTCTCTCCGGGAGTCAAATGGTTGCGACTCTGGGGAACCGACCAAAACTCCGATATCTCGACCAATTACCAGCCGTAACCAAGTCTCGGTATCGAGCGGACTCTTGGCGCATTCGATTCGTCTTTGGCTCTTGGGAGGCAATGACGACATGACCCTCGGCGTTGTCTCGGCGGCCGGCCACGCGAGAAATTGTGAATGCTAATTGGTTGCGGAGTGCCAAGAATCACCCGGGAAGTCTGGGCGGCGCCTCGGCGGGCGGTGACTGGACTCATGCTCATCTATTTCGGTCGGAGCAATACATCTTCTCTTGGCCTGAAATATCTTGGCTAATCTTTGATTTTTGGGGTTAGGGTCTTGGCAGGTGAGGTCCGAGAGTGCCTCCTTCAAATCCGCCCCGGTCTGCCGTTTGAATTTTGGTCAGACGCGTGTTGAAAGAGAATGGGAACTCAGTGATATCTGGGTGCACTGCGGTGCCTATGCATATACAAACGAGCGATCCGAATGTCACACCGTGCCCCTTGTCCCACACTCTCCAAAGCATTCCCATTGGGCCTATTGGGCCTATTGGGCGATACTTGAATTTTTGTTGAATTTTTGTATTCCTGCCTCACTCGCATGATCCCACATGGAGGAATCAATGCCCCGCGGGGAGATCATCGGGATCGTGATTGGGGGTGTGGTCATATTTGCCCTGATCAGCATGATTCCGTTGTGAGTGTCCCCGCATGGGTCTTGGCTAAGCCCTCATGCACGCGAATACTCTCGAAGTGTTTCCCTACTGACTGACTTGCAGAACCATCATCTGGTGCCGCCGACGAGTCAATCGCGAGTCTTCATTGAATCGCGGCGAGTGGAGGCTCGGCAATCAACAAACGCAACAACTACCCCTGCAGGATGTCCTGGGCCACCCAGTCTCGGTGGACCGATGGCTGGAAGAACAAAATGTGCCCACAAATGCCCAGCAATATGGCCAAGATACTTGGTAAGTTGTTATCTTCCTGGTCTCCCATCCCACTCTTGGCTCTGCGGCTCGATGATGTTAGTGCGGGGACAATAGGGCTGGGCACAAGGCTGAATCTGCCCTATTGGGCGCATCGATGTCTTGTGGGCAATATTGGGGTCTGGGCAAGACAATCTGGCCCGCGACTTTCCATACTCTCAATCCATGTCGCTACCATGTCAATGCCGTGCCTTGTTCTGTTCCATGTTCCTGGATGATATCACCTCTTGGCCAAACAAATATCGACGCAGGACGAATCGCCTGAACCTTCTAGAAGCACGGCTAACAATGCTCCACAGTTCCATCTGCCTCTGCGCACTGTCGTCGCCGGTCTATCCGACCTATCCACATACAGCCATTCTAGCCCGGAGCCAACGCAATCAATCCCCAATTCGGGCAGACGATCCCCATGCACGCGTGGCCCTGGACCCTGGCCACGAGACCATTGTCTTGAATCGATGCAAGCATGCCTTCCATCTGGCTTGTCTCAAGTCTTGGTTTGAGTATCGTCGGTATAAGTGCCCCATTTGCCAAGCTTCGTATTCGCCCGAGGAGGAGGCATGCGGATTAAGACCCCCAACCTGATTGTTCTTTGTCTTTTGTACAATTTCCTGGTGGCTTTATATTTTCTTGGTATCCATGCATCTTTTTCTCGAGGCCTTGTGACGGGCTTTGCTTTGAGATATCCATTGCGCTCGAGATGTATTCTCTCGGATATTCCATGTCTAGTCTATGTAGGTTGCTGTAACTTATATGTGCATTGTTATGCGAGGCATGATTGTAACTTTAAAGCTACTATGTATTTCTCATAGAAGACGAGAGTGGCTATTCCAAGTTTGCTTCCCTTGGTACCGGCTCAGCGGTTTTCCACCCGAGGGTCCACTTCTTATATCATCCGAGCATCACAGTCTTACCACGCATGAATTTCAGTGCGGCAAACTCCTGTCTTGAATTTTGACACTCGTCTCCCGTTCACGCGACCGGGTATAACGTACCAACTTGATTGGGCGCCTAGCTCTTATTCCCGTCTCTTTGTGATTATTGACCTGGAATCTTTAACTAGTCCTTCGTTTAAAAAATAGATTATTCCTAAGAGGCATCTGGCCAATGGAACAAGTTCTTTATCACATCAATAGGTGCGTGACTTTACCAGTAACGATCACGGGGTCTTGGGTACTCAATAACTTTGACTGGCTCTGCATTATACTTCCATATTATGTGGCAATATATACTTCGGATCGCTCAAAGCCAGAGGAGCAATGTAAATCTTAAAGGTGCCACGCGAGATAAACTGTTATTAAAGTACGCCTTTTCTAGTATTTTCGTGTCAATTTTCACTTTATCGGCTATTAGAATGGCTTCTAGTGCCGAAGATAAGTCGCACTAAAACTCGTGTGTAGCCAGAGAACAATATTTAGAAGATATCGAGGAGTGAGCCTCGGGTTGTAGTATTATGAATCAGCTCATTAGAGATGGTTCTGTTATTCACTTATGCAATTTCAAGTGTTTAATATTCAAGTGTGAGATCGGCTGTCGGGCACCCAAAAAGGAAATGAATATCTCCCGCACGGAAGCCCAACCTCCAATATCACGTTGCATTTTACTTCTTTGTAGACAATCTCCCAAATCTCCTCATCTCATCAGCTCCTCTCTTCGACTCTTCTCAACATGGACCTGACCCTCAAAGAACTCAACCTAATCGAAGTCGCAAGAAGCACAATCAATTCAATTCCCAAATCAGACAACCACAGCGTCGCCAGCGCAGCCCTCTCTGCGAATGGACAAGTCTTCTCTGGAGTCAATGTCTTCCACTTTACCGGTGGGCCATGTGCTGAGCTCGTCGTTCTCGGTGTTGCCGCTGCTGCAGGAGCTCAGAAACTCACGCATATAGTTGCAGTGGGTGAAGATGGTCGAGAGGGAGTCATCATGAGTCCATGCGGTCGCTGTCGCCAGGTGTTGCGTGACTTGCATCCTGGTATTAACATCATTCTACAGAAACCCGGAAGGGCAGTGGCCGTATCCATCAATGAGCTGTTACCATACGCTTATGATCTTCGGGATTGAGTTTTCAATGTTAATTATTGGCCTAGAGAAGATATCAAATATCAAATGTACTTAGATGCCTATCGATCAATAACTCGAATCAATCCAAGAGCCATAATCACTCCCCAAAACAGTCTTCTTGGTCACAGCCGCCGAGATAGGAGTCTCATACAGCCGGCCCGAAGTACTAGCTCCATCCCCAGAGTTGTTGTACTCATAGTACAGCGGCGTAGCACCGTCAGCCATAGTCGTCCAGCCCTTAGCATTGATCAAACTACCCAGCTTGCAATTCTGGTAGATAACACGAGCCAGAACGCGCCACGGACGACCGAGATACTGCGTACCATCAAGGGTAACACCCGACGCAGCCTGAACATTACAGTGGTCGATCGCGTACCAGGCTGTGTCGCTGGGTGTCATGCGCGAGTTGGCAGTAATGGCACCAGGACCATTGGCAACGATGTCACATTCGCCGAACCAGGCCGAGGCATCGCCGAAGATGAAGTCCACGGCTCCTGTGAGAGTTTAGTATACATAGGAATGTGTACATCTGCTGAACTTACCCTCAATCATGCAGTTGGAATAGTACTGAGTTCCAGACTTGGCATACAAGGTATCCTGGTATCCCAAGAACTGGCAGCCATAGAAGCCAAGCCGATCGGCATTCGCGACGAGTCTATTATAATCAGTCTCTATATCCGACGTCAAGTGTAGAGGTAAAACTCACGCCACAGCCTGCGCTCCCTTTCCATACCCATTCACAACATTGATGTTATACATCTTCAACCCATTAGATACAACATTCACAGTCGCACTCTTATCCAACGATCCAGCAGTAGGGGAATCGAGAGAATGCGTAATAGTAACGGTATTACTCTTATACGACGATGTATCCGCAGTCTGCCCATACAAAGTCAATGCACCACCGTATTTAATGGTGACCTGCTCCTTGTATGTGCCACCAGCAATGTAGATACACGCATCAGCGGTGGAAGAGCCAAGAGCAGAGACTGCAGCGCCGACACTCGAGTATGTACCACTGGAACCGACAGTCAAACATCCTGAGGGCGCGCTTGTCCTCGCTGTGCGACGTTGCAGCTCTGTCGGTGCCCCGAGGACGCCGGCGCCAAGGGTTAGGGCTGAGATGAGAGGTTTGGCAAGATGCATGATGTGCGAAATTAACCAGGGAAATGATCGTCCCTGATGTGCGGTTGCATGGGTATTATATGCAGATTTTTGGGCATAACTTCTAAGCAAGCTTTTGTGTCTAATCAGAATCCCCTATTTCAAGGGTCAACAACTGTCTCATATCAGACGGAGCTATAGTTGAAACATGGATTCCCCACTCCGATATATCCGTGAATGACAGGCGTTATGCAGGGCAGTTTCTATTTAGGCTGATATATTTACTGGTACGCTATTGGTTCCCTGTCATCTTGCATGTCTAGCATGTGTCCCGTGAGAGTGTTTCAAACAAGGGAGCGCCAGCTCCGAAGTATATACAGCTAGATCCGGGGAAATCCACGGGAAAATGCCACGCGAGACCCATGTCCCTGGAATTAATTGGCGGTTATCGACTAGTAATCCCCGTCCCCTGGATGTGTATCTGAAGAATGACGACAAAAGATCCAAAGAAACCAAAATATTCCTCGAATAGCGGGGCGCGTTTCAGAAAGCACGCTTGTTTTTCCGTTGGAGTATGAAACCTCATCTCCACCACATTAAATTAGCCAGATATTAGCCATCTATACTTAGCTATACAATATAGAAAGAAATATACTTAAAATGACTACCAGTTTTCCCCTAAACGCAGTACCAACAACGAACATGCCATCCCTAGCCAAAGCCCTCACAGCCCTCGCGCTGCTAACACAAACCCTCGCTCTGAGTCCAACTAAGCCCCTCAATGCCCGCGCTTCAACCTGTACACCGAAAGCAGGGGGATCATCTTCAGTGGACGATGTACCAGCCATCACATCCGCGATCACATCTTGCGGAAATGGGGGAACAATTGTCATCCCCGCTGGTAGTACATACTACCTGAACAGCGTGCTCGATTTTGCAGGCTGCACCGGCTGCGACTTCCAAGTTGAGGGCCTGTTGAAGTTCTCCTCATCGACGAGTTACTGGGAGGGTCGCACTGCCATGATCAACGTTAAGAATATCAATGGACTTAAGATCCGATCGTTGACGGGGAGTGGAGTTATCGATGGAAATGGACAGAACGCGTAAGTGCCACCTTTTCCGATCTTGTCTTTTCTTCGCAGTATATTGATACTAACATACCATGTATAGATGGGACCTCTTCGCAAAAGATAGCAGTTACGCCCGCCCAACACTCCTCTACATAGTCGGCGGCTCAAACATCGAAGTATCAAACCTGCGCCAAAAGAACCCACCAAACGTCTTCAACTCCGTGAAAGGCAGCTCATCCAAAGTAATCTTCTCCCATCTGAAGATGGACGCGACATCGAAGAGCGACAACGCGCCCAAAAACACTGACGGCTTCGACATCGGCCAGAGCACAGACGTCACAATCAGCAACGTAAACGTCAGCAACGACGACGACTGCGTGGCCTTCAAGCCCGGCTGCGATGGCGTTACCGTGACAGATATAACCTGCACGGGGAGTCACGGATTATCTGTTGGATCATTGGGCAAGGGATCAGATGATACAGTGAAGAACGTGTACGTATCCGGCGCGACGATGATCAATTCGACCAAAGCAGTTGGGATAAAGACATACCCTTCCGGCGGCTCGCATGGTCTGTCAACTGTGAGCAATGTGACGTGGAGTGGGGTTGTTGTTGATGGATGCGACTATGCGATTCAGATCCAGAGCTGTTACGGCGAGGATAGTGAGTATTGTGAAGAGAACCCGGGGAATGCGAAGTTGTCTGGGATATTGTTTGAAGACATCAGTGGGACGACGAGTGGGAAGTATGGTGCCGTGACGGGCAATTTGGACTGCGGATCTGGGGGTACTTGTGAGGTGAAGATTAGTTCGTACACGGTGAAGCCGGCGTCTGGGGCTGGGAAGGTGCTTTGTGCGAACACCCCGTCTGATTTGGGGGTTACTTGTACTGCTGGAGCATCGGGATGATGATTGGAAGGGAAGTGTATCTCTATACAATTTTGCGGTATAATAAAATATGTTCAAGCACGTTGTAATTTTAGACTCTTTCCTCACTGATCATGTTTACGAATTGGCAACCATCTTATCCTTGACGTAGAGGTCGACGTACTGGTCGACATCGTAGTTCTCCAGCTGAGGACGGTCCAAGCCCACCTTCAGCAGCTCATCGACGCGAGCCTGGTCGAAGTGTGCCTCGAGGTGACGCTTGTACTTGGCCAGAATCTCAGGCTTGGCCTCCTCGCGACGGAGACGGTGGCCGAGAGGGGCTTCGACGGCGATCTCCTCAAGGACAGTGCCGTCGTTCAGAGTGACGGTCAGCGCGTTGGGAATGGTACGCTTGGCGGGGTCGTGGTAGTCAGTTGTGTACTGAGTGTCCTCGACACAGCGGATACGCTTGCGGAGGTCCTCCAGCAAAGGAGAGGTGGCGGCCTCGGAGCCGTCGGCGTAGTCGCTGGCGGTGAGACGGCCGAAGACGAGCATGGTGGCAACCATGTACTGCACGCAGTGGTCGCGGTCGGCGAAGTTGTCCATCTCCTTGAACTGCTTGTCGATGATACGAATGCAGGCCTCGTGTGTGCGGTTGGTGATCTCCTTGATATCCTTGGCGCTTTTGCCCATGGAGGCGAGCTTGGCGTTGACCTTTTCGGCGGCCTCAATGGCAGTCTGCGAGTGGAACTCAGCTGGAACAGAGTTAGTCATGTTCAATCAGAGTAGGATGCATTGCACTTACCAGGGTAGGAGACCTTGAAGAGAACGTTCTCCATGACGTAGCTGCCGTAGGGGCGCTGGAACTGGAACTTCTTGCCTTTGAACAGGACATCGTAGAAGCCCCAGGTTGGGGCAGAAAGCACGGTGCGCAGACCTCCCTCTCCCTTTTGGACCTTCAATACCAGGTTGACAGCGCGCTGGCAGGCATCACCGGCAGCCCACGACTTGCGGGACATGGTGTTGGGGGAGTGGCGGTAGGTACGGAGACTCTGGCCGTCCACCCACGCCTGGGTAATGGCATCGGCGGTCTGCTGCTCTGTGAGACCCATCATCTTGGAAACGACAGCGGCGGTCGCAACTTTGACGAGAACAACGTGGTCGAGGCCGACCTTGTTGTACGAGTTCTCCAGAGCAAGGACACCCTGAATCTCGTGGGCCTTGATCATGGCCTCCAAAACATCATGGATCTTCAGGATTTTGCCATTACCAAGGTTTCCACCGGCGCGGTTGGTGCGGGAGATCCAGTCTGCCACAGCCAGAATACCTCCCAAGTTGTCGGAGGGGTGACCCCACTCAGCGGCCAGCCAGCAGTCATTGTAGTCGAGCCAGCGGATCATAGCACCGATGTTGAACGCACCGTTGACGGGATCCAGCTGGTAAGGAGTACCGGGGACACGGGTACCATTGGGGACGATAGTACCGTCCACAACAGGGCCGAGCAGCTTGGCGCACTCCTTGAACTTCAGGGCCTCCAATCCACAGCCGAGAGTGTCCAAGAAGACCAAACGGGCAGTATCAAACTATCGACACAATCAATTAGCAGGGTTCAGGGTTCCGGTTACCCGCTCCACTTACCGCCAAGTCGGAGTCCACCTTGTAGTCATGGATGTACGAGGCCATATCCTGAATTTCAGGGTCATACGGCCTGTCGGTAGGAACCGTAGGAGCGGCAGACTGACGGGCGGCCATGGTGGAAAAGCGAGGTGTGCGAGGTGTGCGAGGTGTAAGTGTAGGGACAGAAATGCGAGAAGCGAGAGTGGGCAATCTGGAGATGCGGGCCAAAGTGCGGGGAGCCGTGTGGGTCAAGCGCCTCACGGGCAAGGACATGGTGAAGGGGAGAAGAAAAAGGAGTACAATTGGACCTGGAGATGGAAGAAGATGAAGGTTAAGGAGAAGGTACAAGATAGGAGAGGGTAATGGAGAATGGAGAATGTTGGGGAATTGGGGAAAGGGAAGGGATGTCAAGTTGACTTCATGCCGAGGGTCGGTTACTGTCGGTCCGACACCTGTTGATCTGTTTAGTCTACGAACATTGATCAGTAGCTAACTTATTGAGCTAATTTTTGTGGCTATTTGCATTGATGCCATGGGACATTTCTCCGAAGTCAGGAGTAGTCAATTATGCGAAATTCGGAGGTATCACTTGGAAAGGCAGCAGAAACGCCAGCAAAACAGAGCAAAACAGAGATGACAGTGTGATTCCTCGGATCAATTGACCTCCCATGGCGATCGGCATAGATCAGCGATAGACGCCATTGGCCTCCTTTGTGTCCGATTCGCGCAGGCACTGGGCGATCTCTGCATAAATGGCCTTTGCGAACAAAGGGGGCACCGCGTTGCCAATTTGCTTGCGCACATTGTGGTCTGAAAATTCAAAATCCATGGGGAATGTCTGGAGACAGGCGAACTCGCGAGCAGTAAAAGGTCTCTTCCCCGTGGGGTGGTAGTTGTACTCCCCCCACCACAAGTGATGGTCTTGGCCGGTGCATATCCGTTATAATCGGCGCGGTGAGCTAACTCCCAGCGAGCAAAGCCTGCCTCAATATCGTGATCTTGGGCATCATCGGGGATAAGGCCAATAGCAGACCAGATGGATGAACGAGGGAGAAGTCCAGGGGAAGCGATCAATCCGTGAGTTGGTTGGGGAAGATGAGGGAGGATCTCTCCCGGTCTGTGGTCAGTTGGTCAGCGATGCCCTGGATATCTTCGTTTCTTCCTTCTTCCGCTTATTTCTTTCTTTCTCTACAACTTACCCTGCAGCAATCACCAGCAACCTCTTCCGCTCCTGAGGTACGCCATAGTCATCGCAGCGCAACACTGCCCAGCGGAGAGAATATCCGATCTCCACCATATCAAGCAGCACCCGGTGGAAGATATCAGGAAACCGCTCAGGCAAGCCGGAGGTCTCCTCCATAGTCAGAACCCGTGGCTTAGCAGTCCGGCACAAGCATCCGGCGGAGAAGATACAAGCCGAATTGTCGTCATCGCGGTTGCAGTTGACGGTGTGGGCGGGTGAGAATGTTTGGCAGGGAGGTGAGCAGTGGCAGATATCTACGCGCATCCAGTTCGGATCGTTGGTGAGGAAATCGAAGAACTGGGCATGCTCGATCTCTACCCCTTCAAAGTTACGCTGGTAGGTATCGACAGCGTGACGGCAAGAGTCAACTGCCCACTTGATGTCTAGTCCAGCTTGTCTGGCGCCACAGGATACACCACCGCCACCACAGTATGCATCGCCAAAGGTGTATGCCCGTGACCGTCCAGCGATGACACCAGTGAGATCAATAACCTCGTCATTGTCGATGTCTTCTGCTGCTGAAATAGGTGCCTGTCCCTCCCCGAAAAGTGTCGTGCGGCCCAGTCCTCGCCATTCATCACGCAGCTGGATAGAGGTCTTGCCCAATCCGTTATCACTTTCGCGGAAATCGAGGTATTCAATGGCCGTCTGGTCAGCTGTCAAGGGGTGCTGGCCAGGGACGAGGACAACGCCCTGCTGGCGAATTGTGAGCTTGAGGCGGCAAGTCAGCTGCGGAGTGGGCACGTCAAAGTCGGTGCGATGATTAGTGAAGCGAATGTCACACATCTGCTTGACATTCTTGATGCTCACCGAGTCGGTCTTTTGCGTGACCCAGATCAGCTCGTTGTCCTTCTTAGGGATGTACATCTTGACCTCGGGGTGCGTGGCACGGAAGAGACGACGGCCGGTGAAACGCACGTCGTAACCCAAAGGGTCAACCTGTTGAATGCGAAGAAAGGAGCCATCCTTGAGCTCCAGGGACAGTCCAGCACGGTAAAGAATACCACCAATGACGGTTTCCGAGAGTTGAGGGCTCGGGCGGACAGATCGTCCTGATGCCTTTCGGCTTATGGTCCGAGTAGCCCGAGGAGTCCGAACAAATCGGCCAAGCTCCATGTTATCCACAGCAGCATTGCCGGAGGGGCCCGTGACGCTTTGCATCTCCGAAGTGAGGGTCTGCACGTCCTCGTCTTCTTCATTATCCGAGGTCAAGTCAATGATATCTTGAGGCTTGGGAATGGACGCGCGTGTGAGAAAAGGCATGAAAGGAGAAGATGTTTCCACCTTCATGTCATCGTCGCCAATGGTCAAATCCAAGACGGCTGCGATTGACTGTGTACCTCGTGAGACGGTCGGATATCCGAAAGGGGATACCGAGATACGTGATCTATCGAGGAGGCCATTTTGCGGTGGAGGAGGGTTGAGGAGTTACTTGTGCAAATATGGGAACGTGAGAGCTTGAAGAAAAAGAGGAAGCGAAGCGAAGATCCAGTGAGCTGGGTCTGATATCGTTTGGTATCGAGGCTGGGATGACTTCGCCTTCAGGCGACACAGAATGGAGATGTACGAAACAGGAATTTTGACCTGAAGTGAGAAAGTGCGATCAAATGTGGATCAATATCATCTGGGGAGATTGAGGTATCTTAAAAATCGATGCTATTCAGAAACTGAAGACTCTCGTGCTATACTATGTGCTGCGCGGTCTACTGAGCTACGAGCTGGAAGGACTGAGTATATCTATCTATCGAACAAAGCGGCCATAGTCTTTAACGGAGGTGTGAAGCATCAAAGACACAAAGAAGGACTAAATGGATAAAGGCATGGCGTTCAATGAAGCCATATACTGTATACTGTAGACCGTAACTGCATATAGATCGCCTTTCCCTTTCAGGCCACTAGGGCACGCTGACTCATCCATGACTAACCAACCAACGAGAAAAAAAACTCGGTGGAGCAGAACCAAACCACAGAACAAAATTTCACTATGGAGCGACTTTCCTCCTCTTTTCTCTTGGGCTGTGGTGACCATTGTCTGATCAGTCCCTCTATCCTTCATTGTAAGTGTGTTGTCTTGTCGTTTGTTGTTTTGTTCTTCACCCTCTCTATGATGAATTTGGTTTTTTTATAGATGTTAGACTTCCTAAGCAATCATTGCGGAGAAACATCCATCCTGATTTGAGACATACACTATCATGTTGTGCATGCAATGGGTAAAATTGATGCTAATGCTTCTACTCATTCAGGAATACCGTCAGGATGTGTGGCATCATTGCTCTGATCCAGGCGAACCCCTCATCCGCGGCTGCCGTGGATCTCCATGAAGCCCTCTACCTCCTCCAACGTGAGTTCGGTTTATAATCTCCACGTGCGACCGCGAAACTAAACGCGTGGGACAGATCGTGGTCAGGATGCAGCCGGTATCGCGACCTGTGCGTCCGGGGGTCGGATATACCAGTTGAAGGCCAACGGCATGGCTGCCAAGGTCTTCCAGGATGGTGCCAAGGTGACCAACCTGCCTGGTTCGATGGGCATTGGCCACCTGCGATACCCGACCGCAGGATCCAGTGCCAACGCCGAGGCCCAGCCATTCTACGTGAACAGCCCCTACGGTATTTGCTTTGCCCATAATGGTAACCTCATCAACGCCCCTGAGCTCAAGAAGCATTTGGATCTTGAGGCCCACCGTCACATCAACACCGACAGTGACAGCGAGTTGATGCTCAACGTCTTCGCCGATGAGCTGAGCGAGACCAAGAAGGCCCGTGTCAACCACGAGGACCTCTTCGCCAGTTTGACCCGCATGTACCAGCGCTGCGAGGGTGGATGGGCTTGCACTGCTATGCTTGCCGGTACGCCTTACTCCTTTGATGCATGTTGATATGGTGCTAACGTTGTCTAGGATTCGGTATCCTTGGTTTCCGTGATTCTTACGGTATCCGCCCCTTGGTTCTGGGCTCTCGCCAGTCCTTGGATGGACCTGGCATGGACTACATGATGGCTTCCGAGTCAGTAGCCCTGGACCAGCTGGGCTTCACCAACCAGCGTGATATCCAGCCCGGTGAGGCCGTCATCATCGCCAAGGGTGGTGAGCCGGTCTTCCGCCAGGTGGCACCCAAGAAGGCTTACGCCCCTGATATCTTCGAGTATGTCTACTTTGCTCGCCCTGACTCTGTCATGGATGGCATCAGTGTGTACCGTAGCCGGCAACGCATGGGTGATCGTCTCGGTGCACGGATCCTCGACGTCCTGGGTCCCGAGATTGTCAAGGATATTGACGTGGTCATCCCCATTCCTGAAACGGCTACCACCTCCGCAACCAATGTGGCACAGTACTTGAATAAGCCTTACTGCCATGGTTTCGTCAAGAACCGCTACGTCTTCCGGACTTTCATTATGCCCGAGCAAAAGACACGCCAAAAGGGTGTTCGTCGCAAGCTCAATGCTATGAAGGCCGAGTTCAAGGACCGCAATGTGCTGCTCGTTGATGACAGTATTGTTCGTGGTACCACCAGTCGTGAGATTGTCAGCATGGCCCGGGAAGCCGGCGCTAAGAAGGTTTACCTTGCTAGCTGTGCCCCCGAGATTACCCATGCTCACATCTACGGTATTGACCTTGCTTCTCCCCAGGAGCTTGTCGCCCACAACCGGGACTCCGACGCTATCGCCAAGCACATTGGTGCGGAGAGCGTTATCTTCCAGACCCTGGACGATCTTAAGGATGCTTGTGCCGAGGTTGCCCGTGAGAACGGGCAAGCGGAGCCCCAAGACTTTGAGGTCGGTGTGTTCTGCGGTAGCTACGTGACCCCAGTGTCCAACGGCTACTTCGAGCACCTGGAGTCCGTCCGCGGTGAAGGCCGCAAGTCCAAGGCCCTGGACAAGGCCAAGGAAGCCGTCTCCCACGGTTTTGCCAACCTGACGGACTTCCAGATCGCCGCCAACGGCGTGACCATGGACACCAATGGCAAGATCATCCCAGCCTCTGAGAAAACTGAGTCTCTGACCCACCCTGAGACCAAATCGAGCCATGAAGAGCACAACCCCAAGGTCTCTGACCGGATGGATATCAGCATCCACAACATGGCCGACCACCACGACGCATGATGACGATGACCTACCCTTTTCTTTTTGTTTTCACGTTTACACTGGCCATTTTGCCAGTTTGCATCGGGAGTCTGGGAGTTTTTTTGAAGGAGCATTGTCATGCTATTGGGTGGCTGATCTGCTGCTATGCAAAAGCATTGAAAATACCAATACCCGGTGTCTCGACTCGAGGTCATCTACTACGATATGAATCTAGATGAATGCAATGTTGATGTATCATGATTTCCATAAACCATAAAGTTCGTAAATATCCAACTCCAAGTTGATGTGATACTGTCAGGCAGCAATTGCGGCCTCAGGTATCACTCTGTCCAAGGTGGAAACAGTCTGCATCATCCACCAACCGGTTTCTGCCATCTCCTCCCCTTTTTCCCTCTGTGCGCAATGTGATTGACACACTTGAAAGCTCTGTCCGATTTCACCTTCCTACCAATGGAGCGTCGCGTCACTCGCTCTGCAGCGCGTGCTGCTTTGGTCGGGGATATCAGCCCGGCCCAAGGATCAAGCACCTCCAAGGCGCCCAAATCAAAGAGAACCAAGTTCAGCGAATCTGCTACAAACAAGACTACCACCATCAAATCGTCTTGTCCTAGACCTCAGAACAACAGACCGCTTAAGACAATTCCGAAGCCGCTCGGTTCAGACGAACTGCCTCATAATCTCGGATCTCTGCCGCTCCCACCAGTTGCTAAAGAAATGTCAATCGCTGGCTCTGACAAGGAAAACAAACCTGTCAAGGAAGAGAATGTCGACAAACTTGCTGTGGAGCTCCAAGACACTGTGGACAAAGCTACAACCGAAGTCGAAGAGACCAAAGCTGAAGCCACCCCGCCTGCCCGGAAACCCAAGAAGAACCCTTATGGCCTGACACCTGGAGAATCTCCCTTCCCCGAGTGGGCTCATCCAAGCACGGAGCAATGTGAAGAAGTCAACCGACTATTGTCCACCATCCATGGCGAGATCACGCCGCCAACCACCATCCCCGAACCCTCCCTGACAGTCACCGGATGTGGCGAAGTCCCATCAGTCCTAGATGCTCTAATCCGCACTCTCCTAAGCGGCGCAACAACAGGCGCCAACTCCGCTAGAGCCTTCAACGGGCTCGTGCAGCGCTTCGGTGTTCTTACAGAGGGCATCGGTAAAGGAAGCGTGAATTGGGAGGCTGTACGACAGGCCACAGTGAAAGACGTCTTCGAAGCAATCAAAAGCGGCGGGCTAGCAGATATCAAAAGCAAGAATCTCAAACGGATCCTGGATATCGTCCATGAAGACAACCAAACACGCCGGAATGACCTCCTAGCCACCGAAACTAAAGACACAACAATCTCCAAACTAGTCCCAGACGAACTCGAAAAGGAAAAAGCCTACGAAATCGCCTGCGCAGACCAAAATGTCCTCTCCCTCAACCACCTACACACTCTAACCTCGGAACAAGCAATGACAGAACTAGTAAAATACCCCGGCATCGGCCCAAAAACGGCAGCCTGCGTAATCCTCTTCTGTCTCCAACGCCCCTGCTTCGCAGTCGACACGCACATCTTCCGAATCTGCAAATGGCTCGGCTGGGTCCCTCCGCGCGCAAACGAGGTCACTGCTTTTAGTCACCTGGAAGTGCGAATCCCTGATCATCTCAAGTACTCGCTGCACCAGTTATTCATTCGGCATGGGAAGACTTGTTCGCGGTGTCGGGCTATTACTGGTGCTTCTAGTGCTGGTTGGGGGGATGGGTGTGTTATTGATCATTTGGTTACGAGGACTGGGAAGCGGAAGGGGTTGGTTGTTGCTGCTGTGAAGGGGAAGGGGAAGGGTAATGGGAAGGCTGGGAAGCGGAAGAAGGAGGAGTCGGAGGATGACATGGAGAGTGAGAGTCTAAGCGATATTGAGAGTGAACTTTCTGATCTGAGTGATGATTGAGGAATTATATCTCGACGGGACTACCTAAGCATCAATTATGAATTATGATATATGACAAGAAATAATGGCTGGAATATCTCATGTATTATTAGCGTTGCTCTATTTACATTTTGCTACTTGATCATTATATTATTTATATTCTTAATATTCATTTAACGAGGGTTGAAGCTATGTTTGGAAATGGCCGGTATCACAATGATCTTAACTTCCGGATTCCGTGATATAGACCAAACGCAAATAGAATTGCATATATGTATATATCCAAGGGAAGTGTAAAAGTAGCAAAGACAAGTAAGGAAAGAGCAGCAAAGAGCTAAGGAGAGGAAGTGGTCCGATGTAGATCGGCGTAGTCGGCCCGGGTCATGTTATCTCCATCAAAAAGTCCCTCCCTTACAACTCTCCCACTTCAATTGCTTCAATTCGTGCAGGATGGATTGTTTGGCAAAGCACCTTCCGCCGTCACTCCTCTCCCTCCTAGTGACCTATGTGCCACCCGGATCCGCACAATATGCCCCAATGATCAGAGTCGCGCTGGCCTCCTTGGTCGCCGTGTACGTGGGGTACCTCTACATCCAGAGCCGGAAAGAAGCAGCAGTCGCGTTCAATGTCCCTGTCCCGCCAGAAGTGCGCAAGAGTGGCACGGGCAAGTCTTGGGATGAGGTCCAGGGGCAGCAGAAGAAGGTGCTAGAGGATCAGGCTCGGGGGGTAAGTTACAGTTGCGTTCTCGTGTTTTCCGCGCTTGGTTCGCGTGCTTGAGCTAATCGCTGGTCTCTGACAGAAATGGAACGATCAATTGATTATGAGCTACTGTCCTGCCGATGGGAGAGTGCTCGGTAACGGAATGAAGCCCGCCACGGTCGACGATGTCAACGAGGCTATTCGGGCTGCAACGGCTGCGCAGCGGGAATGGGCAAAGACTACATTTGCGGAGCGCAGAAAGGTTCTCCGGACGTTGTTGAAGTATGTGGATACTGCTAGAGTCTGTTGTATAGAGCGGCTGCACATCCCATAGCTCCCCTGAGACTTGCTAACGTCCCGCAGATATGTCCTCGACCACCAAGACGACCTCGTTACCGCATGCTGCCTCGACTCCGGAAAGACAAAAGTGGATGCCTCCTTCGGCGAGATCCTCGTCACGACTGAGAAGCTCAAGTGGACAATCGACCATGGCGAGAAGGCGCTGCTCGCAGAGCGCCGGCCTACCAACTTCCTGATGATGTACAAGAAGAATATGGTCACATACGAACCGCTCGGCGTTGTGGGCGCCTGTGTATCTTGGAACTACCCTCTCCATAACTTTATCGGACCTGTTATCAGTGCCTTGTTCACCGGTAATGCGGTAGTCGTCAAGCCATCCGAGCAGACCGCATGGTGTTCGTCCTACTTCCTCGATATGGTGCGCGGTGCCCTCTCCAGCTGTGGCTACTCGCGCGACCTGGTCCACATGCTCGTCTGTCTACCCGCCGTTGCGGACACCCTGACCTCACACCCTGATATCGCACACTTGACCTTCATCGGATCCCGCCCCGTTGCCCACAAGGTCTGCGCATCAGCAGCCAAGGCCCTCATCCCCGTCTGCGTTGAGCTAGGCGGCAAAGACCCGGCCGTGATCCTCGACGACTCCCGCACCATCAACAATCTCTCGTCAATCGCATCCATTCTCATGCGCGGCGTCTTCCAATCCGCCGGCCAAAACTGCATCGGCGTAGAGCGCATCATCGCCCTCCCCGGCGCTTACGACCGTCTCATCGAAATCGTCACTCCACGTATCCAATCCCTCCGCCTGGGCTCCATCCTCCTCGACTCCACAACCCCAGACATGGGCGCAATGATCTCCCCCACCTCCTTCGCCAACCTAGAAACCCTCATCGCCGAAGCCGTCACTCAAGGCGCCCGCCTCCTCGCCGGCGGCACCCGATACCACCACCCAACTCACACCCACGGCCACTACTTCACCCCAACCCTCCTAGTAGACGTAACACGGGACATGCGCATCGCACAAGAAGAACTATTCGCACCGGTCTTCCTTGTGATGCGCGCATCATCCGTACCAGACGCAATCGCCATCTCAAACTCAACGCCCTACGCCCTCGGTGCGAGTGTCTTCGGCCACAACGCCACAGACATCCAATCCTGCGTACGCAACATCTCCGCAGGAATGGTAGCCGTCAACGACTTCGGCAGTTACTACGCCGTGCAGCTACCATTCGGAGGAGTGCGTGGGTCTGGCTATGGCCGGTTTGCTGGCGAGGAGGGTCTGCGCGGATTGTGCAATACCAAGGCTGTTTGTGTCGATCGGTTCCCGAAGATTATGGGGACTGCTATTCCGCCCCGGGTTGATTATCCGATTCAGAAGCGGAAGGGTGATGCTGGGGCTAAGGATGGTCGTGCTGCTTGGGAGATGTGTAAGGGAGTTGTTGAGACTGGGTATCAGTTGACTATTGGTGGGCGTGTTGCTGGTATTCTGCGGTTGTTGGGGAATATGTAGACTAGCACTACGGATGTACCTGTGACGTTGCTTCTTGTACTTTATACATCGTAATGGCTGAACTCTTGGCTGTGAGATCTATTTAATTAATGTGGTTTGTATATCAGCTCAAATCTATGCTAGGTTGGATATCATAACGGCAAATCAAAGTTATGCAGTGATATCGCTAATAACAGCTTCAAGGTTGAAGCACCTTTTATGGTGGAAAAGGACCAAACTTCTTCATCCAATAATGATCCCTCAAGAACGAGCTCTCGGGGAACCAGTTACCAGGAATCTCGGCTGCCACCTCACCAGACCCAATAACCTGGTCTTTATAAAGAGAACCCTCATAATCCGTAGGATTCAATTGTCCATGGACGAAAAGTGGGTTCTCCATATTGACTTGTATATCCCCAAGGATTCGAGGCATGCGTATCAAGTAGTGAGATAACCAGCGCGCAAAGTTGCCACAGCTCCGATAACGGCTTTGGTTACGCTGGGCGAGATCAACTTGATCGATAATCCATTGCGTGATCTCGGGCGAGTTATGCGGGAGGGATTCCGCGTTGGCGCGGACGAGGGCGTTCATGAAGGCCACGTTGAGGCTCGGGTCATCGCGGCCGTACCGGGTGACTGTGACAAAGTGTCCCGACGGGATGGTGTAGAAGGTACGGTCGTGGGTACCTGCTTTGTAGCGGAAGGTGTACTCGTCGATTTTGAGGAGTGTGACGAGTGCGCTGAAATTCTGGTGGCGGATTGCATTGTCGACTCCTTCATGCAGAGCTCCTCGGTCGACAAGCGTTAGGGTCTGTGGCATCACCAAGGTCTTTCCAGAGGTCCAGTTGCAGGATGTTATGCGCAGCATCTCCAGGAATGCGGAGTCGTCGGAGGAGAACCCATTGCTGCGGCCGCGAAGTAGATGGGGCGGGAAACTGCGGAGTTCCAGAGCTGGAAAGTTGATTAGGCTGCTTAACGAGGGGCAGCGAATCTCAGTGTTGACCATTGGCATAACGTGGAGTTCGTAATCTTGGATCCCCTTGTCTTCTGCGTGTGGAGCGAGTTGCGAGAAACGCGGACCCGTCTGCTCTTTCAGGAAGCCGCAAAGTCTCCTCATCGGTTTTCCCGTTCCAACGAAGACGCAACCACTGTCATCCTTGCGCGACAAGAATTTCTCGAAATCTGCCTGTTGGTGGGCTTCTGTCACGATGCCGGCGTTGATCCAATGGCGGTTGATAGTCAAGATCTGCATAACCGGGACTTGTTCCCGTACTCGATCCACCGTGCACCACTTGCATTTAAATACAGCTTCTTGCAAGACGGTGCGCTCGTCCAGCGAGAGGGGGACGTATTGGAGAGGGACCATCAGGCGGTCGATGGCCTTGCTCCGGGGATAGCTGGGCGGGTCATCCCAAAAGGCGAGAAGAATGAGAGCGCGGTAAATATGCTCACGGGAGAGAGCACGGGATAAGAACGGCGAGGCGCGAGGGAAATTCAATTCGAGCGAGTACAGGAAGATGTGCTCGATCACCTCCACGGGGAGGGCTTCCAGTATGGACAGGGTCCTGGCTGGAGACTGTGGGATCGTCGTTGCGGGGGAATTGGAAGGTCTATCGTATGGACCAGATCTCGACCGGGATGATCGACTTGAAGTCGGCTTTTTAAATCGGCGACCTGGTCTGCGCTTTGTCGTGCCGGAAGCAGTCGACGTCTGTGTATCCGGCGCGAGCTTCGACACAAGTACATCCTTATATGGGGCGCTCATGAGACTGCAGATTCACGACTTGGAGACAAGTCCCCATAAACGTGAGTTCAAGCCATAGGAATTGGAGCTATATCAAGTCAAGATATTGAAGTATAAAAAGCCGATGCACGTCTGATTGGCGGACGACAACCACGAGGAATAAGTCACATGATATATCACATGATAATGGTCATGTGATATGTGTTACCCCGCCAAGTGTCATGTGACTACCAAATGACGTCAAAGACATCGAGCTGGAAAAGAAGACATTCAACTGTCAGAGCAGGATTGAGCTCTGTGGGAACCTGAAACAGCTTAAATGTGGTTCCTCACACGTTGGTCGATCCTTCAATTCAACGTGTACAATCATTGGCCATGATAGAAAACCCTGGTACCTTGGAGCTTCAAATCAAGGAAGTGTCAAAATGACGGAATGGCTCCAAACAAGTTCCTCCTTGTGTGAACCTCACTTCTTCATTCTTCAACCCAATCCTGTCCAGCCTGCAAGCCATCTGTCATAACTTTTACGTCACTGGCGCACTACCGATAGTAACCTGAAGCTTTGCATGAACTATCTATCTGTCTATCTTCACCTGTTGGAGACAGTTACGTAGAGAGCAGATCTCTCACACGCAGCAAGCGTCATTCAATCTCTTTCTTTATTTAAACCTTTACTTCCGCCTCCTTACCTTCACCATGAACCCTTTCAGTGACAAAACCGTCCACACACACGCATCTTCCAGCTCGGAGTCTACTCTTGCAACCAAACCCAAGTCTTAACACGCTTGCACTTAACTTCAACAAAACTTGATACCGAACCAAACCAAACCACACATTCTCAAAATGGGTGCCGTCGTCTCTTGCGTATGTCCCTGCATCCACGTCAACACCAACATCTACTAACACAGCCCCCAGATCCAAAGCGTCTTCCGCGCCATCGGAAGCGCCCTCATGGCCATCGTCAACGCCATCGGCTCTATCTGCCACGCGATCATCAGCGGCGTCGTGACCGTGGTCGACGTCATCATCTCCTTCCTCACCTGCGGCTACTGTGGAAGACGCAGACGAGGCAGGAGATCGGCCGTCTGAGAGGAAATATCTCGCCGCGGCGAGTCCTTACTCTGACACCTTACACACTGGAGGATAATATGGGCTGGTGTGGAGATCTACGATTGTTATGCCAGCGCTTTTTTCTTGTTTCTTTGCTGTTTTACCTCTGCTATCTGGAGTACATACCCCGAGGCGCAATTCTTTATTTGAATAATGAATCAAATGATGGGATATGACGTTTATTTCTTCTTACTTTGATTATGCACATGGTATCTGTAGTATGGACATGAATAGAGATAGCACCTGGTCTGTCATTCATTTCGTTTGATGATATGTCATGGTGTACCTGACTGCTCAATATATCGTAACAAGTCCTCCTTCGCGTCGGCGGGAATATCTTTCCAGCGTTCATTCAGAATAGTCATGGCAAATGGATCCCCAGGTCCAGATCCATATCGCCGGACCAGGGAGTAATGCGAAGGCTGCAACGGCCAACGAGCAGGGACACGACAATTCGCAGCGCGAAATGGTATACGCAGTAGACGACGGAAAGGCTCGATCTTTCGTTTTCGGATAAGACGATAGGTAATTTTAGAGGAGCGGTCAGGACTAACCTCATCCTCATCCAGATAGAAATCCGTAGACAGCAGCTGTAGAAACTTGAACTGTGAATCTGACCATGGGGACCGCAAGACCTTATCTGGGATACGACCTGGACGAATAGCCACCGAGCAAGGCAGTCGGAAAAGATCATTCTCGTAATAGATCTCATGCGGTTCGCGGATCTGAACAGCACCGAAGTGGAACCAGATGGCGACTTTGCGGTCGATGCGAGACGAAGAAGTCGAAGTCCTCGAGTCGGTCTTCAGCTGCGCGGGAATAACCAGGTCGCCTTTCCCGCGCCGGCCATTAACAGCCCAGTCACACCCATCCAGATTATCAAACCTCGGATCTAGATTCGACAAGATAGCCTCATCATCCTCATGAAAAACCAAACCGGCACATTTGCGCCGAATCGCATGAGCAACATATTCCCTCTGGCACCGTCTAAGCAGAGGAAATGTACACCACCGACAAGCCAGGAGGGTAGTCTGAAGCTGTTGCCTCTCCTCCCAAGACAAAGCCCAGAAATCCAACGGCGGCGGCAGAAAGTCCGGGGTGAAGAAGCCCTCGCGCGAGCTGGGGTTCGTACTGCTAAACACTAGCCGAATAAGCCAGCTATAAAGCAGCGGACTGGAGAGCGCGTTACTCAAACGTGGTGATGCACGGGGGAGATTGACTTCGAGACAGTGAAGAAAGATCAACTGAAGTATTTCCACGGGGAGAGACTCCAGGCGCGAGCACGGGTGGTCGGCCAATGGGTCTAGTTGGCCCATTTGCAGGTTGCAGTTTGCAAAAAAGCAGATATGACGGGCCGGTTGTATAGCTTGGACGTAATAGATCGATAGTCTTTCTTCTGTGTTGCTTTTTTATTCTCGAATGACAGTTTATATACTGCCAGGGATCGAGGACATCAAGTAACGAGTCTCGGTCATCTCAGTGGATGCAATGACCTCAGGGTACTGCACTAGCATGCCGATGAGCAAGCATCTGATCGCAGAGGCGCTTGCAGTGTAGTCTCCAATGAGGAGAATTGAAGAAGCTCCAGGGAGGGGAAGTGGGTAGATGAGGTGAGTTGCATGTCTTGGCACCGGCTTTAGACCTCCGCATTGAGCATTAGGTATGTGGCTTGATGGGTGCACGTTGTGTATTGCTATTTCATGTTGCATGGTGCGTGTTGCATGTTGCCACTGGCTATTCTCGGGTTTGATGTAGCTGAGGACAAGAAGGTTTTGTAGGTGGTACTGGGTCTCGATATATATCCCGACTCGCTCCTGGGCTCTCTCAGTTTATTCTGCTTTATAGTTCATTCTATAGAAATTTGCGACAGGGATAACCTATAGAAACAGAACAAAAATTACAGACCTACCTCCGATAATACTTTACTACAGTACTGAAATATTGATAACGCAGAAACGACAATGTATGTTTCTATACACATCCCAGCCCACCACACTATCGGAGGTATCTGACCATCTACTGACGAAATAGCCATATCCTTGGCTCCAAACAACATGATCACGTAGTGTGATGAAACGAGGGATAACAAGGCGAATTTGAGGCCACAAGAGTCCGCGCTTAGACAGCGGACAAATCGCCGAAGCGCTCCTACAGACCGTATGAGTATCGGATAACAATAAATATAGCAATTATCACATACCTTGTAGCCAGGGGGCATCCACTTGCCCTTGGAGACCAGGGAGGCGGTCTTCTCGTCGATCTCGGGCTGGGCAGAGGCAACCTCGTCCTAGAAAAGCAGTCATGTAAGAAACCAATTCCAACGCAGCATTTCCACAGTGTACACATACGACAGTGAGGTCCTCGAAAGGACGGGCAGTCTCGATGTTCTCCAGGGTCTTCTGCAGGTTCTGCAGCTCGGCCTCAACCTTGCCCTTGGTAGCCTCGGCGTTCTGAACAGCCTGGGCCTCGAAGGCATCGATGGCCTTCAGCTGGCGGTTGACATCGTAGGAAGCGGGCTTGAAGGTCTTGAAGTGGTTCTCAATCTCGTCGACGATGGCCTTGTTCTTCAGGACACCGCGGTAGTGGCTGAAGTCAACGGTCTGGGGCTGCTCGGACAGGGCCTGGACCTTGCGGCGGGCCTCGTCGTTGCGCTTCTTGAAGGAGTGGAGGGAGGTGGCGGTCTGGCCGCGGAGGCCGAGCGAGGTCGACACCTTGGCCCAGTCGATCTTGGTAGCGGCGCTGCGCTGTTCGGGTAAGGGGGGTTAGCGGGAGCCATAGAGATGGGCAGACTGGTCGTGCACTAGGTGAAGAGGAGATTGGAACATACAGCAGCCATTGTGACGGGTATGATAGAGGTTGGGGGTGGGGAAAAGAGAGGGGAGTTCGATGTGCAGGGAGGTGCCGAAACGAGGAGCGACTCGGAAAGGTTTGGAGGTTGGGTCACGTGATGCCATGTTCCGGGACCATACGAGCATCGTATAAAATGGCATAACGCCGGATACCCGTGCACATGTAGTATAGTAGTATACTTAAATTATTGAATAGTGATTTACGGTTATATCCTACAATCACGATTGACAGATTTCGAACAAGTCGTGGTTCAATTGTTTTTGGGCTATTTGTGTACAACTATGGGCATCACCATCGTCCAATCCCTAGAACCTTAATGGAGCGCATTCATTATATGCTGAGGGCCATGATGGAGTTGACGATATCGTTGTCGTTCTCCCGAAGAGCCTTGACGGCCTTCTTGCGGGAAACGTTTGCCTGTGCCATGACCAACTCGATGTCCTTGGACTCAAGGCCAGACTCGTCAACTTCCTCACCATCATCTTCCTCCTCTTCATTCTTGGCCTCAGCCTCGGGGGCCTTGCCCTTGCCGAGGATCTCCTCGTGGTCGTGACCGGCGTGGTCACCGGCGGCCTCGGAGGCAGCGAGCTGCTGGGCGGCGGAAGCCTGGGCCTGAGAGTTCAGGTCCTCAATCTTGGCCTCACCGAAGATGCTAGAGGGCGTCAGTTTGAAACGATCAGGATTTGAAGGGTGTAGGATCCACATACATCCAGCAGTTGCTGTTGGGGGAGCGGTAGACCTCGGGCTGGTTGACAACGAAGAGGATCTATCAACGCAATTAGCATCTGCGCATTCAATTCAAATGCCGTAGTCCACCATCAGACAACGTGACAGTCCTTAACAGTCACTTTTCGCCCGGCGGAGATCTCACGGTCGCATAGACCACGTACGTTCTTGGGGCGGCGGAGAGTGACACGGGTGATGCCAGGAACGAGCTTCAGACCGAGCTTGCCAATGGCCTTGCGGGCCTTCTTCTCACCACGGGAGTGGACAGCGACGGAGGCACCGGCGGGGATGTTGGGCTCATCGCCAGCCTCGGAGCCAGACTCAGAGGAGCTCTCCTCGACGGTCTTGGAGACCTCGTCATCGTGGATTTCTTCAACGCGGGGGTCAGCCATTTTTGCGAATGTGTGCCTAAACAAGATCAAGAATTCGATTAGTGGTTGGTTTTTCGCCGACGGCCGTCAAGGTGGGAAAGGTGGGAAAGCGGGCATGGTGGGAGAGTCGACCCCCACGAATCGCACGACATTCGGAAAACGGCGGGATTTGATGATGGAAAGGCGAGGATTCGGACGAGTTGAATGACAATACGTACCTGAGAGGTAGATATCAAGCTGTGGTGGTGGTTGATGGATTTTGTTGAGGTTGAAGATGAGAGCTGTGCGGCCGACCCGAAAATCGTTAGCGAGCGGATGCCCACTCCCCAGACTGGCACACATTGCCCTATATGGACTACATATACATCACCAATTCATGGGCATTTTAGGTACTAGATCGATTTAAATATTAAGTTAAAGCATTATTTACGCATCCCTGCTTCTAATTTTGTTCTTTTTTGGAGAGAGAAAGACGATCCCGTGGATAAATTGGGGATATAAAAGTAGTCCACGGAGGAAAGAAAACCGATGACAAAGGCCCCTTGTCGGGATATCAAGGATTTTGAATCATTTTTGCTGTTCATTGATAATGCATACAGCTGTTTTGCCGGAGGACCAGCAATGGAAACCCTTCCAGGACACCTCCTTCAACCCATGCACCGAAACCTCGTAATCATCTATGACTTGTTGGCAGCGCGGACCTTGGCGTAGGACTTCTGGACCTCGTAGCGGGCCTGTAATGGAGTCAGTTGAATGTTCATGATCGGAGAGCTAATCTGATCTGATCTGGGCCCAGGCGCATATGCACATGTGACTGGAACCCCTGGACCATCATCTTGTTCACGTACCTGCTTGCGGAGGCGGAGAACCTTGAACCGCTCGAAGTCGGACAGGTTCTTGCGGCGCTCAGAGCGGTCGGTGCGCTGAGCGAAGGCGCTCTTGGCCCACTTGCCATCAATCTCGTTCTTAGCCCAGAGCTTCTTCACGGGACCGGTACCGGCAGCACGGGGGAGCTGGGGAATGGTGAAGTGAGTGAGGGTGGCGTGGGCGAGAGGAAGAACGTGACGGGGAACGATCTTGTTCTCCTCGGAGGAGGGACCGTCGACCAGGACCTGTTTCAATGTCAGTAAGATAATCCCGACACAATCTCCGAAATCCAATTCCGCAATTTTTTGTTTCTCTCGGTATTTCGGGATAAAAGCGATTTCACGTACACGGCGGTGGTCCACGATCTCAACGATGGCGGCGAGCTTGCCTTCGTAGGGACCGCTGCGGATTAGCACCAGGCGGCCAACCTCAACCAGCTTCCAGGAAGCGACCTTGACATCGATATCGGCCATGTCGAAATTCTAGACGAAAAATTCAGCGCGGGTCTTCTTGTTGTAGAGAGCAGTGTATCACTCACGGTCGGAGGGTATGTGTATGGGTTGTCGAAAGAGTTCAATTGTCCAGAAGTTGGCTCGAAATTCCGGGATGTGCCCACAACTCGCAATTCTCGCTTAACCGGCCACTCGCAGCGATAGGGCTCTGCTGAGGTCAGCATTGGGATTAACCTTTCTCCGGGCCCGTGCTTTTATATTTTCTTCTGTCAACCACCATTCTTCCTTTGCTTAAGACTTAACTGTCTGGCATTTGATGTTTTGCCACTTGATATCCATGGATCTACACTGCAGCACTCACTTGTGAACTAACTTACGGTATGCTCACCTCCCCTCCCTCCTGCCTCCTCATATGATGCGGTAATTTGCGATTGACCCAGCGTCTGTGAGGCCCTCGCCGGGGTCTCGATACAGCGCTGCTGGATGATATTCAATTTTCTTACATATTCTGATTTGGAACATTTCCACTCGATGCTGTCAATGCGTTTACAAGGCATTGCGCTGACTGTTTAAAGAATCTAGGAAATACCTTTGACCTCAAGGACCAATACATCACGACAGCTCTACTGGGTATGTTCACATTGCATTGCTAGTTACTTCTTACTTCCATCTCCCCGTCCGATGATTAAAAACCTTATCACGCCTAGATAGTAATTGAGCTACGGCCGTGATATTACCATAACTACCAAGATCTCTGAGGACTTTCATTACTTTGCACATGCTTTTGTGTCGTTGGTGATCAATTTCTAACCTTCGATAGATTCTTGCAGTTTCGGATCAATATGTCTATAGTTAATACAATATCTTTCACAATCCTCCATCTTCTCTTGCATCTGTAGATCACATAGCTTTCCTACTCTTAAGTACTCTGGGCGGCTACAAATGCAAATAGTTTTGATTACAATAAGTCGTGCTATATCGTTACCCCGTGCAATGCTCAATCAAAAGCATCCACTCCGTCCTTCCATGTGCTATCCGTCCTTTCCTCCGATTCTATATCAGCAATTCCCCCACCCTCCGATTATGATGACGCAGAGCCAGATGTCGAGGGTCCCTCCCGACTGAGCACCCACATGAAGATGAACTGAACAACGTAGGAGTAGACAAACAAGAACTGCGTCCGGCGGTTGCGCTGGGAGCGAGCTACGGTGTGCATCGAGCCAGCGTGCATGGCGGAGTCGGTCGAATCAGGCAGCAACACATACTTGAGAGAGCGGAGCTGGTATATAACGTTAGCATGTCGAACACTCATGTTATCACAGTACTCACCAAGAAGAATGCATTGGCCAAGAAGGTGTACGCAAAGACAGTCCAGCCAACCCAGCCCCTGGTACCCTGACCGGGGTTCAAGATCTCAGCTGCGACCATAGTCACAATAATTCCCACGAACTTGTAACCCGAGTAAGCCACCAAATCCAGCAACTGGGAGTCATTATTGATGCTCAAAATGTATGTAGCCAGCTTCAGGCACAGGATCTCGAAAAGGATCACTGCAATAGCTGTAGTAGTGATCGAACCCAGAAGCTCCGGGTGGAAGTTGCCCCGGAACCCAGCCAGCAGCACCGACAGGAGAATGTATGTGACCAGGGCCATGACGGGGATATACATGTCAGGCGAGTTCAGGTCATCACGCGGAGGTAGAAACATGGACGAGTACTGCTGCTGCATGATCTGACCATTGGGTCCAGCAGAGCTGGAGGCCAGTCGAGCCTGCTGGCGGGACCAGGGCTTGTGGCGCCAGGGGAAGAGGACGAGAACGAGCTTGTTCAGGACGTAGGAGTTGGAGACGTTGAAGTAGTGCTTAAGGGCGGGGATGGAGACATAGCGATTGAACTGTTGTTGGTCAGATAGGAACAGCCAAAAGAAAGAGAAGTGGTGCATACGTTCTGTTCCATGTATTCCTGGCCAGCCGCCATTGCACTCTTGCCGACCTGGAACCCCATCTGCGCCGTGGGTTCGTTCATGAACCCACCGAACCCAGGAGCATATGTTCCACTGCCACCCTGAGCAGGGGAGGGCTGGTACGGGTTACCACCATAGCCAGCACTTGGCGGTTGTTGGGGAGCTGGTGGTGGTGGTGAGCGCATCATAGGAACTGTCGAGACATGTTGCGGGACTGGGTGATGAAGGGGTGGCGACTGCGCAGGTGGTGGAGCGAAGGAGCCCCGATACATAATGTAGAAGGAAAGGGGAGATAGACGAATAAAGAGTGGAAAGTTCAGTGGCGAACGAGTGCTGGGAGGTGGAAGCGAGGATAGACAAGAGGGAAAGTGTTTATACGTGGCTGAAGGTCCAATCCGCTCCCGAGATCTCCAACTTCCGCCACCAGTCCCCGGACCTTTGCTCTCCCTCCCACGACTCCCACTTCAATTATTTTTGCGTGTCTCAGTTTTCTTTGATTAATTGCTCAGCATGTTGGAGGCTTTTGAGATTTTAACCACGTCGGGTGTGGTGCTCTGGTCCAAGTCATATGCTCCAGTGGGGGCACATGTCATTAATAGCCTGATCAACGACGTCTTCATTGAGGAAAAGGTCGTGCCCAGCGCTACAGGATTATCGCCAGCATTCAAGAAGGAGAAATACACACTCAAATGGAAGCGGGTCAAGGAGTTTGATCTGATATTCGTGGTACGTCTGCGCATGCGCCCATTCGCGCTCGCCATGTCGAAATCAAAACTAATCATGGGCTTGCATAGGCCGTCTACCAGTCGCTGCTTCACCTCGGGTGGATCGACAAACTTCTGGAGAACATTTCGACCATCTTCATCGACCTCTACAAGGACCAAGTGAAAGGAAACCGCGCGAGAATTCAAAACTACCGGTTCGATCAATACTTTGAGCAGCAAGTCCGGGAGCTTGAAGACAACACTGGTGGTTTCGCAGAGGAATATGTGGCAGAGACAGAAAAGAAAGACCCGCTTGTCTCATCAGATAATGGAGGCCCGCCGCCGCCACCAGTCCCTGGCCTGGTGAAAGGTATGAACCTGACTTATCGTCCCATACCCAACGGCTTCCCATGCTGACTATCTTAAAGCGCAGCCTAGAGCTGTGCTAGCCGGGGCAACCTCTGATGAGGGAACGCCACCGGCCACACCTGATACTTCTAGATCTTCGACTCCCGTCAAGGGCCATCTTCTTACCGCGAAGGCTGGGCCTGGAGGCCGTGTTTCTCGCCGTGCGCGCAAGGCTGCGAACTCGAGCGCCAACGCATCTTCTGGCGATGAAACGTCCCGCAAGGGAAAGCCTGCCAAGGCCCCAGCGAAGAAAATGCGCAGATGGGATGCTAGTGGAATGGCAGATGAGGATGACGGAGAGATCCTTGATTACTCTGCCCCCGCTGATGAAGGAGAGTCTACTGCTCCGGCAGTGGAGGCCGTCTCTGAGAGTGATATGGGCCGTAGAACTGGCAAGGGTCAGTTCGTGCTGAAGGAGTTGGGTGAGGAAGTCCAATCCATTCTGGATCAAGCCGATGCGGACAAGGCCAAATCCACTGGGTCTTCTGGTGTTCTTGGCTCTGGTTTCAATGCCGTTGGAGGCTTCTTCCGCAACATTGTTGGTGGGAAGGTTTTGACCGAGTCTGATCTTGAGAAGCCTTTAAAGGCTATGGAAGAGCACCTTTTGAAGAAGAATGTCGCCCGCGAAGCTGCTGTTCGTCTCTGCGATGGAGTCAAGCGTGAGATGGTTGGAAAGAAGACTGGTAACTTCCAAAGCGCCGACGCTGCGTTGCAGGTGGCCATGGAGTCTTCGTTGCGGAAGATCCTGACCCCAACATCTTCGTTGGATCTGCTGCGAGAGATCAACGCTGTGACTGCTCCCACCACCAAGGCGCAGGCCCCTCGGCCATACGTCATGTCTATTGTTGGTGTCAACGGTGTCGGCAAATCGACCAACTTGAGCAAGATCTGCTACTTCCTACTGCAGAACAAGTACCGAGTCCTCGTGGCAGCATGCGATACCTTCCGTTCTGGAGCTGTCGAGCAACTTCGGGTACACGTGGACCGCCTCAAGGAACTGAGCGTCCGCGAGAACGCAGGTGACGTGGAGATCTATCAAAAGGGCTACGGCAAGGACGCCGCCAATGTAGCCAAAGATGCCGTCGACTACGCGGCAGCCCAAAAGTTCGACGTTGTCCTGATCGACACTGCAGGCCGCCGCCACAACGACCAGCGCCTCATGTCCTCGCTAGAGAAATTCGCCAAGTTCGCGAACCCGGACAAGATCTTCATGGTTGGCGAGGCTCTCGTTGGTACAGACAGTGTCATGCAAGCGCGTAACTTCAACCAGGCGTTTGGCACAGGCAGGAATTTGGACGGGTTCATTATTAGCAAGTGTGATACTGTTGGTGATATGGTGGGAACACTTGTCAGCATGGTCCACGCCACTGGTATTCCTATTGTCTTCCTCGGTGTTGGGCAGCATTATGGTGATTTGCGGGGACTGAGTGTTCCCTGGGCTGTCAGTTTGTTGATGAAGTGATGGTCGCTTATTTCAGATCCTCATTTTCGTTCTCATATCTTTAGCTGCTGCATTTGTTTATATTCTTTGCTTGCTATTCAAATAATCCCGATTATATCCCTTATTATACTACATACTTTATTTGATACCTTCCAGTGCCTGCCTGCGTAAAACTCGACCTGGATTGGCTATTTGTACGCTCGGCTTATATCCTGTACTGCGTCGATGTTGGACTAATGATTCAATTCCTATCTGCACCGTTCATCTTTGTCATCTCAGCTCTACAGATTGCTCACTCTGACAACCTTCCACTAACATAACGAGATTTTATCACCTTCCTGGTCAACTAGCCTTCTTCATTTGAATTTCCTGATCTTTGCGTTTGTCTCCAAGTCCCCAACCACTTCCTATCACACCACGCTCTACACAACCACCGCCCCTTCGAAGTAAAAACATGACGTCTTCGTGTCTACCAGGGAGTACCATGGACAATGACAAAAAGCAAAAAGTTATTGACCGACGCAGGGGTCGAACCTGCAATCTCTTGATTCGTAGTCAAGCGCCTTGCCATTGGGCCAGCCGGCCTTGTTGGATGGAGAGGCCCAGTTGTGTTATATGGGGCTACAGACTTTTCTTAGGGTTTGCGCAGAGTGCCCCACTTAAAGTGCCACTCACATTCGCATGCATATCACACTGTACTGTATTAGTATTGCGGTCAATTTGTATATGATAGTAGAGAAAGACAAGAGGAATATAAAAAGTGAAAAATGTCAGCAAACATATACAAAAATATACAACTACAATAATTTTGATAGATGCGCAAAAAGAAACTCTCCCTCGGGGAATCGAACCCCGGTCTCCCGCGCTTATCGGTTTTAATGACAAGCGGAAATCATCACCACTAGACCAAGGAAGATTGTATGACCGAGTTACTGCTCGACCACTTGGCTGGTTGATGGAATATTCCGCCATCTTTGACAGTATGTTAGTAACACTCATATTCAGGTTGTAGTTCCATGTTTGACCATGTCAATACATCGTCAATACATAGCTTATGGTTATCAATGGATATATAATAAAGTGATATTTCTATACCTATTTTTAACTAACATAACTACACAACTCAATTAATCTAATATTATTGGCGTTGAGTTATTTAAATTACCGTAGACGGTTATATATATATATCAAAGGACCTCGGCAAGATATAAGCAGTCATTTCCTGATCAGTGACTCGCAAGTACAACTCTATAAGCTCCCAGGTTAGTATACTTATTTCTAAGCCAAGCAAAGATATATATAGCACAAACCCCTAGGGGGCTGTAGTAATATGGTAATAGGACTTATACTGGCCGCGCTCCTAGAGTCAAGGAGTGACACTATCACAGATCTCTACTACACAATTTAAAGCTAGGAGTAGATTGATAAAGATAGACTCTCAGACGCTGATAGACAAAGTTTGAGTGATACAATAGGGCTGAAATGTGAGGTGGTCATAGTTGTTCATGGGTATCTATAGGTGTGACTGACGTTCAAATGCACATATATTCAGCATCACACATAGACACAGGATATTTAGCCGCAAGGGCCCAGCCAGATAACAACTAAACAACACATCTGCAGATACTAGACTTTGAACCTGCATGAATGTTTACTACGCCACAGCTGCGCACTGACTAGAACCAATGAGTCAGCATCCTCAGGCTTACATCATCTTTTTGGTTTCCCTGCTTTCCCGATTGCGGTGATCCTAGTCACTACAACACTTCGAATTGTATGAAAACTCCTCCTTGATCTTCTTGTAACCGCTTGGAAATTTCACCGGGTACCTTCTCAGCTGCCAGTATTGGTTGAGACCGTTGCCTAGGCTCTCACGCGACAACGTTGCGCTTACAACCGGCACGATCGTATGAGCTGAAGCACGTTCCCTGAACTCCTCGGTGTGCTGCCACTATGCCAGGCTCAGACCGAGTCTCGCTCAATCGCCGCTCCTCCACGCAGCATTACCAGACCTTTGATACTCCGCCGCCCAAGTCGCGTGGACGACCGAACTCAGGCCAGTCCGAATCCTCAGCAGATGGCTCCCACGATCCCCACCATGACGCCACTGATCACCCAGGAACACAATCGCCATTGCCAAAGAAGCAGATGGCAGTGCTAGCCATGATTGCCCTGGCCGAGCAAACCGCGCTGAATTCAATCAGTCCCTATCTCCCCGACATGGCATCATCATTTCCCGAGGTGGAGCCGGGTCAGGTGGGCGTGTACGTTGGGACTATTGCATCGGCATTCGCACTGGCACAATTTGGCACAAACTACTTCTGGGGCTGGCTCTCGGACCGTGTTGGTCGTAAGCCGGTGATTCTGCTTGGCACTTTTTTGACTGCCTTGTGTTTTGTCGCGTTCGGATTCTGCAAGACTCTCGGACAAGCCATTGTAGTGCAGGCGCTGATGGGTGTGGTCAATGGCAACCAGGGACTGGTCTCTACATGCCTTGGAGAAATCACCGACCGAAGCAACCAGTCCCAGGCTTTCACATACCTCCCCGTTCTGTACGGAATCGGTGGTATAACCGGTCCTCTCCTGGGGGGGCTTTTGGTCTTCGAGACAAATCCATTCACCGGAAACAAAAATCCATACCCATATCTTGCGCCAAATGTCGTGTCCGCCGTCATCCTTCTGGTCGATCTTGTCTTGACTACATTTTTCCTAGAAGAGAGTTTAGAAGACGCGGACAGTATTCCAAAGATTGGCAAAAAGGTGCGCAGCCTTTTCACATGGCTGTGGCAGTTTACCAGCTCTTCTCGCCGTCCGACCTATGTAGAGGTCCCGCAGGCGGTCCCATATCCCCATGATCACCGCGGCACAGAAAATGAAGACCATGATAGTGACCTGGACTCTGCGTCCGAGGTCTCCAGCTTACTTGGGCACCACGAGGAACTTGCCTGGGATGAGATCTTCACTCGAGACACTATCTTACTTCTTTTGACTTATTTGATCTTTGCATTCTGCAACGTTTCTTTCAACTCGCTGTTCCCAATCTTTACGCAAGCCAAACCCCCGGCGGGACGATCACTCACACCGTCTGAGATTGGGCTTTCGCAAGGATTTGCTGGTGTTGTGACCATTATATTCCAGATTTGTATCTTCAATCGCCTGCGTGACAAGATGGGCAACCGATGGTCTTACCGTGCAGGGCTTTTTGGCTTCGTCGTCTCATTCATGTTGATGCCTTTCGTCGGGTACAAGAGCAGTAACACCCAGAGCTTGACTGGTAAGTCAGCGCTCATGGCGACCGAACTGTGCTTCGTATTGCTAGTCAAGACCATAGCTTCCGTGGGTGGTCTGACCAGCGCTCTGCTCTTGGTCACAAACTCTGCACCCAACCATGCCGTGCTAGGTGCGCTCAATGGTCTTGCCCAGACCCTTTCGGCAGCCGGACGAGCGGTCGGCCCATTCCTTTCGGGAGGACTATTCTCCCTCACAGCCAAGATCCAACCGAAGGGCGAAGCCGTGGCATTCGGCGTCTTCGGTGCCGTCTCCTTCATCGGATTCATCTTGAGTTTCGGAATTCGGGGCCGATCACTCGAAGCAGACGGCTGGGGCGAGGACAGCGATGATGGAAACTACAAGTCGGACGAGGACGAATCAAACACCCCTTGATCTGTAACAGGACCTTGAAAAGTTGCCGACATGACGATGTCACGAGTTTATGCTTCCGCTTCAGCCTATCGCATTTGAAAAATACATTAGCCCGGTTTTCCTTGATGGAATTATTGCTGTTGCATTTTTTGCTGAGTTGATTTAGGCGCTTGATCTAAACCTGTGTGTTTAGACCTGTTTCCTGGTGGGTTAGATTTTCCACTATATATGTACAGTTAATATTGCATTGCTCTAGCTTGAGTCTTATTATTATATTCCTTTTGTTTGTGAGTGCCTATTGGAGCAAATGATTGAGGTAGCCAGACTCGAGGTTTGAACATCTATTGAGGCTTGATGCATCTAGCTCCTGAGATCTACTGAGCAAGGATCTCTGATAACGCAATATACAATTTCCGCGTAGCTCATCTATCCCACATATGCCTGGTCTATCAGTCTTTCCACTGCCTAATTTATACCCGTCAGTACTTCCCCCATCAGTCCAGTCGTCATTTCAGGCGAAGCACTATTCTCATTGCTTCGATATTTTCACTGTGCGAACCCCAACCACGAATAGTGCAATCTAAAATCGTGTCAGATATATACTCACTAGGAACAAGTGGAATTCACTTACACGGAATAGAGAGCTTCAAGTCATGCGTTGAATCACTGACACCCGATAGCTGCAGCTTAGGATACTGTCTTAGGATACTGTCGTCGGACACGACCAGCAAGTCGAAACACCACAGCTGGAAGCACAGGAGCAGCAACTCGATCATCCCCCCGACAGAGAGTGTGACAACCACCTGCCGTTTGCGATAGTTGCGGCCGATGAGCATCATTCAAGCAGAAGAAATCCCCCGCATCCCCCAGCCGGATACTCAAAACAACATGCCCCATTGAGCAAGCTATGAATCGTATCTTTGAAAAGGAGGCACATAAAAACAATTACTTACTCTGCCAGAGATGGGTACTCTTCAGTGCAGGGTTGGCTTCGTATGTTACCTAAAATTATGGGATTGATGGCAGTCTCGTCGAACTTGGTTGTCGAAAGTTTGCGTGTATTAGCAAGTCTATCAATTTGCAAGTCGAAACTTGAACAATCTACCTTCCAAGATCCCGAAATAGAGCTTCCTAGTGCTGCTTGCTTTTAACCTCCCTGTGCTTAGCCAATTTGAATGAAACATGCGAAAGGTCAGACTTTATGCTGGCAAAAAGAAGTAGTAACACATCGAGAAATATACAAAAAAATCATTTCTTTTTAGGGTGGAGAAAGGAGGAGGCGACAACTTTCTTGGTCTGAGCAACCAATCTCAAAATACTATGAGGATTGACGCAAAAACACTACACACTGCTCGAGAGCAACACTTACTGTAACTGGGAGGCGGAAAAGTAAGATTTGCGGAATAAAAATGCTGGAGCGGTTAATTGAAGAAGTTTATTAAACAATTGATTGCATGGGAGAGAGACTGGAGTGGTGATTCGAGGAGATAAAGTATCTATCTCATTTACTGGTTGGCTCTTGATGGCCCATTTGTAAGTTGCGGCTGCAGAAGCCGTAACACAAGAGAGTTAGCAGATGAACAGTTTCATTTATTCTGTTATTAGATACTCGTATTTAAAGTCCTTGATGAATCCGAAGTTACCCTGGCTGAAACTAGGCCATCTGCATAATGGCAGCGACTAGCCAGCCCTACCCCTTCAAAGGACACCAAGCCTGAAGCCAGAACTCGGTCTTCTCTCCGCCACTCCCGGTACATGTATGTGCCGGATTCCTCACCGCATGCTTCCCGTCAAGCCCTATGCACGGCAGCAGATCGAGATGATTGCTGCAGGAGACATAGCCTGGGTTATTGGGGGGATCCCCTGTTTTGTGGAACCAGCAGTAATCTAAATCTGGAGCATTAAAGGGGCCCATGGAGATAGGCCAAGCTTGGTCATCTTCGACGTCGGGGTCCGAGAGGACTTCATACTTCTCGTTGCAGACGTCCTCGTCGTCGTAGCCAGGATTGGGGAGGAGGTATCCGGCCCAACGCCAGGTTGACTCGTCGTCTGTTATCCTGTTGGGGGCGAAGATGACGAATTGGATGTCGTCGCGGGAGGAGGGCAGGCCCGATGGGACGGGTTTGCCTGTGGTTGTTGTAGATGTGGCTGTGGATGTTAAGGTGGTTTTGGAAGTGGTGGAAGTGGTGGAAGTTGGCTTTGGATCGGGATTGTCGCTAGGTCGGTTTTTGCTGTCATCTCCCTGGTCCTCGTCCCAGTCTATCAAGTGGCAGACGTTCTCCCCGGTGGTGGTTGTGCTGGCTGACACGTCGCAGCCGACGTGCAGCATGCTGCTTGTTGTCGTGCACGAGGTCGACGTCGGCCCCTTGCTCTCGCACGACACCCAGTAGTCTGTTGCTGTGGAAGACTCGCTGCAGCTGTTGTTTGGGTCCTTGCTGTTGTTTGTTGGATCGCCTGCGGGCCGGGCAGGGGGATTCGGATCGCTGGGGTCTCCGAATCCGCCATCGCCGCCACCGCCGCCGCCTCCGCCGGGGCATATGAAGCAGTGGCAAAATAATACACAGGGGCCATTGCAGTCTTCGTCCGGAGGACACTCAGGTTCTTCGAGGCCTTCGGACAGAGTGATTTTGGGAATCTTGGGTAAATGGATGTCGTTGTCATCATTGTTGTCATCGTTGTTGTCATCGTTGCTATCTTGACCATCGTCACCGTAATAGATGACGGTGGCCTGAGGCCAGGGAGGCAGAGTGACACTTCTAGTGACCGGCGGATGTGTGACGCCCGTCTGCTTCAACGGGTTGGGATCATTCCTGATCGTGAAGGTCTACGCAGGGAATCGCGCCTTCGGCGTCAGAGTGATATTGTCGTCTTTGCCGAGCGGGATAGTGACGTTGATATTGGCTATCGGGATAGAGGACACAGTGACTAAAGAATCATTAGACGCTATACAAGAAAAAAGACAGAGATGGAAAAAGGGTAAGACCTACCAGGAGGAGCCTGGAGAGTAGTTTCCTGTAGGATGCGCATAACGGTTGTGGTGGTAACGACTACGCCGTTACTCGTCAACGTCGTGGTAGTTGGCCAAGCGACATCCAGCGTGGTAACATACGGTGGACGAGTGAAAACAGACGTAGATGAAAGGGGGAAATCGGGGAGCACAAGCACGCAGGGCGCGCAGCATTTCGCCGCATGGCTGTCTCCCTCCCAGATACTTGAGCCGATGATAGCAATGGACTGGTTGAATGAGCCAGAGCCAGAGCCAGAACTAGAACCGCCACCCTCGGCGCCACCACCAGAGCTATATGCAAATGACTGCAGGTCAACGGCCCAGTCGGTTGTACCGCCCATATTGAGGCTCTCGTAGTAGTCGGTCCGGCTGAATCGGGTGTCATCGTCCATGTAGGCCACCCATTGCGTGGAGTTGTACACCAGGATATTGCTGTCGCTGCTTTGGTCGTAGCTTGTTTTAGCTGTGTCGTCTTCATCGAGGATCTCATTGATTTCTGCATCAGATATATATCCTGCTGTTTTGGTGCATCTTCCAGGTTGTGCGCCTGATTTTGGGCCCTCATACCGGCACATAGGTCCGGTACAGCCTTCTTTGGTCATCTTGAAGGACCGCCCGTAACTAGACAGTCCGACAATAACCTTCGAAGATGGGACGCCAGCTTTAGTGATCATTGATAGGGCACTTGTCGTCTCTGTAAGATTGACATGGGAGCGAAGACAGTCACCCTCGGGACATCCAAGAATAGCATATTTGTTGTCGTAATCCCATTGTCCATGCAAGTCGTAGCTCATGTAGACAATATAGTCAACAACCTCTGAAATTTTGGCAATAGGGTGCTTTTCAAATACCAGAAAGATGCGGGTGCTGCAATTGCCAAGGTCTTCTCAGATGGCAGCTTGTCGCGGACCAACTTCAGGAACTCCAGGATGTAAGTGCTTGATCGTTCCCGTGCGAACGAGACCAGGAGACTGATTGGTTCATACAGCCGAGCGGTGGGTTCTACATGGGGAGTATGAGTGTGCAGGCCGGGTACATCTCTGCGGAAAACAACGAAAGCCCTGTCCAACAGAAAAATGACACCCAGCCCGCGCCGTATAAGCTATCGGACGTCTATGTCCTTCAATGGCAGAAGTTGGCCGCGGGGAGCAACAAGATCAAGAACCTCAAGTACTTTATTCGGAAAGATGTCCAGAATCCGGATACCTTGAGGATCATTGATGAGGCCACGGGGAATGTCGCTAAAGAATGGCCAGGTACGACCTTCAGCATGGAAAGTGATGAAGGCAAGGCACTTCTACGGACTCCCAACGGGGTTGGGCTCGCATATATGCTTATCCATAAACCCGAGCTGGGAGTCAAGGTTCCAACCCAGGTGCGCGTGTTTAAGACCACAAACAAGAGTGGCATCGTCGAAAAGCATCTTCTATTTTACATTGGAGATTATAAGGGCGCGTGACGGAAATGAAACAGTTGTGGTGTAAATAAATTGAACAAATGGATAGTTACAAAGGAGCGCTGACTGGTCTGTCCATGTTCATCCTGTTGATCCTTTTAAGCTAGTAATTTAGTGTCCCTTAAACAATCGAGTACGATATATTACTATCCCAAGATGGCATGATTTTACTAAAAACCGGCGTATTATCGTTGAAGGAATGCTATAAGATGATATATTTGGGACTCGAATATGAGGTCCCCTCTGGTGCTAGCTTCAAAGATATATATATGTATATCTGTGTATTGAAAAGTACAATATCGAGTGTTCTACAGTAAATGCATTTCAGTGCGTAATTGAAAATTAGCTCAGGCTTGGCGGAGCCACATTGACAGACTTCCGGAGAGGTTTAGGTAAGTACTTAAGGAACCAACTACCTAGGTAAAGCCCCAATTTGTTTTTCTTGTCTTTCCACGCTTTACTGCCAGTATTTCCTCTACCATGGACCCATTCGCTCAACTGCCCTCAGAACTGAACCAACAAATCCTCGTTCATATCGCTGATTTTGCCGCTGTCGAAAACCTCATACCCGCATCCTCTCACGTCCACGCTGTCTTCCGGGCTCAACCCTCCATTGTACATGACCTCATCCTGGCAAACCCTATTACCAGTTTCCCCGAGATACAAAGACTGTGCTACAACATCAGCCTTATCCATACCTCTCATTACACAGATTTTGCCCACAGCCAACAAGTGTATGAGGGCACGCCAAATCTGGATTATAGGGCATCACTCGGCATTATCCACCTAGCTGCCGGAATACAGCGCCTTGCCTGTGCATGCCTATCGCTTATGCAGCAGAACTTTGCCTCTACCCTTAGTGAGATACCAGTCGGCTCTCTAAGCGGACCTAAGCGCGCAGAAAAAGCGCGGAAGCCCTTTTCATGAATTGAAGAATACCGCACGCACTGGTCCCTCTTTCATCTCCAACACTATTCAGCCCTTCGCAAAGCTGCAACGGGAAGCTGGAATTGGCCTGCACAATCAATACAGGACCTAGACGCATACAATGTCTGGAATAAAATACCTAGCGGAAACGACGAGCAGGTCTGGACGATTGCTGCCCTTCTGTCAGACCTAGGCCTCACCCCATCCTATGGGCACTACGCCGAGGAGCTGAAGAGATCTCAGTGGTTCAAAATGGACACGGAGGGAGCCGAGTCCTCCCACGCTGCCTGGGAATTCCCCGAGGAAACACCAATTCCTTTCTTCCACTCTTTCAATCTGCCCTCCAGTGAGTCCATGCCCATCTGGTCTCCGCCGCCCATACCCCCCGAAAACGAAGCAACAACATCGACACGGTGGCTGCTTGCACCAAAATGGCGCTCACGGGTACCAATGCATGTCAAGTACTTCCGAAACGAAAACCGGATGGTCTCTCGAGCGCGTTGCCCTTCATTGGGATTGAGCCACTTCAGGCCCTGGCGCCGCCTGGGGCTCGTTATTTGGGACTCATGGCGAATGTGCACTGTTGGACTGTGCTATTTCCCCTCCAGGGGTCCAGGGCTTGATCCGCCTAACCCAGACGGTAGCGTTCCGGAGGTGGGACACGAGAAACCGGATCTTGGGCCGAGATGGTTGGCGTTGGTCGGCCAGCTTCCAGGCGAATGAGAAAACATTTGACATTGGTTGGCAAATAATCCACCAGGCATATATCTGTTTGGTAAAAAGATATATACTGTCTTGTATTGTCGGCATTAGTTCCTGTTCTTAAATTAGTAGCATGCCAGTATCACAAGACGTCTATTACACTTTGTGATATTAAGATACTACCTATAAGCTAGCGTTATTAGTAATAATCATAGTTTCAAAACGATCCTTATCGATATATTAGTCTTATATTTGTCGAAGAAATAACCTTCAGGGGTCCCACTGTTGACCCATTGTAGCCTCGGCAGCCGAGATGCGGGGGGAAATGGGATGTCTCTCTCATCTCATTGCAGTTCCAGTGCGATTTACCGGCAGCTGTTCAATCCATGTCAGGAAGACAGAAACAATTGGATCGAGCGAGGGTAGTGTGCTCGCATTGCCATGCGCGAAAGGCAAGCTGGAGTGTTCCCCGGGCGGGGAACGCACGCTAATCGAAAGTCAAGTACGATGCGATCACGAGGATCAGACAGGGGGTGTCTGCAGTAATTGTCAGAAACGTCGTCGAGTCTGCAGGTGAGAATCATGGAATGGAACTCTGCAGACGCCGTGGTAGGAAGTGAGTTATTCCTCCAGCAGGAGCAATAACCCACCAGCGACTCTTTCGCCATCTTACCCTTTGAATACAAATAACGACGCAATATTCGACCGCAATGCTATGTGTACACCAGAATCTCCGTCCCCGGGCATGCACAGCAACCCGTCAACTGCTATCACGACACCCGAGCCACAAGCCTATGTGGGGGATCAGTCCTTTATATATTCTTTGATCGCTCGTCATGAGGCAATCCCACAAATAGAGGGCGCAAATCGCTGGCTGTAGGTGGAGGTTTGACCATCCGCGTTTTCTACGCCGCCTCGGGTATTTTGATGCTAAGGTTAGAATATATCCTATGCAATAAGAAATATCGGATACAATGCAGACAAATACTTGATTAGCCATAACGTTCGTTAGGAGAAATTCGGAGGAACGAAATGTGTTGGAGCGGGATGCGACGTAAGCTTTGAGGAGTTGGTCTCATTATAGATAGGTGCAAGGTCGTGGTGATGTAAGGACAAGGGCTCTTTTCCAAAGCCCAACCTTGGAAACATGCGATAAAGACCTCGGATGTGGCCATCCACTATGGTGAAGTTAAATCCACGAGTGTGTTACAGCAGCAACGGACGGTCGAGCAAAACGATTCGTTTGGTGGAATGAAGCAGGCCTGGTTCCCCATTCGGGGCCGCAAACCGGAGGTCGCATAGCGCTCGCCACTGGTGGGCTGTATGCCCCTATCCTCAGATACCACGCAGGCACCTATTACATCGTCTGCACCAACGCCTCCCTGAATCCCGGCGAAGCGAGGGCAAAGAAGGAGAACTTCATTGTGTCCAGCGTGAATATCTGGAAAGGCGAGTGGAGCGTCCCCGTCTATTTTGACTTCGAGGGCATCGACCCGAGTCTTTTCTTCGATGAGGGCGGCAGGAGTTACGTCCAGGGATCCGCAACCCCGGGCCCAGCCACACGGATCAACAATTTGAGATCGACCTCCAGCTCGGGAGAAAGATATCTGAAGAGCGCACAATATGGAGAGGGACTGGGGGTGTCTATCCCGAAGGTCCCCATATCTTCAGGCGCGGTGGGTGGTACTATCTCATCATTGCGGAAGGCGGCACCCATATCACCCACTCGGTAACCCTTGCACATTCCAAGAGCATTTGGGGTCCTTTCGAATCGGCCATCAAAAACCCTATTCTGACCCCGTACGGACGGATGAGTACATCCAGCATGTGGGTCACTGCGACATCTTCCAAGACGGCGACGGAAATTGGTGGGCCACCTGCCTGGCCATGCGCAAGGGAATGGAAGGGAGGTATGTTCTGAGCAGGGAAACGCACATAACCCCGGGCACGTGGGACGGGGAATGGCTGTCCCTGGAGCGCGTCAAAACCACCGTCAAGAACCACTCTGGCGCTGAGCTCAAGAGCTCGACGCTCACAGCGGCACCAGGGGTAGACTATGTCTACCTCCGAGATGCACGCCTAGACGACTACCATACGGACGACACCAGCTCAGCCGTCACACTGACGGCAACCCCCGTCGATCTCTCAGAGCCCGAGGTCTCGCCAGCCTTTGTCGGCAAGAGACAGCGGAGGCTCCAGGAAAAGAGCACGGCGGTAGTCTCCCGCTTTCACGGGTCGTGGGCTGCGGCGAAGCTCAAGTTCGGAATAGCATGTTACAAGGATGAACATCGCTATCTCCGGGTCTATTTTGATGTGGCGGACTGGGCCGTTGTTTTCGAGATCGCCAACGCCGCGCAGGGAATTTCGCGGACGACCCGTCAAACGCTGGACGCTGCAGCGATGGCATCTCCTTTTGTATGAAATATACGGAAGAGGAGTACAGAGTCTTCTATGCCACAACCTCTGCTCCCGACCCGGCCTGGATAAGTCTCGCTTCTGTCAACACGCTTGAGATGACCGATCCTGATTTTGTGGGACCTGTGATTGGCGTCTTTTCGGTCGCCGAGATGGATGGACTGAAAGTCAAGTTTGAAGAACTTCACTTCGACTAAGGACAGAACAGTATTGGATCATTTCTTCTGCGCGGCTCTTTCGTTACTAGTGCTTAGATTCGCCAGAAGCACGGAAAACTATGGATTTTACGAAGACAACGTGGTAAAATCTCAGTAGAGAAGTGGCTCAAAATTGCTAGGATATGTAGGAGAGACTGGTAGAATCAAGTCGACTAGTCAAGAAGATTTAGGATATCCAATGCTTCAAACGAATCGCCGCTTTCGCCAGCGTCTGCAACCAACTGATAGTCCTCTACTCCTTCTCGCGGTACTCCATCTACCACCTCTCCATCTACCACCACTTCGGAAATCACGATCACTAGTATTGTTTGACTCACAGCATAACTATTCTACAGTAAAGCCCTTGTGCGAACGTCCTTCGAAGAATAATATCAGAGGTGTGAATTATTTGCATTGTGGCAACTATGAGAAAAAGGTCAAAGATTCAATGAAGCTCACAATCGTAGCGGCGAGCACTTAGCTGTGAATTACGGCTTAAAATGCCTTCGTTAATAGCTTTTGTTCCCTATGTATGTTATTTGGGGAATTAACAATACGGAGAGGACTTTTAGGCACGCTGAACTGAAGCTGAGCTGATAGTCACCGGCAAGCGGTAAGTGATGACGAAGATCAAAAAGACGGTCAACAAGGCTCAGGTCTAGCGGTATAGCAGCTTGGAACGTGTTGGTCGGTCTCTGTTCGACTATCTCGGATTTTAAGTGGCCGTTGGAATCCCCAGATCCGAGCAGGTAATCGTTACGCAAGCGCCAGCTTGCCATGCATTGACATTCGGAATTGGTTTCCTGTCGCCCTTGCTTCCCAAATTACCCAGGTACTTCTTTACATGTTCTCTGTGTACGCATGCCTGCACTTTAACATTCCGCCAACCTGAAAGACTCGGGTCATATACCAACTACCGGAATTCCAACTACTGTACATGCCAACGGCAGTCTCAGTTGACAATGAGCGACAATGAAATAAGGCTCTCCGGATTATAAAGCCCTCTGCCTGAAGATGTCCACAAGTTAGACGCTTCAAAGCTCTATGATCATCACGTATCTCTTTATATGGCCTCCCACATGGACGTGTACTCATACTTATCTTTAGGACCGTATTGGAACTCTGAAATAATGTAGAACACTTTTGATCTCAATCTGTCATTTAGCCTATTCCTAGTATGTCTAACAACTTCCCCACAGTCTCTTGATAAACCAAACTTGACGAACTATCACTACTCGCTCACCTGTAAGTTTATACGTTCTCCGGAGTTGTCAAGGATGTGCGGAAATATACCGTCATATAAGGGCCTTTATCCTCTGAAAAGGCGAAGGAGACACAATCCTGCACCTGATTTGTGTGACATGAATCCAGATGCGGACTTTGACAGGAATCAGCAGTGAGAAGGTTTTAGGGACATGAACAACTTACTAGTTGGAAGATAAGTTTGCTATATATGAATTGGCCTGGCTTGTCCAGCCAAGCTGTTTCCAAAACTTAACCAGTACATTGGCTACTTTCATGTCGTTCTTGTTGAAAAGGGGTAGATATGCCTTCGGCAAAGGCGGAGAGCCACCAGGCAACACCTCGTAAGTGATCGTCATGGGAATTCCAACAGTTTGGTTTGCGTGAGATTTCAAACAGTCAGCGCCGATGCACTTTCGATCTCCAATTTGGGGAAGCTGCAATTCCCGCCAGAGGTTGTTGAGAAGCTCCAGTCCTTTGACAATAGCTGGGTTCATAAGTCTGCCACCAAGTGTCCAAATATCGTCTAGACTCTCAAGTGTGACTTGCTTTGCTGAGAGATATATTTCAGCCGAGAAACCCCTGGCTTAACACAATCCCAGGAAAAGATCCAAATGTCATCAATGATCATTTTCTCTTCCACATAGGCTTGTAGCGGCAACATCGACATCAAGTATCGTCCCTCTGGATCTGCTTTCGCACTGCATCAAAGACAATTCGGCCTGTTGGTTGACCAGTGGCGACCGCCTTCAACAATGGAAAAAGTACAGCTTCATGCTGCTATCAAGCCCTTTGAGGTCCCATGCAACCACATATTGAGTTGTGGCTAGGTGATCTGTTTTGAGCGTTTCAAGTGTTGTCATATCCGTTTCCGTGAGAGCGAATTCGTTTCGAAGGCAATGGTATAAATGTTGGTTGGTATTTATACCCGGTCTTGCAAGGCTAAAAAGAAGATTGTCCATAGCCGATGTGTTCGACTGGCTTTGTGATGTTCCCAGTATGGAAACTCTAGGCTCGAAATCAAATCGCACAGTCAACTTGTCATTCTGAACATTCATGCTCAATTCGAACATTTGGTTGCCCGGCATTGCCGTCCTGACTCCCTTATTGGAGAATGGGCCAAGTGAGGGGAGAACAAGTGTATAGTGAAAAAGCAAGTGCCTGTATTGCGCATGGATATCATACTTGGCCATGGCCGAGAAGCCAGCTAACAAAGGAGCTGTATCTTCCCACCAAAGTTTCTGATCCTCACATGGAAAGCCGAGGGCTGCCGAGATGATATGGCAAGGTAGCATAGTGGACTATTCGTGACAAATCGCGGCTTTGCCGGTGGCTTTTCCGTGAAATGCCAACAGGCCTGTTTTCAAGGGGTCTGAGATGGACATTAAAAGTCCGCTCGCTTCAGTAGATCACGTTCTACTCTAGTTGACTTTATACCACCCGCATTCTCTCCTTGCTTATTTGCCGTTTAGAAATATTTCCTAATGTATCTTACATGCGAGCTACGCACACAAGTGGACTGCGTAAGTCCGATACACATAGTAAAAGCACACATAACAAATGCGACAAGTCTAAACTGAAATTCTCAACAATACCTGTCTTTGCGAGCTTTTCCTCGTAACTTGACTCTTTTTATATAATATCTTACGATTGAGGGCTTTTTGGGAATTTAACAGATAAATGATTAAGATATGTACATCTACGGAGTCCAGAGATGCAACCTGTATATCATAACAACGCGAGTTTTCAATCTGGTTGACATTGGCATACAATGTTGAAAATACCTACCAATGGCTATCGGCAAATAAACAAAGTAATAAATAGATGTCGATTGTTGAGATATAGGTGTAGGATATTTCGCATTTACTATAATGCTTCGGCTGTGCAGCTCACATAGGCCGCTTTTATGAGGGCGCTTAGAGTCAGGCTCACTAAGTAAATTTTAGTCCGGCCTTTTCCAATTGTATAAATTGCTGATTAATTAATTTTCTAGGTATAAATTCCCTCTTACTCTCGCCGCCGGCGAAACAAGAGCATCGACGATACAGAGAAACTATCCTCTCTCGGGCTGACCTAGTCGCTAGAAATCCATAGAATTCATAACTTAATAAAAGCTGGATAGCTTCATAATATAGAGACAGCAAGATGAAAGCTTATGGGACGAGACAACTAGCTAAGATTTGTATGGGAAACCCTAGTAAATTACAGTTAAGGCGTTACAGGGCGGTCAACTATTCTTCAGTGGTGAGGGACTGAGGGACGGGATCCGGGGAAAAAGCCGCTCCGGGGAAGTTAAAGCTGCCTCGCGTTACGTCGCTATTTCCCCCCGCACTTCACAGCTGTGGTGCGATTCTCCTCCTGTTCCTCATTCAGCCGTGTATGGCACTAGCTGCAGTGGAATTGTTTCCGTAATGGACATGACTCTGGATCCCCTGAACTCGGGGAGTATCAAGCGTATTCGACAGGCATGTGCCAACTGCAGGTACGCAGGATAGTATTGTCCCCGATTTACGTTTCCAACTAATGCTGTATCGTCCTTCAAAATTTAGGCGCAAGAAGACTAAATGTTCTGGCGAGCGTCCAGTATGCTTCCACTGTCGACGAAATCGACTTACCTGTATCTATGAACCATACTCGACTACTATAAGCGATCCTCCAGCTCCCCACCTGGCACCAACAGCGAGCATCCCGACCGACCAAAGCAATGTCAGCTATGTCCATGACTGTCTACGATGCGATTTTGACGCTAATTTCATAATAGGCAGAGCTTCTTCGCCGGCTTAGCACAATTGAGTCTCGTCTTGCCGAGCTCAGTGCTTGCGCACCGGCAGGAAACGGGTTCGTGCAATGATTATTGTATCTAGCACAAGCACTAATCGCTCATTAGAAACAACCTATCGGAGTTCTCATTGCCTGGAAACCACATCTCAACATCCGGAGAAAGTGGTGCACGGTATTTTCAGTCGATATCATCCCCAATAGATCACGCGTATGTTCGTTGTCGAATCTCTCGACTGTTTCCTGGAATAAAACATGAATCTCATATATAGTGATAAAACAGGTCATTTCCACCGGCACCCATTCTACGCTCTGTTCTTGGTACGTACTTTGAGCATGTCCACAACCAGCCTTACTCCTACTTCCAGGAGGCATCATTTCACGAAAAGCTGCAATGGAACGTGTTACCCCGATGTTTGGTCTTGGCCGTGCTCTCATCTGCAGTCCGTTTTTCCAAGCATGATTATTATGCTGGCAGGACTCAAGAGGCATCGGAGAGATATGCAAGGGAATCGTGGCTTTCTGTTCTCACAGAACATTTAACTGCTGAGGACAATCTCAATGTGCATGTTGTTCAAACTGTAAACTTGCTAGCAGTGGTCGACTATACAGGTGAGGTGATTTCCCCCTGGCACATACGCTTCGGCCTGCTAACAAGAAGCCTTTACCATGTTCAGCCGGTCGCGTGAGCTCTGGGTGGCTCAAGATTGGACTTGCTGCGCGAATCTCCCAAGACCTTCACCTGATGGATGAACCTAATCAATGGCTTTCCTATACAGAGCAGGAAGAAAGAAGGCGAGCCTTTTGGTCTGCATACCTGATTGATAAGCTCATTTCTTGCGGCCGATCGCGACCTCTTGTAATTTTGAACGAAGATTGCAAAGTTCAGCTGCCGTGTGATGAGCAGACTTTTTGGAAGGGAGAATGGAAAAAGACAAACACGATTGAGCAGCTCCTCAGTTGGAACACTGAAGTCACGGAAAGCCCGAGTCCCTTTGCCCTAGTTATATTGATGGCGTCAATCTTTGGCCGCTGCACGAGATATGTGCATCAAAACAGAAGGGCAGATGAGATTCCACCATGGGACCCCAAATCTGAGTTCTCCGCCATCAATTCTTCTCTGTTATTGCTGGAGTCATACTCAAAAATTGGGACTCGCCGAGTTTCCGACATCCTGCAAACCGAGACGGAAAGCGTTGATCGGAAAGAAGTCGCGCATCTCGTTTTTGCTCGTGCGCTGTTTCACCTCTGCCACTGTCTTCTAAACCACCCCTTCCTGGTACGTCTACGACTCAAGGCATTTGGCTCCAAAGCACCAACTAGCTTCTCTGCACGTTCTCTTCAGGTGGGATGTGATCATGCAAGACATATTATGGATGTACTGCGGGATGCCCATGAGAGTGGATGTCTGATTGAATCCTCCTTCTATGCATACTGCATTGCAATTGCCGGGGAGTCCACTCCCTAGCTTCACACTTTGAGCTCCAGTCAGCAACTCGTCGCCAATCCGACATTTCGCATTACTTTATTGAGAGCTTGGATTCTCTCAGGCGATTGGCAAAGCTTTGGGTTCACGCAGCAAATATGGTAGGTTTTATTCGTGGGAGTAGTTGTTACCTTCTGACAGTGCCCTTCCCTAGGCCGTCCGACTCCAAGAATTCCACAACATGTCCCACCAATTTGCCAGCCTCCTCGACCCGACCTGTCTAATGGAAGATGTCGATCCTGCGTCCCAAGAGCTTCTTTGGTCAATGATTGACTATGGTATTCTGGGCGCAGATCCAAATCAAAAGCCACTCACGCCACGAAATACCATTCCAAACCTTCAAACACCCAGTTCGGGAGCCCTCGGCTCAGATATACTTGAGAATATGCAACTGCAGTTTGAGAACGAAAACCGGGATATTTTTACAGGGCTTACTCCTACAATGCGGCTAAATGAAGCCGAGTATCTTTTGAATTGTAGCTCAAGAGCCAATGGGATGATCTGACCTTCGAAGTGCTTGTGCCCCCCGCCCTCCGCCGTGATACTCGGTCCGGTCGGTCCGACGCTTTGTTGAACCCGCCACCTGGAGAAGAAAGAAGGATATGAAAGCACATAGCAGACTACTCACTCTACCAAGAGATAATTTGATAATTCGGTTGGAATTGACTGTCATGGCGGGAAAGCAACAATCTCCTTGGAACGGGGTGGTGTCTGGCACTACTGCCGTCATTTTGGCCAACATTCTTGTTTACCCTCTGGATATGTATGACCGGGTTTTTGTCTTTGTTCCTCGAAGTTATGTTGACCCGCCCAAGTGTGAAGATGCGATTGCAAGTTCAAGTCCAAAGAACATATCAGCAAGGTAAATGTGCTGGTTATGAAAATCACCATGATACCACCAAGGATACCCACTACAACAACGCAGCGGATGCAATTTTCCGGATTCTTCGTGAAGACGGTGTTTCGGGTCTATACAACGGACTGGAAAGCTCTATTGCCGGCACAGCATCCATGAATTTTGCCTACTTTTACTGGTCAGCAGTTGCACGAAGCTTGCATCAAGCAATCCTACATTCATATGACTTCTCAGATACAAACAGCATCATAAAGGAGCTTGGCTTAGGTGCTGTTGGTGGAGCTTTGGCTCAATTATGTACCAATCCCATCGCTGTCATCTCTACACGACAGCAGACGCGCAAAGCCAGCGAAAAGAAAATTTCTATGTGGGCGACAATGAAGGAGATTTCCCAGAGTGAAGATGGATGGACTGGGCTTTGGAGAGGCTTTAAAGTCAACCTCATTCTAGTCGTCAACCCCATGATTACATATGGTGTTTACCAGTGGCTAAGAAGAGGCCTGGTAACACTAAACAAAGAACTTGGTTTTCTTGATGCGTTTCGTGAGTTCTCATTTGCTTTGTATCCACGAACAGTTGCTTACAATTCTCAGTCCTCGGTGCTGTTTCAAAGGTTTTAGCAACTATTGCTACCCACCCACTTATTGTTGCGAAGGCCATGCTACAGTCAACCCCTCCAGATTCCCGAAGGGGGAAGCCTTTCAGAGGATTTACCGAGGTTCTTGCATATATCATAAAGAATGAAGGGCCCTCGCGCTTATACAAGGGCCTCGCTCCACAGATTATCAAGGGGTTCCTAGTTCAAGGTCTCATAATGATGCTGAAAGAGCGGTATGTCCCTTTGATGTGATTTAATTCTGACTAATTGACTAACTTATGGAACAGAACCGAGATTCTACTCATGCTGGCAATTTCATTTTTTAAAAGACGCTCACAGCGACGTTCTTTCTTGAAAGGAAAATAGAAAGTTTACAACAATACATAGTATTTCATTCTATGCACGAATGTACACTCTGCGTCTGTTCTTCTCTCGTACACGTTTCTAAAATAGTTTTTAAACTCATAAGGTAAGCTTCACGATAAATATACCTTTACCGCTTCATCATCTGAGCAGCTCGTCATTTGAAACAGTGGTGTGGCGGACTATAGCGTAGAACGAGGTACTTAGAATTGATGTATAGCCTACTGTATAGTGCTGATTTATTTGTTTTGTATAACCTGTATAGCAAGCAAGATACGGCTTCTTTCTTTCTAGACAGTATTCTGGCTTGATCTGATGGGAGTTAGAGGCATGGGGATTGGTAGGATACCATTGTAATTCAAGTAATCGGGTTTTGTTTTCTGCCGGACCCGTGATATGCAGAATAACTAAAGTACGCATAATTTAATACATTTTCTCGATGAGCGCTATAGTTCCCCGTGAACACTCCTACCTAACTCGACATAAACAATATTCCAAGGGAGACAGAAATGTGGAGACCCAATCAGCGTGCTCTAGTGATCGGTCCTGGCGGTCCGAACCGCTGCTCCGGTCCGGCGATTACTGAGACCGGTCCAAGGTAGTCGTGTAGAGGACCAAGACTTCTATAGGCAAAGTTTACTCACGTGTGAAATATGAATAAAGATTTATTAACTGCGCGATTGTTACTAGATCCGTCTTATCTGAAGCAAAAGTTCGAATTGAGAACTTTACACAGCTGTTATGTCGTCTTCCGCCGTTACCAGTGTGCCGTTCGCCGATCCTCTCTGGCTCAACCGTCGCTGTAGTCCATTCTATAACGACTCCCATCGGCATTTGCAGAAGGAAGTGCGGGATTATGTCGATACCCATATTGCTCCATTCTGTGAAGAATGGGAGAAACAAGGCTTTGTGCCACCGGAGGTAGTTCTTTCTCCATCAATTGATGGCTCACTGTGATCTTGTTGCAGATACGATGAGAAAAGCGCTAACCTAAAATTTATACTCAAGGTCCAAAAGCTTCATGCTGAGCTAGGATATACTGCCGTGGCATCATTCCCAGTAGCTGCCGAGTATCTCGATGACCAACGTCTGCCCGGGGACATCAATCCATACGAATGGGACGGGTTTCACGATCTTGTAGTTATTGATGAGCTGGCTCGCTGTGGTTACCTTGGAATTGTATGGGCACTCGGGTGTGGAAACTCAATCGGGGGCCCACCTGTCATCAACTTTGGAAACGAAGAGCAGAAAAGGCGCTTCCTTCCAGATATGCTGAAGGGCAAGATTCGCTTTTGTTTGGGAGTGACTGAGCCGGATGGTAAGTCAATTTACCCCAGTTCTGAATCAGAACTATCTGCTGAGCCACGTCACTAATATTTCACTTCGCTACGCAGCTGGTTCTGACGTCGCCGGGATCACAACTACTGCCGAGAAAAATGGAGATGTCTACATTGTCAATGGAGCCAAGAAATGGATCACAAATGCCATCTTCGCTGACTTTTGTACTGCAGCGGTGCGCACCGGAGGGCAAGGAACTCATGGTATCTCGGCGCTGGTTATCCCAATGAACACTCCCGGTGTGACTTGCAGGAAGATTGAAAACTCCGGAGTTCAGGCGAGTGGTAAGTCGGAAATGCATATAAAAAGATATCATTAAATCTAATTAGCCCAAAACAGGATCCACTTATATCGAGTTCGATCAAGTTGAGGTACCCGTCACCAACCTGCTCGGAGAAGAGAATAAAGGCTTTCCCGTTATCATGAATAGTGCGTTCGCTCCTTTCATTCATTTTGAATTTCGGTTTAGGTTGAGCCATTACTGTGAGCAAGACTGATGGTTTTAGACTTCAATCACGAGCGACTGTGGTTGGCATGCACATCCCTCCGCATGGCGCGCGTGTGCGCCGAAGATTCCTATCGACACGCCATCAGCCGCGAAACATTCGGTAAGAAGCTTATTGAGAACCAGATCATTCGATCCAAGTTTAGCGCGATGGGAAGAAGATTGGACTCTGCGTATGCATGGATGGAGCAATTGGTCTATATTTCTGAAACATCGAAAAGGAATGGCGTGGATAGTGGAATGGGAGGCTTGTTTGCAAATCTCAAGGTCTTGGCAGGTCAGACTCTTGAAAAAGTCAACCGTGAGTCACAGCAGGTTATGGGTGGACTTGGATACTCGAAAAATGGTCGTGGCTCAAGAATCGAGCAGATTAGTCGGGATGTGAGAGTCATGGTTGTCGGTGGTGGGAGTGAGGAGATTTTGTCTGACTTGGCTGTCAATCAGGAGATCAAGACCATGAAGAAGCAGAGTAAGCTATAGAGGCTTAGAGATTATTCTCATTAAACGCTTCGTTGTGTTTTGCTCTATATTGTCCTCGTGTACTAAAAAGATCGCTACTGTAAAACCTGCATATGACGAGCCTCTATGATACGAATCCTCCCTGTTTTACGAATTCGCATCCTGTCACCCTAATTAAATCACTAAATTCTTTGAATATATCGCTTATTCCGCATATTAGACCCACCTTTACCACTATGGTCAAATCATAAATCCTGCTAAGATGCTAAGTCTTAGATTCACCACGTGCCTAATGTTGGACTATCGTACTATTAGAGGCCTGGCGGTGGCCCCAAAGGATTATTACCTAGGCAGTAGTAGAAGCCTAATTAAGGCAAGATAAGATGGGATTATGGCGATTGCGGTCAAAAATCGACGTTAGGGTGATACTCAGGGATATTGATAAAATAGGGGTACCCTCTCTCATAAGAATGATACAACGAATCACCCTCTGGGGAAAGACTCGTCACCATATAGAGCTTTTACAGTATAAGGAGGCTTTATATGTCCCTTCCTTGAACGGTGTTCACTCCCCTCACAGAGTTGCTCATGGAGACGTGGTTAGTGCTTTACTTTTGTCAATCTACGAATATGTTTTATCGAAGAAGGACCGCGTTCACTTCATTTACTCATTGTTTCCTAGAATTCCTTTTTAAACAACGGAACAAAGTATCTTCCCCTCGTCTACTGCATCTCCCTTCTTCCAGTTTGTCTCGAATTTCCCCGACGCAGACACAGCAATGCTAACCTCCATCTTCATGCTTTCAATCACCATGACTGATTGTCCAGACTCAACCTTATCGCCATTATTTTTCAAGATGGACAGGACTTTGCACGGCATTGGCGCCATGATTGTCTTTTGCTCGGGGTCATTTTTCTCTTTAGCCACAGACCGAATACTCTCCGCAAATGACAAGAGCGTATCACGCTTGAGCTCAATAAAAGTACCCAGCATAGGGAGATGGCAGAAAACTCGTTGGCCTCTGTCAATCTCTCCTGCCAGAGTGTGTGGTCTTGCAGATGGGAGAGTTACATGTGCTAGAATCTTGATTCCGTTGATCGAGACCTGCAGAGTGGATGTAAGCCATGATTCCACGACAGCAGGATTTCCTTCTGCTGGGTGCCATGAATCAATGTTGATTTTGTAAGTCTTTGAATCCATGGCTTTTCCACTGCGCAATGCCTGACTGATCTCGTTATACTGGGCAGAGACTTGTGTGGCTGTTACTGCTGATGGGTCCTGAGAAGAGTTCGAGTCTTCAATCTCAAATAGGTAGGCCTCTCCATTGTTCTTCGGGATGCTTGTGTCTTGTGGCTTCCAGATACACATTTGCTTAATAGAGGAAACGTCTCCCTGTTTTTCCCCAGACCAGTCGACATTCGTCACAATTTCGCAGTGGGCACTAACGGGATCATAGCGCTGATTGCGGAATTGTTTGCGAACACTGCCAAACGGTTTCTTTTGCAGTGTGGCCGGTATGAAGTTTGACAAGTTCCGAATAATCAATCCTGGAAAAATAGAAAGCATTGTTTGTACTTCTGGCTTCTGAGTCCATGGCGGTTGCAGCAGTTTATCGATGTTGGCAGTAATAAATGAAGTGGTATATGTAGGGTCGTGGAATGCCCGGTTCAATAGACAGGATTGCATGAAAAGTTGATTGGTTTTGACACCAACACAAGCAGTGTGTGCGAGGACCTTTGTCATTTTCTCGATGGCGAGTGCTCTTGTTGGCGCCCAGACAACGATTTTCGCGATCATGGAGTCAAAGTAGATTGAAACCGAAGAGCCGCTATGGATTGCTGTTTCATATCGAACATCCCGGCCAGCGGCGAGTCTATCTGTTGCTGGGAGCCATAGATGAACTTTGCCGTGTTCTGGGAAGAAGTTCTTCTGTGGATCCTCAGCGCACAAGCGGCATTCTATGGCATGTCCTAGTTGGGAGATATTCTGCACGGCAGGCAGACCCCGTAGTTTTCCACCCGCAGCCGCGAAGAGCTGAAGTGCAACAAGGTCAATGCCAGTAACTTCTTCTGTGATGGGATGCTCGACTTGAAGTCGAGCGTTGACTTCGAGAAAGTAAAAGTGACCGGTTTTCACATCCACCACAAATTCAACTGTACCAGCATTTTCATATCCGATCAGTTTCGCGATACGGACTGCAGTCGCACTCATTCTTTTTCGTATGTCATCTGTGAGGAATGAACAGGGTGTTTCCTCGATGACTTTCTGGTGTCGTCGCTGGACAGAGCAGTCGCGATCAAAGAAAGAGACCACTTCACCGTGAGAATCACCCAAAATTTGAATCTCCACATGCTTGCTGCTTTCAATATATTTTTCTAAGATGCAATCACTCGATCCAAATGAGCGTTGAGCCTCGGACTGTGCTCGTTCAAGCTCCTCCTTCAGTTGACTAGCCTCCCGAACAATTCGCATTCCCTTTCCTCCTCCTCCTGCTGATGCTTTAAGCATGACTGGGAATCCAATTTCTTGAGCTGCTGCTCTCAAAGCCTCACTGTCCTGACTGGAACCTGAAAATCCAGGGATCAAAGGGACATCTGGTGCATTCTTGCTCAAGTATACTTTCGATGACCGCTTGTCACCTAGCGTGGACATAGCGCTGGCGCTGGGACCGATGAAAATGAGCCCTGCTCGACGGACTCCATTTGCAAATTCCGCATTCTCGCTCAAATAGCCATATCCTGGATGAATCGCTTGTGCACCTGTGAAAAGTGCGGTTTTCACGAGCAAGTTGATGTCAAGAAAGGGATTTCGTTCGCTTCGGTCAATGCTCCCAATATTGATCGCTTCATCGGCATCTAAAACATGACGGGATGAGGAATCCCTTTAGAGTGTTAAGATTCTTACTTCCAAATGAATGTTTCAATACGTACTCGTCAACATAAACCGCAACAGATAGAATGTTCAGTTTCCGACAAGTCCGGATGATTCGACAAGCAATTTCACCACGATTGGCTACCAACACTTTCTGGATGATAGGTCGGCCATCGACCCCCAGCGGAGGCTCTGCGACAAATAGCGGTCCGCGAAGGAGTGAAGCATTGCTTCCGTTCTTGTGTCTGGGAGTACTCTCAACCTTAGTCATTTTGCTAAGTGATATTGTCCGCTGGTGATCAACGATTGTCTAAATGCTGAGGTTATGATCTCACAAGAGCGATAACTGTAAAGTATTCCAGGAAAACATTCATTCTATGTTTCATAATTTCCGACCATGGCTCTTCCTGGACGCCCCAAGAGGCCATCTATGCTACTCCGAGGCATTCCGCTCGGTCCGGATTCCGCACCGACGATGTGGGGGTAGATCGGTCCGGAGCAAAAGTATCTCCTCGTCGATTTAGGGCCCGAGCTGGACCGGATACACATCGTTGCTGTGCGGAGCTCAATTGCTACGTAGCTAGTTAACTGATATGTCCGGACTTTTCACAAATTCAAGGTTTTTGCAACTAGTTGGAAGATTGTAGAACAACATTTGTAAAATTAGGATAGTTACTTAAAATCTCGCCAACTGACTATGAGCCTCTGCCCCCTTCACCCCCTGAAGTGTAACTGTCTCCAAGCACATGCCTAAAACATCTCTTGTATCACGAGGGTCAATGATTCCATCATCAATAAGCATCGAGCTAGTTGAATAACACTCCGCATCCCGCTGAACTCGCTCCCTGAACTCCTGCACCTGCTTCTTCAGTTTCTCGGGGGATAGAGTAATGCCCTTAGCCTTAGCACTTGCTTGCTGTACATTCTCCATAACACCCGATAGCTGATCAGGACCCATAACACTACACCGACCGGTGGGCCATGTGAACAGGAAACGTGGTTTGTAGGATCGCCCACACATTGCATAATTTCCAGCTCCGTAAGATGCACCCATAATTATCGAGATATGTGGTACAGTCGAGCAGCTGACAGCTGAAACAAGTTGAGCCCCCATCTTGATAATACCGGCGTGCTCGGCTTTAGCGCCAACCATGAAGCCGGTGACGTTGTGAAGGAAAATGATAGGAGTATTTCTAGGTTGAATGATTAGTTGCAGTCAATTATGATGAGAAGCATTGCCAAAATCCGTACTGTTGATTGCACATCCTGATGAACTGAGCAGCCTTTCCAGCTTCGTTCGGATTGATGACTGAAATCTGATTGGCCACGATGCCCACGGGGAAGCCTGGTGTTTGTTAGCTATCGCTCTTTTCTCTTGTCTGGACCTTTTTTGTTTTCATTCCAAAGCTCCTTCATTAATCTCACCCATGATATGAGCCCACGTAGTGATGATATTTGGACCGTATTTGGGCTTGAATACAGATAAGCGAGAATCGTCGACAATTCGCAGCAGAACCTCGCTCATATCAAAAGGTTTTCGAATATCTGGGTTCACAATTGACAACAAGTCTTCGACAGGATACCGAGGAGCAGTTGGCTCTATTATCCCTACCCTGAACGGAGTCCGCATTTGAAGTGAGGCCACCCACTCGCGCGCCTTCTGGATAGCTTCGAATCTGAGCAATAAAGGTCAATATCAAATATTGTCAGAGTGAAGGAAAGTATAAACATACTCATTCGATGCAATTTGATCTGCCAACCCTGTGGTAACGGCATGAACCTTGGCACCACCTAACTCTTCCGCTCCTATAACCTCACCCGTTGCCATTTTCACCAAGGGCGGACCACCAAGAAAGGCTTGCGCTTGGTTCTCGACAAAAATGGTATAGTCCGACAACGCCGGATGGTATGCGCCACCTGCTGTGGATGAGCCAAATACAATAGCACATGACGGCTTTCCGTGCTGCGTGCGTACTGCAAGGTCTCGGAACAGCTGGCCTCCTTTGTGAAAGACTCGAAATTGCTGTGGCAGAAATACCCCGGCCTGTGCAATTGTGCAATTATTAATAAGAGCACATAAATGAGGTAGAATCCTTTACATACCGACTGAACGAGAGAAATGAGCGGCAGATCATTTTCAAATGCAATTTCCATCATGCGGTTCACTTTCAACACTGTATGGATGTTAAGCAATGACCTGTTACTAATATATGAACGGCGATCTTACCTGTCATCTCGTTCCAAGCACCTCCACTTTGAGTCGGAATATGGGACATGAGAAGACACGGTCGTCCACTATGATTGTGGTTGTGAGAACAAAGTCAAAATCGGAAGTCAATTTCCCCAACTCACCAAACATTCCCGATTCCGGAAATCAAATTGGCACATGGCGTTGAATCATTGTTCTCAAATCCAGCGAAGGCACCGAGCTCTAGAAATGGAGAGTCCTGGTCCAGTAATAGTGCAACTCGATCTCGCGCTGTGGTGAACCAGTCAGATCATCCACACGGGGAAGACGTCAATGTACGTACGCAACAGCTGACCGCGGGTCTGATGCCTTTTCAGAGAGACTTCGTTTCCTTCGGCGGAGACTTGCTTCAATGCCTCCTCGAATCTTTTCAATACAGGCACCCAGCTATTTTTATTGGCTTGGAACAGTTCGCCCCGGAGGTCCAAGTTGGCTGTGAGCACTGGGAATGATGAGTCGGTCGGCATATTGAATAAATTGAGAGTAACTTAGGAAATATCTCAGAAGAGCGAAAGAACCATCCGTGAAAATTATGAGTCGTAGGTGCGGAGTGGGTAAAACATGACCGGTCCGAACCCCGGAAATCTCCCGAAGTCAATGTCGCAACCCCAAATGGTAAAGATCAGGTCTGGGGTATGACTTATTTGAATTAAAGAAGGAAAGCATTCTGTAACTAGAAGAATCACTCTGGTTTGTGTCGTCCGCATTCGAAATAGTCCTCAGCCCTATATCTCTATGGTAAATTGGAATCCGCTACAATGAACCTCAATCCCAATATTTCCTTTGTCCAAGGCCTCAAGGAGCCCCCTCTTTGGCTCATAACTCTGGGCACATTCATCGATGAGCAAGCTTCACACTTTGAAGACCGTCCAGCAGCCATCTTCCCATGGCAATCCGTCCGTCTCTCGTACCGACAGCTAGCAGATCGAAGCAAGATTCTTGCGAAGGCTATGCTGGAGATGGGTTTACGGAATGGGGACACTGTAGGAATTATGGCTGGGAATTGCTACGAGTATATTGAGGTATTTCTGGGCGGTGGCAGGATTGGGTGTCCTGTTGTGGTTTTGAACAATACCTATACGCCCGAGGAGTTGGTGAATGCTGTGAATAGGAGTTGTAAGTTCCATGTTCTTTTTTTTGCGTATTTTTGAAACCGGTTGGACCGACTTACAAGTTTGTAGCTTGCAAGTTGGTTTTCATGGCTTCGAATATTGGGACTCGAAGCTTGTCCAATCACATCAAGAATCTTCGCGGGGTACACTCGAAGCGCCTTACACTACCGGACCTACGCCGCGTGGTGAACTTTGGAACTATGGGTATAGATGAAGCTGGGGTTGAAATGCAGACCTACAGCACATTTGTCTCTGGAGCCAATTCGATCTTTATGACAGACTCGATGCTCAAACGCGCAGAAAGCTCCGTGAGTCCCGAGAATGTGTTAAATTTACAGTTCACTTCTGGTGAGACTTTCGAATACAACAATTTCCTAGACTCCGACTAAATTGCTCCCTCATAGGAACCACCGGCTCCCCGAAAGCTGCTATGCTCACGCACGTGTAAGTTTGAAAGACCCAGCGAGGACATATATGACAGTGTTGATTCTTGACCGAGTAGAAACCTTTTGAACAACGGTAGATTCGTGGGCGATGCAATGCATCTTACCCCAGAGGATGTCATCTGCTGTCCACCTCCACTGTTCCACTGCTTCGGTCTCGTGTTAGGGTTCCTCTCCTCATTCACACATGGAAGCTCAATCGTCTTCCCATCTGACTTTTTCGACGTGAAAAAGGTCGTGGATGCAGTAATCAGCGAAGACGCAACAGTACTTTTGGGCGTTCCCACAATGTACGTTTCAGAGCTAGAAGTGATTTCCAAAACAGGACAGAAACCGCGTCGTCTAAGGACGGGTCTTGCATCTGGCTCTGCTGTGTCACAAGGTTTAATGCATGAGTTGAGAGAGAAGATGGGGGTTGAGAAGATGTTGATTGCGTATGGAATGACAGAGACGAGTCCGGTTACATTCATCACATCTATTGACGATGATGATGTGAAAAGGACTACAACTGTCGGGAGAGTTCTTCCTCACACAGCCGCAAAGGTCGTTGATAATGAAGGGAGGATTGTTGCTAGAGGTGAGAGGGGTGAGCTTTGTACTAGTGGGTTCGTTTTGCAGAAAGGGTACTGGGAAAACGAGGAAAAGACAAAAGAGGCTATGAGGCGGGATGAGAATGGTGTTTTGTGGATGCACACTGGTGATGAAGCCTTTCTTGATCAAGATGGCTACGCACATATTACTGGTCGTATCAAGGATCTTATCATTCGAGGTAAGACGTCGATAAATCCGGCTTATAGCTTTTTCGCTAACAAGACCCAGGCGGAGAAAATATCTTCCCGCGTGAGATCGAAGAACGACTCATGTTTCATCTATCTATAAGTGAGGCTAGCGTGGTTGGTATTAAGGACGAGAAATACGGGGAAGTCGTTGGCGCCTTTTTGAAGGTCGTTGAAGGAGTCCCTAGGATTTCTGATGAGGAGGTGAAACAGTGGGTGAGTGAGAAGCTAGGTCGACACAAAGCTCCTCAGTATACCTTTTGGATCGGGAAACAGGGTGTACGAGAAGATTTCCCAAAAACCGGGAGTGGAAAACATCAGAAGCACATTATGCGAGATATTGGAAACCGGTTGGTTGGACGTAGAATTGTCAAGGCAAAGCTTTAGGCAAAGGCTCTTCATTCAACGCTGCCCCGTCTACAGCCATTCAAATACAATTTGCTTTATTACATACATCCTGCCAGTTCGAAATTTCGGAATAGACTCCAGTACGTAATCTTAAAAAAAACTTCGGGAATATCGAAACAGCCTCGTACATATGACAAGCCTGTCGATTTCTATGGATATCTCACGTTAAACTCCAGCTAGTCGTTGACGCACAGACTGATATTGAACACCTAAAGGTGACTATTTCCTGTATTCTTCTCAGTCCCTTCAATGCCAACCGGCCAATTCTTTCTGTCCCCTACCGGTCCGGCCCGGAGATATGTAACGTAGTTTGGCTTCCCGCAAAGTGGAGCGTGGAAGTTTGCGGGGAAACTCATCGGTCCGAAGGGGCCAGGAGCAGGGTTCCAACTGCGCGGTGTAGTATCACGTCAGCCTGAGTCAGATAACTTAGCCGAGGTCTACAAAGTTGTGTCGAAGCTATCTTTGAGTAAGAAAAAATTCAAAGCGTACGAGATACAACAAACATCTCTCATAGCGGCATCCACTATGACCGTGCAGAGCACTCCTCCGACTGTCCGAATTGTGGAAGTAGGGCCGAGGGATGGACTGCAGAACATCCGCGAGGCCATTTCTACTCCTATTAAACTGGAATTGATTCGTCGCCTTGAAGAGACTGGTCTTGATACCATTGAGTTGACATCGGTGGTTTCGCCTAAGGCTATTCCTCAATTGGCGGATTGTCGTGAAGTACTTGGGAGTCCTCTGGTAAAGCACCTGGTTAGCAAGTCTCACTTGAGGCTACCTGTTCTGGTGCCGAATGTGAAGGGGTTGAACATTGCTATTCAACATGGTGTGAACGAAATCGCTGTCTTCATCAGTGCGACTGAAGGGTTCAGCAAGGCAAATATCAACTGCACTGTTGAACAGGCCATCGAAAGAGCGAGGCATGTAGCTTCGCTGGCATTGAAATCCAACCTCTCTGTGAGAGGGTAAGTCAACTTATCTATCGTCTACGTGCTCCCAATTTGACTAGGGACAGTTATGTATCTTGCATCTTCGCAGACCCATATGACGGTCCCACATCTCCAGCATCCGTCCTCCACTGTGTAAAAGAACTCCTCGACGCGGGATGCTACGAAGTCAGTCTGGGTGATACACTCGGCACAGGCTCACCAGCAAATGTCCGTAGCTTGTTAAAATACCTGGTCCGCGACGGAATCGCTCTTAGCAAAATTGCGGGCCATTTTCACGATACATACGGGCAAGCAGTGGCAAATGTCTGGGAAGCGTACAATTGCGGGCTTCGAGTCTTTGACAGCAGTGTCGCAGGTCTGGGCGGATGCCCATTCGCACCTGGTGCCAGTGGGAATGTCGCATCTGAGGACCTGGTATATATGTTCCACAATGCAGGAATCAGCACCGGTATTGATCTACCGAAATTAGTCGAGACTGGGGTCTGGATCTCAGAAACCATTTCAAAGCCCCATTCCAGTCGAGTCGGCACGGCACTCTCCATAAAGAGCAAAGCAGCCACATCGGCCGCTGCAAGTATGAGAAAGAAATCATCGATTCAATGGGACGTGTTCTCTGAAACTGAAGGACTCCAGCTTTTCCGATCAGGTGTGAATCTAAAAATAGTCCTCAACCGTCCGAAAAACGGCAACGCTTTGACAGCATCGATGATGTCAGATATGACATCCGCTATTACAGCCGCAAGTCAACATCCTCAAACATCACGAATAATAATAACAGCAGTGGGGAAATTCTTCTGCACGGGAATGGATCTCGGAAAGGAGAGTACACCTGTTGCACAGGGCGACTCCACAAGCAAGGCCCAATTCGAGAGACTGACGAGTTTATTCGAGGCTCTCGACCAGTCTCCCAAAGTAACTATCGCTTGTATGAATGGGCCTGCATTTGGTGGTGGTGTCGGGCTTGCCTTTGCCTGTGATATTCGACTAGCTGCGCGAAACGCGGCAGTAACATTGAGTGAGGCGAAACTGGGTCTTTGTCCAGCGACGATATCGAAGTATGTCATTCGAGAATGGGGTATTTCGTTTGCGCGCGAGGCGATGTTATCGGCACGTCCTGTTACTATTGACGAGTTGAAGACTAAGGGGCTTGTTTCTGATGTTGCTGATACTCCGGAGCAGCTGGGTACTCGGTTGGATGGGTTCCTGGCGCAGTTAAAGGTTGCATCTCCTGATGCGTCGCGAATGTCAAAGGAGCTTGTGAGACTTGCGTGGGCTCATGCCGGTACTGAAAAGCAGGCTCATGGAATTCGGGGATTGTTTGAGGAGATGATGGGTGCTAATGCAGATGGAGCGTATGGAGTGAAAGAATTTCAGGCAGGGAGGAGGGTCGATTGGGATGCATTTACATTGGGGTTGTCGAAGCCCAAGTTGTAAGGATATAGTTTGAGTGATTGATTTGATGTTAGTAGGATTTCAACCAATACGAGGTATACGATATGAAATTACAAGACATAGTAAATATAGTGAAGCACCGTGTTCCCCAAAGAGGTAGCTTCTTCAATATGGCCTGCTGTACACTTTAGAAACACTCGATGAATCAATGAGATCTCATCTTAATCAAGTAAGACGAGTAGACCGAAGACCATAGCCGAAAAGAAATGCAAATGCGCCTTGTGAACCAAAGAAGAGACGATCAGATAGTTAAAGCAAGAATGTCCGAGAATTCTACAGGAAAAGGAAGTCAGCACCGACCTGGAGACCAGCGGTGCCGTTGGTGCTAGTGCCGAAGGCGGAACTCCTGGTGAAAGTACCGGTAGCGTTGGAGCTGGAGTCGAAGCCAGCCTCAGCATTGCCGGAGGAGGAAGTACCAGCGGTGTGGCCACCCTCGCCGCTGAAACCAACCCCCTTGCCAGCATCCTGGGTCAGGTACTGCTTGTCAGGGACAGGGATGGTTGAATGACCATCGGGCCTAGCCATAGTGACAGTAGCGACTCAACTCAAATAACAAGGTTGAGCTTAGGCATGAATCCGCCGCCCGTACATATCGGTCTTTTGTGGCCGCATATTATTCATTTATGGTGCCTGGCTGTTACTCTCGGCCACTGTGGCAGCCCATGATCTTGCCGGAGGTTTTGCATGGGATCAGGGATGTGTTGACCTCCACTCTGGTCCCAAAGTCTTGAACTGAAAAGCTGATCGCTGTTTCTTGGGAGTTACTGGGAAGGGACTTGGGAGCGCCTCCACGGGTCGGCCTGCCATTAGTCCGGGGTTAGTTCTCGCTCGGTACATAACCAGAATCAGCAACTTTTCCTTTACATTTCACCTGTGGATCAAGTCAGGTCAGGTATATGAATTCGTTATCACTATTCAAACGCAATTTACACATGTACGTTTTGTATCAATCCAGATCCGAAGCAGATAAATTGCGTTCTCAAAATTGAAAGAGGACCTCAAATAACACAGACTAAATTAGAATATTTCAGAGTGCTCAACAGGTGCTTAAACTCGTTTTGCCAGCTACTATAAGGACCAAGAAAAACGGGATTCAAGCTTGTCATCTGTTCCTATAAGTGTCCAAGAAGACACTCATCACACCCATGGCTTCCACTTGCTCTCTTCTGAATCCAGACGCTTCTTACCACCAAGCCGGTTACGAGTCCAGTTGCTCAGTTTCTTGATTAACATCCATCGTAATAGCGAAAACAAGCCCGTGGATGCAGTATTCTCAAGGAGCAGAGCTCAGCCCTTCCGCCGAAACCCATCTAGACATCCCCTTCGGATGTCTTCTTATCATTGAAGCCCTTTATAATGGTTGACAAATCTCCCATAGGTAGCCAGAAGGGAAAGTCCACTGCTAGCAGTATGAGGGAGAGAAATATGTACCAGCCCATAAGACTAACTACCAGTAGCAAAATGGCACCGACATGCTGATATGTGGCAGCAGCAGCAGCAAGACCACTTGCCAGTGCGAAAAAAGCAGCTGCAAGGCAACAAACTAGGGTAAATGCGTCAGTAGTGCCTTCTTTGTAAGATCGGAATGTTCGTTTACCTGATGGTGTTAGGGTCAGGAAAACCATAAAAAAGACTAGATTTGTGCGGAGGCTCGCGATAGTGAAGAAGGCTACAACGATGGCCAAGGTCACTAGGAAGAACCCAAAGGTAGCGAAGAAAGCAGGCTCAACGAGTCCTTCAGCTGGTACTTTGGGGTCCGGAGAATACACGGCAGATGCTCCAGTGGTAGGATCGATTGCGGTACCAAATGCCAGCCAAAAGCCGCCAAATAGGAAAAATACAACGGCGGGGAAGGTATTCCCTGATAGGCGATCGAAATTAGCGACATGCAGACATAGGATATGGTATATAAGCGAAGTTTACCTAAAATCCATTCCCCGATTGCTCCAAGAAACTGAGTAACTCCACCGACATACAGGTATGCTCCTCTAATCAATGGTCAGAATTGGACGTATATATGGAAACGTTAGCCTACAGATTGGCGGCTCCAAGCCCACCCGCACCTTGCCATCCAAGTAAGGCCATCGACAATGATGTCGAGCACATGAGAAAGCCTCCTAAAGCGATCGGTGTTGGGTTCCCAAATGTCTGCCGGAGATGACCTTTGACACGGTTCTGAGGGGCCAAATACAGCTGTTCAAACAGCTCCGCTGGTAATTGAACGCTCCCAGCAGTGCGCATCCGCTGGAGAAAGTCATTATTATCCTCGATATATCCTTGCTGAGCGGTTTCCAAGGCCGACTTCTGATTTTGAGACATTAATGATGGTTGTCGAGGGTGCGAATGATTATGACGGATATTTATTGGAGAGATGAAGGGCGCTGGAGGCTATCTTTAAAACATATAATGCAGCTTTGACAAGATCACTGGGCGTTCTTGCAGATCAACTGTGGGTGCGGTATAGCCCTTGATCTTGACCCCAGATCCGGTCCGGAATCTATGTGGGGGATCCGAAGTGCACAGATGAGCTCGGCCCAGACTACAGAGCTTATATGACCCATTCTCGTGGCACAACATATACATGCACGAGAAATAGACGTGTATGGGGTCTACCTTTTTCTCATGAACTATGTGGACACACGCAAGATGGAGTAACAAGGCATGGCACTGGATAAGTTACAAGAAAATATTTTTGTTTGGCGCGCGGAATCTTCAGTTATCCGTCTAATGTTGTGATTGTTACAATTAGTGTCGTTTATGTGCGTCTGAGCATGCTTTATTTACCGCAAAGTTTCTGATTCGCGTGATGTGAGCGCGTACCCCCGCCCGATTCTAACTTAAGTTCAGATGCGAGAAGATCCTTACTGATAGAGGCTGTTATGTTACTTTAGGAAGCTTTGTAAAGCCCCACTTCCACATTTCGACGACGAAAGCGATCCCCAAATTGTATCGGACCGAACCCCACACAACTCTAACAACTTTAGCCTATCCGCGCGGACCGACGCCATTGTTACTGTCAGAACATGACTGTAAGGGGAGCGTTGTCAGCCGTGATCAAACGATAGAAAATCGATCGACAAATTAATCTACGATCGAATTACCTCATCGTGATGGCGGCCACTTTGGATGAAAAATAAAGACTATCGCAGACGTCGTTTTGAAACCACTTGTGGATATACTTGGCGAGGATGAGACGTTAGACAGATGACCTGACAAAATGCCGTTCGCTGGTCTGCGGCAGGTCCCCGCATCTGAGCAAGTGAGAGAAGAAGGCTCCAGGATTATCTAATTAGAGAACCCTAAAAGTTTTAGATCTTTGGGCGTTAATTACCTCTTCGACGCGAATGGAAGTGCGGACACAAAAAAAGATACAAGGTATCTAGACAATGATAAGGTGTACATGGGCCGTGTCATGGAATCAAAAGTAACCAATTGCACGGCCTAACTCAACTTTATTGAGACTACTGTGTGAACCAAATTCGTTCTTGTAAATACCCCAATGGAGGACCGAATACCTCTTGTCTTATACTATCCCTTATAATTGCACAGATACTATGGCTACGCAATCGGGTTGATCTCCTCTGCTATTTCATATGCGGTAGAAATCGCTGGTTGGGACTTTTGTTTATTAACAAACACAGTGAACTGAATTATTGAGAAGCGCTACTTCCCGGTTCGTTCCTAGCAGCATTTGTGCCCTCTCTGTCTTATCAATAAAATCTTAGAATATGCCATCATCACCCTTCCAAGTAGTTTCCTAGACCCAAAGCTCCTGGACTCTGGGGAACATGCTACAAGGAACTGTACTAATACATAGCTATGCATATTCCCTAGTATATAGTTCAATTCAATTGTGTTTGTGATTGAGATGCTTCAAACTTTGGGACGTTGAGGAAATGGATGGCGTTGTGTATGGAGGGCTCAATTCAGGGTCTTACCACTGCCAGTTACAGAAATTCAGGACTTTTATATGATGTCGCTTGAATTAATGCCCACTCCGTTGATTCGCAAGCCGATCATATAATCATTCGGTACTTTCATCTAGCGGTAAAGGTCGTGACGTCAACGGCGACGCTGGAAGTTCTGGTGGGCTAGCCCTCCGTAGAAGGCTCGAATACGGCGGGATCATCAAGAGCCCGGCTTAATTCATCTTTTGTTACCACGTCCCAGCTCGCTGAGTAAGCGAATACATCCGTCTGATTCTGAACTTAGCCGGTCCAAGTCTTCAACAGCTCCCTTGGACGTTAAGTAGAACAGTGAATTTGATGTTTATGTTGCTTTTGAAGGTTGAAGGATCCTAGATGTGGGCGGTATAGGCTCGAAATCCGAGTATGTTCAAATCTTCAAGGAAAATAAGTCGAGTATTGAAGGAATGCCTCATCAATTTCTGGTGTCTTATCACCAATGCGACTCATCTCCGCATAGTTGAAATTTCCATACGCCCAATCGTCCGAGATAGGATCAGTGACAATCGCAGCTGAGGATTCAATGGGGGTTTCACTTTCAGGCATCATGGACGTAGCTTGGATATTGGTTGTTGAGCTCAGAACTGGGTTAGGTTGAAGATTTAGATGAATGGTAATGGGCTCTACCATCGAAGGCAAGGTTTGGCCTATCTTCGTAAACAGAAGAGGAAGAAGTCTTCGCCGGCCTCCTGGTAAATCATGAATGAGAGAAGAGAAATGTTTGAGATAGTCTTGCGGGCCAAGCTTGAATCCTGACGAACGAAGCCCAGCCGCCGACAGGCATGCCATCACGTCGATCAAGGTGCACGCGACCTCAAATATCTTCTCGATCTGCAACTAATTAGATTAACCTTCAGAAGTGAATACATAAAATGACATACCAGACCAATCCCGTGAGTTTCCATACTCTGCCGGGACAATTTCCATGTTGCGAGGCAGAGGTCCTGAGCAATAAGCAACGGGTAGCGGAAATCCATGCATTCATGAGAAGGATTGGTGGACAAAAACCCAGCAGTGGTAGATAATTGCCATATCATAATGCGTAGCCATTGTTGGGATACTCTCAGGTCAGCCATGATTACATCCGGCAAGTCAAGATCTGCAGGCACTGCGTTTTGGATGCGTTCCTCGAGGACAACAAGGGATTCGATCGAGCATGTCGTATGAGTGCCATTCCAGTGACCCAGGAACCCTTCATCAAATGGGCGATAAAGATTGGTCAAACATCGAAATCCCACGGCCGATGCCTCTGGATGAGGGTCATCTTCCAACTGGGGGCTTTGTGGTGTGACCTGGAGAGTAATTGGTCTATGTCGTCGGATAGCATGAGCTCTGTCAAAGATCAGCATGATTCATACCGGTAGTTTCGGTCAATTACCTTTCTGAAACTACTAATAACCAAAATAATTTGCCTTCCAAGGAGGGATCAGCGTCGTCTGCTTGCGCTGAGGTGGCTTGGCTCTCAAGCGCACTGGCCGTATAAAGCGTTGTAGCCTCGCGGAGGAAGTAATAAGCATGTCTTTGATTTCCTAAACCAATATGGCAGCCATAGAGAAGGAAGGCGATGATAATGTTTTGTCGTACAGGATCCGTGAAAGGGTCGAGGTGCTTTCGAGCTTCGGTGGCCTCTTCAACCAATGAGTTGCGATGATCTTCCGAAAACAATGTGTCATGATGGCGAGATGTTTGTTCCACAGCAAATCCAGTTTGGGTGACGACAAAGGCGCAAAACGCAGTGACCAAACAGTAAGAATGAAGACAGGTATCAGCCTTCTCTACCTGCTTCTGAAAGCCACTGGGTTGCAAAATGGGCACTGTACCTCTCATGCGAGAGAAAAAGTATTCTGAACAAGCATTGATAAGTTCAAGCCCCAGAAGATCTGGAGTCCTTGCAAAGTGGCATCTGCCTGGGGGTTTAGGTGATCGTGCGACCAGAGGCGTGGACGGAGAAGTGTTCAAACGGGGAGCTAGAGCCTGTTCCACCTCTTTTGATCTGAGCTCACTTAAAATGTTGGCCGTCTGGCCCTGGCGTCCCTTTCTCTGGCGTTGTATAGATGTTCGGCAGACCAGGCCGGCAGCTCGGCATTGCTTGCAAGGTCGCGGAGATATGCATTTGACCTTTCTCCGACGACAGGCATCGCATGCCTGTTTTGGAGGATCATTAGAATGACTTGCATCAGACAAATCCATGCCTTCGTGGAATCCGGGGATGCGGAGGGAAGTCGGAGAGAAGCCGGGACAAACCCGGGAGGTTGTGCGTTCTTGGCGGCGCAGTATAGCCCCACAGGTGGTTCGGTCAATTTACGAGTGAATTGGCAATTGTACCTGTGCAAATTAGAGAATTAGAGAGTATATACAACCCTAGCCCAATGAGCTTGCCGTAGAAATTACTTGCTCAACTCACGCCTATCATGGTGAATAGGTTCAACCCCTTGGATATTTGGACTACACGACCACAAACTATGTCGCCTTTGGAATCAAAAAATGTACAAAAGTGATGTATTATGGAGACTTCTGAGTCCGAAAAAGACTGTCCCAATAATTTATACGTATGTAGACATAGATCACCTGTAAAACATCAAACATACACCCTGCCTTCAAAAGGCCCCAGTGTCTCCAGAGACGAGCTATCATAGTTGCTCACCAGCAAACTTTTGCCCACAGTTTTCTTAGCCTGCGTAAATGGCTGAGATGCTGCAGTAAAGTTTAGAACAACCAATGCCTGTCTATCATCCCTTGATTTCACAAAGCAGAAGGTCTCTTGGTTTTCATAGTCGAGCACTTCAAACGCACCGTGGATAAACAAGTCTCGATACTTTTTTCTCAGACGCAACACATTTTTCCAGAATGACAGCACACTACATGGGTCATTCTCTTGTTTTTTGACATTGATCTCATTGGAAAGATCATGAGCTCGCATCCATGGCTTTCCAGTAGTGAAGCCAGCATGCTCAGAGCCATCCCACTGCATAGGCAGCCGAGAATGGTCACGAGCCAGGATACGTAGACCATCCATGATGCGCTCTTTGCGCTTGGGATCATCTCCACTCGCACTTCGTCGCTCTGCTTCCCGGTAGTACCCCAGCCCTTCGATATCCTTGTATTCATCAATTGACCAATCGCGAGGAGCGTTAATCATGCCAATCTCCTGGCCCTGGTAGATGAACAATGTCCCAGTCATGGTAACCATCATCAGGGCCAGCATTTTGGCAGATATCTCCCGGAACGCGGGTGCATCAGACCCGAAACGAGAGACAGAGCGACCGTTGTCGTGATTTTCACAGAAAGCAGTGGTCCAGCCATCTGTTCCCTCGATGAAAGATTGCCATTTCTCCACTATGGACTTCATCTTCGTCAATTTCCAGGGATGGAAGATGTATTTCTCTTCCAGACTGGGTCCCATGCCGATGTGTCCAATGTCCAAATGGAACACCATGCTCAGCTCCTTGGCTGATGCGCCGACATATTCTAGGACATTTTTGGGATCGGGAGTATTGGCCAGCTCGCCAACCGTCATCACGTCTCCGTATGGAGCAAACGACTCGTCGTACATTTCTCGCAAGAATTCATGGATTCGAGGTCCGTTACACCACATTTGGATAGCTGGCTGTATATCGCTCTTTGGATCCGTGACTGGGGCATCGGGGAAGTTTGTATGCTTGCTATACTTGTTGACAGTGTCGACTCGGAAGCCATCGACACCCTTGTCTAGCCAGAACCGAACTGCGCTGTTGTAGATAGCTTCGCGCGTAGCTCTGTTGTCCCAGTTGAGGTCGGGTTGCTCTTTTGCGTAGAGGTGAAGGTAGTATTCTTGTGTTGTCTCATCCCAAGTCCCTGTATGGCAGTTAGTTGATATTCCACAACATAGTACATATTACTTACAAGTACTCCCTGCGAAGTATCCCCGGTAGTTACTCGGCGGCACCCTATTTCCAGCCTCATCATATCGCGGAGGACGCCAAAAATACCAGTCACGTTTCTCATTGTCCTTGCTACTGCGACTCTCCTTGAACCAGGCATGTTCGTCACTGGAGTGATTGACCACAAGATCCAAAATCAGCTTCATGCCTCGCTGGTGACATGCCTCAACGAGATCCTCCACATCTTTCACAGTACCGTAGGCAGGCAACACCTTCTCATAATTGGATACATCGTAGCCCATATCATGCATGGGCGAGTCATACATCGGAGACAGCCACACCACATCTATGCCGAGCGAGTGAAGGTAGGGGACTTTCTCAACTACACCGGGGATATCACCCCAGCCATCACCGTTGGAGTCATAAAAAGATGCTGGGTAGACCTAACATCAGGCCATTAGTATCATAAGTGCAATAACTCCACTCAATAACCAACCTGATAGACTGTCGCCTCCTTCCACCAGTTATTTGTCCCAGTCGGGACAGTGTCTTGTGCGTGTGGTGACATGGCTGACCTATTTTGTTCCAAGCACACTCTCACCTCTTATAGACTTTTTCCCCTTCGGCCCTGACTCGGCCCAGAGTGAGGAGATTCCTGCCAAGCCACCGACATACATCGCATCTCCGAGTAGCGGCCGACTTGCCCCCGACAGACAGCTTTCAAGAACGCTGATTTGCTGCGGTTGGACCTCCACACTTCGGCTTCCCCAGTTTTCTCCAAATTCTTCGTGACAGCTTCTTCCCCGGATCTGTGATGTGCGTGGTCTGCACCATGTTTATGTTTCGCGGCTTTGATATAAATTTGCGGATTTCCCCGTTCTTTCGGCTTTGACTATGCCCGATGTACCAGGTCTATTTGAATCCCTTCAATTAGATCCTTGATCTAAGACTTTCATTTGAGGTTTTGCTTGAGCTCAAGCCGCACCAAACCTACCTTATCTTCCATCGAATGGTGTCAATGGACGACACATCTGCCAGAATGGACGACAAGCCCTCGACCGTCCTAGCTGAAGGCCAACATGCAGCCCAGAAGGAGCAGTCCATGACTCTCTGGCAGGCTCTGAAACTATACCCCAAAGCTGTCGGCTGGTCAGTGCTGCTCTCGTCTACCCTGATCATGGAAGGGTATGACCTCGCATTACTGAGTTCCATGTATGCATCGCCCGCTTTCAACAAAAAGTTTGGGCAACTGACAGCCTCGGGAAAATGGGCTGTTCCCGCATCCTGGCAATCCGGCCTGTCAAACGGTGCACGCTGCGGTGAAGTCATTGGACTTTTGATAAACGGTCTAGTCTCGGAGCGCCTTGGCTATCGTCGTACTATGATCTACGCCTTGGCCACCATCACAGCGGTCATCTTCCTCTTCTTCTTCGCGGTCAACATCCAGATGCTACTGGCAGCGGAGATCCTCGCCGGTATTCCATGGGGTATCTTTCAAACCCTCCCAGCTGCGTACGCCTCGGAAGTCTGTCCGGTAGTTCTCAGACCCTACCTGACGACATTCATCAACATGTGCTGGGTATTCGGACAATTCGTGGCAGTTGGAGTCAACCGTGGGTCCATTTCTCGCGATGATCAATGGGCATACCGCATTCCCTTTGGTGTACAATGGGCCTGGCCACTACCAATCATGATTGGCTGTCTATTCGCACCCGAGTCACCCTGGTGGCATGTTCGACAGGGCAATATACAAGGAGCGCGACGCGCCCTACAACGACTGACATCATCGAAAGACCCCAACTTCAACCCCGAGGAGACAATAGCCATGATCCAGCACACGAACGAGCTAGAAAAGTCTCTTTCGAGCGGAACGACATACTGGGACTGCTTTAAGGGAACAAATCTCCGCCGAACAGAAGTGGTCTGCATAGTATGGCTCGTGCAGACACTATGCGGACAGAATCTAATGGGATACTTCGCCTATTTCTGCGTACAGGCAGGTCTACCAACGGTGCAATCCTTTAATCTATCTCTAGGTCAATACGGCCTCGGAGTCCTAGGCACAATGGGCTCATGGTTCCTCATGTCAATCGCAGGTCGACGCACAATCCACGTGTGCGGCCTAGCATGTCTCTTCATCCTATTAATGATAACCGGCTCGCTATCATTCGCACCGAGCGAGAACAACGCCGCGAAATGGGCCATTGGCGTTATGTTGATCATCTTTACTTTCTGCTACGATATCACCGTCGGCCCGGTTACTTACTCTCTCGTCTCGGAATTATCTTCTACCAGACTCAAGGCAAAGACTATTGTTCTCGCTCGGTGTTTATACAACATTAGCAATATTGTCGTCAACGTCTTGACCAACTACCAATTGAACTCCACCGCGTGGAACTGGGGCGCTCGCTGTGCGTACTTCTGGGCTGGGACTTGTTTAATGGGGCTTGTGTGGGCGTTCTTCCGGTTACCTGAGCCGAAGGGTCGGACGTATGAAGAGTTGGATTTGTTGTTTGAGCGGGGGATTTCTGCGCGCAAATTTGCTTCTACTGTTGTTGATCCGTACGAAGGGGAGACGATTGAAGTGCGTGAAGATCATGTAGATAAAGATTGATTCTGCAGCAAGAAAATATAACTGAATTTCTGTTATGATCTGCTATTATATTGCCCCTTCTAACATTGATCGATACAAGATCTCCATAGACTTGACAAAGGGAGGCGTTCCCGTCAACATATTCTGCCTCTACTTTCGGGTCATCTGGTTATAGACTGACCATGCATGGTAGTTTCGAAGATCACTAATCTCTACACACATCCCTTGCATGCTTTGGATCAGGGAGTCACTTGATGTTTTATAACAGTTCTGGAAATCGCGGAGCATAGTTGAACACCAAATAGTACTTATATAAGACTAAAAAGCAATGCTAACAGATCAAAGCAGTGCGCAAACACCAAAACAGCGTTTAGTAACAGATGAAAACCAAGGACATCTTCGGAGCAGTATACAGAGGATGTAGTGGGTATATGACACAATGCGATCGCGACCGCGAAATACATAGAGGATCAGGTGCATGAAAAAACTCCAAAAAAAGAATCCAAAAAGGAATCCCAAGAGATAGACAATCAAGCCCAGCGCCAGCCGGCTTCTTGCGATTTCTGACGCTTAATAACAGCTGACAGTAGGGTATTCCGCTTTCCAAAAGGATTACGCTCATTCTTTTTGCGCTGATGCTCAAGCAACTGTATAGCAGCAGAAACATCAATGCCTTCACCGGTATCGGTAATCTTAAGCGCCCACTTTGCGTCTTCTGTATTGAAGCCCATCTCATTGACCATGGTGTTAATAGCCCTATCGACAGGATCAAGAACCTGAGGCGGGAGAGGGACGTGACCTCTGACTGCCGGCGCCGGGGGCGTCTGAGAAGGTGCGAATACAGAGGTATGGTTAGAGGCTTGGATAGGCGTGTGAGGGTCGCTACCAGACCCGGAAGACGAAGTAGAGCAGCGACCGAGAACGAGGGCTGGCACAGGCGGAACGGGCGGCTCATCTCGAATCGAGCCATCGAGGTTGCGGACGATAGTACTAAACTCGGACATTGGACGCTCAGCCGAGAAGGAATAGCGACCTTCTGGTTCGTTGGATGGTCCGCGTACACGGCGGCGGTGACATAGTTCGCGGGCGAAGCCAGCCTGGCGCTCGCGGATTTCACGGGAGGAGTCCGAAGGGCTGCTGCTTCGGTTTCCTTCGGAGATGCTGGATTGTGGAGAGAGGGCTCGTTCTTGAAGTTCGTAGGCTCGTGCGACGGCTTCCTTTAGGAATGGTGATCGGCTGGCTCCGGTTTCTGTTGGTTCCCATTTTGTCAGGCCGATTGACTGGGCCTTTGTGAATGTTGCGACCGTAGTGTCTGCTGGACAGACTGCACTAAGTGATAAAACTGCTGACAGGCCCAGTGAGAGCACGTAGGAGGTCCATTCCTCTGCAAGAAGTCAGCTATAATGATCAAAATTGGTTATAATGCGAATATTACTCACCGAGAACAGTCTCTTCCCGAACTGCATCTCCTTCTGGAACATTCATACCATCAAAGATGCCGACTTTGCGAGCTTCGATACACTTTCCATGCAAAGGCTGAAGCAAAACACTCATACACGTCCAAATCTCAGTAATATCATACATCTGCCTCTGCGACAGACCATCAAGGTTGCCGCGACCGAAGCCTTCTGGTGGTTCGAAGAGGACATTGTTTATGCCAAACGGTTCAGACATAGAAGAAGCCGAATTGAACATGTTCCGCGCCATAACACCACCCTTCAACCAGTCCATTTGGCCGGTGATATCAGCCTCGCGGTTCTTTCCGCTGCCGAAAATCCGACAGAATGTCCAGACCCGCCAAAAGGCATCGTCTACCTCCTCCGCTCGAGTATTATCCACACCCGCAAGACCGCGCACAGTATCGGGACGTAGGAAAGGTGCACATCGCGCCAGGACGAGAGCTTTGAGCTTGGCAAGGGTATAGATATCCTGTGCGTAGCGCTGCAAATACAGAGTCGGCGTATACTCGGGAACCTGAGAATCCGGGTCGAGCAGCAGTTGCCACTCCGTTTCCCAGGGCGGACTCATCTCTCGCAATTCCCACGCGGGTGGAGACATTTTGAACAGGGCATTCTTGATCATCGGTAGTTCATGACGCTTGAACGTGGAATAAAACTTTTTGTTGACCAGGACGAAGTTAAACAGATCATCCAGTGAGTCAATGTTGTTCATAATCGACAGAATCAGATCAATTGGCATGTCTTCGGGGAACTCCACCTGGACATTGAAGGCCGTGGGGGCCGCGGGAGGCACCACAGCAAAGGGCGACGGCGGCGCAGCATCAAGCTCGTAGACGTGTTCGGGAAGTTGAAAACTGCTCGCCTGCGCCGTCGACACCCACGCCCAACTTTGTCGCATCTTGGAGACTACTCGATCATTGCTAGGCCGAATACGAAGGTGCACGTCCGGAGCAGTGGGGCAATCTGACAGCTCAACGGGTGCCTGAGCGGGTGGCTGGGGAATATCAACCAGTGCCTGAGCTTGTTGAGCGACTTGATCGAAGGGATTCCCGCTAATGCGAGTTTGCAGACGAGGTAATTGAAGGAGTAAATCTTCACGATTGGATGCTGAATCAAGGGAGGCCGCGTCAGACGTCAGAGTCGCGCTAGTCTGCAAGTCGGGGTCTTGGCTCTTCCGGAATGGCATCAGGAACGACTTTTGACTCTTCTTGTCTTTTTTGAGACTGGTATTATCTCGCTTTTCCTCGTCTCTCGACCGTCGCGACTTATCCTTTTTATCTTTCGGCTTACTGATCTTGGGCTTCTCTTTGGGCGGACTTGCGACCGGCTTAATACTGGCCCGGTTCTTGACCTGTGCGTCTGCACGAGACTGAGAGGAGTGAGGCTTCGTGGATGGAGGCAAAGGCGCCGGGCGGGTCGCAATCAAGTCGCCATTGTTGCGACTGATCTGCAATGGCCCGTCGAGGATAAGCAGTGTCCTGTGTGCTCCTCCCTCAAAGTCTGCAAGTGCATCTTCCAGTTCCTCGGCTGCCTGCGACAATGTCGGGACACGGCGAGCTCGATGACCAGCTACTTTGAAGTCGCGACGGGGTCGAGGCCGTGGCTTACTGTGTCCGCAGCTCTGACATGCGTAACTGTTTCGATGTGTGTGTGCCCTTGCAGACTTTCGATATAGTGGCGAGACAATCATATCCTTCTGGGAAAATTCGGAAAAAGGAGAATTGGAGCGTGGAGGCGCCGCTGAAAGGGAAGAGTCGCTTCGGCGAGTTGGAGAGGCACTGCCTGGTTCCAAGGGCAAGGGTTTGTTTTTGAGGTCATTCATCGAGAGTTCCCGGGTGATCGACTTGTGCGGGCGTGCAAGGCTATTTGGCGCATACAGACGGTGGGACAACGTCGACTGAGGTCGGGAAGAGCGAGGAGATGTGTCATCGTCAAAGACACCGGCAGCAACAGGGGAACAGATCGAGTATGCATCGGCAGACTTGTAAAGGGGTCCATCTTCATACCATTCGGTGCCAACACTGGCGAGCGAAGTGCGACGACTATAGCACGATGAAGCGCAGTCTATCACATCCAAATCCCCGGTCTCCTCTTCCAAACCTGTTTCTACAGCCTCAGAGTACCCGCATAGGATCTGCACTCTTTCTCGCAGCTCTTCCTCCAACGACTTGAGGCTGGAATGCTTCATATTCAGATCTGGGCTAGTCGGGGACTCCAGTGAGTGTGAGAGTTCAGGAAAAGATCGGGCCACGGTTGCCTCGCGAGGATGATTGTCCGACAATGGAGAGATTACAAATTCGTTCTCAGACTCCTGGGGTGTATTCAAGTCAATGATCGTTTGCAAAGGCTCCTGCGGGGAGCTAGGCCAATCCTCCCCGTTCTTCCCGACTGTGGAAGCGTTGATTTCTTCTTCTTTGAATCCATCTGGCTGTGATTGGTCTCGGATCGCCTCCTTAGTGCCGGATGCCCTGGTCGGGACAGGCGGGTTGGAAGTCTCGAGCGGGACTGGGATAGTCTCTGTTGGTCGCATTGTTGCTTCTTTGTTTGGACTCGACATGCATACGGGGAGGCGATTCAAGGAAGGATGTTCTATAAGATCTTGCAGTCTTCGTCCCGCTGGAACAATTATCTGGTGTTTTGAAGATATGCGACGATGCCGAAGGACTGGAAAGCAAGTATACGGTCCCATCTCTGTAGTGTTTTGATCTATACCACCATTGCTGACCTGACTGCGATATTCTGCTCTTCGTTAGTCTCTTGCCACTAGTCTGCCATGCGAGATCATCCGACCGCAACGGTCCCCGATAGAGTACGCACCGTTGAAGCCAGGCTCGTGGAGGCGAAGTGTAGCCTTTGTTCGTAGTTCCTCCCCGGATGTGGCTTGTATATAACAAAGAGCAAATCCCTGACCTGCAACTTTCCTTTTTTTTTTTTTTTTTTTTTTTGTGACCAAGCGCAAAGACAAAGAGAATTGCTCAGATTGGTGATGGAGTTTCGTTGATAACGAATAACGTGGGAATAAGTGACTGATATCACTCTGGCCCTGTTGGCCCCTTCGGTGCAACGCCCACGCCAACAGTTGATTTCGGGGCCGAACGCTAATATGTCGTAAATCAAACCATCAAAATGGATATTATCAGTTAGCGTCCTGCAGCTTACAGCGATCCGCTGGGGCTAAAAAAAGCGGCCCAGGCCGTGAAGAATAATAGGGATACTCTTTAAGACATTGCAAAGTGGCATTATGATATAGTTTTATTTTGTGTTCAGAGTTTACGTTAGTTTAAGATCTCGTGTACTATTCTCGTACTCGCGAAGGCGCAGGGGTAAGTACGAAGGGATCGACACGAAGTATTACTCGGAAGGAGATCGACCACACACAACTGGACCAATACTACTCAGTAATTCGCCACCCCCAGCATTATATTTTTAGTTTATCACATTCCTACGTTAATGGATCATTGTCTGTTGCCCCATCACCCCCAGCCCCCATGTGGCCCTGGTAATTGTGGGTACGTTGTATAGTCTGGGCAACCGTGTAAGCCCTAGAACCCCCTACGGAGGACAATGTTTTTATCCAAAGATAACAGAACCAACTCTTCCAAGCAGCTGCCAGAATACTGGTACAAAGACCAAGTTTTCGAATATTTGCCGATGTCCACCGGAACAGCTCTGGTGTACCTTTCGGTCGCGTTCTGCATCACGCAGGTACATGCACTTGTACTTGCATATTCTTCTTCGCCAGACTAACGCCATTGCCTATACTGACAACCGAGATAAGAATCCCACGAATATAAGTCACACCTCAGACCCATATTGGCCTGTTGGATCCTGAACTTTAGGAGCCTTGTTCGTGCAATAGGAAACATACCTAGTACGCCACAACTCGAACATCGGGCGAGGAATCCTTCGAGTATATGCAGTGCAATATATCCGTGTATAATGTCAACTGGCAAGATACATTTCGAATAAAATGCCTCAAGAAAAGGTCTGTCTATCTACAGCTTTCCGTCGGCCCCCACGTTAGCTCCACAGATAGCGACATCGTGCCACCTGTGTTAGTACGGTTAAACAAGTGTCACTAAATCATTAAAACGCTTCCTATTAGGTTAATTCGTAGTCAGATCAATAGGTTCGAAGGAAGGTCCACAACGGGTAGAAACCGAAAATGATCGACGGTACTGTACTCTTAACAGAACCAACGTATATGTGACGTTCGCTATCTCCCACCATATTCCATGGGGTTTCTATGCAATGAAATAATCATGCATTCCATACGTCTACTTCCCATCTGACCCAAATCAGAAAGAGACTAATGGGCGAAAAAGGGCCAAGGGGGCGGAAAGCCCAATCTGGGGCCCTCTTAACGCCACATGTCTTCAAACCTGCTGAGTTTGGAGGTAAAATATATGCAAGTCTATATGGGGCTGTTGGGGGCAGTTTTGTGCACAGGTCTCACCTGACATTTCGTGCAGTAGCGCGAGGCATATACTCGGATCCCAATCGGGTCTGACTGAGCGCTCGCTGCATCTTCAGCTGGTTAAATATCTCTCGTCCCTGCAAATGCTGACTACTTTCGTTTTTATGTTGGAGTCTACTGATTTTCTCACCGCTGCAGTGCTAGACTCGTCGTTCTAAAGACCATACCTGACAAGGTCTCACTTTTTTCTCTTTACTAAGCACAAATGCTCTGCAGACAAAAATTATTCATAATTAGGATATTTGATGTTCTTAAGATGAATGATACATATGTGATACGGGGACCCATGAGACGGGGAACTTGTCCTGAACTGACAACCTAGTGAACGATGAGGGACTGGAGATCAGTCCGTATTGAGTCACATTCCAGAGCAAAGCATTTCTTCTGCAGCCACTAATATTAACCATCATAGCCCATTAGAATGAAACCCGGACAAGAGTTACCCTCATTGCGCCTGCACTGTATACCTCCTGAATCATTTGCCTAAAACGGTTAGACTGGCACTGTGTTTGTTTATTTTGCACTCGCGATGTAACGCTGAGGCTTCACTGAAACAGCCAAACGCTGAATGTGCCTGCATAAACTGCACAAGAGGGGGACGGGACTACGGAACCCCTTAACCCGCAAATTTCCTCCAATGACGGTCGAAAGCAAGCTGCTATGTAACATGCAGAAGAGGTTATGGCATTGATCAGTTGCTCCAAGCAGCATAACTCGCTCTCGTTTAGGAAAATCGTCAAAAACCATGAGAGTCGCTCTAGACAAACCCAATCAACCTGGGGAGCGATGTAGCCGGTCCAGGAAGCTGGGATTGCACTATAAAAGGAAGCATCCGCAGTCACACAAGTTTCCTCAAACCAGCAACCTCATTTCCTCAATTCTCAACCGCGCGCAAAATAACAATGTTCGGCAAACTCCCCTCAGCTGCCTTGGTGCTTGCACTAAGTCTGACAACCCATGCCAGCCAAATCTTCAGCAACACCGGAACAACCTCAGGTTGGGATGCCACCAACCATGAACACTCAGGCACAGTACAGCAAGTGAGCAATGTAGTCTACCAAGGCACGACAGCCCTGAAGATGACGCAAGTCTACGACTCCAGCTATTCAGGCCGATACCACTCAGAAGTGGTCAAGAACAACGTCTACAAGCGCGGCGACACAGGCTTCTACGGCTTCGCCTTCCGCCTGCAAGATGACTGGCAATTCTCCCCAGCACAATCCTACAATATCGCCCAATTCATTGCCGACTTCACCGACACCGGCTGCGACGACTGGATGCCATCCAGCATGGTCTGGCTCGTCGGTAACCAGCTCTATACGCGCGTGAAGCAGGGCTCAATCTGCGCGCAGAAGACGCAGACTTTCTCAAACTTGGCCACTGTGACTGCAGGCGCGTGGCACAAGATTGTCATTCAGTCTAGTTGGAAGTCTGATGGGACTGGGTATTACAAGATGTGGTTTGATGGCGTTAAGGTTCTTGAGAAGCTTAATATTGCTACTACCATTGCCGATGATCGAGCCTTCCAGTTCCGCGTTGGTCTTTATGCTAATGGGTGGCATGATGATAACGGTATGAAGGGGACTCAGGGGACTCGTCAGGTCTGGTACGATGAGATTGCTGCTGGGACTACTTTTGCCGATGCCGATCCTGATCAGTGGTGATGTCGGAATGAGTGATTGAGTTGGCTGGTACAGAGATGACGGTATTTATGTGTTGCAATGTGTGTTCATGCGTCAGATTTGATCTACCGTGGAGCCAGAGGACGATCAGTGGAGTCGAATTCTGATTGTAGTTAGAGCCACTGCATAAGACATTTCCCCGAGAAGCCTATACTTCCATACATGAATCCCTACTTGAACCAAAAAAAGATGCCTGTCCCTAATTCATAGACGCAGCATGGCGAGGAGGCAAGACTGCCGCGTCTAAATCCGCTTGGCCTGATATCAGATAGGGATTATTCTCCCATGTTCTGACTGACTATTCACCTGTCACAGAAGACTTACAATCCTGCAAATAATATGAAATATGAAAGACGTTTGCCAAAAAACGTCCGACCGATTCACATTTTAGGCCCAGAATCCTTAGGCCGTTGGAACACCCTGACTAGCCCCCACGCCTTGGGGTCCAAATGTTGACACCAACACGCATAAGATAGGATTGACATCATTTGCCTTGGCCCATAAGATTGTGTCATATACCCCGCGCAGGATTCTAAAAGTTGTGACGAAGAGGATGCTACTACATGAGTAAGAGAGAGCACGGGTGGTAAGAATTCGGCATTAAACGTCCTGTACATAACAACTTCTATTTTCGCAGCAAGGTTAAATTAGTGAGGAACTGCCATACTTACCCGGCGAAATTGAAGATGCCCCAACTAGCTGATACGAGGGCCGACTAAGCCACAATCGTCCCATGCATTCTATGGCGGCTGATACTAATTATAACTCAAACTATAGACAACCACTGTATTCCCAAGAAAACACTAATAGGGCGGCATAATTGAAAGAAATAGCATATAAAGCAAAGAATGGATGCGAAACACGAGGGTGTTTGCCGATAGCTACGTCTGCGCCTCCACCATGCATCCAACGGGGATATGTTGCTAAAAATAGCAACAGATCGCCGATTTAAAGCTGACTTCGTCTGTATTACATGCAGAGAGCTTATGTTCCGTTGTTTCAACGTTAGTCTTTATCGTTTTCGAAATCATTTTTCAAACGAACGCAAGTATGATATAATCAATATTGTATAGAGTGGTAGCTAGACAAGAATAAAATAGCACAGTGTGTGGACTCGATCAAAACGAACGCCTGACTACGTCCAAGTACTAAACGTGATAAATGATTGTGTTCGCAATAGGAAATTGCCGAGGTGATACTAATATCTCAAATCAGGCTTTACAGGCCATGAAGAGAGAAGAGGTCTTTGGTGGACAACTTCGTGCCAACTCAAATCACACGCTGTAACCTTTGCGACTCGTGAACTCAATAAATCTCCTGGTAAAATCGGGCGTAACCTGAACGAAAGAAATCCCGTCGCGGTTGCCAATTGCCTTCAAGGAAGGTATTCACACACTCGTACACCGGAGAATGTTTGCTTGTCTGGAGACGCGTTGCGCCTCGCAGAACAGGCTCTGCGAGCAAGGGCATCAAAGATAGCAAAGGGCTCGATTCAAGCCCCTCCCAGGTTTGCAATCTTTCCAACCACTATGAGTAGAAAGTAGAATAGTAGAACCGTTCTACTTATAGACTATCGAGCTTTCTACTACTTATACAGTATAATTACGTGGTTATCGTCCTATTAGTTATTACGGTATATAATAAGATAGCGAGCGGAAGGCCGAAAGTGGCTTCTTAGCGTATAGTATCTACCCACTATATATAGTTGAAAATTTTCACTAGCTTATCCCATAATACTTAGGGACGTCCCTAGAAAAAAGCATCGGGGCGTTCAACTGTGGGCCTTCTTTCCATTCGACCGCACATTCCTTTACCAATCTACTTAAGGGCCCATTTAGATGTTTGAATATCGGGTGGACTTGGAACCTGTAGGCATCAGCTAACGAATGCAAGCATGTAGCTATTATTGGCGATAGTCTTCAAATGTGCACAGTGACCTTTGTTCGAGATGGCGGGTCACGTTTGTGAAAATTACTAGCCTGCTTATCCACTTTATCCAAGATCATACCGCAAATTGTCATTACAATTTCTATAAAGATGTTAAATAAAGCTCTGGAGACTGGAATTTCTAATTATGTAAATCACAACAAATCAATTCTATTGTCTAGCCCTTTTGTTTAAGCGTTCGGATCGTCTAGGCTTATTGGAGATGCCGTCGCTGTCAGAAAAGTTGCGTATTGTTGATCTTCTGCTATAAGAGGCATGCTATAGTTTCCTTATAGAATACTTACTAGTGTCGTTTGCACTTTCCTACGCATAAGACTAGGCGGTTATCGAGTAGGATTTAAGCGCACCGACGGCGTTTTCGGCGACTACTCGCTTGTCACGGACTCATCTGGGGAATGAGATGTATCAAGTACAAGTAATACCTCGCGTCCTGTCAGTGTATTGCTAGCGACACGTCAGTGTCGCCTCGTCGCTCTCCTCGATGTTAAATAGTATATTCCCAGAGACCTGTGAGTCTCCTAAGAATCAGTCTCTGTACACCCAGTACTACAATGTCACTTGTTTCGGGAGACTTCTCCACCTTACCTAGTTGACATGCTCTATTCTGCCCTAGAACTCCATACTTTACACGATTGGTCTACGAGGCAATAAATTTGCCAGTCGGCGTAGCAGACCAAGGACAGATATGCCTTATCATCTTATGCGTAATTATAACATAGTAAAAGCTAAGGTTAAACGGGGCCGGGCGAGCGAAAGCTGCGTAGATTGGACTCGAGGGATCTAACGAGTTGCTCTAGGGACAAGGACTGATCAAGGACGTAGGAGAGAGGAAGGGGAGAGAGAGCTAGCTAACTAAGGCTCAGTTCTACTACTAGGAGCACGTCACGTGATCTCGACAATAACCCAATTTTTGCCGACCAAAAGAGGAAGGGTAGATCCACGCGCCGCGAGTAGTAAGCCTGCCATTTCTCGTACGGTAGCGGGTCGAGGTGCTCCTCCGCGAGAATCCATTAAGAGTATCCATTCGAAGCGGGTCTTCTTCAATTTTTGTCAATTTATAGCCATTAGCGCGGGTTTCAGCGCGGTTTTTTAGTGCCTCGAAGACGCGTACGAAAGGTCGATTCGGGTATAGATATAATCTCTTGCTTCTGAATAGCTTGAATAGCTAATAAGATCCTACCCTCCTGATCCGTACGTTTTTGAGAGGATTGAGTAGGAATTGGTCGCATAGTGGGTGGTTGAAGCAGGAAGGTATAATGAAATGACGCCTTTGGTTGGGGTGCGCAGCTCGACCGGGAAATACGTTATGTGATACGGCTATTACATAGTTAACCTGCTGTGTGGTGCAAAAGAAGGATTATATAATCCGACGGCGACGTCAACTCTAGCAGTCTTCACATGTCTCAGATCCGGAAGAACGAGGCAAGATCCTGACATCGTGAATTCCAAACAGACCAGTGTTTTATGTGCTCACTTGTTACTACAGATAAATCCTTGGGTTTCTACTCTCCAATCATGTCCAGTCTTCACGAACTCGTTCATCGACAGCGACCAGGACCATGGCAAAAATTCCGGGCCCAGCCTTACGTCTTTCTCGCACGAATGCTTTACAGTTGGCATGAACCTCTTCCAGCCATGCCTCTCACAAGTTCTGTTGCAATTGTCTGTATCTCCGATACTCATAACACCCAAACCGGCGTTCCAGATGGAGATATCCTTATACATGCTGGTGATCTCACACAATCTGGGTCTTTCCAGGAACTCCAGGACGCGCTCGACTGGCTACGCGCCCTGCCTCATCCTATCAAAATCGTGATTGCTGGCAATCATGAGCTATTACTTGATTCAGCATGGGATGATTCATTAGGTCGAGCAGCCTCTGAGCGAACTCAGCTCGACTGGGGCGATATTATCTACCTGGAAAATGATGAAGTAACAATTTCCTGCCCGAATGGTCGTCAACTTAGGGTCTACGGGAGTCCTTACTCTACCCAGCACGGCAATTGGGCCTTTCAATACCCTCGAAATCAGGATGTATGGGCTGGCTTAGTACCAGATGGAATTGACGTGCTTATTACTCATGGTCCGCCACTTGCTCATCTTGATCTACTCATGGGTTGTCCTCATCTTCTACTGACGCTATGGAGAGTTCGACCCAGGCTGCATGTCTTTGGTCATGTGCATGAGGGTTCAGGAACCGACTTAATGTTGTTTAATGGACTCCAGGAGGCGTACGAGCGCACTGTCGCTGCTAGAGGGGGCTTTAGAAATCTTTTGCTTACGGCGTGGGAATTAGCAACGGCATGTCTCCGTCCGGCCGTGGAAGCAAAATGTTTACTCGTAAATCCATCCATCGTTGGGGGCTTGCGGGACAATGAACGGAGGCAACCCGTCAAAGTCTTTATTTGATGTTGTAATCTTGTTGACTAACTGAATTGAGTCATACTTTCTTTGAATTCTAAATTCCTCTATAGTGGCTCCACTGCCTCGCCATTGAAGTCTTTGGAGGTCACTCGCGAGGGTATAGCTGGCATCTATAATCGAATGATGGGTCTCTACAGTGGTGTTGCATACCTGGGCTCGATATGTGTAGTCATGTAATGCGTGTTGCTTACGTGCGTTATAGGACGACGCTGCCTGAGGCTGAATGCTGCCTTCCCAAAGCAGATCCATGCGCACCTGACAAACTAATTTGATTATCCACGAGTAATTAGAGATCCACAAGTCAAGGCAAAGCTATTCATCTTGACAATTCCATACTACAAACTCCAACTTCGAGCATGATGGGTCAGCCATTGTCCAATCTACGTCGACGCCGCAGCGCTCGCACTCTCCGGGGCTTTGCTGCTCATCCAACCCCGAGTGCGCCCCCGAATCTCTCCCGCGAGACCCTCATCAATGCGCTACAAACTGTTGCAGCGTACATTACCTCCAAGAATCAAGATATTACTCTCATTGTCGTTGGTGACACCGTCAATACAATGTTACTTCGGAGTCGCCCAAACACCCACGATGTGCACTTTTTTAACGACAATCTTACACCTGCTGAGGTCAAGTCCCTCTCGAAGGCAACCAAACTAGCATTCAAAAGGAAACCGCATTCTCGGGCAAGGATGGCTCAACAACCATACCGTTCTATTCATTCTCTCGACTCACAATTTTGGCCGCCCCTTGGGAATATCTATTTTGTGCCAAGGTACATCGTCTATCTGGTAGTGGAATTAGCACCGTACAACTCTATAATCAAGATGACGCGGTTCACTACTTGGAGAGATACCTTTCGCAGCACCCTACCGCAAGTGTCACCCAGGTCACTGTGCGAGCATGGTTTGCTCAGTATCTACTTCACTGGACAACGGAAACAGAACTGTTACTCTTGGCAGTTAACTCAACATACAAGATCACATCCAATGCCCAGCATGATCCAATCAACCTCAACAATTAAGTTCTCAAGTCCCTTCCACCATGGTATCGACAACTGCATACGACCCAACTTAGTCTTTTGACAGGTGCATGTGTACTAGCTCTCTGATTTGCCAACTTCATTATCGTTCCTTGTTCCAATTTCTTTGGTCGACGTCTTACGAGTCTTGTCTTCTGTTTGTTTGGCATTGCTTCGTGTATATGGCAAGCTTTGGCTGTGTTTTGGTTTGACGATATAGCAATCGAGGTCGGAGCCAGTGGAGGAGGAGCTATCAAGTAACGGAACGATATCCCAACGAGAAAGATTACCCGATGATTTTATTTTATTGAAACTCTTATAGCTATATATTATTGCTCCATGAAGACACCAGTTTCAATAGTTGAGTAAAAAACGGTGTGGTTGTCGATATACAAAGTCATCAAATCTCGCGCGAAGGTGGTGTTCCAAATGGCCACTCGCTTGCATGGGCCACTCGCTTGCAGAATACGTTATATCTCGTTTCGACATGCCGCAAGCGAGCAACCATGATGAACTGCTTTTTATGAAAGATCTGGTTGACCACCTAGCCTGTAATTTTCAAGCACGTATCCAACGTCCTTGTCGCCGCGCCCCGAAAGATTGACCAGTATTCTTTCGGATGAAGGGCGCTGGGACGCCAATCGGATCGCGAACGCTAGTGCATGTGCGCTTTCCAAAGCAGGAATTATTCCCTCGAATTTTGCCATCCGGAGGAATGTATTGATGACTTCCTCGTCCGAAATTGCTGCGACTGATAGCCGACCGGCTTCATAGAGCATCGCAATCTCCGGGCCAACTCCAGGGTATGCGAGCCCTGATGCTATAGATGAGACACTGGCAGGTGTATCGTCATCTTGCTGAAGCACAATCGATCGAGCACCATGCAATGTGCCCGGTCTTCCATATGATAACGTTGCCGCGTGTTGGCCTAGCTCATCAGACTTGCCAAGAGGCTCCACTGCATGTAGAATAACCTCCGGGTCATCAATAAAGCCCGTATATATACCCATCGCATTGGAGCCACCAGCAACGCAGGCAACCACATGCTCGGGCAAGCTTCCATCTGTGATGGAAAGGAATTGCTCGCGCGCTTCTCGACCAACTACACCCTGGAAGTCTCGAACAATCATTGGGAAGGGGTGCGGGCCGATAGCTGAGCCGATCGCATAAAGTGCGTGTGTGTGCTGCTCGATGTACGCGTTGAACGCAGAATCGCTAGCATCTTTCAGAGCAGACTGGCCAGTCGCTACTGGCACCACGCGCGCGCCGAGTAATTGCATGCTGCCAACATTAGAGCTCTGTTTAGCAATATCAACTTCTCCCATGTGAATTTCGCATTCGAGGCCGAAATAGGCAGCTGCAGTTGCCAGTGCGACGCCATGCTGGCCGGCCCCCGTCTCGGCAATTAGCTTCTTCTTACCCATTCGTTTGGCGAGAAGTGCAAAGCCAACGCAGTGGTTGATTTTGTGTGCACCCGTGTGATTCAAATCCTCCCGTTTAATGAAAATTTGAGCGCCTCCGACTTGCTTCGAAATATTTTCGAGGTAATGAATTGGGGTCGGCCGTCCTTGAAGTCCGACCCGCACCTTGTTCAGTTCGCGATGGAATTCCGGCGATTGATGGAGCTCCTGATAGCTGCTGGCCAGCTCCAGCAGCGCAGATCGAAGTTCTGGTGGATAGTGGTTACCGCCAAACCGACCAAAATATCCTTCAGCGTCGGGGCTGCTTTGGAAATAAGAAGGTATGTTGTCTGACATTTTGCCCAAAACCTCGAAGGCGAGGGGCAGCACTAGGCAATCCTGGCTCGACGTATTGAATAAAACTTGCGAGGTGCAGGCTGTCACAATTTGATGACGGAATGGACGTTGAAAATCGCACCTAGGCTGATAGGTGTCAGAATTAAGACCCCGATATTGATCATCACGTTAAGGCTTAGCGAGTAATTGTGACAAGTAGATGAAACAGAGGATGGATGCTTACAAGGTCTCTCAAGAAAGCCTTAATGAGTAGAGAGATCAAATATATGCTGACAATCTGTTCAATAGCAGCTTCAAGAGCCCTGCGCTACGAGGGTGGGGGGATCTTATATGTGTACATTTCTCGAAGAGCAAAAGGCTTATTGGTGTAATTTCTCATCCTCCCCGGTCCCGTCTCCCGACCCGCCCTAGTTCTCCGACCCGCTCTAGTCTTCCGACCCGCTCCAAGTTCTGGCCTTTAATGGACCTTGGTGTCACTATACGCCAATGTTCGTCCCACCAACATCACCTCTCGATTGTTGATTGTCACTCAGTGCTCTATATGATAGTGGATACAGATGGGCGAGTCCTCGTCATCGGCTTTCCTTCTTCCCACTCAGGTAACTAAAGAACCTGAAAGGACGTGGGCCAGGTTTACTTGTTGGCTCGGATTCATTCTCAAGTACGCTCAACGGAAAAGCCCTTGAAACAGAGAGCAACCAGGCGTCGGTGCGTAGACCGTAATCTGCTCCCATGCTTCATTAGGAAATGTTGTCGATGTGGTATAAGGTAAACAAAGCAATCGCAATCCTTGGAACACCCAGCTAGCTAATTGGGAACCATTTTTTCCGAGAGCCTGGGAACAAATGAAAGCCGCGATATGTAACGTTAATACAAGCCATGGAAATAGAGCATGGCTTTGCCTATCATGGTAATTTCTCTCCAACATAAGCGCAGGTTTCCGTATTATGACTAGCGGGCGTGTTTTGAAGGCTGCGACGCATGTGGGGGAGGTCATAACAGGACAGGCGGGAAGCAGTCTGGCGATCATGCCAGATCGCCGAACTGCCAATCGATTTTACGAGATTCCATGGAGGATTACAGTATCATAACGGATGACTCATCCATTGGTCCCGACCAGTACACGCGAAAAGGAGAAAGGGCCGCTGACAGGGCCAGCCAGGCTTGTTCGCTTTTTGTTTTTCCTCCCTTTGTTTCCAAATCTTTCCTCGCCACTCTATGAATACCACCCCGCGGATAAAATGTCGCTGCCACAAAGATTCAATCTGGGCATCGTCGGGTGCGGCCAGATGGGGACTTCCATATTAAGTGGGATCCTCAATGGCGAGGTGGAACGTCGACAGGAAGACCAGCCAGGTTGGACGGTTAATCATATCTTCATCTCGGTCCAATCCGCCTCGTCTGTTGACCGGCTTCGCAATTTGCTCTCCCAGCACTTGCCCCGCGTTACAATCTACCAGTCGGACAACCTAGCCACTGTCCGGAACTCACATGTTGTGATTCTGGGATGCAAACCCGCTCTGATGCATACGATCCTTAGTGAAACGGGAATGCGAGAAGCACTGGAAAGCAAAATCCTAATCAGTATCTTGGCGGGTATGGACACAAAGTCCACACAAGACGCGATCCTTGCCAACGGCAATCCAGCAGAGCATCCTGAGTCCCAAGTACATGTGGTTCGGGCAATGCCAAATATTGCCGCGAGAGAGGGCGCATCAATAACGGTTGTTGCATCGCCTGCACGCGAATCAGATCGGGATGCCGTCCGAGTCACACAGTGGCTGTTCAATCATGTCGGAAAGACCCAGGAAATCCCAGAATCTCAGTTTGATCTGATCGGATCCTTAGCCGGGTGCACTAGTGCCATGTTCACAGTGGCGATCGATGGATTGCTCGATCAATGCGTTGCAGGCGGGTTCAAACGCTCCGAGGGCTTACAAGTGATCACGCAGACGCTGTTGGGCCTTGCCAAGCTGCTGGAAGCAGGGAACCACCCTGCTGCCTTGCGAGAGGAAGTTTCCTCGCCAGGAGGAAGCACCATCCAGGGCCTGTTGGAGCTTGAGCGACAAGGGGTGCGGTCTGCATTCGCCTCTGCTCTTGGGGCTGCCGGCGAGCGGGCCAGGGAATTGGGCCGTAAATAGAAGATACGAGTGCTCCATATAGACTAACGTGTGTTATATAGAAGCATGAAGCCTGAATTATTCGATTCCTAAAGTTGATCGTCACACACGGATGGATCGGAATCAGCTTCACCACTTTGCTCTCATAGAATCTTTCTCGAACTCTATCGCGAAGCACACCCATCCATTTCTGGCTTGGCTCGGTTTCTAAATCGAATCATACCGAAAGATAATATGTACGAGTCTAATGCAGAAGCTAAGACGTATTATTTACGACTATACTGAAATACTGCTAAGAAAGGGTTCAGAGGCAGGGTAACCGTAATCTATATAGCGTGTTTCAAAAGAGGGTTCGAGAAAGAATCTCTGCGAGTAAATGATGAAACTGATTTCGATCCATGCTGTATAACTGGCACAATTAGTTGAGCATATAAATCATATCTCAGATATAGTGAGATGCAAAGAAAACTATCTATCACCTCGAAAACGATTACCAATCCAGTGAATTCGACGCACTGCCATCCTGCGATCCACGACTAACGCAATCTAGCTCTTTACACACTATACAAAATCAATATATGTGATAATTTTGGAAATTGGATGAACTCACATTGTTCAGCCTGTTGAAACAAAGTGCTACCCTTGGGTTTGCGTGTAGCTGGTAGAATCTGACTACCTTGGATCTTTTCAAGTTTTGTATGCTCCTGAAGCCGACTCAAAATCTGGCGAGTGTCTGCATAACTGTTAGCAATGAAAGGTACATTCAAGGTCTAAGTTTACCTGTCTTGCTTAAATCCGCATCAATCGAATTTCTATGAAAGGGTGTGTTAGTGGAGAAAATCAGGATATAAGGATTGACGAGAGACAAACCCATGCTTTGTCAAAATAGCCTGATATTCGCCCTCAAATTCTCGGACCAGCTTCTCTGTGACATCGTACGAAGCCTTGGACAGGGTTTCTACCTCTGTCTTGCTTACAGCAGAACGGGCGAAAAGATCGTATCGGATGTTGGACCTCTTCTCCGAAACTGGAAAGATGGATAGAGCCAGACATAGACCAGTATGTTCAAATGAACAAAGAAATGTGCTTGGAAACAAAGATGTCTCTGTGCGTGTGCTCTTCTGCATGAGGGTTCTGATAGCCTTCAGGACAGGCGAAGGACCAGATAATTCTGATACCTGACGGCCCAATTCTCTGGTAAACGTATTGAGCTGACGTTTTCCCGCTTTGAAAGTTGTCAGCAATTCAATGGCGTAACCCTGAAATCTGTAATATGCCACTCACTTCCTACTTTCCAATTAAACTCCCCGGTCAAAGTTTGTCCACTCACCCAACTGGAGTTCGCCTCCAAACCAGAAGTGTAGGAAAATGTATACAAACTCGATATAATCATCTCATCAAATGGCTCCGGCTCCCCGGCATTGAGATTAACGAAGACAAGACCATGGTTTGTGCTACGCGCATGAATCTCAAAGAGACTATTCTGCGACTTATCAAATCCAGGCACATCATCGAACTGAGGAGCCTTAACTAGGCGGCCGGTAGTATCGTAGCTCCATCCATGATACCGACAGCCAAGAACAGTCGATGCGCCACTTTCTTTCCTGGTGATAGTGTAGGCACGATGGCGACACACGTTATGAAAAGCGCGGATCTTATCATCCTTGCCTCGAATCAGAAAGATAGGATACCCTGCAAGGTCAAAAGATTGATAGGCGCCAGGCTTGTTGAACTGGGATATGTGCGCAAGATAGATCCAGGCCTATATCTGTTTGTTAGCTGTATTAATATCAACCGAATTTAGCATTCTTACTTGGCTGAAGAGTGCGCGGCGTTCGAGCTCAAACACATCCCGGCCGGACCACCATCCTTCTGGAACTTCAGGCTCCTTTGAAACGACCAAGCCAGATTCTTGTTGCGTCGCGATAGGATCAGCGAGCTTACTGGTCTCCTTATGATGGTATAAATGAGGCCATGCCCGATAAAGTAGAAACACGACTGTCACCAAGGCCACGAGGGCGGAGCCAGGAGAGATTGAAAAGTAGGACTGAGTATACTCCATGAAGAGCAAAGTTCAACCACGAAAAAGAGCCGATGATGTTAATTTGCTTCGTGAACTCCCCAAGCTGATATACTTCTCTGGGAGGTCCAAGTCCCCACCCCACATTATACACTTCATATCCTTGCCGCCCTTAATGCAGACCCCTCTGACTGTACTACCCGATTCGGTTGTTTTATCCTGAGAGTGAGATTTTGCGGATAGTTAGTCATCCCTGTCTGGTTTAGATATCAAAGGTCAATAAGTGGCTGCTTGGTTTCTTCAATATCTTATGCTAATCAGGTACTCGACTCCACCTACCCCCCTAGAGCAGATAGAAAGAAAGGTTGCATTAAATGGACATATCAAAATTTGATTACGATTTAGAAGCTAGCATCTAGTACGCTGTCATTTGGACCATTGGAGATGCCACATGTTCCTCTGCTCCAGACTCCTTGATTGTCTTAGCAGCTCTATCAGCAGCATGCTGCTCACACACCATATCAAACACTCGTCGCTGGTAGTCTAGAAGATATTAGTACCACTTTAGGCAAGCCAAAAAGTGAATCACTCACAAGACACGCCATTCTCCTTTTCAGGGTTAAGAATTCCTTCATGATAAACCCCCTTGGCCAGGTTATCCTGAGCCTTCTCGCAGAGCTCAAAATCTTCCATAGCAACCTGGCGCACAAACTTGAAATACTCTTCAAACTTCTCCCCCTCGGCAAGATGATAATAGTCAAATTCCATCCGGGTGACGTGCGGATCGGCGGTCGGACAGACCCTGAACGAAGACATGCCACCACCGTAGACGTTCAGCGTACAGTTTGGGAAGAAGTACAAGAACAGGCCATCATCTGGCTTCTTTGGGTCTGCAATGTGCTGGGAGAAGTTGTGCTTGTTGTGCACACTATAGAAAGTTGGCGGGTAGTAAATCGAGAAAGACGGATGGGTGTACTGGCAGTGCAGGCACTCTTGATATCCGTCCACCCTACACAAGATTAATCATAATGCCGTCGGGAAACTCAAAATGGTAGCTTACATTGTTTTCCAGTTGAAGCGACCCTCGTAGCTGATGCTGCGACGATGCGGCAATTTGGTAAAATCGACTTTACCAAGGAGTTCTTCAAGCTCTGGGAAGAACTCATGGAAACTGGGTGCGTCCTCGGATATAGTTGAAAACAACAGTCCGGTTGGAGTGACATGACTACGGACTTCCTCACCCTGTATAATCATGTTAGCACGATGAAGTCGTCAATATCACATTTTGTTTGGATGCTGCATACCGTCTTCACGAGGACCACCTTCAGCTCCTCGGGAGTCGGATTCAAACTATCACCGGAAGTGCGAACAGCAGAGATAGACTGCTGCGCGACTTCATACGGGACATGTTCGCCCACTTTCTGGAATCTCGTAACCGGGCCGAGCAAGTACCAGGACTATATCGTGTTTAGCTTTGACAGAGGAATGCGACACACCGCATATTCATACTTTGAGAAAGACTGCCCGCCGCTCCAACTGGTAGAGAGAGTCACTGCAGTACCAAGAAGCCGGCAAAGTACGAGTGAGCTCAGACATGGTGTAGTAGTTGGTTGTCTTCAGATATCAAACAGATACAGTTGGGGGTCTGAATCGCGATGGAACAAGACAGTCACCTTTATATCACCAGACTGTATCTCTTTGTCTTTACTTAATGAACATGTATCTACTGGTGACACTCTGTTGTTTGCGAAACCTAGTATGACCTGGGGGTTGCGGTATATCGTTTCCCGAAAGAGTTAAAGAATCCCGTAGTTGATGTCACGCACACCTGACTCGGTGCCCTGAGCAGCTGACGAATAGATGCACCTTTGTGGAGGCCGAACCTGTCAGGAATTATTTGGCTAAAAGATCTCCCTAGATAACGGAAATAGGATCATATTTTGAGATAGATCTGCACAGAAAGTGTATGAAGTTACATAGATTTTGGAGACATTCCAAGAACCATGCACCGGATTGCGAACCACTGATAGCATAATAATATCTTTTCAGTTCTCGTGCTATGATAAATATGTTCTCTCGTGCGGCTTAATCCATCTCCAGCTATAATTACATTAATGTCCCCTCCCTGAGCACCTAAAAGATGACCTTTTCAAATGCCTCTTGTAGCCCCTTAGACCCTAACCACGCCTCCAGTGCTTGCATATCACCCCGATTGGCTCGCTGCCCACCTCGTTCCCCTAGCGAGTTTGTAATCTCCTCCATCCCGGAAAACACTCTTTGTGTTCCCTCAGTCTCGCGAAACCTCTCACTGACTTTCTTCTGGTGACTGGGAATATCACCCCAAGAATGTGTCTTGATAAAGCTCATGTATGAATCAATATCAGAGGATGCACCCTCAAGACATAACACGCCCGGCTTTCCGGCCAGCACAAAGCCCGTGAGAGAATATCCTGGCGCAAGGTTGACCATATCGTCTCTCTTCTTGCGAGTTGATAAGGATGGGAAATAAAACCAGACTCGCACGACCGGACCCCCAGAACCCCTATCTTCTGAAGACACAGCCTGATTCTGCTTGATTTCAAGAAAGCGGCTGGCTTCTGTCTGGAAGTATTCGAATGCCTCTAGAGCATCCCCTTCAGGTATTGAACTGGCCACTTCCGCTACCTCAGCTTTAGACATCCATTCCGGCTGTCGAAGCGAATATCCCAATGGTGGAGGTTGGTCAATTGTCTCCGGGTCCTCGCATTGTAGTGGGATGGAGACGTTGACTTGGATGGTTCTATCTCCGTCTGCTATTGGTAGACAGACAAGCAGATATATACTTGAAGGAATATTGGAGGGCTTGGATGCCGGTTCCTCGCACCAGTCTCGCAGTTTCTCGACACACTGCGTTGTGGATTCAGGGATTTCCAGCTCGCCTGGAGCCGGGAACATGGCTGTTAGGAGGTCAATAGTGGCTAATTGAGACTCCATAATGTCTGCTGGAAGAATGCATGGTTCTTTAGAGGCCATTCTGAACACTTGGAGGCAGAGGTTGCCAATATCGAACTCGTATGAAATGCCGGAGTACTTGGGGTAGTTGAAAATGGCCAGTTCGAGGGTGCGCAATAATCAAAGACAAAATGGGATCCAATGAATGATTGATTCAATTCCAGATTGAACCAAAATGATATGTTGACTTCCACTTGATGTTCCAAAACTCGACTCTTTTTATGTGCTCTCGCGCAGACCAAATTTGTGCTTATGTAACCACAGATTTGCTCCGGGCCCAGTTGGCTGTACATAAGATGTGAGCAGGCAGATATCGATATTTGAATAAAGAATTATCGATATCAGCGGGATAGAGAATAAAAGGTAGCTGTAGAATGCAGAAGATGGTTGTGTTTTATTACGCTTTACTTCTACGCCTGCTATATATTCTATACACTTAGCGTACCTAGGTAGTTGATAGTCACAACCCCTATCTAATGTGAACAATATTGATTCAACTTATTCGTTACACCTGAGCATAGAAGCGCTCTATATATTCTGACTCATTCTATAGCTTGATAAGTTGAGAATGAATTTGGTTGCCTGCAGGCCGAGTGGCGACCGTAAGGAGAAATCAAAAGAGATAAGTGGAACAGAAACTAAGTGACAAGGTGACAAGTAAAAGAATACGCAAATGGATCTAAAAGAATATAAATGCAATCAAGTGCCATACAAAGAAGAAGTATATTCTAAACAGCCAAATATCTTATAGAGGGCCGCTATCTTATCGGCATTACGTCGTTCTTCCAAGCTCACCTCACCTGGGCTCTCAACTCCTCTCTTCTCTTCAACATCATGGGCCCCAAATACACTCCTCCTCCTACACCGTCACCACCTGCTTCTTGTTACGCTATGAGTGACGACGACGAGGATGAGTACAATACCATCGCCCAGGCCTCCTCGAGGAGAGGGGTCAAGTTGCTCTTCTCCAAAAGCAAAGTAAGACCTCCCCACCTTCAGCTGCGCTCCCAACTGACCAGTGTATAGGTCTATGTTCATCCCACTTCCTCCGCCAAAGACAATATCGCTGGTTTCATCGCCCTCATTCAGCAAAAACCAACCCCCGCATCACATGCCTCACAATCCAAGCATCCCGATGCGCCCTCCTACCTTCTCGCATGGGTCCCAGAATCCTCCCTGGGGGAGGCCTACGATACATATGTGAAAGTAGACCTCTCTGACGACTCGTCGCCACCGCGCCAGAAGTACCTCGTTCCGCCGCTTCCGACCACCACCACCTACAAAGACCCCATCGGGCTGTATGCATTTGCAATCCCGCTATCAGAGATATACTCACTTCTCGTACGACCGCCGAGTCTAGGATGGTGGTTCGGAAGTTTGGTGATCAATACGCGGGCAGGTGACGGCTTCCCGGCACTCTTCTTCCATGACGACGAGTGCGAGTCGACCATCTTGCAGAAGAAGAAGAGGGTACGAGAGAACTTTGACCCCTTCGACAAAGAAGGGAGCTTATTCTGGGGTGGTGATGAGGTTCTGCGCTGGCTCCGGAGATATGTGGAGGTGGAGCGTTCATCAGTGGACCGCAACGTCTACCTCGTCAACCCGTCGGACGAGGATCAGCTGTCGTTTGGACGGTCGGCCACCCACGGCGATGCGTCTCTGCCAGGAAAGGCCCAACCAGAAGCTGCGGCCGCAGGGCCCAGCCAAGCCGGCCCGCCCGATGCAAGCATGGACCCCTTCATGAAGACCCTCAAGGAGACTCGGTGGAAGGTGTTGGAGCAGCTCAGCAAGATCACAACATTCACACGCCGAACTGCCAATGATATTGCGGAGAATCCTCGGATTCCACCTCAGATGCGCCGTCTCATGAAGAACCCAGAAATCCAGACGTTGCAAGATGAGTTTGACAGTGCCAGAGTCTATCTGGCCCGCTGGGCGATGAGTGTAGCCGATCAGAGCGAGAAAGACCGCAACCAGCGTATATGGACTGCACAGGATATGCTGGAGATGGAGAATAGCTCAGTTGGAGACTTTGAGATTCTCGAGTTGGAGACGGGGAATCTCGCCCTTCAAGAGCGACGCAGAGTCCTCAAGTTAGAAGAATGGGAGGGCTTCTTCGACTCATCATCGGGAAGACTTCAAGTGACAGTGGACGAAGTCAAGGAACGGATCTTCCACGGTGGGTTGGATCCAAATGATGGCGTTAGAAAAGAGGCCTGGCTCTTCCTTCTCGAGGTATACCCTTGGGACAGCAGCCGGGAAGAGCGACAAGCTTTGATGAATTCGAAGCGCGATGAGTATATCAGACTCAAAGCAGGCTGGTGGGAGCGGATGGTCGAAGGCAACTCGACAGTCGAGCAGTTCGATCACTGGAAAGAGCAACGGAATCGGATAGGTAAGGATCTTTTCAATGGGGATGTGCCAGTCACTAATACATTATGTAGAGAAGGATGTTCACCGAACCGATCGGACCATTCCTCTGTTCGCGGGTGAGGACATCCCTCACCCCGATCCCGATTCTCCTTTTGCCGAGACCGGCACCAACGTGCATCTAGAGCAAATGAAGGATATGCTCTTGACGTACAACGAATTCAACCCAGATCTCGGCTATGTGCAGGGAATGAGTGATCTATTGGCGCCAATCTACGCGGTTATGCAAGATGATGCTGTCGCCTTCTGGGCCTTCGTAGGATTCATGGATCGAATGGTAAGCTATTCGCTGCTCGATATTGTCTCATTATTGACAGTTCCAGGAACACAACTTCCTCCGAGACCAGTCCGGAATGCGAGGCCAGTTATTGGCTCTGGATAACCTCGTCCAACTTATGGACCCGCAGCTTTACCTGCATCTGCAGTCGGCCGACAGTACCAACTTCTTTTTCTTCTTCCGTATGCTCTTGGTCTGGTACAAACGAGAGTTTGATTGGTCCGACGTGCTACGTCTATGGGAGACATTATGGACCGACTACTTCTCCAGCAGCTTCCATCTCTTCATTGCGTTGGCAATACTTGAGAAGCACCGTGACGTGATCATGGATCATCTCAAGCACTTTGACGAGGTTCTCAAATATAGTATGTAGACACTTGACAACATTGATGTTCAATTGCTAACCGTCGCAGTCAACGAACTCTCAAACACGATGGAACTGGTCCCTCTTCTCACCCGTGCGGAATCTCTTTTCCACCGCTTCGAACGCTCCGTCCAAGCTATCGATAAAAAGGACAACTTCCCCGCTGCCCCGACCGCCCACCAGCGCCGGCCCGGAGATCAGGGTTCGGGTGATAAAGGTAAATCACCGGGACCTGCTGGATCCAGCAGCGGAGTTAGCGCTGGCCCCTCAAGTCTTCAAAAGGCAATGAACGCCGATAAGCCAAAGGTGATCTCCCCGGAACTCCGACAGCTACTACGTAAAGATATCCCGTGGAAAAGAAGTGCACTTTGATCAGTGCCAGTGGACTGACTTTTGCTCTCACTTTCCAATTGCTGGCTGGTTCTACCTACGATTTATGATGTGTATCCTTCATGTTTCTTTCACGATTTGGTTGCGGAATAGGGTCATCGGATTAAGGCGTTCATTCACTTTTTACATGAATCTGCAGCGTTGGCTCTTAGCCTCAAATACGATCATTACTGAAGTATCTTGAAATGTTAGTAGATTGAAAATCTATAGATGTCGACTATCCCCGAGACCCAATACATTCGAAGCCTCATGCAAGTGGAGTTCGGACCCTGAATAAGCTCAGCTCAGGCCACAGCCGATCGGAGTTAGCAATGCCCTGTTTGGCGCAGAATCACCGAACGTTAACTCCATCTCGGAGCCGAGTGGACTCGGCTTTCTCTGTGGGGAAAGCCATTAAACCTTTATAAGAAGCAAGTTCGCATCTCCAATGCATCATGTTCAGCCTCAGAGCACTATCTAAAGCCCCAACTTCTTTATTCTCTCCAGTAAACGCCAAAATGAGCAAGCCATTCAGCCCTAAGCCAACCAAGTTCGCCCTGGTAAGTCACCACTACCATCACCAAACAACAAAAAGAACAAACAAAGAACACATCTAACCCATAACCAGGACGGCCGCGAAACCGACCTCCTCCACTACATCTACAAACAAGACCTGCAAACCCTAACCAACAACCCACGCGCCCTCCTATCGCAAATAGACACCTACAGCACAACCACCAACCCACTAATGAACATCGGCGCAACAAAAGGCGCCTTCATCGAAAGCCTCATAAAAACTCACAAACCACGCCTAATGATCGAACTAGGCGGGTACATCGGCTACTCAGCGATCTTATTCGGCGCCGCAATGCGCAACCACGGGGGCAAGTATATAAGTCTAGAAATGAACCCGGAGATGGCAGCCGTGGCGAACCAGCTTATTTCCCTGGCTGGGTTGGGGGATACGGTTTCTGTGATTGTTGGTACTGCGGCCGAGTCGTTGCGAGGACTTGTTGCCCGGGGTGGCCTTGGGCGAGGGGGAGTGATTCCGATGGTGTTCTTGGATCATTGGCAGGATGTATATTTGCCTGATTTGAAGTTGTTGGAGGGGCTTGGTGCTGTGGATATTGGGTCTGTTGTTATTGCTGATAATGTTATTTTCCCTGGTGCGCCGGAGTATTTGGAGTGGGTTCAGGCTAGTTGTGATGTTAAGAAGGGGTTGAAGGGGGAGGGAGAGGAGGGAGATGCTGGGTTGGTTTATGTGACTGAGGTGACGGAGTTTGAGACTCAGTTTGGGAAGGATGGGGTTGCTGTTACGAAGGTTGTTGGGAAGGAGGATGCCTAGATGAAGAACTAGGCAACTGGAGCCTGTTGGAGTACATGCAATATCATTCTATCAAGATCACTATGGGTATTGTAGTGCTAACTCCGTCCATGTAAAAGAAACACAAACACAAACACCAATTTAGAACTTCGCCACGCTGATGCAAATAATATCAAACCCGAAATCGAACAAAAAGGTGGCATCTATCGTATGTTGCCAGTGGGACTATCAGACCCATGAAATGTGAAGAAATACTGGCCCATAACAGGGCAGTCAAGAATGAAGACAAAAATTCCAAATGGGACAGGGTTAAAGGCAGTTCAGGGTCAAATTACGACCTGCGACTCCCGAGCCCTTTCAACACGACGCGTCGACTCGTGCCAATAGATCCGATCTCGTCAATACTGCGGACTTTAGGTAGGGAGTACCTAATCCCAGCATCTCCAATCTCAGATCGGTTGTCATCGTGCTCTATCAGACCAAGTCCGACCGGTTGTGGGTTGTGCGAGCTGGAGCGACGGGTTTTCTGAAGAACATCTTCGACCCACGCTTCACCCTCCGGGCTCATGGATTCATATCGTGCACGCGGCCTTGGGCCAGCCAAGCCCAGCGGAGTGGCGCGGGATTCATGGGGTATTGAGGGGATAACATTGTTGGCAGGTGAATGTGATTCTGCGATTGAATAGCCCGAAGAGACTGAGAGGCGTCTGCCGCCGGAGGCGGGAAGAGGGGGGACGGGAGGTGGAGGCGAGGTAAAAGAATGCAGATGGCCGGTGGTGACTGCACGAGTACCGGTGACATCAGATGCATTGGAGCTTCGTCGCGTCTTGCGGACGGTAAGCGATGAAGGGGGTCTGGCACTGAGCACAGACTGGGGCCGGGAAGGGGTGGCCCGGCCGGAGGTGAGATATGATGAAGTGTTCGGGGTGAGCATGGTACCCGGCGAGGAGTAAGATGGAGAGGAGCGAGTTCGGATGCCTTGCACTTCGACACGAGGAGTCTCAGACACCTTGCGACGGCCGTGGTGGATAACGTATTCGCGAAGGTATTCACCCAAGTCAGCCCATCCACCACCGACGCGAACCATGACTCGTTGGCCGGCTTCGCCGACGGTGCGAACGAACAGTTTGGTCGGCGCCGATTGGCCTCCGTGATGGAGGTGATAGAGCTTGACGCAGCTATCTTCTGTCTTGAAGGCATGGGAACGTCTTCGGGCAGCAGGCATCAACATCAGAGATGGGGCAGGTGTAGTGCTACGAGTTGGAGGACCAGTAGGTGATTCTGACCGGTATCGCATTCTTCGATCCGCAGAAGACGATGATGAAGACGTGTCTGCTTCGTGGTTAGAATCGACCAATTGAATACGACCAGGCAGCGTATTGAGAATGGAGCTGATCCGTTCGTCCATTTGGTCTCGGGGCTGTCTCATATGCTTTGTCGGCGAGGAGGCGCGGGATCCGAAATCAGTGAGCTCCGATTCATGCTCCTCTACATAAGACAGCTCTTGTCTCTTCATGCCCAGGCTTTCAAGACTCGGATGAGCAGTCAGTCGCTGTCGCAATCGGAGAGACTTGGGCTGAGTCTGAGGTTCGATGACTCGGTGAGCAGAGTTCCTTGCGAATGCGTTTCGGTTGTGTTCGGCAGCCTTCAGCTTTTCATTCTGGGTGCGCAAATCAGATGCAGACTTGCCCCGAGAAAGTTGGGGACGACGCGTCGGGATACGTGGTCCCTGCGAAGACACAACGGAATCCTGATCTGTGTTCTTGCTTCGAGACTAAGATAATGGGTCAGTCATCAGCAGATAGTTACGAGGAAATTGTATCCAACTGTACTCACCTTGGCAAGTTTAGGCAAGCCAACAGATGTGGTAGAGGCTTTGATTGGCTGCCTCGAAGAAACATCTGCTGGCTCGCCTCCTAGGCCCATCTCCAATCGCTCGTTGATAAAGCGCTCAAGAGGCAGACTGACAGTGCGATTCTGCTGGAAGGAGATCCGGGGATCGGGCTTGAGATTCTCCAAGCGACGTAGACGATCCTCTCTCAAGGTATGGTCACCATGTGAAGTTGGAGGGTGTGCCGATTTGGGATGAGATGGGGCGCTAATAGGTGTTTCATTCGAGGAAGCAGTCCGCAACCCCGGAGCGTCAGGGCTGGAGATGAGGGAAGAGTGGTCCGAGAGCAAGGAACGCACAGATCCAGTAGAGGTCCGGCGACGGCGGGTGATCTTCGGTGACAGCTGGGGCTCCTTGTCAAGGCTTAACCTTCCTGATCGATTTTTGGAGAGCTTGATAGGACTTTGTAGCGGTTTCCGAACTGTGTGGGGGGTGTCTGCTGTCCTCGCTGGATTAGGGATCTGGGATTTCAATCCTGCAGAATTGGGGCGAGAAGCAGAGTCTACAGCCACAGTGGTTTGGGAAGAGTTCTTGACAGAAGACCTGACACGAGGCATGCGTATATACGATGGACCCGAAGGCAGGTCGGGGGAGAATATTCCAGCTGTCTGTACGTCACGCTCATTTGGAACGCCCTCGGGTGTTTGAGAGTCTTGCGCAATAGATCGATTGACGAGATGAGACTTGGGACTGGTTTCGGTAACGGACCGGGGAACATGCACTTGCTCTGCCTCGGTACCAGTTGAAATCTCAGATCGCAGACCGTTGCCACTAGCAGAAACATTCGCATCTTCAACAGGTAAAACATCGGTAGAGACGGTGACTGCTGGGAGCTGGGTGTTGGCTTCAGCTGTGGAAGGTCGAGCGAATGGGTCTTCAAATACATCCTTGTGTTCAGTTAATGCACCTGCTATTGTCAAAGTCCGAGGAGGCGACCAAGATCCGTCGGTCTGGGAAATGGAAGGAGGGATGTTCTCTTTGTTTTCCGAAACAGATCCATTTGCACGAGGTGTCAAGCCTGCCGAGAGTTGTGCATGGATTGACAAAATACCCAATGGGAATTCCGCCTGTGTTGGGGTTGTGAGATCCTCAGCTACAGCCACAGGGGCCGGGATCTCTTGTTTGTCTTGGGTTGGGGATGTCGCCGCATATGCCGAGGTCTTGGGTTCGGGTGATTGTTCATGGATAGAAGCCGGAGGAGATGTCTTGTCCACCGGACCCGTTGTATGTTCCACAGATGGTTGTGTAAGGTTGAGAGTCTTATGGAATGGACCTTCGAGGCCACATTGAACCTGAAACTTGATTTCGACAGATTTCTCTTCATTACTCACTGGCTCCGAGAGAGCTCCAATGGAAACTGGATCCTGCTGTGTTTCCTCCAATGGCTTCTCGGGTTCAGGCTGGGAGAGTGTCGGTGTCTCAACCTTCAATTCCTGCTTAGCACGCAACCACTGGTTGTGAACCTTGTACTTTTCAGCCTCGACCACCCAAGCAGCGAAGTCCGACTCAATACGTTCTAGATCATCAATCCAATGTTCAGGCAAGGAATCCGGGCGACCCTCCAGAGCATCAAGAACGCGATCCATCCGCCGTCCAACAGCAACAACCGCGGACTCCAATCTAACATGATCAGTAATCAAGGATGCGTCGGAGTATAGACTCGGATCAGCTGAAGACTGCGGGGACCGCAATGAGTCAAGGGAGGAATCAAGGGCGGACCGGGTAATGCTCAGCTCCCTGAGCAAACCAGGAATCTGGCGTAGAACAAGCAGACGGACATCCCAGGTACTAAGCAGAGCATTGAGTCGAGAAAGGAAAGGCAGAGCACGGAGGATGGTCGCAGTGATAACAGCCGTAAAGTCACTGAGCTGCACATAGCTGAGCGGCGGGGGCGCAGACACGCAACTCGTGGCAGACGAGGGCCGAGACCTGGAAGGAATGTGGGCATTCAAAACGTGTTCCTTCAATTCCTCCACGTTGAGATCGTCCATTCCATCGCGAATCTCCTCGATTCTCCTTTCATATCGCTCCACCCCGCTGGCTGGCAAGCTTCCATAGTAATCACCGTCCAGGTTACTAGGAGGCACGGTGGAAGGGGAGTCGCTAGGCTGAGTAGATGCCTCTGGAGGAATAAAGCCCTTTCCAAGCTTTGAGTCCTGCTGGCTCGGCCATTCCCACGACTGCACCTCCTTGTGCCACAGGTCCAAATTCTGAGCGGCTACAGCTGCGCGTATACCCAGGGCGCGCTCCGCAGGCGAAACCTGGGAGATACTCTGGGACAGGATGTCATGGGCGCCTTTCTCGTTGGAGGGTACAGCATCGGTAGAGGTGAGGGCGTGGAGGGTTGATTCGGGGGAGAGGTTGCTGAGGAGAGGGTCAAGTTTCTGGTAAAGAGGAGCAGGTCGTTCAGGCGAGGTTGAACGAGAGTTATTGCGGGAGTGGACGGGGGAGAGGCGGATGAGTGGGCGATTGGGGTTTATTCGACTGGCTGCCATTCCGAATGTTCAGCCTAGGTCTTGGGCGAAATAAGCATCGACGGGCTGGAGGATGGCATAGAAGTGACGGGGTCTGAGTGAGAGACAGGATTGTCGAACCCGCATGCTGAGACGCGCGTTGGCACGGTGAAGGAGCAAGCTGTGAGCTTGAGTGGCAGGTGGGAGCTCTGCAGCCAAGAAAAGCAGAGGCGGGAGTATCAGGGAAAACAGAAGGCAGAAAGAAGATCAGAAGAGGCGCAGACACAGAAATATAGAGAAAAGACAGTGAATATCCCTTTCGGAGGATTAAGTGAAGCTGAAATTATTTTGGAGATATCTGGAGATCAGGGGGTGGAGCACGTCCCGGCGATCCCGTTCGCGCTTCAGTTCGACACGATATCCATGTTTACTTCCTTCCTTTCTCTTCCTGGGCCTACGTAGTAATTATTTCTTGCAGGCAAAGTTGCTCTGGCAACTTCCTTGCAACTTGCAACTTCCAAGTTCCAACTTCCTGGAAACCGATATATCACATCTCGCCGATTTGATAGCCGAATGCAAGGGATATAGAAAAGATCTTCTATAAAATACAAATATAAAACTTCAATAGTAAATTAATAGCAATTATATAACAAATAGTCGATATATTTGATACTGTATATATCATCTAGGAGCCAAATCGATCATAATGCGGTCATCGTGGCGTTGTCGGAACAAAACAAGGAGCGAAAGTATATCGTTTCTTCAGATCCCCAAGAATCACTGCAGGCAATCGGCGTCTGCTTTCAAGCCCATCATGCAAGGGTTCCGCCACCAGCCAGAGATACTGCAGGATGTGCCCGAGCAGCTTACCCAATCTCTGAAGCAATATGAGGATTGGTTCATAGTGGATGGCGACAAATTGAAGGAGATCACCGCACATTTTGTTGATGAGCTAGCGAAGGGTCTTTCCATCGAGGGCGGATCTATTGTCAGAACTATGTGGACGGGAACGGTGGGAATACTTCAGTATGCTGACTTGCATGTTGACGCGCATAGCCAATGAACGTCACTTGGGTCAGCAAACTGCCCAACGGGCACGAGAAAGGACACATTCTGACTGTCGACATGGGAGAAACAAATGTGAGAGTATGTGAAGTGTCTCTCGGGGTCGGGAAACGAGAGTTTGAACAGATCCAGCGGAAATACAAGCTTCCGGATGACGCCGAGACCTGCACAAAGGAAACGTTGTGGGACTTCATTGCCGAGAAATTGGCATCGTTTCTCGAGGATCCTCATGCCGGCAGGATGTCATCAAAGCCACTTCCAATGGCGTGTACCTTTTCATTCCCAGTGGACCAAAGGTCTATTCGGAGTGGCATTTTGCAGCGCTGGACCAAGAACTTCAACGTGCCTGGAGTGGAAGCCAATGATGTAGTGCCGCAGCTAGAGGCTGCATTAAAAAGAAAGGTAAGCACTGGCCCGCCATCAAAAGAGTGGCACCTGATTTGAACAGAACGTTCCATTGAAAGTGGTTGCCCTGATCAACGACACGACGGGGACACTCGTTGCACCACATTACCGGGCTCCCCAGTTAACGATCGGCAGCATCTTCAGCACGGGCTGCAACGCGGCATACATGGAAGAATGCCGCTTCATCCCCAAACTCCGTGGCTCAGGTCTGCCGGAAGACGCAAGTGTAATCATCAACACCGAGTATGGCGCATTTGACGAGCGCCAAGTGCTCCCATTGACAACATTGACCATCAAATAGACAAGCAGTCCGTTCGACCCGGTACACAGATCTATAAGAAGATGGTCGCGGGGCTGTACATAGGAGAGATGCTGCGCCTGATCCTGCTAACCTTACACGAAGAAGGTAGACTTCAAAGGCCAAGATGTGACGGACGCGCCTCCGAACCGAGAACGCACTGGAAGCCTCCTTTCTGTCGATCGCCGAAACGGACATCTCCGACGAGCTGATCGACCTGAAAGAGGAATTTCAAGGGAACCTCAAGTTGCAACCGACGCTGGGAGAGCTGAAGAGCTGTCGTTATCTTATCGGGCTCATCGCGACGCGTGCGGCGCGTCTCTACGCCTGCGGCATAGCGGCCATCTGCAAGAAGAAGAATACCCGCCAGTGCCACGTCGGGATAAATGGCTCAGTATTCAATAAATATAGCATGTTCAAGGGTCGGGCTTCGCAGGCTCTTCGTGAGATCCTGGATTGGCCGCCGGGCGGGGTGGAGTTGGTCGCGCTCAACGCGGCGGAAGACGGGCGTGGGAGCAGCTCTGGTTGTGAGTTTCACACTTGGTGAGCACGAACTGGGGGAGTTGTGATATGCCAAAAGAATAGAAAGAAAAGAATAGAAAGAATAGAATAGAATCAGCTATTACGAAGTCAAGAATAATGGAGAGTGCGGAGAGAAGAAGTAAAGTGTTGCTGTAGAGAGAAGTGATAGCGATAAGAACTTCTTCCTCCGTCAACAACTGACACAATGCGGTTTCGAGCCCAATTGAGAGATACCAGAGTATTCTCCAGTAAGTCCAAGTCATTCGCAGACATCACAATAGCTGACAACATCAGAACTCACCGCTTCCTTGTCGTCGTTGGGCAAGGTATGCTGGATGCGCCTGGAATATGAGGTGATCCGCTTCACCATCATCCCCGACCAAGGCACGCAAGTGTGGGCAACAATCCCAGTTGTACGATATCTACCTAGCCAATTGAATACAGACATTAATGTCATTAATTGTCCAGGGAACAATATTCGACGACTCAACATACGAGCTCGAATCCAATTCCGACGCAATCAACCTAGAAATCAACGTCAGCGTACTCAACCGCGCCTTACGCTCAGCATGGGGCGCATCAACCTCCCAACTGCGCCTAACAAAGAAAGACAAAACTCCAATCTTAGCACTAACAGTCCTCTCTTCCGAGTGGACAGAAGGAAACATGGCCTTAACCACAACCGATGAAGCCGAAGGTGACCCAGATCGACCACTTCAGACCCCAAGCGAAACAATAGGCGAAAGAGGACCACGAGAACGACAAACATACATAACCCAGGAAATCCCTATCAAGATCCTCCACGAAGTCGCAGTTGAAGGTCTCCACGAGCCACACTGCCCAGACCCAGAAGTCCATATCATCCTCCCAAACCTATCCCACCTAAAAAGCATCTCAGACCGCTTCACCAAATTGGCCTCATCAGATTCCAAGAGCCACCAACCCGGCGTGATGGCAGCAGAGGCACCGGGGATGCACACAACCTCCTTCGGCGGCGAAAACGACAAAACCAGCGCGACGACATTATCCACGAACAACGCGCCAAAACTAGAATTATCAGCTAATATGCACGGCTCGCTTCGGCTAGCCATAGCCACGGATGAGATCCGTATTGCAAGTGTCTGGTCTGATCTTGTTAACCCTCCGCTAGCGGCTGGGCAGATGACGCAGGAGGAGATATCTCAGCTTCCTAGTGAGCGGAATCGGATGCGGGATGCCGACGGAGATGAGGAGGGATGGGCTAAGGTGCGGATTGATGGGAGAGATTGGAGTCGGGTGCTTAGTATTGGGCGACTTAGTCCGAAGGTTGTCGCTTGTGAGTTTTATATAATAGAGTTGGGGTGAGACATGGCTCGGCAGTACTGACTCGAGTCGTGGACAGGTTTTATCAATGAGATGGCTTTGGTGCTCTATGTTTATTTGCCAGGCAGCTGGAATGGGGAGGAATCTTGTCTAACAGTGAGTTTGGTCCCGCGCTTGACGACTGAAGTTTCTAACGGGATGCATATAGTATTATATCAACTCTTTTACGACGTGATCTGCGTTGGTCTTCAAGTCAATAGAATCTTGATCTATATATCTAAAGCACCTTTGGTACGCTCTTTGACCGCATTCTATGAGTGAATCTGCGATTGGTTTACCTGAGAGTTAGCTGGAGAACGTAATCTCAAAATAACTTCACGTCAAAGCAAACAAGTTTTCTTCCAGGCAAAGCTAATTAAGAATAATACTCACATAAATGCATATAAGAGATTGGACAACGTAATACAGCCCGCCAACACTCTCAGGCGCATGATGGCGTACTCACTCTGGAACCACTCGACGACCACGAACGAAATCGTCAAGACAATCCAAAGCGCCAAGGTGGCAATGATGGTAATAAAAGTAACGACAACGTCACCGACAATAGCGTAAAGCTCTCTTTGCGCCGCTACTCTCGGAGGTTCTCTCGGATGATCCTATGCAGCAGTTTGCCACTACTGGGACGACAGCTAGGATTGAGGATGATGCATTTCTGGATTTGGACTTGGCTGTCTTGGACAACTTGATGAGAGGCACCGGAGAAGATGGAGAAGGCGGCACCGAATGGGATGCGGCGCGAGAAACCGCAACATTCGTGCCGTTGTGCAGATACTCCTCCCGGAATAACTTAAGCCATATGGTCACATCCACACTCACCAGTAAAGAATCTGGGACATAATCAGAAGGAGACTATTTCAATATTGCGCCTAGCTTAGTGAGCAAATGTATACAGCGCGCAAGTGACAGTAGGAGCTTAAACTGGCGTCCAAGGCAGACTTTTTCCGCAGCCGATTGAGCATAGATATCCGAGTTTAATGCGATGAACTACAATATCTATATCCAAAGGATGATGATCAAGGCATTCAAAGTGCGAATCAATTAATCATTATTAAGACAATTGCATGTCAAGGCATGCAAGAAAAAACCTCCAGATCAGACAAAGTTCCAGAACACGAAACCGTAGACAACAGGGGAAGGTGATGTACATAATGCCAGGAAAGGCGCTCGCCTCTGTAGACGAGGTCGCAAAGAACAACGAATATCAAGCTATGTGCAAAAGCAATGCTTTTGAGGTTCAGTGAGCGAGAACGCCAGGTGATGGTGTGTCTGTTCGGGGGAACGAGATGAGACACATGCAAGATGCTGAGGCAATGACAAATACAGCAAATGGGGGGAAGGGGGAAATATTATTCGGTGTAGGGGTGTTCGTCAAACAGATCATAGGGTGACAAAATAAAGACATAAGGATAAGAAACATAATGAACAAAAGAAATGGACATGACCTACCCAGCAATGTACTGGGAAGGACTATATCATAGGAAACTCTAGCGTTTCCTATCATTATTGGGCCATGACGTCGACATAGCGACCCTTCTTCTTGCCGCGGACCGTGTTGCCCTTGCGGGCTGTGGGTGCACCGAGCAGATCATCGATCGAGCTGGCATGAGTCAGGGAAGATGAAGGTCGTGGAGGTGGCCCACTGGAACTACCAGGCGGGGTTGGCACAGCCGCTCCGGTAGACACAGAGCGAGGCAGGGGAGGAGCTGCAAGTCCAGAGATACCTGGGCTTGAAGAGAACGGAGGCGGGGCGGCACTCGAGGAGGAGGGGGGTCTGCTGCCAGCGGCCATCGGAGCACCGTTTGGAGGCATACTGCCTGAGCTAGCGGTCCGACTGGGAGGGGCCGAGCCTCGCGGAGGAGGGGGTGTGGCACGGACTGGGGCGCTGCTGTCGGGATCTTTCTTGTTGACCCATTTCTTCAAGTCCTTGTCGTAGTAGAAGGAGCTCTCCTCGCCAAGTTTGGCCTTGATCGGACCACCAGTTTGGGCTTCCTCCTTTTTGCCACCGCCGAACCAACCGCCGAACCACCCCTTCTTGCCGGACTGCTGGGCAGCATCTCGTTTAGCTGTTGGATTGGGGTTAGCGAGAGTCAACAATTGGGATTGAAGATACATACCATCTTCCTCCGCTGCCTTCTGGAAAGCTTCATTTGCCTTGCGATCATTCTCTGCCTTCTGCATAGCTGCTGCCCGCGCAGCGAGATCATCGTCATCGTCATCGTCCATGAATGCCTTCTGCTTTGGCTGTTCCTCAGGAGCCATCTGGTCCTCCGTCTGGAGAGAGCTCATGTCCATGGGACCACCCAGCGGCTCATAGGATGAACTTCCAACGGGGGGTGCGTAGGGTGACTCTGAGTCTGGCATACCAGGAGGCCCTTGGTAGTAGGGGGATTCACTGGCCGAACCACCTGCATGACCTGGGGGTTGATAGAACAGGCCATTTACCACGGATTGAGTGACTGGAGCAGCCTCAGCAGGGGACAAAGCCTCCTCCACCGGAGCGAGAGGAACATAGGACGACTGAGGCGGGGTCGGCTGATATCCAGACATATTTGGGGATCCATATACAGGCCCTTGAGACATCTGCGAATCAAGCGATGGCGAGAATTCCTGGGAGGTTCGACGTCCCGCAGGCGGGAAATAGGGATTCGATCGTTGCGAATCCATCGACGACCGACCTTTGAATTGCTCCGGCGATGCGTTGGGGGCATATTGACTTTGACTGGACGGGTGATACTTCGAGTTGCCACCCGTGGGAATAGGCTGGGCGCCTGCTCCGGGATAGGAGCCGTAGATGTCAGACACAGATGGGGAACGGCTAATGGTAGGTGTTCCAGCTACGTTGGCAAATGGCCCGAAATCCGTAGCTTCGCCGGCCTTTCCAGATCCAGTCGAGGCAGCATCACTTTCATCACCTGCAACAAAGCTATTGAAACGTGCCCACATGGAACCAGACACCTTTTCCATGCTGGGTCTAGAGATCCAGGAACCATTGTCACTGCTAGTTTGACGGAGGCGCATGGATAGCTCTTCCACCTCCGCGTAGAGACGGTTATGATGGTATGGGGAGGGCCTGGTGGTTGCCTTCAACGCTGCTGCGACTGCATCACAGTAGCTCTGAGCCTCAGAGTTACGGCCCCGATCGACAAGACATCTGGCATTCAGCATCTTGAATGCCAATAGATGTGGGAAACTAGCTAGAGGAGAGTTGCCAAGAACGGAGGTAGCATACTCGTATGCCTCGGTCAGCAAGATAGCATCTTCATCCATAAGGGATGAGGCACAACGCTGGTGATCAGCGCCAAGCAGAACGATGTTTGCTTGGGGGTCATCCGGTCCACCAAACACCGCAGCCCGCGAGAAGATGAAACAAACATGAGCGGCTTCTGTTCGTCCATAAGAGGTAAGCAGACGACCAAGGGCAAGGAGAGCTTGATGGTCCTCGGAACTGCGGTTGCTCAGCACCAATCCCAGAGTATCCTTCCACTTGTCCAAACCCTCCAGGACATTCTTGGTAGAGCTGTGACCATCGGCTTTGCTGATCAACTGCAGGCCTGCCCGGGCAGATGGAGGCACCAGCTCATCGATGCTTTCTTCAATGTTGCCAGCGAAGATCTCGTACAGGGCTGCCAGTGATTCGGTGTTGCCGGCCTTGGACCTAACCTCCCGCCGGACAAACTCCTGCGTGACCTGTTTCCAGATCGACTTGTCCATAGTGGATGCAATGATCATCGCATGACCCCATAAACGGCGATCAACTGCGCCCCAGACGGCCTTTTCCCGGTCACCAGCAATCAAGCTGGAGCGAAGCTCTTCCAAGGACTGAGAGTCAACAGAATCAGGCTGCGAGGAAAGTTCCATGGGTGAAAAGCCAGCCAAAGCAGCAAAAGCACTACCATATGACCCATCGGCTTCAGGGGCCGCCAAGTGAGGGAAGATAGCCTGGCGGAGAGACCTTTGAACCTCCGCAGAACCTTCCAGATTACCGTCGTTCTCGACCAGAAGCCTGACGACTTTCCAGAGCAGGATCCTTTCCTCGTGACGCTTGTGTGTATCGGAATGAACCTGATCATGAGCCGGGATACCTAGGTTTTCGAAGGCCGCAATCTTGCTAGAAATCCAGGCAACCAGATCCTTCTTCTTGGACTTTGCCTTCAGAGGTCCAGGGTGCTGAACAATAGTGTCGGTAGAAGGAAGGAATTCATTCAGCTGGGAGGTCTTGATTTCTCCGGGGCTGGGTTTGATCATTGGTGCCACCTGGCCAGCAGAGTAACGGGGAATGTGCTTGGGGAAAGAAGATAACACGGAGCCACCAAAGCCAAATTTGAAGATTGGAGCACCTTTCCACCGCTCCAAAGGATCCTGTTCCTGCCCGTCCATGGGAGCAATGAACTCAAGGTGCTGAGTCACAGCGCGGGTTTGCGAAGGTGCTTGCACAGCAGCATATGGATTCACAGTTTTAGTTGGTGAACCAGATCCATGCACAGAAGCGGGGCGTGGAAGGGTATCAATGGTTTGTACGGAAGAACGCGGACTTATCATACCACGGCCCGGTGACTGCGTCTGAGACCTATGAGGAGGACCTGGCTGGAAGTCACTGGGTGGCGGAGCGGTCTGCGTGGTCATAGCAGGTGGAGCAGGTGGAGCAGGTGTATAGTTTGTAGGGGGGCTATGCGTTGGGCGAATTCATTGATGTACTCCTGTGGAGCATAGCGACTTTGCGGGGGAGACGCTTGAACAGATGACCCTGCACTTTCCCTGCGAGCTACACCGGCAGGTCCGCTCATGTACTGGGGAACACTAGGAGGCGCATTCCCGAACCCAGAACTTTGAGGCCGTGGCGGCGAAAGATTGATCGCGGGCTCCAATGACGGGGGCTTCTGTGACGGGTCGGGAACGTATGATACCTTCTCATGGTGTGCGAGAGGACTTGAAGTTCGTGGTTGGAAGGGCAGACCATGTCCAGGAACATTCAATGGCTGAGAGGCGTAACGATTGCGAGCGGAAGAGCTGGAAGGAGGCGCAGGGGAGTATCGCGGCAGCGAGGGTGGTTTCGATGGCGCTTGCAGGCCAGCCGGCTGAGGCGAATACCGCGACGCAGGAGGAGGGCCGGCAGGAGCACTTGAGGCCAAGCTGGCATACGGATCCAGCTGTTCGGGGGTTGGAGTGAAGCTTGCATTGGGGTAGCGATAGGCTGCGGGACAGGCTGTGGGACCGCGGGTGCAGAAGGGGCGTACTGGGACGGCGGGGGAAGAGATGGGCCAGTCGTTGGAGCCACCTGCGGGTTAGGAGTATACCTCCCAGAGCTGGCAGGCCTAGTCCTCGGTGGTGCCAATGGAAGCTCCTCATAGAAATTTTTCGGAGCCGGTGGAGGAGCCGCGGCGGCGGGCGGAGCAGCTGTAGGCGGGAAAGTAGTTGCTGCTGGCATCGGCATACCAGGAGCAGCCGGCGGCGGAGGCGGGGGCATGCTGGTCACAGTTGGAGGAACAGGTCGATGAGTGACAACGGGCTTTCGAGGTCGAGAGATGTCATCTGGGAGGTCGTAGGGAGACTTGTAACCCTCCTTTGATCGTTCAGCAAAACTCTCTCCTCTGGTTGTCACTGGGTTCTGGGGCTGTTGGGAGAAATATGACGGCATAGCCGCACTAGTTGGTGGTGCAGTCCCAGGCATTCCTTGCAAAAGATCCGCTGTGGACGGTTGATGAGGCGTATATACGCCAGGCACAGGCCTTGGTTGAGAATAGGCATGAGGAGTCTGGAACGAACTGTTTAAGCCAGCCGGAACTCCATTGCTGACCGGTTGAACTGGAATTTGTTCCGTGGGTGCTTCAGAGACAGGCCGAGTAGAATCGTTTTCAAGCAGTATATCGTCATCATCCAATTCCGCCTCCCAACGAGCTGCCAGATCATCATCTGGTGAATCACCCAACTCGGCTTCCCACCTGGCGGCTATCTCTTCCTCCGAAGGTTCGGCTGGGGCTGGTGGTTCAGACGATGCAGCCTTAATAATGTCATCAAACTGAGCGGCTGCTGAGGCGTCGCTGGCTGGAGAGTCAATATCGAATCCGACTGACTCCAGCACCTGAGGCGTGCTCTTCCTGGTTAGATGAGGGTCGTCCTGGGAAGTTCCCTGGAGACTTCCTAAAAGACTTTCCTGAGGAGTTTGTTGGAAGCTTTGTTGAAGGTTCTCTTGCAAGTTCTCTTGGAGGCTTTCCTGGGTGTTTCCATGGAGCGCTTTTTGGGAGTTCTCTTGAGACCTCAAAGAACCGAAGAAATCTTCTCCGTCGCCATCATTCGAAAACACGTCCGCAATATGTTTGTCTACCTGCACGGGTTCAGGTGAGACTGGCGACTGATCCAATAACGGAAGGCCTTCCTCAAACCTCGACTCTGCCTGCGGGGGAGAGAAGATTGGCTTTGTCTGAGTGTTGAGTTGGTTAAAGAAACTATCGTCCTCGGAGTCAACATCGCGGCTCATGTCCTGGGCCCACGGGCTTTGAGTATCAGTGGGAGTCTCTGGGTTGGCTGCCTGTTGAGACATATGGGTGTCATTGGGGGAAGAGGTTGGGTGGTCGACAGTCTCGGATTGAATGCTGGTTTGCGGATTCTCGGACAATGGCAGGTTTTCGGTGGTGGGCAAGACGTCGTCACTCGCCTCAAATGTGGGCTCAGGAACTACGGTCTGCTCGTGGGTTCGAATTACAGGGTCCGCAACAAAGGTCGGTTCATGACTATCCTCAAGTTGAGCGGCGATCGTAGGCTCAGAACTCGCAAGCGGGATTTCAGTCGAAGGAGCGACCCCGGATAACACATTACCGTTGTCCGCCTCCATCAAGCCCCAGGAATCCTCGGATGCCACATTAGGCGCTTCGTTTGGTGGTGGAATTTCCTCCAGGGAGGTCTCCTCGTTGTTGTCATTACTTTCAGCAGATACCGACTCAGGGACAAACTCGACAGTCTCCTTATTCGTAGAAGGGGTTGCGCCTCTCATGAAGGCTGATTCCGAAAAAGTTTCCGGTTCAGCTGCAAGAGGGGTTGCGGTATCCGATGATTGTGTTTCGATGGGAGGAACATCCGAAGATGGGGCCGCGTCCACCCTTGGTGACGTGGTGTTCACCAGGCCGTCCATGCTTGTGTATTGAGGCTGTGCGGTGCCTACCTCATCCGACATATCCCAAGCAGAAAAGTCTTCGTCGCTTTGTGGCGATTTCGCGTCAGTCAGAGCCGTCTCTTTCGAATCGTTCGCGATGGCTAAGCCACCCTCGGGCAAGGCGTTCGCATAAGTGCCTTGACTGTCCTCGGGCAATAACGCCGGATTCCACGAGTCCGTGTCGTTTGCGGGGGTTGGAGTGCCATGTTAGCGGCGTGGTACTCGATTGCCAACGTGACTGGAGATGGGGTCGCAGTCCGGAGGGATCAACCTGACACGTCTCTAATGACGCCTCAGGAGATCAACAATCGTAGTAAAATCGAGGACTCAGGGAGACATTAAATGTTATAAATATAAACAGAACAAAGTCAAAGAAAGCAAGTAGTCATCAGTTGGCAACAAAAAAACCAAGCAATGATATGCGACGACCTAACCTTGGATCCTGTCGGGGGTGATGGTGCTGAGTCAGCTTCCAGGTCGCCCGATTAGGCAAAATCCAAACCTTTCGGGGGAATAGATGTTCCATCTCCGCGATAATACCGCCCAAAGTGACTCCCGACACTCGTTCAATTATTCGTTTTAATACTTGTTCCTATACGTATTCAATCGCTTATTTGAATACTCGTTTAAGTGCTCGTTCGAGCTATCCTATAATTGGTTCAAAAATTACTTCAAAATCTGTCCAACGTAAGAAAACTACGGAGTAGGTTACTTGCATATATATGTGTAGCAGCCTATCTGCCAGGGCCGTTAGGCCCATCGGGATTAACTTACCTATTACATACAAATACTTCATAATGTCTATCCTATGTCTCCCAATGCCACAGGCAGAAAGAAAGCACATCATAATCACATAAATATACAATATACAGCCAAATGCTAAGATCCATCAATATATATTTCTGTACTTGCAGACGGTCGACCTCGGAAGATAATTTAATCCGATTTATGCCAACCTTAAACTATGGTTATGTCATCAATGACATAACGGATTATGCGCTCATGTGATTGCGTGGCCCCGACAAGGCAGTCACGAACATTTATTTGTCTTTGTATATGTTCTTTGATTCTGGCTTCATTTATCGCGAACTGGCGCTCCTTTGATATCGTCCTCACACTCCTTCACCATGATCCAGACCAACCATTAACCAATGCCGTGACTTGAGATGAACATCCTTTGATGCGAGGACCAGCACAACGCTACATTCAGCCACCGATCAATTAGCTTCGATTTCACAACCCTTCCGACAATGCCGTCGTCAGCCGACTATCTACATCCTTCGGAAAACGCGCCAGACGACTTCTCAGACTCGGACGATGATTTGGATCTGGAGGAGCTTGACCCGGACACAGCACAACCTCATACATCCCGCGAGTCTCGAGACTATACTGGCCGCAAACGAAGTTATGGACCAGGTATTGCTCTGCGGAACTTGCGTGTCGGGGTGGGAAGCCGGTGGAGACGCAGCGCGTCTGGGCAGGGAGATTTTGAGGAAGACACGGACGCCTTGCTAGAGAACCGCGAAGAGGAGGGCTTAAGGGGCTCACATGCGAGCTCGAGAAATCTAACAGAAGATGATGCACCCCTTTTGGACCGGAGAAGCTCAACCCGTATCTTCAATGACGACGAAACCCCCAAGAAGGGCGGCTTCCTGGGCTTCTCCGGTTTTAAGACACCTGGCTTCCTTCAGGGAAAATCCGTTAAGCTTGGATCGAACACGAACGACTTGTCAAATCAACCTCCCCGTGAAGTGCTTGTTGGGCAATACCAAGCTGCCAAATACCCCGCAAACGTCGTCTCCAACGCCAAATATACCCCCTGGAGTTTCCTACCACGAACCCTCTACAACGAATTCTCCTTCTTCTTTAACATATATTTCCTCCTGGTGGCCCTGTCTCAGGTTATTCCAGTTCTGCGAATTGGTTACATGTCTTCTTATATTGCTCCTTTGGCCTTTGTGGTGTCAATATCACTGGGTAAAGAGGCACTTGATGACATTGGACGGCGTCGAAGAGATGCCGAGGCTAATGCCGAAGAATATTGCACCGTTTCGCTTGGGAGATCCAACCCAATGGAAGTCACAAAAAAGTCTCGTGACCTGAAAGTTGGCGATGTACTCAAAGTTCGGAAGAACCAACGCTTGCCTGCCGATGTGGTGATTCTGAAGAGCGTCTCGAATGACTCTGGTACTCCGCGCCAATCTCTATCAGCAGAACCCATGCCCGAAGCGTCGACGGACTTGCTTGAATCTGACCAGGGGCCATCTGAGCCAGCCCCCAACGCTGCGGACAACTCGTCTGCTGGTGATACTTTTATCCGTACTGATCAGTTGGATGGTGAAACCGATTGGAAGCTTCGACTACCTTCCGTTCTGTCCCAATCACTACCTTTGAGCGACTTCTCTCGTTTGCAAATCACGGCTAGCGCTCCCGACAAGAGGGTTAACGAATTCGTTGGTACCATCGAGTTGGGCTCACCCACTGGCTTTTACGATGCTCATGTTGATAAGTCATCTGGCCCTCAACCAAACGACGGAAGGACGCCTGGCGAGAGTCAATCCGTCCCTTCAGCGCCTTTGACTATTGACAACACTGCTTGGGCTAATACCGTTCTTGCTTCCAACACCACCACCTACGCTGTGATTATCTACACGGGATCACAAACCCGCGCCGCCCTATCAACTTCTGCTTCCCGTTCGAAGGTCGGTTTGTTAGAATACGAGATCAACAACCTCACTAAGATCCTTTGCGTCCTCACACTCACACTTTCTATCGTTCTTGTCGGCCTGGAAGGTTTCCAGCCTACAAACGACAAGAAATGGTATGTCGCTATCATGATATATCTCATCCTCTTCTCAACTATCATACCCATGAGCTTGCGGGTCAACCTGGATATGGCCAAGTCGGTTTACGGGCGATTTATCCAAAAGGACAAAGACATCCCGGGTACAGTGGTCCGTACCAGCACAATCCCCGAGGATTTAGGGAGAATTGAATACCTCCTCTCTGATAAAACGGGAACGTTGACGCAAAATGAGATGGAGCTGAAGAAAATACACGTCGGCACTGTATCATACGCCAATGAGGCCATGGATGAAGTGGCTTCATTTATTCGTCAAAGCTTTGCGGGCAATGGCTTGACTACCCCGTCAACGCCGTATGGAACTCAAACAGGCCAGGCCACGGCTCCGCGCACAAGGCGGGAGATCGGCTCCCGCGTGCGGGATATCATTCTAGCCCTTGCTCTGTGTCACAACGTCACACCAACCACCGAGGAGGAAGATGGCCAGAAAGTAACAAGTTACCAAGCGTCGTCCCCAGATGAAATTGCCATCGTCCGGTACACTGAAGAGGTTGGACTCAAGTTGTCTTATCGAGACAGACAAAGTATTGTCCTGGAATCTACCGACTCCAAGCAAGTCGTCGTTCGCGTTCGCATTCTGGACATCTTCCCGTTCACTTCTGACAGCAAGCGGATGGGTATTATCGTGCAATTTCAGCAAGATAACAGAGTGCTTGAGACACCCGGTCAAGACGACAGCGAGATTTGGTTTTATCAAAAGGGGTGCAGACACTGTTATGTCGTCTATTGTGGCGACAAATGACTGGCTAGATGAAGAGACGGCAAACATGGCTCGAGAAGGTCTGCGAACTTTGGTTGTAGGACGCAAGCGTCTTTCGTCGCAGCAGTACCAAGACTTCTCTGCCAAGTATAGACAGGCATCACTGTCACTACAAGGACGAGATGCGGGAATGGCCAAAGTCGTGAGTGAATATCTTGAGCAAGACCTGGAGCTTTCCGGAGTGACGGGTGTGGAGGATCGGCTTCAGCGCGATGTCAAGTCATCCCTTGAGCTTATGCGCAATGCAGGCATCAAGATTTGGATGTTGACAGGTGACAAAGTTGAAACCGCCCGATGTGTTGCTATTTCAGCGAAGCTGGTTTCCCGAGGCCAATACATCCACACCGTGACCAAAGTTGCGGACAAATCAACTGCCCAGGAAGTCCTTGATTTTTTGCGCAACAAGACTGACTGCTGCCTGTTGATCGATGGCGAGTCTCTTACTCTCATGCTTGGACAATTCCGAACACCGTTTATTTCCGTTGCGGTGCTACTTCCTGCTGTGATCGCATGCCGATGCTCTCCCACTCAGAAGGCCGAGATTGCGGAGTTGATCCGCCAACACACTAAGAAACGTGTCTGCTGCGTCGGCGATGGTGGCAATGATGTCTCCATGATTCAAGCTGCCGACGTGGGCATTGGTATTGTGGGTAAAGAAGGTCGCCAGGCATCTCTTGCCGCTGATTTCAGTATCACCCAGTTCCACCATATCACCAAGCTTCTCGTATGGCATGGCCGCAACTCATACAAGCGGTCTGCGAAGCTAGCACAATTCATCATGCATCGTGGTTTGATCATCAGTGTCTGCCAGACCATGTACAGCATTGCCAGTCATTTTGACCCCAAGGGTCTCTTCATCAATTGGCTCATGGTCGGCTACGCAACAGTCTACACCAATGCGCCGGTCTTCTCTCTCGCCTTCGATCGCGATGTGGACGAGCGTCTTGCCAATCTTTACCCCGAATTGTACAAAGAGTTGAAGACGGGCAAAAGTTTGAGCTACCGCTCGTTCTTTGGCTGGGTTATGATCTCAGTCTACCAGGGTGCAGTCATCCAAGGACTTTCACAGATCCTCTTGGACACTATCACTGGCCCACAGCTTATCAGTATTTCCTTCACGGCCCTGGTACTCAACGAGCTGGGCATGGTTGCTATCGCAGTCACAACCTGGCACCCGGTCATGATCTTCTGTCTGGTTGGCACATTACTTGTATACGCGGGCAGTGTCCCATTCCTAGGCGAGTACTTTGACCTCAGCTACGTGATCACCCTCGATTGGTTATGGCGTGTAGTTGCCGTACTAGCCGTCGCCTTGGTCCCAGTCTGGGCCGGTAAAATGATCAAGCAGTCATGGCACCCGCCAAGTTACCGGAAGGTCCGTGGATAACCCGAATTATAGAGAATACTCGGTTTTCTTCTCTGGCTTAGACTTTGTTTTCTTTTTGTTACCTTAGCTGCCACTGATTCCTATTTGGCTTGTATATCATCTTGAGCATCATATCTTGGAAGTGCATCTAGCGTTGCTTACCATCCTATCTTAATAGTCAATCTACTCTAGTTGACCTAAGCATATCAGGCCTACCTAAAAAGCATGATCACAGTCCAATGGAGGAATATTACTCTTGTGATATAATACCCCATGGCGGTCTGCTGCTGTCAACAATCAAGCCCGTCTAGGGAGGGGTTTTTCGGTTTATATCGAAGCAAGCGAAGAGAAAACTCAAAAGATGAATCAACATACTTAAGAAATAAATCAAGAAATAAGATAAACCACAGGTTCGCTAACATAGCAGACAGACAACCATAAGCCATAACCAGAGAAGAGATATACCCTAGCTCTTCCGCGGCCCTTCAGCCTCAAACAAAAGAACACATCCAACAACCCAAGTCTCAACCCTCATAAACTCCTTTTCTAAAGCCTGTCTAATCTCCACCTCTCCATCACGAAGATTGCAAAAAACACCCCCAGAATTCAAATACTTCATAAGAAACCCCCGAAAAGATTATACCTAACCCCCTTCCCAAGAACCGTAGACCCATAAACCACACCGCCTGGCGCAAGGATTCCCCCCAGCTTCTTAAACAACTCCATTTTCTCCTGCACAGTCCCAGGCAAACAATGCAACAGGAAGAAAAGTGAAATCGAATCAAAGACACCAGTCAAGGGCAACGGGCCCATAATATCCGCCTGTACAATATGCACATTCCCAGTCCTATCCCCTCTACCAAGCCGATTCGCAGCATGAGCCAGAGACTTCGGATTCAGATCCAACAGAGTGATTTGCGTTTCGGGGGACACGGCACTGTTGGCCAGGTAGTACCCTGTTCCAGGACCGATATCTAGATGGCGGGTTCGGAGGTTGCGTTTGTAGAAGGGGAGGAGGGTGGATTCTGTTGGACAGGACCAGGCGTGTTTGTTGCATACTCCTAGCACCCACAGGTCGTATAGAGGGAGGAACCATTTGTAGACTGTCGTGCCTTGTTTTAGGGGCGTTGGCATTCTGGGTTGAGGGTTAGATGGATACGACAATGGAGATGGAGATTGTGGAAGGGGGTGTGATGTGGCTTGGTGGTTATTTCTTTCAATCCTGTACTCCCTTGTAGAATGATTTATGGGATTTCTTTCATGCATTGTAGATCTATTTCTGATAGATCAGATAAGTGTGGGGCGGATAGGGATGGAAGGTTGACCTTGCATGAAATACAGGTGAGGGGCACGCTGCGATATCGGATAATCAAGTGAGATGAGATGTAAGGCATATTCAGCCTTGTCTATGGATACATTAAGCATGAAAGTGTAGAGAAATAGTGGATCAAAGATCAAGGTAAATCATAACTATATTACATCGTGAACCACGAAGCAAGAGCCGAACAAAAGCAAATAACAACCCCTCACACCAAATTAAACACAGGACATAGCACCACACTATTTGTAAGGCTCTGGCGAGAAGACCTTCTTCAAGCGGAAACGTGACAAATCCCGAATAACCTGAGCAGTCTGCTTCATGTTGCGCTTAACAATAACAGAAGTCGGCAACGAGAAGAGCTCATCAATTTCCTCTCGAGACTTGTTCTTAGTCTCAGACATGAAGACGATTTGATAAATCCAACCGAGAACAGCAATACCACCGTAGAACCCAAGCGTCAAACCAATGCGGGTCATGGACTCCATCATGCGGCTGAAGTTATAAGTAACAATAAACGAGCACAGGAACAAGCTTGCGTCGGTAGTGGCCATACCATACGAACGCAGGTATGTAGTATCTATTCTAGAAGATTCGCGGCTTCGCGTTCGGCATCATAGTATAACGGGAGTATAGAAAAGAAAAGCGGATGAAGACAATGCCGGCGACATCCCACGAGGGAGAAATCTGTTCAGGAAGAACTAGGGGTGTAAGTAAGACGCTAAGCATGTAGTATGGGAACTTGGGGTTCCCATGGAGAGAACTGCGTTATAAGGCGACACTTCGACAAAAAAAAAGATGGAATCTGGAGAGAATAACGAGGTTGGGGCCAATGAGGTGGCGTAAATAGCGCCATCTATGGAACTCACTTTCCGAATATACAAGCATATGAGTATCCACGGATATACTGTAGTGAGAGTATATGTTACGAGACATCACGGCCCCTCACACGGGATATTCGGGGCAAAATGCGGGATGTTCCCCATGTCGAGCCGAGATGTTCATTCGCTGGTGACTGTTGGTGGCTGTTGGTGGCTTGCTAAGATGTTCCTTGTTGTTTCTGGTGAAAGCCTTGACTAAGTCAGTCGCATACCTCGTATGTGGTCTGACTGTCTGACTGGTGGTCTACGGAGTACTTCCGAAGGTACATGTAAAACGGGCACATGCACTGTACTTGGTAGAGGTGTCACTTTATGTGCGAATCTGCTCCATTGAGCTATGTATAGAAAACAGAAAACTCCCGACGCCATGCTCGCAATGCAATGCATTTACTGTAATATCCCCACTCAGCGTCTTCCCATTCCACCAACCGGTTTCCTCACACTGGGATCGACATTCGGACTAGGAGACCGGCCACCTTGCAGCCTAGCCCGCAGCCGATCCTGCGCCGAGCCACCACCCGAGCCAGTACGGTCGAGGTTAACCCGGGCCTGGGCCGACTGATGCGATCCAGCACGCTGGCTGGGCAAGGGTCGCGCTCCTGCAGGGTGGAATTTGCTCGGGGAATTGGACTGAGACAGGGTGACGGGTGGGGTGCCGGAAGGGACGGGGCCAGGCGGTGCGCTGTTGGCGGCGACGAGAGGTGGTGCGTTGCCTCCCCGGCCACGACGTAGACTGGCGGTCTGTGGGTTCTGGGTTTGGGCCTGGGGCGCGGAATCACCCCAAAGATCGCCTAGTCCGCCGCTGCGGCCGTAGCTGGGCTGTTGCCCACTGGAGAGTTGGGTTGTTGCGATTGTGCGTGAGGGTGTTGGGGTTGGGGCTTTGGGGTCTTGGGGGAGCCATGGTGGGAAGGGTCGGCCTTTTTCGTTGTAGTAGGCGCGGAGGGCGTTGGAGATGTGGGAGCAGTCTTCGTTCTCCGGGTCATCGCCTTCGTCGCCTAGTGTGATGGCGCGGCGGAGGTTGGTCAGGCGGGATCCCAGCCCTGAAATGGCCGAAGAGGTGGTCAGGGAGGAGAAGTATGAGCTCATGGTGTGTGGTGGTTGGTGGTTGGTTGTTTGGAGATGAGCTTCGATGCGGGGCGGGGACGAGCGAGCTTGACAGGCGGAGACCCAATGCGATGCAGGTGATGGAGTTGATGGAGGCGATATAGGTTAATGAATTGGAGATGAACGAAGGTGGATTGTGGATTCTCGTTTTATTACCAGAAGGATCCCTCCTGATGAAAGTTCAAAGGAAGATGAGACACCCATGGACATTGGCGGCAAGTGGCACGTGATCGGTGTTTCAGCTTAACAAGAGGAAGTTGACAAAGTCGAAGTTGAAGTTGAAGTTGAAGAAAATTATTTTTTTGTACAAGACAACATTGGACTTGGATCGTAAAATGGATGCAATAGGGTATCCCGATCACTAACAAAATATTAAACACGGAACCCAAACGCCATGCACAGGTGAACTTTTTCCTCCTCACGCCAGCTCCTTGCCAGCACCCTCGGTCTCATACTCAATCTCAATGCGAGGACCCTTCTTGCGAGGCTTCGCCTGGGGAGCAGTAGCCTTCCGCTTAGCACTGGGCTTAGGCTTCTTCTCATCCTCGCTAGGCTCATCCTCACTGTCCTCATCGCTCTCATCCTCATCGTCATCGTAGTCGCTGGAATCAGCGGAGTCGCCGCCCAGCCAATCCTCCATATCCTCAAGATCCTCCTCCTCGTCGAGATCACTGACGTACTCGACCTCACCAACACCCTCTTCCTCCTCCTCAATCTCGCCATCATCCATATCCAGATCACGCTCACCCTCACCAGCCCGCTCAAGACCACGGAGGACCTTCTTCCAGATCCCCTCCTCAACATTGAGCGGCCGGTCACCATAAGCACCACTGCGCAGACGCTCAATAAGCTCACGCTCAATAGCCCGCTCAACCTTAGCAGCAGACATAGCCTTGCGCTCACGGGTCTCCTCACGCCGACGGATCTTAGGAGCAAGCTTAGGCACAACCTTCTCTCCAAGACGCTCATCCTCCTTGGCAATGTTCTTCATGCGGATGTTGACCTGCGTCAGGCGGGTGAGACGCTGCTTGCACTTGTGAACCAGGAACTTGGGCCAGTAGATCAGCCGCTCGTCAAGCTGTTCCAGGGCCTTGGCGTAGTTGGACGAGAGGCGTACCCGCTCCCACCATTTGCTCGGCATATGGGCGCGTTCAACCGTCTTCATGTACAGGTACATCACGCCTGTTTCGGGGTCGGTTCGCACTGTCGCATAGCGCGAGTTGGCTAGCGGACAGGACTGGCGGTTGCAGAGACCGCTGACGTTGTATTCATTGCGACAGAAATTTTGATCTTTCGTCGTCCTATAGAGAAAAAGTCGATCGTTAGTGGCTGTTCCTGATTTTTGTCCTCACGGCCAATGCAAATGCAAATGCAAATCCGATAGGCAATTCTGTGGAAAGCAGAACTCACTTGAGCTTGTAGGAACAGAATTGCTGGTTAATAACCTGCCACACAATTTCGTCGGACATGATGGGCGACAGTGGAGTGGTGACTGTAGTCCAGGTGTTGCAGATGTTGATGGGAGAAAAAAAGTTGCGGGTCACGTGAGGTGCTTATCGATAGGCGCAACGTCACTGGAGGAACTCACTTTTCTTACTACCAGCAGAGATGCGGTTTATATGGGACAAATAAGCTACTATACTACTATTATGGTCATAATTTCTTCGATATCTCAGTTGCAGAGCTCACCTAGAGTATAATTAGCGGTAACACATCTTTCACCTTGTTGCTAGGATCAACAGGACCCACTTTCTATCAATATATCCACACCGGTTAAGCGCATCCTCTGCAATCCTGACAGTTTCTTTGCAATAAGTCGACTGAATCCGTCCACGATCCTCTGGACTTGGATTCTCGAATCGCCAGTATTTAGTTACTCTAGTGAACCACTTACTCTTATACACCATGTCTTCCTCGCTCTACGTAGTCTGTTAAGAAGCCATGCCCTCAAACCATATACCAGAGTTCATTTATACTGCCTAACGTCTGCAAATCACCCTGCATACCCATGTACACTGGAATTGCGAGTCAATATCCGCAGACGCTTGCCAAAGAAATATATCGGAAGTCCCAAAGCCATTGGCCCGATCGTCAGCGCAAATTCCACCATAGCAGGCACCATGAAACCCCTCCGTGCTGCCAGAGGCATAACCCAGTAACTCATTACAAACCCGCAAGTATTTTTAATCACAGTAGCAACAACCATAATCTCTCCTGAGATAGGTTTGTAGCAATCAACAGCGTATGCAATGGCTATTGTAGGAACGGTCGTCACACAAAGTCCACTGAAGCCATAACCAACGACTAGAACAACAGGCCAGTCCCAAAGTCGATCATAGCCCAGTCCACCGACCACAATACCAACAACAGTAAACATGAAATAGGGAATCAAAGCTGGAAGTCGCATCTCCGCTTCTCGTATACCGTTATTCCTTTCTGTAGCTCGCACAGCGATCCAGTCAGAGAATGGCCCTGCAGTAGCAAGGCCAATCAAACCACCAACAACAAAGGCGAAGTTGGAGTATCCCACGCTCGATGGGGAGAAGTTGTATGGAGGTGCACTTAAGACGGCGGATTCGGTCAAATTCCAGAATAGGAGAATGTTCGCTGGACCGGCTACATTGAGGCCTGCCCAGAGGATGATTGGAAATATAAAGAGGCGGAATGGTGAGATGATATCTCGTAGCAAGAATGACTTCCATGCTGGTTCTGGGGCTTGCCAGAGTTTGAACTGGGATTTGGATGGCCGGCCGGTGCCTAGGACATTGCTGCGTTGTTCGATGCTTTCGAGCTGCTCTGTTTCTACTTTTTTGCTGATATTGTGGGCTTCCGGGCCTTCAATTTCCAGCCGAGAACCTTCGGATTGCGTGTCTCTACGAAACCTGGTCTCTGGGAAGCAGCACAAGAGCGTGATAAAGTTGAAACTGGTGAGAGCTAGGGAGAGCCAGAAGAAACTTCGCCAGCCATATCTATATAGGACTTGTTAATATAACAATGTCGTAGCTTTTGGAATACAGATATTTACCTTTGCCCAATGTTGCCCGAAATGATAGGACCAATAAATAGTCCTAGAAAGTACCCCATGCTTTGGAATATTAGCTAATAAATTCGTTAACAGTCCAAATAACTCACAAATAGACCCCGGTCCAGAGACCCCTCTCATGAAGGAAGAGCATATCTGCCACAACTTGCACCAGAAGCGTTTCACTAGTGGCAGTAGCGATTCCATTCACAATACGTGCAGCCAGCATGCTGCTATAAGACACAGACAAAGCTTGCCATATACACGAAGCAATGCCTAACAAACAGAAGACAAGACTCGTAAGACGTCGACCAAAGATATTGGAGCAAGGAACGATAATGAAGTTGGCAAATCCGAGAGCTAGTACACATGCACCTGTCAAAAGACTAAGTTGGGTGTCGTTGAGCTGGAACTCGGCTGCAAATAAGGGGAACATTGGTCCCATCGATAAAGCTGATTCCACAGAGACAAAGAGGAATAGGAATTGAGTTGTAATCACTAGATCTGGTTGTTGAGAATAGTCAGCTATTGCTGCTAACATGTTGCCAACTGTATTGTATACTCACACTTCCATGGCTTGGACCAATTCAGGGGATCAGTCGGATCTTCCGATGGACAAGGGATGAGCCTGCAATGCAATAAGTATTAATCCAATGAGAGCATACTTCAAATTACTCACTGTATATCGTGATTGGATCCGTGAGTTAAATGGATGCCTTCACTCTCTCTCATCCACTCCGTTCCAGGGATAATATCTGTCTCGACAGTGTTGGTAGCCTGTCTGGAAGAAGAACCTTGAGACATGATGGTCATACTGGTAAGTAGGTATCAATACTTATACAGTAGGAAGTCAATCAAATAAGGAACACTGATTCCCAGTCAAGGGGCCACGTCACATAATATCCATTGTAGGGTTAGCTTTCCCCGTATACCCCAGACTTGATAATGCGGGGGATCCCACACAACCATAGCTTAACCTGCATGTTCTGATTTGTTGTGAAGATGTTCGCCTTCCGTCCCGCGTTTTGGTGGGACATGCGGGACCCTGCGGAACGTGAACTCGCATTCAAAGCAACACGTCATACACACGCGAATCAGCTTGGATTACCTCTGCATAAGCGTGTGAATTCATCAGGTGCCAATGTGTCCTCCTACAGGGCAATAGGCAGCATTTGGCGAAACCCAGGTTTGCACCGCCACGTCCCCAGACTGGCTTCGCCACGTCTACCTTTCTCATTCTCACCCCCGAGAGACAACACACAATATGCCCAGCGAACGCCTACGGAATAAACGTGAGCGCTTGTGTTCTTGGTGTTCGAAGTCCTTCACAAAGGATGAACACCTGGCGCGCCATGTGAGAACCCATACCAGGGAGAAGCCCTTCATCTGCCCGATTTGCAGAAAGTCGTTCAGTCGTCAGTATGTTTTATTTCATGCTGCATGTCGCGACGTGACGAGGGAATATACTGACTTGTAATATAGTGACTCGCTACTGCGACATATGAGGTGCCATCCTTCCAGTGCTCTACACGAGGACCTAGAGGCGAGAGCCGCGTTGGGCAACACGAACGATGCATCTCAGAAATGCCACGACCATCAAATATCTTCATATGGACTATCGTCCGGCTTTCGGAAGCCTCCAACACCTCCTCCTCAATCGCCTGCAGTTGGAGCCGAGTACCCGGGCGGAACAAATACTCGGTCGGCATCCTATTCATTTGCCAACGATCAAGGCACAACCCCGTCCACTTTTGAAGAAGCCGCCCCAATACAGCAAGGGGAACAAAGAGAAAATGTGTCGGGATTTCCAACGCCGGGATCTCAGTCTCATCTGCCAACTCTCGATTCGTCTTTCACTGATCTCAGCCAACATGGATCATGGCTATTTGAAAACTCGAATATCCAACTACCACCATGGTTTGCACACGAAGATTTTGATTTGAACGCTTTAAATTCCGAGATTATGATGTCAACTACAAATTGGCTTCCAGGTCATCTATCGCATTCTCAGAATGAACCGACTGGCCACACTATCCAGCCCCATGATGAAGGCAACAACCCATCACGTGAAGAGCTGATTCGCACGCACTGGCACACCTACCTGGGTCCTACATGGCAAGGCTTATCCAGAACTGGCCATATCACCCCGGAGATGATACCCGAGCAATCACAAGTGGACGAAGCCTATCGAGCTAGCTTGGCTGTCAAACTTCAACCAGACATACCATTTTTGCCTCTTCCATCGACGGACTTCTTGGTAAGTCTAGCTTCACGGCTTGATATGTGTGGTACCTTCTAACCAACCTAGAATCTATGTATCCAAATGTATTTCACAAAATTCCACCCTGTCTTTCCGATTGTTCATGCACCCACTTTTCGCCCATCTTCTAAAAGCTCTTTACTGCTACTATCCATATGCTCCATTGGGAGCCTTTTTGTGGGATCTTCCTATGCTACATCCCAAGGGACAAAGATATTTGAAACACTAAACAAAGCGATTTTATCATCGGTAAGCAATAGACCCTATGATTGAGTTGATGATCGCTGGCTGACTTGACGTAGTGGGAGGGATATTTCTCACGACAAGGACTGGAAACCATAGCCATGATCCAGGCAGCTCTTATAGGGCAAACATTTGGGCTTCTATCCGGGGTAAGACAAATATTTGAATCATCTCAGCTTAGCAACTGACCATGGCAAACAGAGACAGAAGGATTTGCTTATCGCGCAGACATTTCACGGCACTCTTGTCGTGGTGAGTTAAATAGTGTCCGATTAATTTGACAAAAAACTAATTTACTTTACTTCTAGTGGACAAAAAGAGCAACTGGGGCTCAGATGATGAAGAAAGCATCGGACTATATCAGCCTAAGTGACATTTCACACGCACCAGATAAAGCATGGAAGACATGGATTGAAGCAGAAGAAAGAAACAGGTGAGCTTAGTGCACCATGGGCCGACTGAAGTCCTAATAGCTTTTAAGACTTCTCGCGGGTATCCATGTTCACGATGTGGAGATATCGGAACTTTTCATCGCAGATCCATACTTCCGACATTATCCATCCAAACTACCAGCCTTGTCGGCCGATGACCTCTGGCTAGCAAAGACATCCAAAGAATGGTCACAAAAAATGATTTCACACCTTTCTGGATCAATTTCATATGCTAGCAGCTTACGACCATCAGCAAGTATTGCTGACGAGCTGAGCTTGTCACAACCAACCAATCTGACCAACGGTTTCTATACTTACTTGGAGCTGGAGAGTCTCGCAGCTTCAGCAATGGAAGCCAGAAGCACAAATAACTCAACACAGCAGTCTTCCTACGAGGGCGCTTTGATGAGGTTTTACGAAACCAACATCGCCCCCAACGGATGTCAAAATGGAGCAAAATACTCTCTGGCGGTGCTATGGCATTCTGCATTTATCTCGTTATATGCAGACATTAACCGCATAGAACTGGCAATCGGAAAAGAAGGTCTCACCGAATCCCAACTGCACAGAGAATACATACGAGAATGGGCCTCGTCACCAGATGGACAAAGATGCGCACTCCACGCTACACTCATCCTCCGCGAACTAGAGGGAAGTTCAATTGGAGCAGAGCCTCCAATACACGTCCCTCGAATAATATTCCGAGCTGCACTTGTTTGGTTCTGTTACACCGAATTTGGCGTCGACACGACAAGCAATCGTCATCAGAGTGTTGAATTTCCTGAATTGCAGAAGATCGGGATCAATTGTCAGCGGTTGAATTTCGAGGCGAATGGATTTAAGGTATTGCGACCTACTATTTCAGAGTCGAGTACGTTCTGTGGTTTGGTTCATATTTTGCCTCGCGTTGGGCATTGGGGTATCTCTCGGCTTTTTGTTTTGATATTGAACTTGCTTGTTCCAGATGTTAAGGATGACGAGAGGTATCAAAGGTTATGAGCGTTGAAGACGATTATGTTACGGTCATATAACAAGAGAATCGAAATTCGAATTATGATTAGACAAAACGCTTCGCATAGGAAATATTGGATAAGCGAGGCCTTTATATACAGGTCTTCGTTGTAGGCTTTTGCTTTCTTTTTTGCTTTCTTTTTTCTGTGGACTGTAAGTAAACCAAGGACGTTGCTACAGAATGGCAGCTTTGGATGTATCAATCGGTACTGTATTCTCCGCCTAAGTGAATTCGATCTGCTTCCCGCCTTCTATCAGATGACTGACATACCGGATATACGTGGATGTGGGACATACAGGTCCAGCGTAGCCCTAAGTGAAGTATAAAAATGTCCCACCGTCCCGCAACCCCACGCCCCACATGGCCCCGAGCCCTCCTCATCTTCCAGGCCTATTTGAACTACTAATCTTCTGCTTTCTAATTTGGGAGACGCCCTTAGCTCTATTTCAAATTGTTCAAAATGCCATCCTGGACCCACCTTGTTCGTTTTATCGCTGTTGAGGACTGCCAGGTTCACCTCGGCCAACTGCTCGATACAACTCGAGATGTTGGGCGCGACAGTGTTGACGGAGTGGAGATCGCTGTGAAGGTGATTGAGGGGACAATCTTCGATGGCCGCGTTACCGACGAGGTTATGCACGTGAAGCAGGTTAGATTTTCAAAGCGCGAATGGTCTTGTGTACAGTTTTGTTAACAAAAGGCCCTGTTAGCTTCTATCCCCAGTGACACAAGAACAATGCAGCTATATCCGCTGCCTGGGTTTGAACTACATGGATCATGCCAAAGAAGGCAACTTCCCTCTTCCTAAAGCGCCCATACTTTTCACCAAGCCTCGCACTGCCCTCACCGGTCCATATCCTGCTGCCATCAATATCCCCAAATGTGCCCAGGATGATACTAGTGACTATGAAGCCGAGCTGTGCCTGGTTATTGGCAAGTCCGGTCGGGATATTCCTGAGGATGAGGCATTGGACTATGTACTCGGTTATACTGCCTCGAACGATGTCTCTGCGCGAACAATGCAGATGATCACTGCACAATGGTCTTTCTCGAAGGGACTTGACGGGAGCTGTCCAATTGGTAAGGATCAAAGAGTTGCATAGTATAATGGTTGCTAATATTACTTTTACGACAGGACCAGTCCTTGTGGCCCCATCAGCAATCAAAGACCCGCAGACTCTTTCCATCAAGGCTATCCACAACGGTGCAGTTGTTCAAGACGGACACACCAAAGATATGATCTTCAACATCAAGAAACAGATCTCATACCTGTCACAGGGTACGACTCTCGAGGCTGGAACTCTCTTTCTTACTGGAACTCCTGCCGGCATTGGATTCTTCCGCGAACCTAGAGTTGTGCTTCGTGATGGCGATGAAATTTGTGTTAAGATTGATCAGATTGGAACTTTGGTCAATAAGGTGCGGTATGAGAGTCGCTAAGGCGTAAGAGCAAGAAATAATGCCGATTGATATACTTTTCGAAGTCGTCGATTAGAAGAATAAATATTGAAGCTCATTGTCTTTCGATGACTACTTCATGATTCATAAAATATGCATGTAATCATTTCTATCCTTTTACTCGATTCCAGTGACCCAAAACGCCAGGCTTTTTTATGAGCATATCGAAGCCAGGAGAACCAGGAATTAAGTGAAACTAATAGACCTAGATACAATCTAAGTACCCAGAATGGGCGCCCGAGGTTATCATTGCTAGATTAAAGGTCATTGTAGAATAAAACGCGGGCCCTCAAATAATTATGTTCAGGAATATCGTACTGAAATTGTTGTATTTGAGGTCTGTTATTGAGAGAGATCATTACGAAAAATGTGGACGTGGCTGCTAACACAAATATTTGTTTCATAGATGCTACTTGAAACACACACACTCACTGCAAAAACCAAGATGGAACTTCAGGGCCCCAAACAGCCAAAGACTCATCGCCAGCAGGACCATAACCAATAGGTGTCTGGTCATTTACCAAGTCCCCATCTGCATAATGCTCAATCATGTTCCCTGTTGTATCCCACCAGTAATCAAAAATCTGAGACCCAAGAATGTGCCGACCGACTCCCCAGACAGACTTGTACTCCTTCTTGGCTAGCCACTGATGTCCGAGTTTCTGCGTGTCGAAATCATGGACTTCGAAAGAGCAGTGGTGAACGTGGCTTGTCGGATTTGAACTCATAAAGAAGGAATGATGATCGACATGCTTGTCGCCACGATCGATGTGGGCGAATAGCGCGACATTTGTCTTGGTTTGTTCTTTTTCGATGTACAGGAAGTCTGTTGGGACGATGTTGAAGTTCTTTGTGTAGAACTCGACAAGGCCTTCGAAGTTTGTGGTGCATACACCGTAATGACCAAGCTTGTTTTTTATTAGCAGCTGTGCTCAAATACTATTACACAATGGCAAATTCAGACGCCAACTTTGGAAGCGCGGCAATAACTAACCTTATGGACTGCGGCCGGTCCGGGCTGGAAACGGAGGAATCTGCGAACTCGTGGCTTTTCAGTCTCATAGTTGAGTTCAAGCTTCTCGGGATATGTGCCAGGAGTGGCTGGTGTCTGTCCGAAGAGTAAATTCATCGGAAACCCTTCAGGGTCCGTCAATGTGACCATATATCCTCCACCAGGGGCACCAGTAAGATCCTCGATCTTTCCAGCCGTGGGTAGCTGCGTCGCTCTGCCTTCTGTTAGCATTCGTATCGTTAATACACCGCTAGGGCTACCAACCTCTCTAGATCTCGGTATGATTCGACTTCAAATGCACCACCAAGGAACTGCTTTGGACCTTTCTTGGCGTAATACACGTAGGGGTCTGCTCCGTACCCCCGATACCAAACCTCATCATCTGTTTGCTTGGCTATTGTCATACCAAAATCTGAGTCCAAGTTAGTGGAATGATTTGAGATAGAGAGACGCGAATACTTGCCTTGAAGGAAAATAGTAATTTCCTCTAGATCGGGATGCTGATAGCGCATATGAGCCAACTTCACCAAGCGGATCTGAGATTCGGTTTTAATTCCGCATCGCTCACGCCACGCCTGAACACTCTCCGACTCAGGTCCGATTGCGATGATGTCAGCGACTGAGGCGCCGTGGTTTGCTTGGATTGCCTGAGGATGGAATTAGTAAAGACTTCTCTAGAGTTCGGACTTGAACAGACATACCATCTTGAGAATATGGAGTTGCAGCAATTCTCAGAAACACATGGTTTGAGATCTGAGGGAACTATATGCGCCACATGGAGCCAAACCCCACGTCCCGTCGAGCCCCACGGGAATGCGGGACCGATTGAGTTCATCTCCGCATTCGGATATGGACGGAAATACGGATGTTTACGTGTACATCTATGCACTGTCCCACACTAGGGGTTGCACTGCATACAGGGGGCAGAGGGCACAGACATGGTGTTCAAGTCGCAGACCTTTTAACACGTCACTTGCCATTCCCCATGGCTTCCTCGATCAGATTTCCTTCTCGATATCAACATGGCGAAAGAAGAGTATGAAATTACCGACGTAGTTATTTGTGGCTGCGGGCCTACTGGGGCGATGTTGTCTGCCTATCTCGGACGGATGTCCATTCCTCATATTGTTATAGAAAAGGAACCAGAAATCACGACCGATCCTCGTGGTATTGCGCTGGATGAGGATGGGATTCGGATGCTCCAGGGGATTGGAATTTATGATCAGATTTATTCTGAAATTGGAACGTGTGAGTCAAAAGTGTTTGACATGTCTTGTTTTATTTACTCAAATATCATGAAGGCATGTCAAAGTTCAAATTTATTGGAGGCACCGAAACAACTCTAGACAAGAAGCCTTTCCTGGAAATGGACTACGGAACGGTTCGTGTATCTACCCTATCAGTATTGGAACTTCTTACTGACTGCCTGAAGACCGAAGGTGGAACAGGGCATGTTGGGTTTATTTGTCACAAACAACCAACACTCGAGAAACACCTAAGAAACGCCATGATATCCAAGTTTTGTCAGCTGCGCACCAACGCCAGTGTGTTTAATATTCGCGAAGAAGGGAACTATATCTACTGTCGCTATAATGATGCCCATGGAAATGCCCATAGCATAAGATCTCGATTCCTCGTTGGTGCCGATGGCAAAACTGGTTTTACTCGGAAGAATTTCCTTGAGCCGCTTGGTATTCAGATGGAACAGGCACATCAGTGAGCGCATAAACCCGCGATAGGACTGGATTTCGAACGTACTGACTCGTGAATCTAGAGCATTCTACGACGAAACTTGGGTAGCACTTAATTGGGAAATTAGCCTTCCCAGCGAGAAGACACACCCTGAGTTCCCCTTGTGGAGACTTGGATACAGCCCCGAGCAAGTCTATGATTTATTCTTCCCCGTGAGCTTCCGCTTCGTTTGCAATCCAGAGCGACCAGCTGTGTGCGGTCGTTTCGGATTGCCATCTGACAGACTGTGGCGATTTGAGTTTGTTGTACTCGCCGGCGAGGATGGAGAACAGATGTCCAATTCTGAGAATATCAAAAAAGTGGTCTTTCCATATATCACTCACCCGGGTAGTCGATACGGGTAAGACGGAAGTTTTCACAAGAGAGGAATATCACGCTTACCATTGGCAGTCTCATGCAAGAAGTCCAATTTCCAGAGGATTGCATACGTGTCCTTCGCTCGCGGCCTTTCCGATTCTCTGCAAGGAGCTGCAATAAGTGGTCCCATGGCCGAGTGGTTCTTTGCGGTGATGCTGCACATGTTTTCCCTCCATGTAAGTCTGATGACGAGACACCGGTGACCTTGCGAAGTCTAATATTTTATACCAGTTGGTGGCCAAGGCATCGCCTCCGGCTTTCGCGACGCCGTCTCCCTAGCCTGGCGACTCGTCCTGCTCTGCCGACGACCGCCAACGGCCATAAGTAATCACGAAGGAGTTCTGTCGGGCTGGTACATTGAGCGGAAACAGCAACTAGAACGATCGCTAGCTGCAACGATCAAAAATGGCGAATTTGTTACAGAAAGCAACCCTATCAAAATCTTCCTGCGTGATTGGTCTCTATTCTTCATGCACCTTGTCCCAAGTTGGAGACGAGATCTCAGGCTTGGGCACCGGAAAGAAGGCCTGGTGAAATATAACTATTCACCAGGCTTGCCGTTTGATCCCAATCACAGAGGAGGTCTTTGCCTTCCACAGGTGTACTGCAAGCGACTTTGGAGTGGCGAGATGCTGTTCTCAGATGATGTGATCTTTTCAAAAGAGAAGAAGAGCCTTTTCCAACTGCTGGTTTATCTTGGCACTGCTGATGACTTGGATGCCGCCCGAGAGTCGGTATCTCGGATCGAGGAGATCTCCAAGGGAGAGATTTGTTCTTCGGAGGCCACATACCTCATTGGGGACACAAGGGCAAGGTCTATCGAGGCAACGAAAGATGTATCATCGGTGTACCGCCTAGCTACCGATGAAGAGTTCGCGCAGTCATCTTTGTGTCGCGGTCGGCCGGAACCGCAATACTATGACCCTCTCTACCTTGGAAAAGCGCTGGAAGGGAATAAGTTTGTACTTGTCCGTCTCGATCGATTTATATATGCCGCGTGTCACAGCATGGTTGATTTGGAGAAGGTAATTCCTAATGCGATAGACTACCTCCATGGATAAAGCGAGTTGGTTGTTGTACTGGTTTACAATGAATAAATATACCTATATCGAGATACCGTATAGCGGCGGGTCTTCTCTGACATTTTAGCTACCGAAAAGCGTAGTATACGGTATTGTAGAAAGGTTTTCAAGAACTGCAGTCACAAATTTACAAACTTGGTTGTTGTAGATGACAAGTTGATAACAAGCCTGATAGAAATGAGCCATACTTGAACTGCTCATGTACCCTTAAGTCAAATTGTTTTTGCTTTCGATGTCGGAAGCTTCTATTTCATTGCTCTTGTCATTCTTATCCGAAAATTCACGTTGGTGCCAGCCTACAAGGTTGCTTCCTGATCTCCGCGTTCAAGCAATTTGCCGATACTTCTAAGATATTGCTGGGAAAAGAAAGCCTTGAGTAGTTATTAGCTGATGTCAAGTTGACTATATGAAGAAACTGAATACCGCCAAGGAAATGAAACACCGCAACATTTCAATTTACACAACCAAAAAGAAAAAGAGCTCATCAGCGAGTTTAGAACATTATCCCGTGTTCACCGTGGCTCCTTTTATACGCGGCGTCGATCTCTATCAACACGCTGCGTGACACAGCCTTATTGTATTTCCGCGCCCATGCTTCCACCTGCTGTGCTTGAATCGCGCGTCCTCTATTTCCTTTGATACATTGACTAAGATAAGCCACAGCATCGGAAGTATCGTATGGACGCCTGTCTGATTTCGTCAGGCGGTCTGTCTTGCCACAGAGTGCATACTCCCAAGGAACGGCATAGACTGCCAGTCCAGGTTTGCTAAAGAGTACCGCATTCTGGCGTCGAGCTGCCGCTATGAGGTCTTGCTCAATAGTACGAGTCAGGAATAGTGACATAGAATTATTGAACCAGTTCGCGCCGAGTTGGCACGTGGAACGCTGTTGGGCGTATTTGGATGCGTCCCTCAAATGACGACTTTTATCATTTGCGCCAAAAAAGTCGACGTCGCCGGTGGTGTGTCGAGAACGAAGATAAATAGTGTTAACTGCTCCACCGGCCACATATATGCACAAATTGACTCCTTGCCGGTGAAGGTATTCCGCCATGTATTGGAAAGCAATGAGAAGCTGATCACGATTCATCTCAAACGATCCGTGGACAAGCGGCCGGCCGGATCCATCCCGCTGAGGCGTTGGAATCATTTGTAGGCCGCCAGATGGGCCCGAAATCTGTACACTTTGCGCTTTTCTTCCATGTTGGCGACGTTGAGGCTTTCGCGATGGCTTGGAAGTGTTGTTTCCCATCCTAGTTGAAATACATATAATGTGCCCAAATGTACAATAGCGAGGAAGTCCAGATACTGAGCAAACCTCTCCCCAATATCAGGCTTGGTATTTATATCCATGAGATAGACTTTTAAAAAGTTCGCGCTGAGCCTCCAAACACTACCTAGGCCGTTAGGGGAGGGAGGAAGCTGCATATCTCGAAACATTGGCAGTCTGAATAAGCGCCTACTATTCACCTAAAGTGCTGTGCCCTATGATCTAAAAATATGAGACGCTCACTGTTCGTCGATCTTCATTTCGGGTCTACATCCTTTCGGCGCTTAATGGGCTAAAACAGCTTGCGATAGGATCTACAGCCTCCTACACTGCCCTAGATATACTAATTTCGAAAATAGTCAGCGCAAGACGACCGAAGACTGTATATATCTTTCAATCACATAAATCATAGGCTGTAACTAGTTTGCAGCTGTTTGGCTAAAGTGTTCCAGGCCCAGATCATAGTATTATGTAACCAAGAGGGGCTCGGGCCGTAGGTCCACCCCGATGAACTCCATCCACGTTTCTTGTGTTGTAACAGCATCAAAAACATTGAATCACTCGAACTAGAAGCCAGTATGTGGTTGATTTCTCGAATCCTGAGAAGCCTCTGGTGCAGGTCTTCGGATCCTGCGTACCCCGTCTTTCCTCCGCCGACGCCCGAAGAACTCCTTGCTCACTCCGATGACCACCGCGAACGCGTCTCCCGACTCCGATATCGAACCCCCAAAGGCAAGGAAGACACGCCCTTATTTTCGCTATACCGATTCTATGAGCGGTTAGTTTTGAATGATAATATCGGCCTGCGGAACGAGATAGAATATTTCTGGTACGCGAAGTGGCCAGTTGACTCAATTCCTGATCCGAAGGATCCCTGTGCTTCACGTTATGCAGTTCTTTCTGCTATTCCAGCCTTGTTCGTTGAAGCATTCAATCAGCGTATTGAGCTGGGTCTGCCACGGAAAGCAGATCCCATCATGACGCGAGAAGAGATAGAGCAGTACCAGAAGGAGGAAATGATCTTCGAATCAGTCCCAGATTGGACGAAGCACGTCGCACCGCTAGAAGAGACCTTGGTGATCCCGCATGAGAACGACGAGGTAATTGAGTCGTTCGAAGACGTAAGGGCTAGTCCTCAGCTGGCGGCGAAGAATATTTTGCATTGGCAACCACATATCCACTTCATTTAGAAAATGCATCGTGTGGCCTTTCTCTTCGTGCGGGTCACGTCGTGAGGGTAACTTTTTTCAATATATGTTTACATCAGCGAAAGTCGATGGCGATCGCGTCTTCGTACTCGCTTCTTGAAGCACTCGGCGCAATAGCGGCGTTGACGACAAGGGTTTCTTTTGCGCAATCGGCGTTGCTTTTCGTGGTTATTTTGCCCCAAAGAGTATGCCTGAAAGCTTTGAGTAAACCACATCCTCCCCATCGCATTTGTAAGTCGTTAATGCTCTCTTGGATTCCATCATGTTTTATGATAGCGAGACCAAACGCCCCATGGATATGACCACAGACAACCATTTTAGGCTGTACCCTTCGTATCTCGTGCAACAGGTATCCATCCCCTTTCACCTTATCTTCCTCTGTCGCCCCACTGTCGCCATCCCAGTCTCCATATAGAGCCGGGGGACCGTGAACCACAAGGATATCAGTATCATCAGGGACCCGACCGGTCCACACGTCACGAATGGGAGGATATTGAAAAGCCCAAAGGCCGAACTCCGGCGTTTGTGGAGATCCGTAAATCTTGACCCTACGAATCCGTTGCTCTTCGGAATCGGGAACCGGCAGTTCCAAAGTAACAGCTTCATCTTGCAAATACTGAAGTCCGCGCCAATCTAATTTCTTCCGCTCGGTGACACTGTCCCCTGTGCGCGTAACAAACTTCATATCGCTCGCCTCATCGAGAAGAATGTCATGATTACCTGCAATGACAATCTTATGGGTATGTGGCTGTAACGATAGCCAATTAAGCTGCGCTTGTACTTCGTCGAAGGTGCCATGTGCCGTCAGGTCACCTGCATGGATTAATATTTCACCGGGTGGAAGAGCAGGGGTTGCATTGTGCGTGTCGGAGACGCATATTATGCGGAGTGGAGGGAGATCATTCGCATCATTTTGAAGAGCAAGTGGGGTTGTCGATGGCTTCTCTGGCGCAGGATGCTTAGGTGCCCCAAGTAAGGCGTAACAGAGTGTTTGGACCACACGTTCCAGCCACGTTGCTGGTTGTGATTGATTGTATGGGGAGGGAAGGAGATGACTGTTCATTTGAATATCCTCAGAACCCAACTTCCTCGGTTTCATATTGAAATGCGACGCTCGTAGTCAGATTGGTCAAGCTGGGGGTGGAGATAAGAACGGCAAATGCAGGATGTATAGTGGTATGAAATGATAGACTACGGGCTTTGAGGCACCGAAGATAACTTTATAAGACTTGTATCAGTTTAAATAGACTGGTGTGGTGTGTGTAATTGGAAATGCCACCCGCGGCTGAAATCAAAACATTCTGATGCAAACATGTCAAACAATGGCCAGAAGATATATCGTTTGCGAAGCATACAGCTCTGCATTCGCCATCTACCCTATATTTAGAATGTTGAACGTGCCAGCTCATCTATAGCTGTGAGGCTACATGCACAGTGACCCAGGGATCAATAATTCACTGTTAAACATGTGTTTTAGACAACCTACCCGAGTATAGTCCACTAATATTATTAGCTTTCCACGATGGTATTTTTCAGGCCCCCAAACAACACGCTCAAGGCTGAGCGTGACCGGTTCAAACAGACACGGGTAGCTAAGCGAGACATTTTTGTACCCAGTACTTTTGTGACGAGCTCTCCTATCCCCTGACCTGAAAACGATACTGGTCATGGCGATCTAGAAACACTACTTTATGCGTTAAACCCGCCGCCTCGACGGCACGAAGGAAATCTTCTAGTGGACTCGCAAACACATCGTAGTCGTCGTAGTGAATCGGAATCGTGAGGTCTGGCTGTATCAGCCGAATCAATTGCAAACCTTGTTCTGCGTCCATGGTAACCATCAATGCTAGCGGCTTTATAAGTCTCCCAACAGACGGGGAGGGAATAGTAGTGCCCCCAAGGTGGGCGAGCATCAGGTCAATCTTGTGGCCTGCGTATCGTTTTGGGATTTCCTTGAGCTCGTCCACCATGAGTGTATCCCCCGATATGTAGATACGATAACCGCAGGAAAAGTCTGACATATTCGGTTCGCCGTGACCTAGTTCGAGCATCCAACCATTGGTTGGGGGAATCTGTTGTTTTGATAGTTCAGTCTCGATAAGACATAAAGAAAGTAAAAGCAAAGAAGAGGATATGTGTATACTTACGGCTCTGACTATATCATTAAATTTCTCCATAATTCCATTGGGAGGCACATGTTTGCCCGGCATCCCAATGACACGCAGTTGGGGTTGCTTTGAACCGTTCGCTCCCTCGATACCGACTCCGATCTTCTCAAAATGGTCGACCGAAAACACACTAGTAAATGGGTCCTCATTCCTACACTCGAGGTGCGCTTTTGCATGTGGCGTGGTGATAATGGGAAGATCTCGCCTCAAAGAGGCCTCAACCTCCTTATCAAAGTGATCCCTGACACAGTTAATCTTAGGTCTCTGCCAAATCACCTATATAGAGGCTCACTCATGATAGTGGGAGAGAAGTATTAAGTCGATTCGAGGGAGGTCGTGGAGGTCGACAGCTGGATTAGTCAGGCGTTCACTCGTCACACCTGGTCCGAGATGGACATGGTCGCCCGCGTGGAGGAAATTAGGCTAACAATGTCAGTCGATGAGCGTTAGAAATCTTATGAAGAGCTGACGTCAGTCATCAACCGGATACCGGCCCATTCGCTGTATCTATCAGCTTCTGCCAACGGATTGAGTTATTCTCAACATACATAATTGTTGTAGCGGTCCCTACGAAGAAAAGGGAAGCATTCTCCTCTCCTGCGTTGGATGGATGAACCTTGATCTCTTTGGCTGGAGGAAGTTGAGCAGAGAAAGTCGGGATTAGCATGTCACGGGTTGGAGCATGCTTCTTTCGTGGATCAATAGAAATGCTTTGCATCGTATTAGATTATTGAGGTATGTATTGTACAGACGCAAGCACCGCAGGACTTTGGCTACTATATAATCCTACGTGGAAATGACGTCACGGTAACAAAGAACAATACTTGTGTTAATACAGCTCTCAAGATTGATGACTAAGGTTTGTTGGGTTGTGATGAATTTATCATAATAAGCCTAATGATTGTATCGGCTGGGGTTCTGTAGTGCCTATTCCAGCTGGACCGCTTCTACTCCAGGTGACAAATTTATCACAACCTGAATCCCGTGGCTGGTGAGATTAGGTCACGCGGACGGAGAGGTATGCGGTGTCTTCTCAGCTAGTTTCTCATTTTGATCAGGAAACCAGCAATAGATTTGTATGTATAGCGCTTAGGTGTTGATCAGGTCATTTCTACGAATATTGTGCTTATTAGTGAGACGGTTGGTGTGCTCTCAGGCGTGCTTGACTTTACTCGGTGATCGAAAAGTAGCAAAGTGCGAGTACTTCAAGGTAATCTTCTGTGAGTTGGAATTTACTATAATTTTCCGCTCTTCGAGTTTCGTAAAGAAAGCGGCATTTTATCGCACGCTTCGTTGGATTTTCCCGCCATTCTCACAGGATATAGAAGCTCCGATAAGGCCGGCTTGGATTATGATTCTATTTTTGACCCAACCACGCTTAACAAAAGTCAATTTCGTAGGAAGATTTACCAAAGTATTAACCGCTAAGCAATACATCCAAATCATTTGCTCTTTTTGACACCTCCATTGTCTGCCTAGACTCGGCTGTATGAGGTTTCTCAATAGTTTTCGACGTTGTTTGCTCTAGGACTGGATTGAGCTGCTAGAGCTAGGAAATATAGATCTGATAGGCTAGGGAGGGGGATAGGGACCAAGTAGAATAGTCGATAAGACCTTAAATTACAGAAAAGCCTAAATAGCACGTCTTCATATATCAGTTTGTGGCTTTCTAGCCGGCTTTCCATTCGTACGATTTTCTGCACTCGGAATTTGTCATACCTCGCAGACCAACTATAACGGGTACCATACCGAATCATGCATTGGTCATGGCCTTCGAGCCATAGTATCCATGATGTCGTGAAACGTACAATCGAACCTTCTACTTGTCGTCATAATTACTCCCGATTCCTGACCGATATCCTCATGTATCTAAAACCTTGAGGTATGGATATCTTAAATATGGATCCTCCATTGAGGTCTAGTAATCAATTGATTTTAATGTTTCTCCCTCTCTTAACTTGACTACAGGATGCCAACTTGATAGAAGGTACGATCTCAAACATGCATTTATAAATAGCTTCAAATGAGATCCTACCTTTATGACATATGTCTGGATATTGAAGCAATGATATGAAGATAATCAAAGTGCAATCAATTTTTTCCTCGCATTCCTCGATAGCTCGTGCTTATGACTTCACATGTCGAGCTTAGTTCTAGACCAATATCTTGAATAACCGGTCGTCACAATACGTGGTTGCCACCGGCTTTGATTACGCACTTCATGCGTCAGAAAGGTGATACAACAAGTAGCGCGTCCAAGCTTTGACTATGTATGACTTGTCTGAATAACCGGTCCAGGATCACTTCCAGCGGGTATATATACCGGACTCCTCTCCCCCTTCATGGCAACACGACTTGAAACTCTTTACCCATATTCACAAATTACTAAACTAAAATCGAAATGTCGAACCGTGCCGAAAGAATCGCAGAGGATGATTATGAGAGAAAGAATGATGCTTCGCCTGTGACCGGAACTTTCACAGATAACTCATATAAAGAGAATCGCTCAAACCTGAAAGGTCAGGTTCCCGTCCAGGGAGACAATGAGCGATATGAAGATCCCATTCAACCTCCATACTCTAATACTGATCAGCAGTTAGGTAAGTCTAGGTTATTCTTCATCAACATTCTAGTATTCGGCCATTAACAAAACATAGAGGAGGACGAAAACGAGGCGATCGATAAGTCCAACATCTTGAGGGGAGACCGCCTCCGCCATGCAAAGCCTCGAACTTCGAACAAGTACAATGAGGGGCCAGAGGAGGATGATTTGCCGGCCGAAGAATGATTCGCAATCGTTCTTTTCCTATCAGTCTTTACTGGACACCAAAACCCGAACTGCCTTTTTTGATAAAACTTAACAAATAACATTAAAAGCTCAAATTTGTGCTTTACTGGAGCCCCGTAGAGAATATGGTTTTAAGGTCATCTAGAGGCAGTATTAAGATCGGCTTATTGAGTGAAACGCGTAATTTGTGGAATTTTATTAAGATTAAAAAGACCAACTTGTGAAATCTTTTGGCAAAGTTCGCTAAAAGAACTGACCTTTAGCAGTCACTCACTCTCATTAACTTCCTTGCTTAGGGTGGCGATTAACATATTGCCGCCCAGTGGTCCTGGTTAAAATTGATCTTCAAGTCGTAGGGTTGCTTGTACCATGGATCGGCTACGTAAATATTATAACGCATCTATCTCTATTGTCACTATTGCTTCATACTTCGTACAGAATGGTCATGGACGTTGTGCAGCGGTGGGAACTTGATTTGCGCTAAATAGGACCGGTAGTTCAAGTAAGGTTCGACAAACCACTAGAAACCTGGCGTGCTAGCGCAAAGCTTCTGGAAAGGTCAATGTAATAAGTGGCACCTCTATCCGATGGCCTCTGCTAACAAAATATCGTCAAGAAAATTGACAAGGATGGCTATACGACCTGAAAATATATATGCACTTATACATAAACAAAATTATGGAATATTCATGCAGATTACATATACTCCAGGCTTACCAGCGTTTCATTTAGATATTCCTGCTCCCCGCAGAAGAGATTGGGGGCTAGGTGCCTGTCAATTTCGGGTGCATCTTCTACTGGGATTGTGAACGAAGGAGCTTTAAGCAGCTGCACTCCGTATGCCTAGCCATGGGAAATGGAGGGCTTTACTAATGGGGTTCCTACTTCAGGTAGGCAAGCAGGGCTTTGGATATCGTATCAATTCTGGCCTCTAGGCTAGTGCTTCGGTCGATTGACAATCTGCTCGCCATTAGTGCAATAATGACCACCGGGCTGCGCGAACTGACATACCGATATTGACCGATTTGTCCTTTCTGCTCACAGATCTTGGCCACCTAATAGTGGCGACAAAGCCATGCCATCGTCCAGAAGCCGGTCGGGCCCCGTATTGGGCCATTGACCACTTTCACCTGCACACAGTTGGACTGGCCGTGAATGTCGGCCTATGAATTAGTTACCGGGAAACAACAACAAAAAGCCAGTTCAGTCGTAATATTCATGCGTATTCTGCCTATTTCTTTCAAGATTATTTTCTGCCCCCTTTTTTTTGGCCACCGGTCGGCCTATGGAAAGCTTCAGCACGAACTGCATAAAAGTCACAGTGACGTAACGGACCTACACGGGACGAGCCGTTCTGGTCTAGAGCATAAACACGAGACCAGAAAACTTGGCACTGATATTGCCTCAACAAGAGCTGATCATACTGCTCTGCAGCTTGTCAGAGCATGATCATTATGAATTCATTGATATTTTGCCGAAGACATCAAATCGACGTCAAGGGGGCTTCAGTAAGACTTACTCATGAAACAGGTCGAGCTTGGCGTCGCACATAAATACGCAGTGAATCTTCCCGGCAGTATTCCAATTTAATCAAGTCAATCACATAACGCTCCATACTATTTACTACACTACATACTTTATACATATCACCATGTCCGATAACCCCAACCCTGGTAATTTCGCCAACCGACCTCAGGAGGAGGTCGAGAATATTGCTCGGAAGGGTGGGCAGTCTAGCCACCAGGGCGGATTTGCTTCGATGGATCCCAACAAGCAGGTTAGTAAAAGTGTAAAAGTGTTCATTATATAACACACTACCGCTAACACTTGTTTAAAGAGGAACATTGCCTCGGAAGGCGGTCACGCTTCAAGTGGAAGCTTCCAGCCTGGAGACGAGAGAGCCAAGGAAGCAGGCCGAAAGGGAGGTCAATCATCCGGGCAGCCGGATGAATAGGGTGATCTTATCCTCATCGTGAAGGCATATTGCTATCACGACTCACAAGCTGCTAGCCATTCTTGTGGGTGAGAATATAAAACGGATGAAGTTTTACGCTGGCAGTGAGCCTAGTTCTAGCAACACATTCGTTTAAGGAATTCAAGTTTCGTCGTATTCAAGAACAATCTCCTTTTACATAGTAAAATTGGGACTTCTGGCCCACCGTTTGGTATAGAAACCTTCACATCACCCCGCCCCTCTTTATGTACTTGAAAAATTTACCACTGAAAACTCCTTCCCGGGAGCAGACTGTAATTGAAGTCTTCAAGTTCCTCAGCCGCGCAGTTCAATTCTCTAGGAAAAAGGACGAATTTCGATTTAAAGTGATAGATCGGGACAGGGTATCGAGGTCCTATCACTAGTAGGAGGAGATCAATCTATAGAAACACAGGTATTATTGTTTCATGATCTGCATTTACTATTATATTGTCCGTCGATACAATTTACAAAGCAGTTTGCATGTGAAAAGCCCTGGGTCAATGAGCGAGATTTCTTGATCTTGCTCCTACGGTATATTTATGCGGGAAAGAAACTTTTGGCGAGGAAATGGACTAGGTTTTGCTGGCATTATTAGGTCCATTGCCAAATTGACGCATTTCAAATACTCTAAGCGAAAAGAAATAGAAATGCGCCAACGCTAATAGACACTCTGTTTCTGAGTCTCCGCGCTTGGATTCCTAGGCGACTACAGGAGTTGGTGAAGGCCGAAAGGTCCCAAAGGCTTGCTGAGATCGCCAGCTGGCTGTTTCTCGTTGGGAACATATTGGTCCTAAGTAATGTGGATTGCGTTTCTCCCACTCTATCTGTCATGACACGTTGTAGGTGTGATGCCTGGACAGGTCTTAGCCTCAGAATCAATTTTCACCAGAACTATACAGTTCCCTCTCGTACCTGGCTACGAGACTGCTAGTGAAGTTGCGGCATTTGGTAATACCGTCCAAGACTTCACAAGATGGGATCACATTGTCGGCGAGAACTCCGAGCTATGTGGGCCGCTGCCACTACTGCCATCGGCGCAAGGAGCTGCTCTGTGAGAATTTCATTGCCCATGGCGTCGTGGTTGATGGAGTCTTTGCATAATATACCAAATATCCTGCGGATCGATTGTTTAAGTTCAAGAACTTAATCGACGCGAGGCCACTCTGATAGAACCTGGGTCTTGTGCGGCACACGGTCTGGACAGACTTGCACCACGCATGGGATCCAAGATTCTTTTGTTCGGTGCGGGTCTGAGGGGGCTTATGATGGCGCAGCTTCTCTGTTAGAATTGTGCCAAGCTATTTCTCCGCTGTTTTCTTCACTATAGCTTAATCACTGTCAAGGGGCCAATCAACGGTTAGTAATAAATATTCTTATTTCTATGTATAAAAAAATACAATTTAAGGTGCTTGCTACTTATATTATAAGCGCACTGGTAGAACTGCTCTTAGCAGGCCTAGACTTAACTTAGTGTATTTCTCTAACGGGAACAAGCGCGATTCTGACAGTTAAATGTTAAGACTAGGTTTCAATCGCCTCGAGGGAGGTTCTCTTCAACAACTCCGACATACTCTCAGATCAAGGAAAATAAAGGTCTTGGTGCCTGAGGCTCAAGCTGCAAGCCACAAGCGGTCCACCGGCATAGTAGTTCCTACATGGAAGGACAATGACCGAACCAGAAGCCGAACCAGAGGCATTCTATAGAAAGCTGTCAAATATGTAGTAATAAGTTCCGACTCCACCGCCCTCATTTCGGTAAGTGCGGCGACTGAAGCTACAAAGAGAAATATTCCCCGCGAGCGGATGCGGGGGATCATGCAGCTCCCCCTCAATTTGGCCTTTGCGATGTTCCGTGAGGGGCAGAATTACAGTGTTTTGAGTTGATTTGAGCGCGACAATGGCCTTGGGTCCAATGGAGCAAGAGCGAGACAGGGTTGCGCCAATTTTCTACAAATACACCAGTGCCCCGCTGACCTCCGCTGAAATCTAATTGTCATCTCATATCCAAATTAATACACAATGGCTTCAGCTACTACTATGAAGGCACTGAACTACCTCGGACCTTACCAGGTGCGGGTAGAAGATGTTGAGAAGCCGAAGATGGAACATCCTGACGATATTATTGTCAAGGTTACCACAGTCAGTCCTCGACCAAGCTGAAATTGAGACGCGAAATAAACTGACTTGAATTTGAGGCTGCGATTTGTGGCTCCGACTTGCAGTAAGCAATGTCACTGCACGAGAATAATATGATCATGTCGCGTGAAATTAACCGAGCAATAGCATGTATGAAGGACGAACAGCTGCTGAGCCAGGAATCACTTTCGGTAAGATCTGGTTAAGCCGAAGGGTCATGAGAATTACTGAACAGGAGTCAGGCCACGAGAACATGGGAATTGTTGAGGAGTTGGGTGAAGGTGTGACGTTGTTGAAGAAAGGTGATCGCGTTGTTATGCCCTTCAACGTCGCCGATGGTCGGTGTCGCAACTGCGAGGAGGGAAGAACCGCTTTCTGTACTGGTGTGAACCCTGGTTTTGCTGGCGGAGCTTATGGTAGGATATGTGGATATAATGGTGTGTTCCTAGGCTAAACACTCGCAGGTTACGTCGCGATGGGTCCTTACCGAGGAGGTATGCGCTTTCCACAAACTTCAGACGATGCGCCTGGAATGCTGATCTGATCTTTTGTTTTTTTTTTTACAGGGCAAGCACAATACATTCGAGTTCCCTATGCAGACTTCAACGCCCTCAAGCTACCTCCGGGTAAGGAGCATGAGGCGGACTTCGTTCTTCTTGCAGGCGAGTACCGACCTCTCTTATGCGCTACCGCTTCGAGTTCCTTTTACTAACAATTATCTTAGATATCTTCCCCACCGGTACGCGTGACCCCACCATTTCCTTTCAGCTGATCCCCCTCTAATACACACTCTATAGGCTGGCACGGTGTCGAAATCTCTGGCTTTCAAGCAGGAGAGAGTATTGCAGTCTTTGGGGCTGGACCAGTCGGACTCATGGCAGCTTACTCGGCTGCGTTGAGGGGAGCGTCCAACATCTACGTCGTCGATCGTGTGGCCGAACGGCTGGACGCAGCCAAGAACATCGGTGCTATTCCCATCGATTTCACAAAAGGAGATGCCGTCGACCAGATCATCGCTCACAACGGGGGAATGGTTGATCGATCGGTGGATGCTGTTGGATACCAGGCTGTCGACTCCAACGGATCTGCCGAGAAGGCGAACATTGTTCTTGAAAACATGATTCGCGTGACGAGAGCCTGTGGAGGCATGGGCATTCCTGGACTCTACGTTCCTAGGTATGGTATTATCACAAACGTATATCGCTGCAATGCTCTAACAATATTCCCCACTTCCAGCGATCCCGGTGCTTCTGATGCTGCCACTGCAAATGGAATGATTAGTCTGAGCTTCGGAAAGCTGTTCGAAAAGGTACCTGTTTGTCTGACTTCAATCCCCTCAAATTACTAACATTTTATACACAGGGTTTATCCCTCGGCACTGGACAGTGCAATGTGAAGGCTTATAACCGATACCTCCGGGATATGATCATTGCCGGCAAGGCCAAGCCAAGCTTCGTGATTTCACACGAGATTGCACTTGCTGACGCTGAGACCGCCTATGAGAAGTTCGACAAAAGGGAAGATGGATACACGAAGGTCATCATTCACCCCAACGGTGGATTTTGATCTGTCATAAGTAAATCCTTATATACCGCCATAATAAAAATTGATTTGTGGTTGCCTTCGCCTGGAATATGATCAGACATATGACTCCCATGCCTCTACACTCACTGGCGTAAACGAACACGTAGCGTCGACTAGGAAGATTTGACTTTGCGACTGAAGCTGCCCTCCATATTGTAGAAGTTGAAAGGCACGCCCACACACACACACATACACACATACATTCGAAAGATAAAGCTAAAGGTGGCCGGCGATGCGCACGCGAAACTCCCAAGTCCCCCTCATACAATGTGTCAGAAAAAGGTCGGAACAACTCCGATACAAACAAAGACATGACGAAATCATTCACATTCATCCCTCCTTCATTAACAAGTCAACAATCATAATGCGAGCCCAGTGGGATGTTCAACAACACCATCCCCGCATCTCCAGCAGACTTCGTGGGGGCCTATCCCTAAAGAGCATTCTTCGCCGCAAATTGATCAAGCTTGGCATAGGCACTCTTTAATGGAGATCGCCCCCGAAGTGTGAGCCAATAAGCATGTCCAGTTGTCGATTTGGGTGGGCCACACGGGGACGGGGAACATTCCCTATTTTGGTCGCAGCGGAACTGATCTTCGATGCGGAGAAGCTATGGCGCAAGCGTACAAGCAATCATGAAAAATATATAGTATTCCATAATCCTGTTCGACCTTAGCTCCAAAATCAATTCTCAGCTGTTCAGCCACGCTATTTCCTACGCAACCATGAGAATTGACCGTTTTCGCTCCGCCTGGGGAATTGCCCCGGGGTCTAACTTGGACAATTGGGCTCAGATTTTCCCGCAATTGAAAGCGCATGGATACAGTATGTCAATTGGCACCCAGAACCTGACTGGGATCATTACAGTAGGACTTTGAACTAACGATACGTGATTAACAAAGGTGGCGTTGAAGTAGATATCCACCCACTGGAACCAAGCAGGGACTTCCCGCGACTGAAGGAAATTTGTGACCAGACTGGCCTTGAAATTGGGTTGATGTGAGTATCTAAATTCAAGATGTCACACAAGAAGAGTGTGACTAATTAGCGCTGAACAGGATTCACTCGTCCTGGTTCCAATATCTCGGTCCTCGCCCGGCAAACACAAAAGCAGACCACCATCTGACAAACTACCGAAACCTCCTCCAATTGGTCCAACAATTGAAGCCCTCGTATATGAACTTCCAATCTGGAGAGTGAGTATGCACTTTATTCAAGCATGGATGTCGCATCTCTCACACCTCAATCTAGGGATCTTTGGGATGTGGAAGAGTCTATTAAATTCTACAAGGGCACGCTAGATATTGACAAGGAGCTCGGAGTCTTCGGTCGAGTGTGGCATGAAACACACCGCAACCGATCCCTTTTCACACCGTATGCCACACGGCGCATCCTAGAAGCTGTTCCGGAGTATGCGAATACTTAACTGCAACCATTAACTTACAGATGAAGCAAATTGCTAACTGACAAGACAGGCTCCGAATTAACGCCGATTTCTCCCACTGGATGGTTGGATGTGAGAGAGTCCTAGATGTCAGCGAGGGCGACAAGATAATGATGAACGCAATCATTCCACACGTAGGAAACCACAAAGGCAATAACAATAAAACACGCTAACAATAGGTTAGGTGTACCACATCCACGCACGAATCGGAACAACACAAGCATCGCAATGCCCGGAGCCTACCAACCCCGTCTTTAAAGAAGAGAGGGAATGCTTCGAGAGAATCTGGAAACAAGTTATCCAGACTCGGGCCAAAGACTCTGGTCCGGATTCGAGACTTATTTTTGTTCCGGAATATGGGTGAGTGGATTTCTAGATGATATTGTGTTGATGTTAACCGTTCTCAGACCATTCCCGTATCATCCGATCGGCAGCGCTAAGACTCATGGCGAGGTTGCGGATGAGGAGGGTAAACGTTTGGAGGTTTTGTTTAGGGAGTATGCTGGAAGTTTGGCTGACGCTTGATTGCTTTGAAGTGTGAGTGATATCAGTGAACTGGGTGTTGGAAATATGTTGGAAAATCATTATACATAACGTCAGCAACAGAAATTTATAAAGTATAAGAGATATCACACGTAAGTGTATATGAAGGGTATAGATTCTTCCCACGTTTTTGCGGCTGATTGAAAGATGACTGATACAGTAGTTTGCTTAGAGTTCTGCGTGGTTGCAAATTCACTCCGGCGCTAGTACGAATCCTGCTCTACAGTTTGAGTCCCCCGTTCATGTGGCCATTGGAGATAATTAACCCACAGATGACACTTTACTGTTTTTGAAAAATGCAAACAAGAAAATGCAAGTCTCCATTGCACTACGGAACGTATCAAGCTATACCATTAGTCTAGCTTGAAGTGCCACGGTATGTAGTACAGTATGGCTCTGGAAAAGGGGCTAAGCATCGTCCCAAAGCCGTTTAGCCGCCCCCACATGCTAAATTGCTTCACCGTGAAGTTGATCAATAGGTCAGGTTTCAGATACCAGATTAGAGTCACCTTTCCAAGACAAAATTAGTGCCAGACGTCCCAGCAAAAAGCGGGCGACCATGGGCGAGGCTCCATAGAGTGCCTTCTACAGTGGTGGCGAGCGTGCACGTGATCCCCAAGACGAGCGAGATCGGCTGTCAGCTGTCAGCATAGGCAAGCAACTGCAAGTCAATGCCTCAATATCGCGTGTTGACATGAGAACCCCAACTTATAAGGGGGTTGTGACGGAAACGTGGGCGATTTGAGTGTTCGGCCTATCCGAAGCTGCGCCACGCCAAGTGTGCAAACCCTGCAAACCTTATACAACGCAAACTTGAAACGCGCCTCTTCTGAGTTGTCACTTGTCTGAGTCCGAGTTTAATATACAGGACGACTCAGAAACCGATTACGATGCTTCTGGGTTGCCCTGTCGATCTCTGGGCCTAACTCGTCCACTGGGGAAGGGAAAATGACCGAGCCACGAGATGGCTCGGAGAATTCAAGCATTCCACCAACGCAAGAAAAGAAGTATTGGGTCCCAACCTCGTTGCGGCGTCCATATCTTTTCACCGTTGCTGCTCTCTTCTTGTCCATGTCAATTGCGATCGAAGCCATTCGCCAATATTCCAATCGTCACCAGGGTCTCGTTCGTCTCTTCTCTTACACGGAACTGGCCAATTTCTCCACAAGGCTCCCCACGTACTTGCCAACAGCATTCGCTGTGCTAGCAATGACACTATGGAACATATGTTCCCTCGACGTGCTGCGGCTGGAGCCGTACTTTCAATTGGCCAACCCGAAGGGAGCCCCCGGGACAGTGCTGTTCACCAACTATTGCTATTTCTTCGGCATTTTGGCTCCGATAACGGCGATGCGAAATCGTCATTGGATTGTGGTCTTCGTCTCATCTACTGCGATGATACTAAGAATGGTTCTGCCGTCCCTAATGTCAGGGCTTGTGGCCCTTGAGGAGAATGACATGGTTTCCTTACAGCCTGTTTATACCTGGCCCAGTTTGGTCAACCTGGAAAACCAGAATGATTGGCTGGCAGAAGACAGACATCATTCCAGAAACCGAACGGAGTTTCACGCAGACACCTTTTTCTTTTATCGAACTCTCGAATACGCCACACCACCCATCTCGAGGCCAGTAGATTGGGAATATCGTTCGACTTGGCAATTGAATCAGCCAGCTTACTGGGCCAATTTGAGCTGTACGGAGGTAACGTTGGAAGACATTGTTCCTCATACGTGGAATATATCCAACTCGACCAATGCTGCTTCCAAGGACGGCTCAGCAGCAGCCTTGACCTGGAACATACGCAACGTTCAACTCGAAAATGCTCCCGAGTGCAAATTGGATGTTTCCCTGAATAGCTCCTTTCCAGATCATAAAGGATCGTTCCAGCTGCGACACTGGGAGCCTCTTGATCCTGATAATACTACCAACTCAACATCGACCTTGAATCTCACCGGGTGCGAGTCGTTTTCACTGATAGGCCTCGCTATCAATCTAAACACTATATCATCGGAGGGTTTAGTATCCAATGCTACGGTTTTCGGATGTCGGAGCGCATATATGCACGCGATGGCGGAGATCTCGCTCCCCGCAAATACCTCTGTCGCCACTATTACAAACGTTTCTAAAACGAAGACCAACATGACCTCATCAGATATCAGCATAACTGCCCTCGAAAACAATTTTTTTACGAGATACCGGCGTGGAAATCTTCGATTGTTGGGTCCCGGGTACCAACATTCCAGTTCTGACTTGACTGGATCGACTGACCTGAATGGCACGTTGATCAGCCTGCTGAAGCCCCTGACAATTGGCGACTATCAGCAAGAGATTCGCCACCTTTGGAACCGACATTTCACTATCTCGATGAATAAATTCTTCAACACCACAGCTTCCCCGATGCAGATCAAGGCAAAGCAAACCACCCGTAGGATTGTTTATAGCGTGAGCTCTCATTCTGCCATAGTCGCGGAATCCATTCTTCTGGCATCGTGTGTCTTGCTCATTTTCATGTCCTTCATGTACCAACGTCGACCCAATTTCCTGCAAGCCGACCCCGGCTCTATCGGGGCGCAATGCGCCATCATCACAGACATGTTTACTTCGACAAACCCAGTGATCAAATCCGATATCGACTTTCACACGGCTACCCCGCGACAGCTCCGCCGATTTGCCAGATCGCTATGGTGCCGATGGACTGATGGGCCAGAGGGAAGACAGATAGACATCATCCCGCACCAAGGGGATGTTGCATCTTCGAATCCACGTACTTCTCGGCTACGAGGACTTGCTCGAGCTCAACGTCCAGCAAGGCCAGCACGGCGACCAAGGGCTAATGCGAAGCCTCATTTCGTGAAGACGCCGTGGTTCTTACTCGAATGCATAACAATAGCGGGGGTTCTTGCTGCATTCGGAGCGTCTTTCCAATTCATTCATCTGGACAAGCTCGACTTACCTACCACTGGGGCGACAATCCTCTATCTATATTTGATATACGGACCCACCGTCATAGCCTCAATTATCAGCTCCCTCTTCATCTCAGTCCATCGTCATTTGAGTAACTTGGAGCCTTGGGTCCAACTGAAGGAGGGCATGGCCTCAGCACGAAAATCTCTGACTGTGAACTATGGCTCCAAAACACCTATCACGATCTGGAAACAGTTTCGCTCAAACGCACCTCCTGTTTTAGTCTTGCTGTCCTCGGTCTGTTTGGTAGATTTTTTCTTGACCGTTGTCAGCAGTGGAATGTTCGAACCAACAGTCTATCACTGGTTTGAACTTACGACGGACTTGACGCCCCGATATAACCACTCTCACTTCTTTAGCCCTGACGTCAGGGTGGATTTTCACGGTTATAACCTGATCAAAGATACTTTGTCCACCAACCATTCTATATTGGCGTGGACAACCACCAATACCTCTTATTTTCCCTTTGAAATTCGACAAGACGACGAGTACCTGGATTGGAAGATGTACACAGCCCGAACACGTGGTATTGGCGTCAACCTTCAATGCGCGGAAATCTCTTCCAGCAACTCACACATCGCTTCCGAAAATAGAACCTGGACCTATACTCTCTCTCAGAGTTCCGTTGATACGAACTGCAAAGTGGAGCTCCAACCAACTAGGCATCACCGTCATTCATCCAATGAATCAATCTTTTTGGTTGCACCGAAAGACTCAGATCTATCATGCCAGAAGTCTTTCGTGCTCGTGAGCTATGGAGCAGCAACAGCCATGGATACAAGTCTCTCCGCAAATCCAACCGCATTTCACTGCGAGCCAGAGATCCAGATCCAAGACTTTGATATCAATTTCGGCGCCGAGGGTTTGATCAAATCTTATTCGCCAATATCTGGCAGCATGATAACCGAAGGATTGATGTTCCAAAACGCGTCAGATAGTCTGGCGGCGTTCACGCAGGGCTTCACGCGACACCACCACGGATCAACACTCGTAACGAATGAAATATACGAAACCTCGAAACTACACTTCGCATCTCAAGACCAGACCGCTCTGCTGGGTGCCACCAAGCTCGTCTACCAATCAACTTTCAGCATGCACACATCACTTTGGCGTGATCTGTATCTTGATGCTCTGCCAAGCGAACCACGCGTAAACCCAGTGAATGCCACTGTCACGGCAGCAGTATGGGGAATCCCACCCTCGGACACGACAATTGTCATCATGATAATCATTCTATCCTTCGACTTCGCCGTTCTCATAGCCGTCTTCTGGCTACGACGCAAATACTACAACGGACCGCCTGTCCCTCGCTCGATCGGCTCTCTGATGCCATGGATTGCACACAGTCGCATGCTATCTGATATTCGGGGTACTGTGAACTGGAGCGAAACCGAACAGCGCGATCATCTTGACGCACTTGGACGGCGGTTCCGGTATGGACAATTCGGTTCTTCGGGTGAGGGTGGTGGAACGGGGAGGGTGGCTCTTGACTATGATGAAAAGGCCTCGGAAGATAGCCGGGGTGAGGAGTATGAAATGGATGACGCGTCTGGCTTGGGTTTCTCTTGTCCAGGACATCCCTTGGAGGTGTCATTGGCTGCAGTGGGATCCGAGTCGACGCTTGTAAATACACGTACTACTGCACATAGTACCTGAGTATTTTCAGGATTAATGAATTATGACAACTATGACTTCAGATTTTGCATTGCTGCGACTATGTATTTACCTCCGTCATTGGATCTTGAACGCTGGGGCCACCAGGCCTCCCATCAACCGCTGCGCTAGCTTGTGAAACCGGCGAACAGACCCTCCTTTATTTCCAAAGGGGAAAAACAGAAAGGTAAAGGATGGAAGTAACGGTGAAAAGCAAGTGGTATTAGTATCAATTCCGATTGGCTATACTTAAGTTGACTTGTTTAGCTCCAGACTTTCTTTCCTTGGCGGTTACTAAACCGCCAGATAGTACATTTTGGTTGAATGGACTGAATATCAAACAGCGTCTACTGGTATGTGTCTGCGTAAATACATATCTCCTTCCATTTTTGTTCAGCACCCTGAAGGTCAAATAGAATGGCAGGCTTGATACTCCTTACAATAGGATCCTGTTTGTGCCATTTACTGGTGAGAGCAATCAGTCAGATCCGTCAGACTCATCGAACTGATTACAGCGAGGACAATCATCGCACCCAGCAGACGGACGCGGGCCCCGTGCAACGCGGAAACCAGCGACCCCGTCGTTTGCCAGTTGAGCGACAAGCCCGTACTCCCAGTCAAGATACCCTTGCATATTCTCGCGAGCGTTGCCTGTACCCTCGTATGGTCTTTTATAGACATCGATTGGCTCGGAAAGCCACCGCGACTCGGTCTCGAGGGGATGGCCAGATGCCGCCCAAGCCTCCGTTCCTCCTTCCAAATACAAGACTCGTTGTCTGACCGAATGCCGTGCATCCTCAAGGTTCATGGCTGCAACAAAGCCATCTGGAGAAGTGAGCACAATAGGGTCATCACCCCTAATCTGTTTTAAATCTCGGACAAGTTCGGGTCCAGAAGCAAACCATGCTCCGGGGATATGACCTTTGCGGTAGGTAGGACTGCGAGCAACATCGACCACAGTCGCTCCTTGAAGGTCTCGAAGGGCGTCGACCGTAATACCATGACGCTTCGAAAAACGGAATGAAGGTGCCCTTGGCACTTCAAGCTCATCGGGATACTGGGAGTCTGGAAGAGAAAGTACATTCACCTCCCATCCCAGTTGAAGGAGCCAACTGGCTGTCATCCGTGCTCGAACAGTGTCCGTATCGTATACAATAACGAGAGCTCCTCGAACACCAATCCATTCGTCGGTGGCCTGTACCAGTTGACCACCAGGAGCATTAGTGAACCCGTCCAGGTGACGGAGGGCATACTCCTCGGGATCTCTCACGTCGAGCAGGTAGACAGTCCGGTCTTCCGCCAACCTAGCAAGATTACCAAGTTCGGTCATACCGATATTAACAATGCCAAGCTGACGGAACCAGCAGTTCGCGTGTCGAACCGCCTTACGCAATGCTTTAGCTGAAGGCTGCGGAGCCCGGTCCGTCTTCTTGGTGTCCAGCTTGAAACCCTCCAACGTCCACCCGATAGTCCCATTTCGGAGGGCAACCACCTTGTTGGGGACTTTGGCATTGATCAAAGACTGCGCACCAATGATACTGCGTGTTCTACCCGCACAATTGACCACAACTGTTGTTTTGGGAGAAGGTACAGTCTCGAAGAAGCGATACAGCAGTTCTCCTCCGGGACAGCTCCGGCCACCAGGGATGCTCATGGTATTAAACTCCTCCAACCGCCTGGCATCTAAAATAACAAGATCTTTTTGACTCTCCAAAGCCTCCTTTAACTCCCGCGCAGAAACGGATGGAGTGTGATTGATGGATTCGACAAGCTCGCCAAATGCTTTGGACGGCACACCGACATCGCGATACACGTCGCCAACAAGAGCATAGGCAGAAAGCCCACCTTCGAGGATGGATACATTTGTATACCCCATCGTTGAGATCCGGGATACAGCCCGCATATCATAGCCTTCGCCATTGTCATAGACAACAATCGGGGCAGCCAGTCGAGGAACCAATGCTGGCAGCTTGCTCTCGATCTCTGATACTGGCACGCTCACTGCGAAGAGAGGATGCGACTCGGCATATGGGCCTTCTTCGCGAACATCGAGGAGAGCAATTTCCTGTTTCATCACCCAGGCATGGCGCACATCATGTGGGTTTGTATATCTCGTCATTTAGAGGTTCGGATCCCGGAATAGGACACTTCAATGGCTGGAGATTTGAATTCTGAATTTCAAATCGGATAATGCGAATAGGCAAAGACGTTCAAAGTGAAGCTGAACAATGTCCACTCGGATGTTTTTTTTCGGGGCTATTCGGACGTTTTTGTCGTGGCCCCGCAAGACCTGGCAGCTCGCATTTAGGGGTTTGGACTGGCCACTTCTTGTTATATCTTGGTATATCTCTAAAAATGCGCCCAGTTGACTTAAGAAAAAGTATCGTGGGGAAAATTCAAATTGGAGGCATTGTCTATGTACTGGCGGAGTCCAAATGTTGCTTCTATACTCCTGACATTGTGCATGACGTGTTCACTTTTGACGTATAAGCATTATAGAGCATGAGCGATATTTATATAACTGCTATCCTATCTCTAATGGCAGATCCAGTGATTCTGATTCTCCTATAGACAACAAGCCACAATGTTTTACCCAAGAGGCATCTCCCGCTAGCTGTACAACCCCGCTCGAAGCTCGCCATCTCAGCAAAGAATGAGCGATCTCGGAATTCCACATCAGCTCCGGTTTGTTACATATTCCAGACATTCTCAACATAGTATGAATTCCAGACAGCGAAACTCCTGTGAAGCGTGCCGTAGGTTTATTTCCCGAAGTATGCGATAGATAGCTAATGATGGATAGGGGCTCGAAAGCTCAGATGCTCAGGCGAAAAGAGCGGCTGCTCTCGTTGCAGAGGCTTATCAATGGCTTGTAGATTCAAAGACAAAGGAGTCCCTGGAAGGCCGAGGAAGCGCGTGCGGCAAGAGCATCAAGACGGCCCTTCTCCGAATGGAGACCAGCGAACAGAATCGCCAAGTTCCTCAAGTCTCTCGCCTCACATACCTCGACCAGCCGTATCCCCCCAACAAGCAGTCAACCTGCTGATGGGTGCCGATGACTTCCAATCCTTACCATACGAGATGTCCGGAAACTGCGGATTTGATTCCTTCCATTGGGAGATGCTCGAGAACGGCAACATATTTTCAACGCCATTGGAGTCATGGCAGACTCTACAACAGAACGAAATAAGTGACCCTGAAATCCCAATAGCCCTCGGTGCATATGCATCTCCGGTGTCGCTCTCACAATCATGTAAATGCGACGAAGAGGTTTCGGACATAGTCCGGAACCTGAGTCGCGCGAATATATCGCACGATATCCTTCATATGCTTCGCACGGGATTGTCTCTCGCAGATAGGATACTTACCTGCCTTATCTGTTACGACGTGTCAAAGCCGCCTCGACTGACCGTTCAGAATGTGCTCCTCGTCGGTCAACTCATGTTCGGCGTAACAGCCGGCTACCAGAAATACCTGCGCTGGTTGAAGGAATATTGTTCTGAGCTGAGTATGAGGAATGAAACTGAAGCCGTCAGTCTTGGAACCGGGCTTGGACTTTCTTCAGGCCCAATTTTACAAATCAACGGCGAGAAATTCCACGAGCTCGTTATCCATGGCCTTCAGACTGATGCGAAACGACTTCTAGCGCTGGGAGAAAAGTTTGCTCTGCGGCAACGCAATCGTCATTTGGTTGGCCACGAAACTTGCCCCGGTCTCGAAGGTGGTTGTCGGAAGAAAGAGGATGCGCTGAACTACGATCCGCTCGACCTCTGTCCGCAAGATCCCGTGGCACGGAAATTGGTGCCGTGCTTTCGTATTGTTGAGGAGGTTCGAGGGATGATAAAGCATGTTGCAGAAGCCCTTGTGTGATACCCATATTATGACTTGTTATCTACAAGTGATCCTGAAGTGCATAGCTTGAGCTACTGTCTATTTTGTGCATTTTGCAGGGCGTGAAAAATTATTCTATGATTCTGGAACTAATCCCCATCTAAAGCATGGATCTCTTTCGAGCAATATCTATTAATCGAAGTATTTAATAAATCTAGCACTGACACTTCGATGCCATACTATGACAGCCATTCGCTTTAGGCTTTCCACTAGGTGAGGGAATATTCCCAAGCCTACAGAAACATGAAGATGTGATTTCAACATCCGCCTCCACAAGAGCGAGAGCAAGTTGTTTCTTGATAATGGTTGCCTCCGCATAACGACCCAAAAGTTCAAGGCATTCGTGATAACCATGGAGAGCCCAGACGTTATTTGGGTGTTGGTGGGCACGTTTAGGTGTTGGGAAAAGTCCCAAATCTTCAGCATATGCTTGTGCAGCCCGTTCAACTTTCCCCTGCTCCAGCGAGAGAGCTGCGTATGCATGCCTTGCTGGAAGCATCCATCCCCATGGCTCCGCAAAGGGGAGTTCATCTTCCAAAGTAATTGCTTCCCATAGGCTGCGAAACGCTGTCTCATAATTGCCTCGCCTGTATTCGATTTCGCCATCCAGCATAGCAGATGCTACCTTGAGAATGTCAATGATTTTGTTCGGGAAATCGAGGCGCGTAGGTGGGACAAGCTTGGAAGCGGCTTTGAAAAGGTCCCGCTCTTTGTCGGCTTCTTCAAGCTGCGATGTGGCGGCGTACGCAATGGCCTTTCCATAGTGTCTCATGACATTTGTGACACAATACAAGTGCTTGTCATCAAGGGGGTCGAGCTTTTTGAGGTCCTCCCACATTCCAAAGCGAATGAGTACATGAACTCTAACAGCCTTGAAGAACTCCATCCAGTTTGCGAGCGCAGGCGTTTCTACCCGAAGAATCTCTTCCGTGATAGTGGCTTCCATTCGGTCTGCCGCCGACAAGGCTGCCTTGGATTTCCCACCTAGCATGGCGGCATAAATGAGAGAATGGTAGTCATGAAGTCGATAGTAGCTATAAAATGTCAAGCCCCCATTCTGTTTAAAGAATTTATCATCTGCGATAGTCGCCTTTAAATTGTATTCGACTGCGCGACGATAATCGCCCACGAGAACATCGATATGGGCTGGCATGTGGAATGTATGGCCGGTGTCGGGGAATATTTCGCGGATCATTTCTGCCGCAGGCAAAGCAGCCTCAGGGGTTGCCGACATTTCCATCAGGTGGATGTACATGTGCGCGGGCCCTGGATGCCGTTCAACCCCTGGCATTTTCAGAGCCTGTTCAAGCAAATCTTTCACTTCAAATACCGGGGACGAGGCTATCGGGAGCCCCGTGGGGGCGTCGTAAAGCTTTCGTGGGGCGCAATTCATCAATGCATCAGCGAAGAGTGTGATAATGTCGAAATCGTCGCGACCGAGTGTTAAGTATACATCTCTCATGGACTCGGCGTATGCTTTGTTACATGCGCCCAGATCCCTACTCGGGTCATCGTTGGGGTATCGTTTCGTGAGAGCTTCGATGAGTGCCTGCTCCCAATCCGATGCATGGTTTACCCGCTTCAGAGCCTCTTGCGAAAATATATAACACTGCTTGATCGCATTTATCCGGTCCCTTTCGTCAAACAATGCCCATGTTTTGTTGTAGTTGGAGCCGGAGCAGAAGGATACCCCCCAATAGGCCATCGCGCAGTTCTCATCGTGCGCAATTGCCTGCCGGTAGCAAGTAATTGCTTCATCATGGTTGAAGCAATATGTCCAGACAAGCGCTCGGTCGAACCATATCTGAGCCTCGTGGGAACTGGTGGTTACCTTGCGAGTCAATGTTCCCAGATCGAAGTAGGGGTCGCTGGAAGCTCGTGCGGGCGGTTGAGGTTCAGCAGAGTCCATCTTTGGAGCTATATCAGCCGAGTGCCGAGGATATCAAAAATTTTGTGTTCCTAATATGCGAAAGGGATGTCGAATACCAGAAGTCACATGAGTAACGCCCAACATCTGGTGGTTTCTATGGACTCGGATGGTTTCCAATAGGGCCGTGAGGATTGCGTGATTTGATTGGTCCCTCGGACCTTTTTTTTGGCAATGTCGGATATTTAACGTTCAGGTAAGGATCAACAATTGAGAAAGAGTGAAAAATGATCGCGAATTTCTCATTTAGAGCTGGATCAGGGACACTCGGGTGACTGGGAGATGGCTGGACAAGCAAGAATATATCAAAATGAGAATTGAAGCTAAACAAGCCAACGTCGCCATAATATATTGTTCAAGTACTAAAGACGAATCCGTTACAGCTAACGTTAGATCGCGTTGACTACATGTGATAGTTTAGAAAAAGGAGTAGATACGGGGCTAAGTATGTAAAAATAGCTCTATCGCAAGGCTCTAGCCCCCACTCTACCTCAATGAGTCTTCAAGTCATGGTCCACAACATCTTCCAGAATCGTCTCGCCCCTTTTCTCTGCCGCAATTTTGGCAAGCTTTAGGCGTCTAGTATCACGCTCCGTGTCCCAAGTTACCCACCATGTTATCAACGTCAAAATCGAGCAAAGACCTACTAGACCCATGGCCACGGAGAAAGGCACTGTATAGTGTGGTGCGTATTTGCTGTTGAACAACTGCGGACCGATGGCACCTCCAATTTGGCCGTAGCTGTTCACGAACCCAATAGAAAACGCAGATCCCGTCGCTCGTGAAGTGGTTTGCACGCGCCATGGCCTAATTCAACATTGTCAGCTATGCATGAAGACCCGGAGCCGGTGAAGCTAGAAATAACGAACCACATCACTGGGAACCATCCAGCATGTAGGGCATTTCCAACCAGCGTCACGGCGTACACAGCGCCGGTACTCGGATATGCCACAAAGACGCCGTAACAGATTATGATCACGACAAGGAAAGAAAGTGGGTACAATGGTCGGGGTATACGACTGCGGTCTGCTGCGATGCCTGTGACCGCAATGAATAAGAGTCCACAAACTGTAATTGGGATATTGAGGAGCTGTGCTTGAGCAACGGTCCTGCGACATAGTCAGCCATGCTCGTTGAAGTCGCCGTTACCCTTTCAACGGTCCGGTAACTATAGCACTTACGTGTAACCAAGATTCGCGATCACAGTCGATTGGTAGAAAGTCACACCGTTAGTTCCAACTGTGAAGGTAGCCCAAATCAATGTAAATAGCCACAATCTCACATCCTTCACTGACTCGATGACTTCACGGAATTTGAAGTTTTGCTCGTTGGCGCGAGGAGCATTAGCTGGCAGTCGAGCTTGGATGAACTTCTTCTCTCTCTCAGTCAACCATTTCGCTGTCTCAGGAACTAAATTGTAATTTCTCATATTAATATTGAGGTCGCAGGTAAAAGGTTGCGCATTGTGAGTGCAACAAAGGGTCCTTACAGTCAGGGAGGAGGAAGGCGATGGCAACACCAAAGATCACGGTCGCAATACCCTCCGTGAGAAACAACCTGAAGATGTTTAGCATCAATCCAAGCATAGGGGCTGTACTAATGGGTTACCATTGCCATCCGGAAAGTCCTGCTGCGCCAGACACGGTGTCAAACCCGTAGGCAAGAAGACCGCCGAAGATACCTGAGATGTTTCCGCAAATGTCTGTTTATTTAGCGTTAGTAGGATTCCAGGTACCACCGCTGAGTATTGGTGTCTTACAAAAATAGAGCAGTCGCAAGGACATCTCATCTGGTCGATACCAATATGTCATCTGGAGAATAACACCGGGGAACTGTCCAGCTTCGGCCTATATTGGTGTCAGTAAAGATCACAGCTGGACTTAAGATCATGTCTTGAAATCTGCTTGAAATCTTGACGCTTGCTCCCACTCATGGAGACGTACCAGGCCCAGCAAGAATCGTGTAGTGTATAATCCTCCTTTGTTTTTCACGGCAGCATTGCACATCAGAGCGATACCCCAGCTAATCATAATCCTGGACTGCCATTTTGAAGGAGAGAATCTCTTTAGTAGGAGGTTTGAGGGTGCTTCTAACACAATATATGGGACCTGAGACGTCCATTATTAGCACAAGGTCGTGGCACATTGGTCGGGTCTGGGTCAATGTACATAGTAGAGAACTGTCACAAGATTGTACTCGTTAGATGTGATTCCGAGCTGTGTCATAATATTCTGGTCTGTTCCCTTATTCATGATCCGAGCGTTGGACGTCTGTCAAGCGGTAAGTCACATTGTACCGAAATGAGGAGACGAATGACAATACGCACATTGTTGCCGTCCAAATTTTTAAACATGAAAATAAGTGAGCAGAGTGTCATCAATCGCCAGTCAATTTTCTGCAGCAGCTTCTTCTCTTCTTGTGCTGTGAGCAGTGTCCTGCCACTCATCAGATCCGGGTCGTAGCCATCGATACTTTCTTGGCTCGATGAAGCTTCTGCGAGAGCCTCGCCGCGTCTGACAAAATGAAGTTCATGACCGATGCCACTGTCAGTGGTCGAGACAAGATCAGTCGCGGTTGTCCTACCAAACTCTTTGGATATAACCGGCTCGGGCGCTTTGTCTGACATGGTCAATGTATTAAGAAATTCTTGTTGACAGACCGTGTTGGAATGCAGCAGTCATTCCGAGATATGCGGGTCTCTATTTCTATTTGGATAGTCCGGAAACCTTCCGAAAATAATATAAAAGTCAATGCCAAGTTAAAAGGTCGTAGCCTCAGACACATTGTATCATCTAGGCCATAGATTGCGCATACTATGGCCTAGATGATACTACATTACCTGATACGTATACAAACAACCTTATCTCAACCTTCACATAGGCATGCGATGTTTGTGAAAAGTACGTTCAATTGGTATCGCACCTTATAAAATTGTGAGCATCTATATATCTTTTAACTATCGCTGGGTCGCCTTCATTTAAATCTCTCTAGCAGCGGTGAGCCACTTAAATCTGCTTGCTGGATACATTTCTCTGTTGGTCAGCAGGCAAAATAATACTGACAATTCTGTGATTTTGCAAGGGGGTGGTCTGTGAAGTCGTCGGTTGGACAGTGCTTACAGTTGTCGATCACGCAAACGGAGGATAACATGATGAGATATTGACTCCACGCTGCGGAAGCGGAGATACGCCGAGAAATACGCCAAAGCTCGAAGTGGGTTTGCACATCAACCACGAGGGTTCTTTTATGAGCAGCCAAAAATTGCCCGATTGGAGTAGGCTCTTGAAGAAAATCATTTGTCAATCCTGAGTTTACTGCCAAGCCATCAGCACTGAAGCTTTGATAAAAACCCGCATCTCTCATAGACCCGAATTTAATGCAAGGCACTTTCTCTACAATAAAACTGTCTTCCTCAATTTGATTGTTATAATATCTTCTCTTGTGAATTTGTTCTGATATTTCGCCATGGCAGCGTCGGCTCAAACCCCGACTCTAACTGCGACAGGCAGTGGAATTCCAACGTATCACCAGGTCCAGGAGACCTCGTTCGACTGTAAGTTTACATATTGTTCGCTAATGGGCAAACACGGCCCGAAGTATACTGGTAATGATTAATGAGTCAATTGAATGTAGTGGACTGGGCGGACCTTGCCACGTTGGATCTATCTCAGTTTGACCAGCCTGGTGGTAAGAAGCTCTTAGCCACGCAGCTTTTCGACGCTATTCAAAATATTGGTCAGTAGTGCAAATGTTACCTTGTAGTGCTTTTAATGCTTATAGTCTTTAGGCTTCTTTTATATCACCAACTTCGGCTTGTCGCAGGAAGATGTCGACCAACAATTTTCTATTGGTGAACAGATATTCAAGCTTCCAATAGAGGAGAAGCTCAAGTTTCGCGCGGAGCTAGAGAAAGGTGGCTACAATGGCTACAAGCCAATGGGTCTTCGGGTAAGCGGGAAAAAAACCAACAACGCCGTGTGAAGACAGCAACCTCTGACCTCACGATAAGGAAATTAGTCCAGGAGTCTTTGACAAGACGGAAATCTTCAATATTCCAAAATTCATCCCCGCCCTTGAACGTCCGCAGCCAGATATTGTGAACCAAAACCGTCCAATTATTGAGGGCTTTGCACGCCACATCCATGAAGAAGTTGTGCGCAAGCTTCTCATACTCTTGGCTATCATCCTCGAGCTCCCCGAAGACTATTTCCTTAAGGTGCACCGGTACGATAAATTGAGCGACTGTCACCTGCGGTACATGAAGTACCACCGTCGGAGCGAGGAGGAGAATGAGAAGGCCGCCGGTATCTGGTCCAAAGGCCACACCGACTTCGGCAGCCTGACATTGCTATTCCGACAGCCAGTTGCTGCGCTGCAGGTTCGCACCCCTGAGGGCGAGTGGAAGTGGGTGAAGCCCTACCCAGGGAGCATCACCGTAAATCTTGCCGACTCGCTCCAGTTCCTCACCAATGGATTTCTGAAAAGTAGCATACACCGAGTCGTCGCACCCCCGCCAGATCAGAGGGACATCGACCGTCTAGGTGTTTTGTACTTTGTTCGACCGGAGGATAATCTTGAGCTGCGTCCGGTGGTGAGTGAAGTACTGCACCGTTTGGGATATGATCAAGCGGCCGATCAAAGTGCGGTTGGCATTACTGCTGGCGAGTGGGTGAAGGCTAGAGTTGCCAAGGGAGTCGACAAAGGTGTGGCACGAAGTGAAGTTGGAGAGCAGCCCATTATTGGTGGAGTGGTAGCGAAGTATTATGATTGAAGTCGCGTTAATTTCCTTCCTACTGAATGGGATGTATTAATCACTTGCTTGTCCTCTCAAAATCATCTACCTGAACATATCTCTTTCCTGCTGCCAATTCAAAATCATTGAAATCGGAAACCAGGCAGTACGTCTTCTTGTGCAATCGGAGATGAATTTGCGCCAATACGTGAGGGCCTTCAGGAACTTTAATCGTTCGGACTGATGCGGGCGGTTAAGAGGCTTTACCACACACGGTGAGTGATAACAAAATCCCTCTGACTGGTCCTTGTCGTTTTGGCCTATCATGTATCAAATTTCCCGTAAATTGAACTTGACGGAAAGACAATGTGTAGGACCTGAAAATAACGTTAACGACAAAATCGTAGATAAGTCGGCTTGTTGTCGGAAAAAGCAAACGACTTTATGATTTCACGTCTGCCTACCCGTACTCAAGTCACATATCCTGTATGGCCATTTTATAAACACCCTCAAACGACCTGGACGTTCAGCTGTAGCGTGGGATATCAACATAAAACGTATGAAATGGCCTTTCAGCGCGACGCAAGTAGGAAATAGACAAGAAGGTCATTGGAGAGTATATGCCCAGATGAACCCCCTAAGCGAGAGAAGCGCATCTCCCATTCCCAAACAAGCAAATCAGGCGGAATCACGCTTCGCCCTACTTTGCTATTTATCGAGAACTCTAGGCATAGGCAGCCGGTACATTAATGGAAGCTGTTGAGAATCATGCTTACGAAGAGGCCTCGAAGACTGCATCCGTTGAGACAGAGACGTACTGGAACCAAAAGTGGCATGAATAGAGTGGGTCGATTGGTTTTATATAACCACTAGAATACGTCGAGAAGTTAAAATATTCTGTACGCCTTCTCACCAGACAACACCGTAGGCCTTCCCGGAGGGGGAACCACCAGCGTAGAGAGTGTTTAGGAAAGAGAAGCGACATTACTCTCCAGGGCCGGGAACGGAAAGAAACCCATGAAGGCCGAAGCCATCGAGTAACCTTCAGCAAGCCACATTGTGGAGCCCCAATTGATTTACATCGAAATGTAAACTGTAGATGGGGAGAAAAGAGAAAGGAGAAACGGGACGTTGGCGCGGGCCGAATATATTTGTTGAGAATTTCCGCGCTAGAGCCGATTGAGCCCGGAGCGGGATTCTTCCGGGGCGATCCAGGGTTTTCACTATAAACTGATAAACTCGAACATTAAAAGAAGAGATCATTAGCGCGACGTTTACCTAATACTGTAGGTTAGACATGCGTGGGGGTGTCTCGGATGTGGAGGATCTACTGGATAACAGTGGAACAGTGGAACTGAGCTTCATTTTATTACAGGCCGTAAGGATGAAACGCTGTACATTAGTAGAATTTTACGAAAATCCAGTACATACGACCACAGGGTGTGGAGAACAGGGCTTCCCGTCCGCTCAGCCGTACTTAAGCCACACGCCGGTAAGTTAGTAGTTAGGTGGGTGACCACTAGCGAATCCTTACTGTTGTATGTCCCCATTCATCAATTTTTTTTTCCTTTCGTTAGGAAAGTCCCTCTTGCCGCCCTACTCTTCAGCCCCTTCAGCCCACTCACCTGAATGCCCTGAACACCACTATTCTACACCTGAATATCCTGCATGTCCCTAAACCGCTGACGTGTCCTTCCCCTCCCATGCTACTTTTTCTCAGGCGCGTTATTTTGATCATAATTCTCTGGTACTAGTTTCTACCGGTTGGTATATGTCCTCCTTGGATTCAAATGACAGTAGGAAAGAAAAAGAAGAAGGGCCGCCTAGGAGAATCAAACTAGTTATTGAATATAATTCCGCTAGAGGTCACCCACCCTAGCACTAACTCACCGGCGAGTGGGTTAGTTGTTCGGTGGGTGTCGCACGGCCTTGAAACATTGGATTCTTGGCATTTACACCTAGCGACGCCTAAGCTTTGTTGATTGGTGACTTTATTAGGCAACGATGAATACCTCCATTCCCCACTGCAAAAAAGCCTATTGTAGATGGAGCACTCAAAGCACCTAAGCTTCCTCCCGAGGTAACGACTATGGCTTAAAGTACTGCACCTTATCTTCTATATAGGAAAGATCGAAATCTAGTTTCACCTAACGATACTTCGATTGTCCGTCTCGCCTCTATATCCCTCTATATCCCTCTCTTCACCTCTCCCAGCCCCCGATTTACGGCCTGCCTATTCTTAAACACTGAATCACCCTAGAGCTTAGCAATTTGAAAAACTAGCAAGATGGCAGAGAAATTGGACTGGTATGAACTTTTGGTGCTCGGAGATAGGGTTAGCGATAAAGCCGCATTGACGTGTCGAGTGAGTCCCGGCTGGGCAGAATCGTAATGGCTGCGTGTCTAACACCATCCGTAGTTTGCTGAACACAATTTCGTTAAGACCTACCTACCTGACTATGGAAGATTTATTCCGTAAGCAAGTCAAAATCTATGGACAGTCGCGTATACTCGAGCTACTTAATCTTGTGGGCCTGGAAGAATACACAGCACTGAGAGATCGATGGATAAAGTTTAGGGATGGCTTCGTTTTGGTATATAGCGTTAAGTTGCGCTCGCCAATCGCCTATATACTAAAACTTCCACCGGCACATCCGGTGGCTCAAGGAGACTATATCATCGGGGTCACCAAATTACCAAGGATTATCATATAGCACGATATCGAACGATTTGGGGTCTTTCGGACCATCTCCGGTAACTCTTATCGCTAATATGCGTGATCGAGTCACTAAGCGGAAGGTTGTCTCGTAAGAAGGTCTTGCCCTTACTAGGGAGCTTAGCTACGGCTTTATGGAATCCTCTATTAACATAATATCGAGGAGGGTGTTCTACGACGTGGTGCGGCAGCTGAGGCGGACAGCACCGAAATGAAGTTGTAAGATACTCATTAGATGTACTATAATAATTCACGGGTTTTTCTAGTGCTGAATATATTAAATGCAACCTGTGGACTCCCGTCTGTGATTGTACTCAATACACACGCTCATACATTAGAGCTGAGGGAAAGTTGCAGACCATGGATGGGGTCTATATTACCCACCGATCGGCTGCCCCGCCAAGCCACTGTTACAAGTGGCATATTCAGAATCAGCGAAGAAGCTGGAATCTGATGTGAAGTCTTGGCTAAATCCCGGGGAAGAGGGCGCCAATGTGACACTGACGCTTCAGATAGACCCAACAAAGCCTGTAACTATCCTAAACAACTGGCAAAGACCAGAGAGCGCGTCACAAGACATTCTATGCAATCGAGAGGGATTGAGAACACACAGATAATTATCCTGAAAAGTGATGACGAACATGTCAAAGTCAGCTGTGATCCTCTGGTGATCCCATTCGACTTGATTTTTCGACGGAAACCAATTGGTGGATAGGAGAGGGATCTTGAAATACGTTATAACGATAGCGGTCAATATATGGAGGTCTCAAGGCTTTTTAAATTGAACTACGTATCTTCTATGCTTTGGGATTTGTTAATACAATCAGTCTAAAAAGTGTGGCAGTGCTCTTAATAAGATAGGGTTCTCCAAACAACGTTATGCGGCAACTTTCTCCGGCATGTTGGGCGTCCTATATTAAGATTTGGTTGGCTGTTGGCTTGCCTCCTTTGTCGATCACCTCGACGATCGTGGCTGTATTTGGCTTTAGCACATAGCCCCCTCTCAGTTCCACTTTATCTTGGCCATGCTCGTTTACAAACCACTCGCCTCGTATTGTCGGACGATCTTAGCGCCTATGCTAAGCCACATGGCGACATGACAGACACGTTATTCATATAAAAAGTGATCAAGGCCGGCCCTCTATCGTTTTTGCAGGATCTATTACGTTGACCTCACACCCCCAACTTGGTTCCAGTATGCCCACCGCTGCGAATTCTCAGGATCCGGTCAAGCCAGGATCCTGCTGGAATTGGTATATTTCCGCTGTCTGGCACTTTGAATATGCTTTCTTTCCAATTGTAGCTTTCACATTATTTTTCACATTGCTCTATTACTCGGGGTGCTTTTTGGCGGACGTGGAAAACACCCCGAAGATTCTCAACCCTCCATACAGCCCCTATATCTGGTCTGGAAGCTTTCTGCCTGTTTTAGCGGTATGCCTTTTTCATTCCATCAGATCTAAATAGATATATCGAGGGCGTACTAGTTGCTGATATACATTGTTCTAGGGATCCGTTTTCTTATTTTGGACCGTGGCCTCTTTTATTCCACAGTGGATTGTGGGATACAAAAAGACCTGGTGGCTTGTTGTTTTCATCGTGCGCCTGATCGATCTTATCCTGCTCATCTTGTCTATCGTCTTAAAATCTCGATATCTACCCCGGCCTCTAACATCATGCAAAAATGATTATGAGTGGGCAGACTCTAATGATGTTCCCGCCGGCACACCGACCATGTATGAATTACTGCCTGACCCCAGGAAGAGGTGGACGGTATGTGAAGTTGTCTCGTTTCTCTGGTTTTATGAGATGGTACTGGTGTGAGTCCTTCACCCTGACTCTTCCCTTCTTAATTAGCAGGCATATGATTGCTGACTTGTTTCTCGTCAATTGTAAAGTGGACTATTATTGTTGGGGTTGATTTCTGCAGCTTACCAGCTTATTTCGTATAGGCCAGTTCATCTAAGCTGGACAGAAGCCCGCCGCCAAAAGAAAATAGTTCTTATCAATACTCCTTATTCGCCGATCTACAGATCCCGTCTTTAAGGGGGTGAGAATTCGCAGATACGACAACACGGGTTGTTGCAGATAAGGCACCAAGCCCTCAACGAATAGAACGGGTTGGAAGGACCGTACATAAATTTATCTCGTTTTTCTCTTCAAGAATCAGTTCATGTATCGATCTGACCTACTGATGCACTAAATGATACGAATAGAATTCGGACAGGGTTTATAGGACAATCTCGAGGATCGGTGATTATTCCCTCGATTTCCATTGAGCAGTCTTTGGGTATTTCTTAGAGATCAGCGCTCTACTGACACTGGAGGTTGCTGCATGTGTGCCAAATGTCCAAGGGTAACACCGCAATCTTACCGAGGTGAAGACCGGGATTTTCCAACAAGTGATCGCAGGCAACATCCAACGTCGGTGGCGGGATACATCGTACACCATATCGGACGTGTACGATGAATTACGCTTTTTAGTTTAGTTTGTCCACTTGTGGTTTAGCTCTCTTTGTCCTTGTGTGTCCCTGTACGTGGTTCTATATAAGCCCTCCCATGCCCCCTTCAGCTTCTCGCTGTGTTTCGCCCGCCCGCTTTTCCTTTCTCCTCGTCCGTGTCTGTGCTATGCAGGTGAGGTGTTTTTGCTATTATTCCGGATCACCGAGCTCCGCCACCCTCGTTGTCCCTGGCGCGACTTGTCAAGTCTCTGCAATCCCTCGAGCGCAATCTGCGGATCTGTCGCCGAGCATACTAATCGGTCGGTCAATTGTGAAAGTACTACAAATCGAGATACATTCACCCTGCACTATTTCTAGACAATCGCCTTTGCGAAGGGGGTTCTAATTGTGCCTTGGGCGAGCCGCCTATACCCGAACCGTAGGCGCTAGGTGACCACGACCTTCGACATGCTGTTGTATGGTTTTTTTTTTTTTTTCCTAGTCTTGAATCAATCCATTTTGTCTTTTTCACAATAATATAACGGACAGTAACAAGAAGGCCCTAGGTAAAGGGATATCAATTATGACCAACGGCAGCACATTCTTCGATATCGTGTCGCTTCCCCCTTGTTTGCAGTTAGTATAAAGTATTCTCTTGCTTTCAGCGGCGCCACTTACTTTTGTGGAGTAATGGTCCAAAGCATCCCTAAATCTCCAACCGGCAAATGGAATGGGAACTCCAGGGCCTCGAACAGCTGAACAATCAGTAGGTAAAAGCCAAGCAGACTAGCAACAAAGAGTGAAGCCCCGGCCCCCTAAAAACGGAATCCAAAGTCAGTTAGACGTTCTATGTACCTGGCATGCTCAGAGCTAGGACATAGTTATTACCTTTACACATCGGTCACCCGTGGCGGCATTTCCTTCACCCAGTAACCAATATGCGGATGACAAGAGAAGAAAAACAATCAGTAGCGATAGAAAAATGAGGGTATAAACAACATTGGTGCGTGTTGCGCAAATCATAAAGATCAACATTAGAACAGCCATAGTTATAAATAGAAATGCTGGTGTCACTGGTCAATATTGTCGGCCCGGACTTTCGTGAACATTTGACACTCACCGTAGGTATTCAGGAAGCCAGTGCCAGACAAGCCGGCAGCTGTATCGTTGGCCGTCGAGGAATAAGGAGCTGTCTATGTGTGAGGATGCTCCATATTCTAGATAAATGAAATGAGTCATATGTATGAACTAACCGGCTGCATTGAAAGATGGGATCATTGTAGCTGCAAATGCAAACCAAAATCCTCCTATGGAGATATTAGAGAACAAAAGCAGAGTATAATTTTCTCACCGTGACGTGGGACTTACCAATAGTACCAAATACAACGCAGGGGAACGTGTTTCCGAGCACAAACTCAAGAATACTTGTGATAAGAAGTAAAAGACCACCAAGGAACACGATAGGGCCACTAGTCTCGCGTCAATCATGAACCAATCTGTGATATTTTCTTCCCTCTCTTACATGAGTGCGACTCCATTTCCACTAGCACCTCTCCAGGCCATCAGGCAACACGAAAGTGGGGTAGTGGTGATAACGAATCCTCCTAGTGCTCTGGAGATCGGAGCAAGCGGTTAAATAAGAACTTCACTTTGCACTTTATGAAGAGTTATATGAAGACTCACAGGGGTGTCGGATTTCCCACTTGCTTGGCTAATGCAGGCTGATGGCGCGTCATTGGAGTCAAGTACAACCTTTCAAATTGCTCGGCAGATAGAGTCACCGACGTAGGGACCGTGGTAAGACCCTGCATTGTGCTCTCCTTCCTCTCGTAAGAGAGCTTTGTTTCGCTATTTTGACTGGTAGAACTGTCCATCTTTTTGTCCTTGAGCTAGTTTTGTCCGGGGTATAAACCTAGGAGGGAAGAGAAATATATTGACGATGGAGGGTACCGAGACCTTAAGAATAAAATTCTATGATCTTCATCGGGTGGACAAGTTGCCTTTTGATACGATTATAGCAATTATTTTTCTTATAGATTAGTAGTTCAATGTGATAGAAACGAGCAGTAACATTTTGCTAGTGTAAGTCTAAGCCCTACTTCGTCCGCTGCGGCGGAACGGAAGTGGAGCAAGTCATACTTCAAACGCGGGGAACGCTGGGGTATTGGTGACAGAAACAGTGTACGCCTGTCGACTGGCCTACCTAGATTTGATGTATTGAAATTGATCAATGCATTTTGCATTTCCCAGTAAACTAAAATTGGATGGTCGGTGTGGATCGCGGTATGCGGCTCCGATTTTCGTGCGGATCCGCATGGAGACAATATGCGGGGATGCTGAGTTATGTGGCGTCGCGTGCGGAAGGGGACCGGGATAAGTGAATACCAAGACAAATCGTGCATAACCATTGGAAACACAGGGCTCGGCGTTTGCAGCACGACGTATTATTTGGAACACTTTCGTGTCTCAACTTCGTAAAAGACATCTGCTATTAAATAGTCAATTAACAAGCTAAGAAGTGTCATTCTCTATGCAATGAGCTTGAACGTCGGTAGCGCAGCTCTTTCTGCAGAAAGAACGCAACCTTCGAGTACCTCAAGGTCAAGTATGGTGTCCCGCCGCCGGGAAAAGGCTAGAAGATCCTGCTTGAATTGTCAGCGAGGACACAAAACATGCGGTGAGCTTAGGAGAACTTAGGTTTTCTATCAGTTATCTTTACCGCCCTATAACCAGGATAATTCACTGACGACGCCAAATAGGAAATAAACGGCCATGTGAGGAATGTATCAGGCGTGGAATACCAAATACATGTGTCGATGGCTATCGGAAACCACCCAAATACCTTCGTCACTTTACAAGTGAGAAGACTACGGCTGACTTGCACCACATTGTTCCGCTTTTACAAGTAACCGAGCGTCACGGAAAGGATGATTCCGATGTCGCACATTATCGGTAATCCCGCAGTCGCCCCGTATGTATCACCTCACTAATATCCGGCACAGGAAAGACACTACTCTAAAAGCAGAGGTACATGTTCGCAATGGAAACCCCCTGGGAGAAAGCCTTCCTGAGTTCATCGATCCAAGTTTGCTCCACACTCTGGAAGAGCCGCACGAAACCCCAGAAAATAGATTCGGAGACGTTCCAGCAGAGCAATTGAAGCCTGAAGGACTTGAGTCGCAATATACTTGCGTGAATAGCTACGGCGGGCATAGAATCAAAAATCGCCAATGTAGTGAACCAAGCTATGGATTCACTATTAGTAGCGGTTGGGTAAGTACAATACTTCCGTTTGAAGTGGATTAAGAGCGCAAAGAACCAACGAACATAGCTGGGAGAAATGCAAGGTGTAAATTTGGTTATTTTTGAGCGCCTTACAAAAGGAGGAAAAGAAAATCAGAAAATTGGCTGCTCTAGTGATTACGTTTGAAGAGGAGCTCACAGCCATGTTCAATATTATCATCCTTATTGACACGGGAGGTAGGAGTCTCTGCCTTTAACAATATGAAGCTACATTTTTCAATGCCAATGTGTAGTTATGGAAAAATAAGCCTTGTATTAAGATTGATCTGACTTTCAATAAGGGGAGAGACTTGTTTCCTTTCTCCACTTTGCAACCTCGGGATAGTCCGCCTTACCCGATAAATCGATCCAGGTTTTACCCATAGAGCAAAAGCCCAGATTGTCATGATATTGACGGCGGCAAAGAACACATCTTGACTGATGAGACTAGCTACATACACATATCTTGGACAGCATTGGGCCACGGGCACAACATGATGCGAGGAATGTTGCGGAGCCGCTCGGAATGGATAACTGATAAACAAAGATCAACCTCAATTTTGATGTTGAATGCTGTAATAAAGAGGTTGGCTTCAACAGTAGTTTTCAAGTGTAACATTTCTTGGTGGTTCAATAACTTAGGAACTTCAATTTGTACTTATGTGCATTCTCTTCGCAAAGTTCTCCACCGAAATAACTTATATCTCAACTCCATTCGCATAATTTATCCTCAAAGCCCTGATAATCGACCTACTACTCTGGCATCTCAAGCACATAGCGGCCAGCAATTTTGCCTTGCTCTGTGTTGGGTCAGTAATCATGCCAGCAACTAAAGAAGGGAGTGACGAACCCATGAGATCGAAGATCTTTGGAAGATCCTTCAAAGGAGCAAGCTTGAACGGCGCTTTGATCAATCCTCGAGCAAAGAAATCGAGAGCTTCCACGCCATCCTGTCGGTTTCCAACGTAACTGCCCTTGATACTAATCATGCGGACCACTGTATTAAGAACCGGCGCCTTAAGGAACGCATCTGGAGGCAAACCGATGGCGATAATTGTCCCTCGGGAGCGAACATATTCCGTGGCCTGTTGGAAAGGCTTTTCAGACACCGCCAACAAAATAACGGCATGCGCGCCAAGACCATCCGGAGTCGCTGCTTTCACATCGGCCACCAAGTCTTTCGACTTAGTGAAATCAACATAAGCCTGGATCCTGTTAGATTTGAATGCATGCTTATATCAGGGTCTAGGCTCTTCATCTTCATACCTCGGTGCCGAGCTGTTCACACATAGCTTTCTTCTCATCACCTCCATCTACAGCTACAACCCTGACACCCATAGCCTTAGCGTACTGCTGCGCAAGGGAACCAAGGCCACCACCAGCTCCAACGATAGCAACTGTCTGACCAGGCCGGACCCCAGATTCCTTCAAACCCTTATAAACAGTGATACCAGCGCAAAGAACCGGGGCAGCTGCATCAAGAGGAACATTTTTCGGAATATTCGAGGCATGAGTAGCCTTGCCGACGGCATATTGCTGGAAAGTGCCGTCAACAGTATATCCCGAAAGCTGTGCATTGGCACACAAGGGGTCGTCCGATTGCCGACAGAATTCACATTCAGAGCAGGACCCGTTGATCCACTTAATGCCGGCGTGATCGCCGATTTCAAATCCATTAACCAGTGCACCCTTGGCCACGACCACTCCAGCACCTTCGTGTCCACCGACCAGTGGGAACTTGACTGGGATAGGCCAGTGGCCCATCATCGCATGCAGATCAGTGTGGCATACGCCGGAGTAGCGAATCTTCACTAGAATCTGATCGGGACCCGGCTTGGGTACGGGAATCTGCTTGTAGACAAGTGGGCCTCCGACCTTTTCGGCAACTTGGGCCCACTGCATTTCAGGAATGGTCATCTCAGAAATGGTCATTTTGACAAGGTAGCTCGAGGTGTGGAATCGGTAAAACTCGTGTGTTGAAAGCGGGTTGAGACGGATGTAATACTGTTGGATTAATTGGTAAGACTTTTAAGGGTGTTGATGAAGACTTTATAGTTGACGCTGTTGGCGGAGGACGTTGTGGTAAGAGAAGAATGGCAGGGCCTCTCGCTTCAATTCTCGGAATTTGTGCGATCGCGGCAAAATGTTTCGGACAACCGGGTGAGTGAAAAAGCAACGACATCCAATGCCTCTCAAGGTAGATCAGGGATGACGCGGAAACTCTCAGGGCAACAACGTTCTTGCGGGGTTTGCGGGGATTCCCCACGCATGCGGAGCCGCATGGCCGATCTATGAAATGTTCCCATCTGATGATAGAACACGGCTTTGCCTATTATGGCATTTCAAGATCTCTGATGTCAGATCCCAAGGTACTTGTCAAGTTGTTGTCAGGCTAACGAAGTCAGCATACCCATTTCTCCGCTTAGAACCCTTCTCGCTGCACACTGACTGGAACTCAATACACACCCTCGCTCAACAGCAAGAAAACAGCAAGAACCCCCGAACCGGCCATCACTCATCTTCCCCCGCTCGAGGTTGCCGGTGATTTCCGTCCCCTTGGCTCCGATATCTATCTCAGCGTTGATATTTAAAGCGGTTCCAACCCCAGCTGAGACACTTTATGTTTCAGTACCGCATTCTTCAGTCATACCTGAGGTGAACATTTACCGTCCAGCTTTCTCTTCTTCAATCATGTCTCTGTTTCAAACAATCAAGACCCCCGTGGTAACATATGAACAACCCCTGGGACTGTAAGCTCCCGTCAGGCAAACCCAACATGAGGTGGTACCGTTTCTCACAAGTCCACGTTAGGTTCATCAACAATGAATTTGTCAAGGGTGTGGAAGGCAGAACCTTTGAAACAATCAACCCTCATAACGAGAAGCCGATTGTAGCTGTGCACGAAGGCACGGCAAAAGACGTGGATATTGCCGTGAAAACTGCCCGTAAAGCGCTGGAGGGCGAGTGGAAACGGATCACTCCCTCTGAGCGTGGCCGCCTTCTCACTCGTCTCGCGGACTTCCTAGAACGAGATATCGATATAGTCGCTGCTATTGAAGCCCTTGATAATGGCAAGGCTGTGACAATGGCTAAAGGCGATGTCACTGCTGCAGCCGGGTGCTTACGCTACTATGGTGGCTGGGCTGACAAGATCTATGGCCAGACAATCGATACCGACGCCAATAGCTTGACGTATACCCGCCATGAACCGGTCGGCGTCTGCGGCCAAATCATCCCATGGAACTTCCCCCTCCTCATGTTTGCATGGAAGATTGGGCCTGCTCTCGCGACGGGCAACACGATTGTCCTGAAAACTGCGGAGCAAACGCCACTTTCAGCGCTCTATGCTGCCACCCTAATTAAAGAAGCCGGCTTCCCTCCTGGAGTAGTCAACGTTATCTCAGGATTTGGAAAAGATGCAGGCGCGGCAATTGCGGCCCATATGGATATCGACAAAGTCGCATTCACCGGGTCAACTTTAGTCGGCCGCCAAATTATGCGAGAGGCTGCTAATAGCAATTTGAAGAAGGTGACTCTTGAACTTGGAGGGAAGTCGCCGAATATAATTCTTCCCGATGCAAATCTGGAGGAGGCAATCGGATGGGTGAACATGGGGATCTTCTTCAACCATGGGCAATGCTGCTGTGCGGGCTCTCGAATTCTTGTCCACGAGTCTATTTATGACCGATTTTTGGAGCTTTTCAAGAAGCGAGCCGAGCAGAACAAGGTCGGCGATCCGTTCAATTCTGACACTTTCCAAGGTCCTCAGGTGTCTCAAGTGCAATATGATAGAATCATGAGTTATATTGCCGATGGGAAAAGCGCAGGGGCCAGTATCATCACGGGTGGTGGTCGGCATGGAGCGGAAGGATACTACATCCAACCCACGATTTTTGCCGATGTTGATGAGAAAATGACGATTGTGAAAGACGAGATCTTTGGACCTGTCTGCACAGTGCAAAAGGTCCGTGATGAAGACGAAGCGATTCGCGTGGCCAATGACACAAACTACGGTAATGACCCTAAGCTATAGGACCTTCCACTGTATCAGAGCTTGAGCTGACTATGTCGACTAATCGCAGGCCTAGCTGCGGCTGTCCATACCACGAACATCAATACTGCCATCAGAGTGTCAAATGCGATCAAAGCAGGGTGAGCTTTCCTTATATATTAGTTTATATATTAGTAGCTCTCGGATTTTGTTGACAACCCGCTCGCAACAGAACCGTTTGGGTTAACAACTACAACACTCTCCACTACCAGATGCCCTTTGGTGGCTTCAAAGAATCAGGAGTAGGTCGAGAGCTGGGTTCATATGCTCTTGAGAACTACACAGAGGTGAAAACAGTCCACGTGCGCTTATCTCAATCTTAAGCCTCCTGATTTGGGGTTTTCGCCGTTTGTCTCTTGCATTTCCTACTTCGACATATCTCGACATATCAGATCGTGGAGGCGATTAGGCAGATGTGTCAGTGCTGCAGGTCGGGCTTTTGCTTTCGGTTATCCCCTCAGTCCATATTTTGCTCCAGGTAGTGATTGGGTTCCCCTAGTTTTGTGTTAGAAATTGAACACCGTCAACGATTCTAATTTTTTGGAGTGCCAGTTGCATATATTTTATACAGCGCTAACATTTAATGGTCACCTTCCAGATAACTGATATGCTAGTATGGTCTTCACTTTCATAAATTGGGGTCATTGCGAACCTTGTTATATACCGGATAATTTTTGAAAAAACGCAAATAGCAGTATTCCTCTTATCCCTCCATCTAACACCCGTTGGTCGCTGCTGGTATACTGCGGAACCAACCTGATATAAATTAAACCGTCATCCCGAGGTGCCGGGGACATGCAGAAGGTGCAACAGTGGAAGAGATGCACAATGCATTGCGTGGAGTCAAAGTCTTTAGTCTTGTAGGCTTCGATGTTAAAGGTGTTTGGAAGGGGGTGGCTGTTCATATACGTAGTCACTGTTTTCACTCCGGGAAATAACAAGTTAACTACAAGAACTGAGGGTACAGACTTGCAGCATGGCATAAATAACTAACATAGATGACTAATGTAATCTGAAGTTTCGCAAATAAAAAGCCAGTATCGCTTCGAACGATAGATTTCACAAATCATACGCCAGCTGCGTTCTGCAAAACGCCTTTGTCAAAGTAGCATCTTAGGCTCCAGATTTGTAGTCCATCGGTGCCGTGGCCTTGCTCTGCCTCAGCAATCTCATACACAAATGCCTGAGGAAGAGGCACCGTCTCCGTACCACCATTTGGAGTCAGTAGAGTTGTAACCTCCACGATAAGTGTGTGCTTCTCGGTTTGATCATTGCTCAACACTGTCACCGAAATGACTTCGTGACCGCATCGCTCGAACTGCCCATATAGAGCGATATAGTAATCCCATATCTGCTGCGCGCCGGAGATCGCTGAATTATCAGGGTTCACAAGCGTCGCCGTAGAGGCATAGTACTTAAGAGGGGATGTGGTAACCTTGGCAGTATCGAAATCGACAGCGTATTTGGCATACCAGGAGAGGATGGGATGCGAAGAAATGGTCGAAGGACCGAGTGGTCCCCGGAGGACAGTAGCAGTAATAGGCATAATCAAGATTAAATCGATATAGCTAGTGGCAGAACACAGGGTGAAGGTGGTACGTGTTAATGAATGTGGCCAGTCCACGTGTATTTATACATGGGTAGCTGAAAAACATTAGTCACTTCATATAGCTGTGCAAATTTATGACCTTTTACTGTAACAGCCAACTTCAATAGTTTTGTTAATACCTCGGTCCGTCATTTCGCCTCCCAATCCTTATCGTATCTCCCTGGCATTCCGAACCGAGCAATGGCAATTACCGGGATACCGTTCCATGTTGATCGCCATCCTCGGCTCGCTTTGCACTTCTGCCGACTGCCGCTTCTCAGTTGGACTCTTAGCATAAAATGGATTTATCCTTTCAATATACAAACGCTGCTAAATCTCTGGCACATATCTACGACTGAAGCTTTGTCTCCCCTTCTCCATATTATTCATGGATTATTATTGAAGAGCGTGAAATTTGCTCAATGAGCACTTTCACAGCGCAATTTATGTTCATAAGATTAACCAGCTACAAATTCATGATGAATTTTTACGCGTGGCGCTCCCCGCACTCATCATAAGTAAGGTCATTAAAATTGCTCTTGGAACGTTAGGAACTGATGTACGTCGTAATAATATCCTGGAACCCACGTCATCAAACGCGCCCTATAGCGCTAATTTCATATCTCCGAGGAATCAGTCCCAAGGAAAACTGAAAGGTGGATAGCGGCGAATAGAACTACTCGTCCCATTGAAGTATGCAGCCAATCGGAAATAATGAAGTTACCGAGGGCCGCAGTATTAAGATGAACCAAAAATATCGCAAGTGTTACGTATATGTGCACATGTTGCCCTACTGCGGTTTTATTTGCGGCCCTATCAATGGTTGATGATATGTTCCCGATTTACCGCCAACGTATTTAATGGATCTTAGCTACAGGTAATCTTTCACATCTAGTGCTGCTTAACTTAATAGCAGCTGCTATTGTAATCGAGCTTGCTTTTCCCTTGCGGTATCTGTAACAAGGACCAGTTATGCGTGGTGATGATACATTCATAATACATCCATTGCGTCCATTCCAAAATATTTCCATTTCTCGGAGGGACCCACTAACCGATTATATGGGGAGCCGAGGACGCCGAAACATCCGCGGGTAACTCGGCCATCGAACCTGGCTGGTGTTTGGCAGCTTATAAAGGGTTACAGGAGCTTCTTGGCCTTTCCTCGTCTTTCTAGCTGCAGGTCAAAGATATCCAACCGTAACCGTTGTTCTAGGGCTTACTTTGGACTTCTCCCAGACCTCACTATAACCTGGGCTTTTGTTTATGTGCTGTCACAGAAAAAGGCCAAGTGTTCTTATCTACAGTCCATTGCATCATCTAGAAGGTATGACGACTCAAGATACGACTCAATTTGCTCGCAGACATTCTGACAGATCAAGATTGGTGGTAGAACACTGTCTTCTTCCTCACCTTGAACGATTATCATTCCTCTTCTTTCACCATGTCTGCGGAATATTTGGCAACCCAGCTTGCGAAGCGTCCCGAGACCACTATTGTTCCAGGAGACGTTCGCGACAAGAACGCATCCAACTCCTCATTCGTGGGAATTTCAAGATAGGGAGGTCCTCTGGAAACACTTTATCTTAGGCTAGATCCAGCGATGCGCGCTGGCTGGATGATCGGCCATCGTACATCCCTCCAGTCGCATTTGGCGAAATCATGTGTGGCCATGATTTAGGGCGTGTGTATTGCCTCAAGATCACAATCTTTCCCAGTTGGCTCGTATGCAGTCGGTATGATGGGCTGGACTGAGAAGGCGGTTGTTAACGAGAGCTGTCTAAATGCGATATCCACACCAGATCCCGTTCACGCAGGTCGTTTGACGGACAGTATGGGAATTCTTGGTCTCACAGGTGTCACAGCATACTGGGGTATGATTGAAGTTGTTGGCGTTAAACCTGGTGATTTTGTGGTGGTTTCTGGTGCTGCTGGAGCAACTGGGACTATGGCTGGACAGATTGCAAAAATCCACGATGCCACAGTTTATGGAACTGCTGGCTCCGCTGAGATATCGGCGCATGAAAGGATAAGGTTCTCGGCGTAATACCAGACCAGAACCTTCGATTCAAGTCTCACGTCGGAAAGGCTGTAGGCAAGGGAATGGAGCCTATCCTGGCTCTCAGACGCCTGGCGGATTACGACAACCCGTAGCTCGGTAGCTGTTCGCCTCTACAGCTAGGTCGAAGACTGACCACGCAGCATCGGAGTACTGCTCTACGCGAATAGACACGATCATTAGCCCATATTGGACGGCCGTTCGCAATTATAAAGCGGGTCACGACGCAGATAATCATCAGTGTGTTCTGGACCACGACTCTTGCGATCGGCGAAGATGAGGCGGGGACTGAGCCGACTTTGTACCACTGCGTGGTCGGCGTCAACTAAGTCGACATCGGCTTGTCAAGTCCGACGGACAGTAGTGGAGACGTGCCTAACGCCCACTGTGCCAATTCAGGGGTAGTGTTGGGGGCTGTCTCGTATCTAGGACGATGGCCCTTCGTTTCCATATTTCCCTGTAGAAAATACGAAGTGTGCTGAAATGTACTATTCAATGGGAAAAGTCACGGTGAACATATCCGAGGTACATATTCAACGACGTGGCGCACACCAGCTGGGGGCTGCATACGACCCGAGATCGTGAAAAGCCCGAGGAATTTGATAATAATAATAGCAACAACAATATGTGGCTGATGCGGATCAGTAAAAAAGCCGCAACATCGCAAATGATTCCTGCCTTGTCTATGTGAAAAGCACAGTTGATTTCCAATCAACTTAGAGTTTACATGTAAATATAGCCTGCTGTATTTCATCAGGATCATTCCTCTGAACTACAAACAGATCGCACAACCTCACGAAACCGCTCCCCGTTACTGTCTTGATAGATGCCTTCAGCTTTTGGATTGTGATATAGCACTCGATTGTTAAGCAAGACAATTGTTATTACTACAATAACAATCCATGGAGCATCAGTGAAGAACAGACAGCATGAAGTTCAAAACTTGAGTTGCCCACCTATGTCTTCGGAATAAGGCGATTTTGGGGGATCTAGGTTGAGGGGCGGATGGCCAGTCAACCATGGATCTTCCGCCACTCAGCGCTCGGCTTTCCTCTCGACAATTTGGTCGATAAGATTTTATAAACCTCAAATATAAGCTTCATGGTGAGGTCATATTTTCACCCTTTAACTTTTGACTATCCTGCCTCTCCGGCTGCTGTTCAACCCATTCTTGCCTACCGCATTCATTGGAGCTTTTTCGACATACTCGACACTTACACGTTCAGGTTGCTTCAACTTACATCTCCATTTGCAGGTGTTTTAGTGACCAGTTCAACCTTTGGTGGACATACGGAGATTACTGGGGTAACCTCCCAACATTGTCGGGTGGATCAAATCCATGTATGCCCCTTCCCGAGTGCTGGGTTAACACAGAGAGTATATCGTGGAAGGAGGGATTTCGGTGCAATATTCGGGGAGGTTAGCTGCCTGCAAGCTGACTAAATACAGTATCAGGTCTTAGTGCTCCCAATTATTTACTTCGACTTTGAAAGATGCCCCAGGAGTCGATTGGAAATCACGCGACTGCTCATCAAGATGGGTCGTCGAGATGGAAGAAGATAGCAGCTAAATATGGAATTGACGCTCCGCTTGTGCTATTGATGATTAAGTATATTATTCCATTTGGTTTGCCCTTTTACCCGTTCTCTTCAACTGGACCGAGAGGCATCAACCACAACTGCTCAAGACTCAGCAGTTGCTGGAATTTCTGGAATTCCGTGCGTCCTATTGCAAAAAAAAAGTGCTAACAGCTCAACCACAGGGGAACCGTTGCGCCTACCGTTGGCGTTGCTATGTATATTTTCTTCCTATATACTTGAGATAAAGGCTGATGCTCTAAAGATATCAGGTCGACTCCGTTGCGAGACATTTCTCGACAATTGGCTATCTAATCCCAATAATGTCCATCCTAACCGTTCCGGTGCTGCCTCGGGCGCGATTTTGCCAGAATCTTGTAGTGACCTGCGTAGGGCCTCCATTACACATCTATGGAAATATGATAACTAATCGGCAGTGCTTTCCTAGCTTTTGACTTGTTTCGCAGCTGCAATCTCGCTACTTGCGATGTGGTGTGCGGTTCAGGCTCGAGAAAACACGACCCACCTCAACGGAGAAACAAATTCTAATGGTCCGGTTGCTGGTGCTACTATTAGTCCGTACAATACAGCAGCCAGCGCTAATATGGGAGTTTGGCTTTTTTCGACGTATGGTTAGCTAACACGTCAGTTATCGCAAGCCAAACCACTCGCTCTATTAACCACTGGAACAGATTCCGGGCCTATCGACCTCAATATTTCCTGCCTTCCATTATTTTTTCAATTTTTATCAATGTGACGGCAACCTACGGAACGCAATTTGCAACTATGAAGGAAGCGGAATCCCTAGGTTGTGTCTTCTTTCCAGTGCAAAAAATGGACCGTATTAATACCTTTCAGTAACTCATTTACTGGAGAGTTTTTTCGTCGGATTTGGAATCTCAGCTGCCACAAATCTCCTCCTTGTTCCATTCACCTCTCGAAATATTGTCACCATGCTAATGGCTCGAGAACTCCACGGGTTCAAGGGCGCTTTGGAAGCGCAGAGTCAATATATGGCGTCACTTCCCACGCGTGATTGGTACGGTACTGCATATGCTCCGAACGATCATGATAGCGGAATAGACGACTACTACAATTCTCTCGCGAGGACCAGCCCTTGGCCTGAGGCCGATGTTTTGAAGAAGATCCTAACCAGTATTACCACACTCCAAGCAAAGTCACAATCGGAACTTCGCTACGCAAAAGTTGAGGCGACATGGGGCAGGTTAGACGCAAAAGATTTGGAGACCATAAGCCACCTAGAAAGGAAAATTTTGTTCCCCCTTTTAGGCATGGAGTGCCTCAGTCATGCCACGAATCGCATCGAGAAACGTGGTGGTTGGGAGGCTGTGAGCGGTTTAAAGGCTGCTCATTCTCTGACCGATACTGAGTATGCCCACCTCCAGGATAGGGAAAGACAGCAGTGGCACTGGATATGTGGGCAGCTGTGTGCTCGTGCCCAACAGCTTCAGAAAGGGATGACGATAGGCCTTGACGAGTCATTGTATGCTCTGCGACTCGGGAAGCGGCCCGCATCTTCTGTCAGAACTGACCTCGAAGCGAATGGCCACAATTGTTCACCTGAGAATAGGGACTGGGTCGCGCACTGTGAGGGAATGATACAGCAATTTCTTAAAGAGAGACAAGGCCCCATAGAAGACTGGTGTGCTTCCAAGGGCATGGATGATTCTTTCCAACAGAACCACGCGACACAACAGGACTATCCTTTACACCAACGGCACTTGTCTCAGCTGTACCTGGTACTCGATGTGAGCTTTTTCATTTTGATTCTTACCATAGTAAAAATACAAGATGCTGATCTTTTCCAAGCTAGATTATTTTTGCATTATGACTGCGCAAGCGATCTTAGATCTGGCTAAGTATGCTAAATCCAAAGTGAATGATGGAACGATGGCAAGGAGCAGGCTTATCTTCCCAACTTGGAAACAACTTAAGAAATGGGCCAGAGACACAGTATCTCGCGAGGACAGCAATTTGGATTACCAGGAATATAGTACCCGATCTGGTACTGTCATAGTCCGCCTTAGCGACATTGAGCAGTCCAAAAAGGATCCTGAACACCTTCCCCCGGTGTCCGCCTGGGAAAAAATATCGGATAAATTCCGCATCATTTCTCACATCTTCGGCTCTTCAGAGTCAGCATTTGGCTTCCGAGTTGCAACAGCCACCATGGTGATTTCAATTGTTTGTTTCTTGAGGGATTCTCAGCAGTTCTTCATTGAACAGCGCTTGATCTGGGGTTCGATCATGGTCGCCATCAGCATGACGAGAACCGCAGGGTCGGGCATCTATGGACAATTCATACGATTTGGTGGAACAGCACTTGCGATGATCGCATCGTACGTTATTTGGTATATCGTCGATCAGCGAACGGCGGGCATTATCGTCTTTCTCGGCATAACAATGTTCTTTTACCACTACCCATTGATCAAACACCCTGACACCCTCGTCATTCCAATGATAGGAATGGTCACGGTTATCCTGATAGTGGGATATGAACTTCAAGTTAAGAAAATCGGTATTCCCATCTCGATTTCCAATGGCCAGGTCTACCATCCCCTGTACGAGCTTGCTCCGTACAGGTTAGCTACAGTCCTTGGTGGCCTGGCTGTCGCATTCATCTTTACGCACTTTCCGTCAGTTACTACAGTTCGGCGACAGCTCCGAGAGGACCTAGGAGCTTCTCTTTATCTGCTGGGCAACTACTATTGCTCTGTGCATCAAACAGTATCACTCAAGATAAGAGGAGCAGAAGGAGATCCGGGGGACGAAAGAAGTCCAGGAAGAAGACTCCAGAAAGCTCGAAGTCGACTCTTCGCTAAAGAAATTATTCTCCTCGAAGGCATGAAGAAGCACAAGAAATTCGCGACATGGGAACTCGGGTTGGGTGGGAAGTTCCCAGAAGCATCCTACGACAGGCTCATTAATCATACTCAGCAGTCAGTTTCACCCCATATGCAGGTTCAACTCATTCTCGCGACTGACTACTTCCAGTATCGTTCATTTCACAACCATGATATCTCACGTCGCCGAGTCATTTCAAAATTTCCCAACTTCCACTGGGGTTCAAAAAACCTCAGATTCGTGGTTGAAAGACTTCAAGAATCTTGTGATCTCCCTAGAGCTAAGTTCCCGGGAGGTTTCTGCTACTCTCTCTTTGATCGCTACTGCTATATCAACGGGCCGGCCATTACCTTCGTTCCTTAGAGCTCCAGAGCCAGTCAGCCTGGATCAGCTGCTCAAGAAGACTGACTGTGATATCCTCAGTGCGCTGCACGTGTGTGAGCCGGGCTACGCGGCTTTTGCCGTCATACAAGTAGCAAGTGCACTATTGGCGGATGATCTAAAAGGTTTGTTGCGTGAGACGAAAAAGTTAGTTGGAGAGGAGAACTTTGGCATTGATGTTTTCTCTTTGCATGATTAGAGCTAGTCTGATAAGGAAATGCTATATGGAGGCAACGGCCATGTGGTTCTAATTATAAAAGAAACTCTGAGCGTCCCTCGAAGTCCCCGGCCTATCCTGTTGTATCCGTTAGTTTAGCACGCGAGCTCGCTAAATCTAACGCTCAGTTCTATTCCTAGATCAGGTGACCATGGTCTCGACTTGGCTGTTTCAGCGTTCGGTTTCGGGTTAAAGGCGAGAAAATAAAGGAATGCATTGTCCTGAATGAGGTCCATTTCCAGTAGAATTGTCTAGACTTATTTCAGTTTGCAGAGTCCATGGTTCTCTTTGATTGTAAGACCAAACATTGGTGATATCATACAACCGCGGGTACTCCTTCACAATAACTTTGTTTTACACGAGCTGAGTTGAAGCTTCCGCAAGTCCGAGGTCTATTTTCCCTCCCTAATGACGCAGTGTGGCAATTATATAAAGGTGCTGTTTGAACGAGTGGAACTGCATTTTCAAAGCTTGCATGCTATTTTGCAAACATTTCTGTTCCCGACGTTCTCTTTAACTTCCACGCATAGCAGTGATGGCTGACCCACACCGCCAAAATACCATTTCAGCGGGAGATTGGCAGGGCGAGCAGCTTAGCTCTAAAGCCTCGACCAATAACGATTTTTCGACTGTTCGAGAACAGGGACTCAGTACTGGAGTCCGAGTGAAGGGTGTGTAGTATCCTAGAGTCACATGTGGTATATTGACTCACAAGCAAGAACAGAAGATGGAAGGTTAGATATCAATTTTCGAGAGCACAAGCCCTGGCTTGCTACCCTGATGAACCATGTGGAGAAACCTACTAGGCCGGTTGCAGAACAGCAGGAAGAATTAAACATCGTTCCCAAAGAAGAGGCCAAATTTTCTTTGAACCTGAACATTGTGTTACAGGTCGTTGGATCCCGCGGTGACGTTCAGCCATTCGTCGCGTTGGGTAAGGAGCTTCAGAAACATGGACATCGAGTTCGACTAGCCACACACATGTCTTTTCGCAAGGATGTGAACGGTGCGGGACTCGAGTTTTTCAACATTGGTGGTAATCCAGAGGAACTGATGGCCTTCATGGTCAAGAACCCTGGTTTGTTGCCGGGCATCCGCACCATTCGCAGCGGCGAGATTCAGAAGCGCCGACGGGAAATGAAAGCCATTTTTTCTGGATGCTGGCGCTCTTGCTATGAGACTGGAGATGGGACAGGAATGCACCAAATCTCCGAACATACGCAGGGCGGTGCTGTCGACCGTTATACACGGCCATTTGTCGCAGATGTCATTATCGCGAATCCCCCGGGATTTGTGCATTTTAGCTGTGCCGAAAAGCTGGGGATTCCCTTGAACATGATGTTTACGTGAGTCGCGTGTTAAACTTCTTGAGTCTTAAGACACATTCTGACTATCTTAGGATGCCCTGGTCCCCGACGCAATCTTTCCCACACCCGCTGGCCAACATCCGCTCACAGAAAACCAAGCCATCTGTGGCGAACTTTGCTTCATATGGGATAGTGGAGGTAATGATGTGGGAAGGACTCGGGGACCTCATTAACCATTTCCGCAAGAAGGAATTGGGCTTGGATCCATTGGATGCCATCCGGGCGCCTAGCATGATCCACCGACTGCAAATCCCATATACTTACCTGTGGTGAGTAGGTCCTTCATATCTGTCAGTTTCATCTAACGCCAGAAGGTCACCATCTCTCCTTCCAAAACCTCGTGACTGGTCTAACAATATTGATGTCTGTGGATTTCAGTTCCTGTCGACCGAGTCAGAGTATGAACCGCCGGAGGAGCTCGACGCCTTCTTGAAAGCAGGACAGCCGCCAATATACATTGGATTCGGATCAATTGTAGTTGATAACCCTAAAAAATTAACAAGGACGATATTTGAGGCTGTTCGCCAAACGGGCCATCGCGCACTTATCTCAAAAGGGTGGGGTAATATCGGCTCTGGAGAAACTGACATTCCCGACAGTATATTTCTGTTGGGACCATGTCCCCATGATTGGCTCTTCCGACAAGTCTCGTGCGTTGTGCACCATGGTGGTGCTGGAACTACTGCTGCTGGTCTCCTTCTGGGCCGCCCAACGGTCATTGTTCCCTTTTTTGGCGACCAACCATTTTGGGGTTCCATTGTTGCTCGAGCAGGCGCTGGCCCGCGGCCAATCCCATACAAAGAACTGACAGCTGAAAAATTGGCTTCAGCGATTCAAGTAGCCTTGGGAGAACAGGCTCGGGAAAATGCCAAGCAAATCGGAGAGAACATGCGCACGGAACAGGGAGTACAGAAAGCTGTGCACAGCTTTCACCAGCATCTAAACATTGAGAAATTAAGATGCACCATTTGCCCCGATCGACCGGCAGTGTGGTGGCTCCGAAATTCGCACACCAAGCTAAGCGCTTTTGCAGTTTCGATACTATTGCACACGGGCCATATTAAGCCTCAAGATATAACATTGTATGCATCTCAAAATTCTTTTTTCCCATTGCAGCCAATCTGACAACTTTAGATATCGAGTCCGAGAATATGACACGAACCGCGACCCCAGAGGTCCTCTTTCAGCCAGCGCAGAAGTTTTGTACGGCCTAATGACAGATCTCATCACTGGCATTGCTCGTGTTCCGGGACAGTTAGTAAGTATCTTCCCCGGATCTCACCCACGAACAGTGCAACAAGATTTTAGAGGGAGAGAATGGGCTATGTCACATTTTGCGGAATGTTTGTCAAATCAAGAACGCAGGAGGGACTCTCAGACCGTCACAGACATCAGCACTCCTAGCGGAGAACTCTATAGTCCTGGTCCTGATGAATACGTTCGAGAACATCCTGGAATAATTCAAAGCTCCAATGCTGTAACCAATGAAACAGTGGCAAATTTGAGTGAATCTCATTCTGTCGACGGCGCGCAGTTTACTCGCAGACAAACTGCCAAGAAAAAGGGAGAAGAGAAAAGCTATTTCAAAAGACGCCGTCGTGCAAGGAAAGTTTTGTCTGAAACACGTTATTACGCTGCAAAATCGGCAAAACATGCACTGAATTTTGTGCTTGTGCTTCCAACCGACTTTACCCTCAGCCTGTCAAAGGGGTTTCACAATGCACCGAAACTATACCATGACGATACAGTTGAATCGATGCCCAAAGTGATCGGGATCAAGAGTGGATTCAGAGCAGCCGGCAAGGTAAGCTCATATATGAATTTTATTTCCAGAACCGATTTCTCATTTTTCACAGGAGTTCTACCACGGGATCTATCATGGTCTGACTGGACTTGTCACGCTGCCCTCCCGGGGTTTTCGGCAATCGGGAGGTAAAGGGATGGTCAAGGGAATCGGGAAAGGCGTGGGGGGTGTCTTTTTCAAGCCGACTGCAGGTAAGATATTGTCTCACAACGTCAAACATACTCTGAACGGAACGTGCCTAGGTCTGTTTGGATTAGCAGGATTACCGCTAGATGGCCTGCACAAATGCGTTCGCGGGTCTCTCTCGAAAATCAAGTCCAAAGAAATCATTCGACTACGTATCACACAGGGCATTGAAGAGATGTGTGCAGCGTCGAACGAAGAACAAAACATGGTGATTCGCAAGTGGCATGCACTACAGCAGGACGGTCTAACGCAGGAAGGACATTGAGATAGTTTTCTTCATTTTATTTCGTAACAAAACTTTCATATACTCACAGACGGCGCACTGATCTGTTATCACTAGTGGGTTGCTTTGGGTTTCACCTACTTTACCTACTAGGAGCAGGAATTGGGGCGGAATTGGGGATCGAATTTGCGCATTTAAAAATTGTACACAGAATTGAAAAGAGAATATTGTAAGAGCTAGCATGTGGAAAAAGGCGCGTGTTCTAAGCAATTCAGAGGGACTTCGTTTCTGACCCACCCCTAATAAGCATTGGTCTGAATACAGTCGCATTATATCGAGTCGCCTTATGTTGAAGAGAAGGTCTTTTCCCTGGCGGATACTGTAGGCTACCTCAATGAACACTAACTACATCAACCATTGGAAGTTTAAGACAAAGAGCTCGCAGTGGGGTCTCTATCCTCTAGCTCAGCATGAGAGGTGCGAATCCTGGTTGTTAATGAAAAGCTGACGACGGCAGATATTCAGAATCCATGGACCAATATGAGCCTCCAGCTACGTTAATGAATCTGGGTGTGATAAACGAGATAGCCATAACCACGCACTAAGCACGTGGATTAGTCATCGTAGACACAAATGAGGTGCTGACTGATCCTGAGCCTGAGCGCTCTCATAAAGCGGCGGTCCAGATAGGGAAGGCCACACCCGGCAGACATTATCCTGTCTATACGTCTACATATTGTGATCTGCCAATCATCTTCAATGGATCATCAATGATGGACATGCACTGAAACATCCACTCCGATGTTTCTCCGTAAGATGGGTCATTATTGGTTTACTGACTCCACCATCTTCGAGTCCTTCCCCAGATCGTCTCGGTTCCCCCCAGATCCCAGGAATCTCAGTATTCTCTACATGCGCTGCCTCACGGACGTAAATGGGCGGCCCACAGACTAAGGGACTGAGCTCTGATGATCGCAGCTTACAGCCTTGTCGAACCGGCATAAACCCACGGTCATGTAGAAGGCGCATGCCCTTCTAGTTCCTTTGACCCGAAATCTTATCATCGGCGCCACGCGCTTTCAGCCCCACAAACCCCGCAAAAATTTGCGAAACTCGCGTACCCCGGAATCGGGCAAATTTGTCAACTTAAATATGTCTGCCTTACTCCTTACGGTGATGCATACTGAGGAGCCAAAACAATCGTCTCCTTTCTGTTACAGACCGCGGTTGTTGGCTTCCATTTTTCACCATGGAGGACTCCCGTCGACGTCAGCTTCATAGTTGCGACCAATGCCGCAAGGGAAAGAGGGGCTGTGATGCACCGGTTTGTGAAGATTGCCCTACCTTAGCATCGGAAGATGTTGACTTCCAATATTCTAGAAGAAGCGAAAGGAAAACGGCTTCTCTTGTTCGAACTGCAAACGATGGAAGAAAGAGTGCACATTCAAATGGATTGCCTTGAAGCATACAGACCACACCGGAGGCCGGAAAAGAAAACAGTCAGGCGCTGGGGGTCCACATCGGAATCCTGATGTTTCTTCAATTACGAGTTCATGTAGTGCCATCCTAGACGAGACGCTGCGATCTTCACAGTGGTATACTGTCAACCCTGCGCATATGGCCGAGGCCTCTAGTTTTGCTTCCACCTCGCCGTCCTCAATTGTCCCCGAAGAAGCAATTCCAGAAGGGTTGGAACCTATCGGGCCAGTTGATGGCCACTCGGGAACGTTTCCTTGGATAATGGAAAGCCCTAATCATTGGAATACCAGCGCAGTGAGTGAAGGGTCAGAAAAGGCCATGGGAGGAATTGGATACCAGGCAACATGGAATGCCTCTTTACCTATATCTTTTGGTAGCACCCTTGACCTGGCCCAGGAGGTTGAAGATGGTTCCAGCTCCTCTTCTTCCGGGTTCACGAACCCAATTCTCAAGCCTAATGACAGCAGATATTCCTCAACATCTTCTTCCAATGGAATATTAAAGCCAAGTTTCCAATCTGGCTTTTGTACCGCTTCCGACAGTACCGCTAGGGGAATACGCTCGTGCGACGATGACACGCAACTTGATTCGCATATATCACGATAGTATGGAAAACGCATTATCATGCTGGTTGACGGAGCACAATTGCCCTTACAGCGACTCGGCCGGTGTCGTGCTGCCTTACAGAGAGATGAAGGAGTGGGGACCGAGTTGGTCGAACAGAATGTGTATTCGGGTTTGTCGTTTGGATCGTGCTTCGTCCTCAATACGCGGTAGGGCTCTAAGCGCGGAAGAGGACAAAACCGCATTTAAAACACTGCATCTGGCAATCATGGCGTTTGCCTCGCAGTGGACTCAACATGCCCAGAAGGGTACAGGTCTATCTGTCCCAGCGCAAATCGAGTACGATGAAAGAGCCATTCGAGAGAACGTTTGGAATAAGGCAAGGCAAGCCTTGGAGCAATCAACTGGAATACCTTCTTTCCGTATTATCTTCGCGAATATCATCTTCTCCTTGACGCAAAGTCCATTGGACAAGGGGCAGGACTCACGACTCGGTAAGCTGTTAGAGAATGACCCTGCGCCGATATTCCTCGAAACTGCGAACCGCCAGCTTTTCACTCTTCGCCATAAATTTACGAGGCTTCAACGAGAGGCCCCTCAATGTTTGAGAGAGTCTCGAAGAGGGTCGATAGGATCAACAATGACCGACATGTTCGAACTGACCACTCCTTCTCAGTCTCCCAGGGTCGACCCGATTCTCACTAGTCATGACCACCGCAGTACGCTTGGTCTTATGTTCTGGCTAGGAGTCATGTTTGATACCTTAAGTGCGGCGATGTATCAACGTCCCCTCGTGGTGTCGGATGAGGACAGTCAAATTGCATCGGCATCGCCAAGCACGCTTGAAACCGAATACAAGGTCGATCTCGACGGCTGGAATATTCCAGGAAGTAAGGCTTGCCACAAGCATGATGTATGGGGTGATTTCTTTCTCCGTCATCCCGTGGACGGTCGAGAGTATAGCAAATCCCAGCCAAGGTGGCCATGCTCTTACGAAGAAGCGGCCTCTGTACTTTCAGAGGCAACCCCTGTCAAAGTCTTGCTATACCGTCGAGTCACGCAACTTCAAACCCTGGTCTATAGAGGGGCAAGTAGCGATTGCCTAGAAGACGTGATCAAAAAGACCATGCTGGTCTACCAGCACTGGAATTATACATACCAGACATTCATGCTAGATTGCGTCGCTAGCCACCAACTACTTCCTCCTCGCATCCAATCGTGGTACATTATACTTGATGGCCATTGGCATCTTGCTACAATGCTTTTGGCAGATGTGATAGAAAGCATTGACAACGGCAGACTCGGCTCTGACACTGCGCGCCGGGCTCGCGAAGCTACAGACATCGTGTCTAAACTCAGGACAGATAATGCTCTTGCAGTCGGTGCACTGGCTCGCTCCTCACTTAGAGGACAAGAATCCACCATGAACCGCCATTTCCATGATTCTGTGAACGAAGTGGCTTTCTTAGTTGAGCCATGGACTGTCGTTCTTGTTCATTCGTTTGCCAAGGCGGGGTACATCTCTATAGAATGTTTGGATGTGTCTGATGAGCACGATGTGCTAGCTGAGTGCTTCCGGGATAATTGTGAAGCATGTATCGCTGCGCTTCAATATTTAGGGAGAAAGTCTGATATGGCTTGCTTGGTTGCTCAAAATTTGTCGATATCTTTGGATTTGAAACTCGGCCAGAAATTATGGGGATAGAATGTCAAAGCAGGTCATCTACATGTCCATGTGCTGCCGAATATATCAACTCCCATACAATTTACTTACTTTGCTCCTTTGAGTTCCATACGTCCATTATATTTGTCATGAAAAGTTTGATGAAGTAGACACAAACTATGTTCACCCCCGGTCGCGCGAGGATAAAGTGGCTCTCGCCCTAAACTCACAGGGTGGCACCGAGCCCACTACTGGACGCACATAAGCCACACACCATATAGAGTAGTGAGGTCTGATCTAAGGCCTTTGTAAGTCTATTTACTATATAAATCCCTTCCATATTTAAACAAGTACATACGACGACAGCGTGTGGAGAACAGGGCTTCCCGTCCGCTCGGCCGTACTTAATGTGGCTTATGTGCGGTCAATAGTTCGGTGGGTGTCGCCCGGGTAAGAAATGGGTGAGCGCCGCTTTACGGTCGCGCGACTGGGGGTGAGAAGGGTGAGTGTGCTATAGACAGGGTGAGAATCTGGGCGAGAATCCTGCGGACCGGCGCGATCACTGCGCAGGCTGCCCAGCCAGATTGGAGAGCTATATAATTGGGTATGAGCGAGCACAGGCTTTGAAACCACAGCCACGCCTAAGCTTTGTTGATTGGTGACTACTTTATTCGGCAACGATGAATATCTCGATCCCCTGCTAGAAAAAAGGCAAACAGTTGATCGGCCGACAATTTCAAGTTCGCGAGCAACATCAAAAGCTACATTTGATTCAGCACTCAAAACACCTCATCTGCCTCCGAGATATCGACTATGGCTTAAAGTACTGCACTTTTCTTCAATACAGCGAGGATCAAAAGAAAAGTTTCACCCAACGATATTTCGGTTGTCCGTCTCGCCTCGATATCCCTTTCTTCACCTTGCTTAGCCCCCGATTCGAGGCATGGCTGTTCTTGAACACTGAATCACCCCGGAGCCTAAAGATTTGAAACACTGGCAAGATGGCCGTGAAATTGGACTGGTACAAGCTTATGGTGCTCGGGGATAGGGTCAGCGGCAATGCCACATTAACACGTCGAGTGAGTCCCGGTCGCGCAGAATCGCAGTAGCTATGTGTTCACTATCTATAGTTCACAAGACCTGATGGAATTTACCAATGTGGTGGTTGGTTCTCTTTTCGGCTTCATACTGGCAGAGGATGGTCCAGTAGCAGTTGAATAAGTCTTCTATCGATTTGATCGTTTCTCCAGACAATGGCGAATGCACGGCGAAGGGGCGTTTCTCCATATGGTGGCGTGGAATTTGGATTAGCACCACAAAACAAAATAAGGTTGAGAATACCCGTTTTCAAACTGTGGTATAGACAATAGCCATAGCTCATTACCTGATGCAGAGTATGGTCTATGTACTTTTGAGCATTCAAACCAGCGCAATGACGTATCAGAAGCTCCAGAACAGACAGAAATTCGATGATATCTGCGGCCTTTTCTGATGACCATGGTTTGAGAATAAACGCAACATGCTGCATCAGATTGGGAATGCTGGACTTTCCTATTTTCGCCCCATGCCCAAGATGAAGTCTTGCTACCCTCAAATTTCCAGCTAGTGTAGCGGCATTAAGGTAATATTTTGGATGGCGTTTGCTATCATCCTTTGGCGAACCGTCTCACGCAAACTTCAGTTTTGCCACCTATGCTCCATTATCCAAGAGTACTTTGACGACGTCGTGGTGATCGTTTCTCACAGCTTGCTCGAGTGCGGTTGTCCATCTGGGCCGGTGGCTATGGTTCAGCCACGAAGATCTATCTGGACCGACCCCACAGGAGAGTAAAGTGAGCATGCCTTTGGAACACCCGGTGTCTGCCCACCAAATCATGGCTGCGCCGTTTGGGTCTTTGTCAACATTGTGCTTGTAGAGGTCGTGAGAGAGGAGCTCAGATACAAGATGTCTGATTCACAAGGGAGGTTTGATGCAATTATGACGACGAGCTCTGGGGGTAAGGAGGTGAGAGACATCGTGACGGTGAGGTTATCAAGTTAGGTTGAGAAAGGTGTGTGAGGGGGAGGACAAGTGGGACTCGACGGAAGGAGGTGATGAGTGAGAAGAAAGTCGAACGTGAAGAAATAGTAAGGTGAAGTAGGAGTGAAGCAAGGGAGGAGTAAGAAGAAGTAGATGCGGTTGGGTCAATGAATAAAATCAGATCTTGCGTTTCCTGTTACAGGTAACTGGTAAAGCAGACACAGAGTACTTGATGTAGTTCAATTCCAATCGGGTTTAAGATTAACATAGAAACAGATATGTCTGTGGCGAGACATTGTAACATTACGTGTCGAATATACTAGTATTGTGTATTCTTCGCTTGTTAACGCAAGAAAGACTTCTAGTCAGACCACAGGAAATGACTGAATTTGAAGTAAAATAGCGACGCTATTCAAGAAAACGAAACCTATAGACAAGTAAAATCAAACTATCTCTGACACCCAAGTTCCCCAAATAATCCAATCTATTAGAAATAACAGATGATCGGCATGTGCTATTTGGCGGAAGCTAGAATAAACTTCAGCTTCTTGGAGAGCTCTCCAATCTGCAAAACCGCAAGTCAGCATTGGGAAGATAACAAAGAGTCTCCAAATAAGTACTGGGAAAGGGCGGATACTCGCATTTGAGGGTTGCATTATGCTGAAATGATTTCCAGGGACAGAAAAGGAAAAATATGGTTGATCGATATAAGCGATTCCCATCCTCGGGGGCCGGAATCAGTGCGTTTGTCTAGAATCCAGCTCGCAGTGGCATCGGCGGCCAGTGAAGGGTTTGCCCTCCGCCTTGGGTCATTCAATCCATCACACACACCTTCCTGAGCCCATATAATGGATGTACGGGGTGATGAGCCAACCGATATTGGAGAAGGGGCTGGATCGTAGGCACCTAAATTCTTGACAGTTGCGTCAAAGTGGTCAAGCAGAAGCCGGCGCTTTAAATTTGGAAGTGCGGAGCCATCGGTTTTTGTTCCGCCGATAACGCCGATGGAGTTCAAAAACTCGATGAGAGAGTAAGACATGGGAGCCAGCACTGCGGGACATGGAGCATCGATCAGGACCAGGTCGTGTACTTTCTCGCCGGCGTCGATGAGCTGTTTGGATGCTTCATACGCAAGAACACCACCAACGGACCAGCCGCCAAGATGATACGGACCTGAAGGACTGTGGTTTTTGATTGCAGACAGATATATTCTGACGACATCCTCGATACCATCGGTGTAGCGACCCGGGTCATTGACGAAGGGGCAGACTAGACCGCAAATCTCAAAGTCCGCGTGAAGCTGTTTTAGCCCTGCATAGGACGCCGGGGACCCTGAGCCATCGGGAAACAGAAAAAGTGTTTTGCTGCTTGTTGGATTAGACCGTTTCTGGAGAAGGATACAATTTGCTTCACGACCTCTCTCCTTAGTGGAGGGTAGAATCTCTTCGGGTCGTAGATCATTGTTGCCGCTAACCAGAGCTTGCGAAACTTCGCCCATTGTGGTATGATGGATGAAAAATTCCATAGGGAGCTCAACGCCCTGCTCTCGGAGCTTTCCCAGGACAGTCAAGCTCATCAAAGAATCGACTCCCAAAGAGGCAAGGTCTGCTGTTACTTCTAGCTCATCCTCAGCGAGACCGGTCTCCTCCAGGATGATATGTCTCACGAGATGTAAGACATCGTCGGCTGAGCTATCTGGTGTGATGACGTCAAAAAAGGAATTCCCTGAACTTGGAGACGAGCTGTAGTGAGCAGCAGCTTGATCATTCAAGGGGCCCTCGCCCACTATATCGTTCGCGACAGCATGTGGCACTTCATTCAAATAATCCAAAAGTTGAGAAATGGTAGAAAGTTCAAGAAAGTTGCTGTGAGTATTATCGAGGTCCATCTCCTCGCGAAGTCGGCTTACCAGTGTCAAAGCCATGAGGGAGTCAACTCCGAGCTCACTCAGGTTATCTTTGGGAGATATTTCGGATGCCGCTAGACCAAGCTCTTCCGCGATCAAGTCGAGCAGGGAGTTAGCTGACTGTTCAGATTGTCGTTTGACTTCTTCGGTTGTGTTGCTATTGACCTGCGTTGGTGGCGCTTGAGCCTTTGGAATAACAGGTTGCGAATGTTTCTTGTTCGGTGCGACTTGTTTGGTGATCTCTTTGGCGGCATTTACTCCAACCGGCGGGAGAAGCATATCAAGAATGCTTCGTGGAACGCGTTGGAATCGAAGATCTTCGATCACACCGACAATTTCTCCCTCGTGCAAAATCCAGACGTCACCTCCAAACATTGTTTTATCAACCGGTAACATTCGAACGTAGGTTTGATATTGACCACCAGAAACGAGATTCTTGGCGAAGCGCATACTCTCCCATCCATGAGATATGTAAACGGCATCTTGGTAGTTGATGTTCTCATTTCCATTCATGACAAAGCCTGACAGGTGAGCCAAAGAATCAATCCAGTAAGGACTGCATTGGAACGAGGCGTCATCGCCTCGCTCATCCAGGCTGACCGTGGCGGAAGCCTCATAAAGATTGCTCGCTAGAAGAACCTGCCTCATTCGTTGGTACTCAGGCGCATAGTCAACCAGGCTGCTGAAAAGTCGATAGACCAAGCGACTGGTAATTTTACTTATTTCTCCCAGATTTGCCTTGGTTTCCAGTTCCTTGATGTGTCCTTGTACCAAGTGAAGGCTATGCGACCAACGTCGAAGCCACTTCTCTGGCGAGCCATACTCGACAACACAATTGGCATGCCTGGTTGCTACCTTTTGCCCTTGTGTAATAGAATTATATTCGAGACGTACTTGTTGTGAGATTTTGTCGACGTGCGCAATGACCCGCAAGATGCGATTCTCGTGCTGTCTGGGAGACTTTATAATCAATGGCTGTGTTACCTCCATACCAGTGACGTTTAGACCAGGTAATTTGATACCGGCATGAATCTGCTGCTGGATGTGATGGGCGATGGTCTGAGCAACATCTGCGTATATGGACTATATATATGTATTAGCAATTGCCATTTTGTTTGAGGTCGTGTTCACAGCGAGGATGGGCTGACCGATGGACAAAGAGCGGAACCATTAACACGATGTCCACTAACGGCGGCATAGATTTGGGAATCCCAGAGATCCGTTTCGAAAACCGCGATCGGATTAGAACCATTGTAGTTCTCTTCCACGACCCGGTGGACAGAGCTTGTCAGCTTCTTCGCAGATAGTTCAACTCTGTCGGAGGGTTGAATGGTGGGTAAAGCATCCCCTTTGCCCAGCGTCCAGTCATTCCGGTATTCCTGCCAGTATCGTTTGTTGTCAAAGGCATAGGAAGGAAGAGAGAGAAGCCGATGTGTGTGGTCGAAATCGCGGTGATACTCGGACCAATTTATCGAGAAGCCCTGGTCATGCAAAGAAGCTAGACCGCTCACGATCACTTTCCATGGCTTCTCCTTCCGCTTCAATGTTGGAACCTTGAGATGTGCGTCGCCCAATACGCCTTGAATCATGCCCAGACAAATTGGATGTGGGCCGATCTCAATGAACACCGAGGCTTCATTGACCAGGCCCTGATCTTGTGCTGACTGCACAGCATTGGCAAATTGTACCGTGTGCCGGCAGTGCTGGCGAATATAATTTGCATCAATTCGTTCCTCTGCAGCAAGTGGACGGCCAAAATAAGAGCTCAAGATAGTAATTTGCGGTGCACCGAAATTAATCGCCTTGGCGACCTCTCCTAGGTTATCAAGTATGGGATCGACCTGGGCCGTGTGGAACGCAAAAGAAACTTGCAGCTTAGTATAACGAATCTTTGCTCCAGATAAATGCACCTCCAGCTTCTCGATCACCTCTCTTCTGCCAGCAAAGACGGTTTCCCGGGGACTGTTGGAGCAAGCAATTTCGACTTCCTCGGGGAAGGTAGACAGCAGCTCCCCAACAACAGCAGATGATTCTGATACGGCCAGCATAGAATGGGTATACGGCTGACAGTGAGTCTCTAGCAGACGCGCCCGGTGGCCAACGAGGAAAATGGCATCGCTGATAGAAAGGACGCCAGCCACTTGAAGAGCCGCGTACTCACCGAGGCTGTGACCAATGACTGCAGTGGGCTTTACTCCCCATGAGCGCCACAAACGAGAAAGGGCCATTTGAATGGACACTAGTCCGACCTGGGTCTGAATAGCGGATAGCTGATTGATATCAGAGACTGTCCCATCAACCAGGGGAATAAAAGACGGGTATCCTTGCTGCCTTGCAATCCCGTCGAATAGCGAGATATCAGCGCGGAATTGAGTCGATTTTGCGTACAGTTCCTGAGCCAGGGCAGCATAGGTTGCACCCTGGCCGGTGAAAGAAAAGATCACTGAGCGTTTGTGGCTCGACAGAAGTGAGTTATATGGCGCCAGTCCCTGTTTGTTTTGCAGAGCCACTCGGATCCGTTCAACTGTCGGCTCGGCGACTGTTACTCGAAAAGGATGATGGGTTCGACGAGCGGTTGTCGTATAGCTCAAGTCTCCTGGCGAAATATCTGGGTTACTGATGGTATATGCAATCATTCTTTCCAGGTTGTTCTTCAATGCCAACGCTGTATGCCCGGAGACCGTGACTGCGTGCAAGGGACGAAGGTCCTCTTCCTCGCGGGCACCGGGCTTAGGGGGCTCTTGGATCAACAGCGCAGTATTGCCACCCTTTTTAGTTTTGTGGTCAGCAAATGTGACTCTTTCTGAATCTCAGTAGAAGAACTTACAGCGGCGCTGAAATTATTGACGAGCACCGTTCGCTTCGGGCCTCTTGGTGCTGGCAAAGGGGTTTTGGCCGTCGCGATTCGGACACTGTCAGAAAATATCAGAGATGGCCATGTTAATATGTCATCGAAGTCTCACTTTCGTGCTTCGAGATCTGGAAAGCCCTTGTTGATCTCATTTTTGATCCCAACATGGGGTGGAATAACCCCTTTCTTGAACATCAGTATGGACTTTATCAAAGATGCGACTCCAGATGACTATAGTCAAATTAGCTTTTCTCAAACTAGAAATAAGAGAATAGCGCAGTGTTTACAGCTTCTCCATGCCCTATGTTTGCCTGAATTACGGAGTTAGTATCAGATTGAACCGCCACGATGAAAATTGGATCGGCTCACCTTGATAGCTCCCACATACAATGGATTATTAGCAGGTCGGGAAGGACGAGCAGGAGCAAATACATCCGTCACTGAGCGCATCTCTGTTCCATCACCGGCCTGCGTCCCAGTGCCATGCATCTCAACGTAGCCAACATCAAAGGGATCCACACCTGAATGCTGCAGAATCTCACGATATAAGTTAGACTGTGTTTCGGCATGTGGGTGCGTAATGCTAATTGCCTGTGCCGAATGGTTTGTAGCAGCACCAAGAATAACGGCGAGAACATTGTCATTGTCAAGCTCAGCATCACAAAGCCGTTTAATGACAACTGTTCCGACACCATCTGCGCGACAATAGCCGTCGGCATCATTGTCAAATGTCTTGCATGACCCGGTCTTCGAGAGGAACTGGCCTCGACTCAAGCCAGAGAATAGGTCGGGCGATGTGAGCACGCTCAATCCACCGGCTACTGCTGTGTCACAATCACCGCTCCACAGAGACGTACATCCAAGCTGAATTGCGGCCAAGCTGGAGGAACAGGCAGTATCGACATTGAAGCTCGGGCCCTCGAATTTGAAATAGTAATTGATTCGTCCCTGAAAGAGTGAGCCGTCTTGAAATGTAGAAGCAAGGAATAAATATTCGGACACCTACAGGTCCAAATGCGCGGATTCCACCAGTGATGAAATAAGTTCCAATATCTTGCGATGAGTTCACATCACGGTAGTCATCGCTAGTTTGGCCGTAGAAGGTTCCAATGCGATTCAAAGCCGTTGATCGTGTTCTGTTGGGAACATATCCGGACATTTCCAATGCCTCATAAGCTGTGACAAGAGCCAGCCGTTGCATGGGATCTGTCTGCAGAGCTTCTTTCGGGGACATGTTGAAAAATCGAGGATCGAAGTCTCCAGGTCGGTCAATGAAGCAGCCGTATGGTGTCCAACTGGTGTTCTTTGCCTTACCGTTCGGGTCGACATGCTTCTCAGCATCGAAGCGGTCTTTAGGAATCTAATTTGACTCATCAGCACCTCATCAATGCGACCGACGGCGAGCTGTGCTTACCACTCGATGCATGTCAAGACCGGCCTCCAAAACACTCCACAGCTCTTCAACACTTTCTGCACCAGGGAATCGACCCGACACACCAACAATAGCAAGGGGGGCATTGTTGTATGCTCCTGATGGCTGGAACTGGTCCTTCCGAGAATCAAGAGTGATCAAATCCTGAGTGACGACGGCTGCCTCCGTTCTCGACCTAAGTGCCGATGCAAGGCCCTCAGCCGCTGCAGTTGGTCCGACCACATGCAACGCGATGGAGGCGGTGCCGTTTGCTTGAATTTGGGCGACTAACTCGTCAACCACCAGGTCGAAGCGCAATGGTGCTTGCAACGTGTGATGTACAACACTTTTAAATAAACCAAGAGAGTTTGGAGCATCGACCGGCCTTCCCGTCAGAGGACAAAGGAGAGTCTTCCGCGTTGGAAAGCTAGCCAAAAACTCCGGGTTGACACCCGCTCGGTTGAGGAAACTGGGAAAATCCAAAACTCCGTGTATATGTGAAGCATGGTATGCTCCGTAGATCGGGAGCTCCCTCATCCTCTTGCTAGGATCGGACTCGGTCAAGTTTTCCGCGAACCGACGCAAGGCAGGTGGTGATCCACTGACTGTAACACCGTTCAGGCCAATGGCACTGATAAAACATCGGTGGCGGAGAGACAAAAGACCACCAGCATCATAAATCTTAAGCGCCGAAAGTACTTCATCCTCGCTTATTTTCGAGATGGCAGTTGACCAGCTTTCCAATGTTGCGCCCTGCTCGTGCAGCATACTGCTGGCAGTTGCTACCTGCAACCCCATCTGAAAGGCGATGGAAACTGTAGGCACAGCCAGAGCTTTGAGATCATCAAGAGATGAGCAGCAGGCGTATGCTGCCGCAACCAGGGATCCGGTGCAGAGGCCAACGACTGAGATTTCGTCGTGATTTTCGGGTTGACGAGCCCTTGCTTCGTAATATCGAAATAGTTGCAAGAATTGAACAACCGCCAGAAGAGTACTGGAGATGGCAGGATGGCAAGCTCCATTGCTTTCATGATATATAGTGGCGAGGTTATGGACAGTGTCAAAACGTGGTAGGTGTTCCCGATGAAACGGACGAAGTCGATCACTCAAGAGGCTCAGCGTGGTACTTACATCTCGAGCAAAATCGCTCTGAGCAACACTCTGAGGAGCGTCTAACAATAGTCTTTTCGCCAGCGAAGAAACATTGCCCACTTGGTCCCCGAAGAGAACTAGGTGACGTTCTTCTGTTTGATTTGGCCGGCGCATGATATCTGCAAAATGTACAAAATATGATGAGGGTATTGATGCTGATAGTTCAAGCTCCTAATTGATGCTAGGTCATACGCACGGCTTTATAATGGAATAACAGCAACCTTAGCCATCGACACGACTATCGTCGTTATCTCTTAGCTTCGATTTTCATGTCGAGTCGAAATCTCGTATTCTGCGCATTGTACTACCTTGCGCCATACGCTCTCTCGATTGCAATCTCTCCTTCTTCACAATGGGCTCTATAATACCCGTCAAGCCAATCTGCAGAGACAGAGCTTTCGTTCCAAGTAGATCTTATCACCTCATCCACGTGTCGCACGATCTTACACCTGGCTTGTGTCATTGTCTCTGTCTGGAGGAGGTGCCGCAGTTTGTTCGGAGGATAGCATGGGGTGAATAAAAACAGATGAAACGAGGCGTTGAAATCCTCCGAAAGTCTAATTTTTATCGGAACCTACTCTTCGTCCGTTTCGACTCATCCGTACGTTCTCGGAAGTCGCCTTCGGGCCGATATTTGAGTTTATTGCACAAAGGTCTGCAAGCATGGTCTTCCTATTCTATATTGGGGTGTACCCTGCCTACAGAAATACTCAATCGATTGCATACCAAGACACGGGTTGTGGGGGCCAGTGGTTTCCCGTGAAACCATTTAGGATTTACGTACTACTCAATGGCATGGCGACTCAGAACAAATAGTTTTGCAATTTGCTGTAACTTGAAACAATATCTCTCTAGAAGTGGAAAACTCTGAAAATCAATCTAAGGCATAGAACGTCAAAAGGACCAGCAGCATCGGGTGACAAATCTTAACGCCTGCGGAAAAGAGCACGCGCGGTTTGGTTAGGCTTTCGAGAACGATCATACCAAGAACCCTTGGGCAAATTAGTTGGATCTTCAAGCCGGATATCGTAACTCTGCAAAGCATGAGCCAACAATAGTTTTATCTCCTGTGCTGCAAAGAAGCGTCCAGGACATGCCTCCTTGCCGTGTCCAAAGTTGATATGTGTCGGAGATGTAGTCACAAACTGGTGTCGATTTTCGTGACCGGGCTGCTCTCGAAGCCTAGAAAAGCGGAACGCATCAAAGGTCGACGCATTGGGATAGATATTGTCATCCAAATACATCGCATACATTGGTGCTAGAACATAGGAGCCTTTGGGGACAGTTGTGCCGTCAGAGAATGTGAAATCCTGAATCACCGCGCGAGTCAATTGGGCTATGAAATAAGCCGTTAGCTGTGAAGTTTGATCCTGAAGTTTGAAACTCACAGCTGGCAAGAGGTGAAAGCCTCTGGCTTTCAGTCAAAAAGCTGTCGAGCTTTCGCATTTGACTCAATGCTCGGCCCGACCATCCGTGCTCCTGGACTGCGCTATCAATCTCGGTTCGAAGCTCTTCGTGAATTTCAGTATGGAAGGCCAAGTCCAACATTGCGTTGAGATAAGTGACGCTGGTTGTATGCACTGCCGCCACATTCAAGTGCAGTAGACGAAACATCAACCGCTCCGGATCTCTCTCGCTGGAATTTGGTGCCGCGTCCATGACCCATTGAAGGGAATCAAGGGGAGGCTTCTTAATTAATCCATCACTTTCTTCCTGCAAACGAGCTTTGATGTACGGGATGAGATGTTTTCGAGCTACCCTCTGCCGTTCCTTAACGTTGGTCACAAATTGCGTGACCGTTGAGCGAAGGAACTTAGGCCAGGCGCGAAGCTTGTCAGCTCCTCCGAATACATCTATTGTATACTTAATAGACATATCAAGATACTCCTCATTTCGACACAACGGTGCCCCGACGAGTACTCTATTGGCAGTTCGGGTTGCGATCCGATGAGCTGCTCTAGACATCACGACCGCCGTCCAGTCTACACAAAGATGAGAAAGGACCAAAGTTGACGGGGTCTGGGAATCTCACCGATTGGGTTTCCTATCTCGTCTCCAAATGACAATTTTATTTCGTCGCGAATATCATCGATTTTGTTCTCCAGGTTGGGCGTGAGATGTGTCTTGACAATGTGGAAATGAAATTTCTCTGTCTCGACGATTGGAGACACTGTGTATCTAGTTTGAAGCACCTGACACTTTTATGAGATAAATTTCTCTCATAATAGTGGCTCTGCTTACATCGTTTGCCGACTCTTTAGCACTCAAATGCGTTGGCGGTGCGGTGCGAATTTCATCCACAAGTTTAGGCGGCACAACTACAATCCAACGGATGGGCGTCCGAAGTTGAAAGAATTGCCCGTGACGAGAGAACTAAATTGATGGCTGGTGAGTATAAGCCTGTTGAGACAATCCTTGGGAGGTTACCTTTTCGTAGCCAGCTCTCAAGGTTCCAGCACTGTCATGAACATAGTGCAGCGAGTCCTTCCAGCGACCTCGCCAGCCCGAATACCTACTATAGACAGGAACACTGGCCCGCGGAGGGATCAATCGGATGCCAATGGTAATAGCGACAGTTACCAATAATAAAATTGACCAGGAGCTCTGAAGGAATGTCCCAACCGTTGGATCTCTCAAGATAGCCATGTTGATCACAATTGCAGTATAATTGAATTCATGTTAATCGGGGATTCACTTGATGTATACTCAGTATACTCAGTACACTATGTTTGTTTCTTTTGCCGTGATTGTCGCCATGTTCGTCTCGAGCGCCACAATTCCCCATGGAGGAATGAATGGACGATCGCTTCGCTTTGGCCTCTCGCGATTCACAAGATAGAATGTCCTCTAATCGGGATCCCTGCAAATGCTATTTTGGGCTTTTCCTGATGCAGACGATGGACCCTGATGATAACATTCATGAAATCATTTGTGACATCGTATTTCCCTGTTGCGTTGGAAAACGTAATTGCGGGACCTTTCTGGATATATTTCTTCGGGTCGTGGTTCAACTCACTATCCCATCCCGCCTGTTCAACTCGCCGACCGAACACAGCAATTCAGCATTGAAGGGAAAAATGGCCGACTCTGTGGAAGACAAACTATCGATTAAAATTCCTAATACAGAGGCAAACAGCACCCAGCCATCTGACGCAGAAGGAGAAAAAGAAGCCAGCCCAATTCCACCACAAGGTCCATTGGTCCCTCCTCCTCCCAATGGCGGGCGTAAAGCATGGTTGCAAGTAGCAGGAAGCTTCTTGCTTATTTTGAATACCTGGTGAGAGAGATATCCTCTTTAAGGTTCTTGAAAACCAATTGTGCTGATAATTTAGGGGACTGGCAAACTCATTCGGCGTCTTCCAAGCCTACTATACAACAACACTCCTACCTCAGTCCACCCCCTCCGCCATTTCATGGATCGGTTCCATTCAAGGCTTTTTACTCCTTTTCATCGGAGTTCTATGCGGACGTGCATTCGACGCTGGGTACTTCTTCCCGGTCGTGTCACTGGGTATCTTCCTTGAAGTGTTTGGGATGATGATGACCTCACTGAGCACAAAGTACTATCAGATTTTCCTCGCTCAAGGCCTTTGCGTTGGTCTTGGATCTGGATGCCTTTTCACGCCCGCCATATCGCTGGTAGGCACTTACTTTTCGACTCGACGTAGTCTCGCAACTGGAATCGCTGCCAGCGGGAGCAGCGTTGGCGGAATTTTGTATCCTATCATTGTTCGCCGGCTAATTGTGCAAGTCGGATTCCCTTGGGCTGCTCGTTCTATGGCATTTATCATGCTCGGTACTCTGGGAATTGGACTTGCCTTGCTCAGACCACGATTGCCGCCTCGTCGGTCGGGCCCTCTGGTAGACTTTGCAGCGTTCAAGGATCCCGCCTACGCGACCTTTGTAGTTGGGTTGGCTTTGGGATTCACCGCGTTTTTCATTCCATTTTTCTACGCGGAAAGCTATGCTCTCAACATCGGAGTGGACTCCGAGCTGTCATTCTATATCCTGAGCATCATGAATGCTGGAGGCATGATCGGACGAATGTTGCCCAATGCTATCGCAGACAAGTATGATTTTATTTCTCTTTGAGTGACCCGCAAGAAACTAACGGTTATAGAATCGGTAATTTGAACGTCATCGTACCGTGTGGCTATATATCTGGTATTATCGTGCTGGCCTGGGTGTCAGTGAGAAGCCAAGCAAATCTCATCGCCACTTCTTTCCTGTACTCCTTCTTCTCGGGAGGCTTGATGGCGCTACCACCAGCCGTTCTCGTTGGTTTAACACCGGAAATTAGTCAAATCGGTGTGCGAGTTGGCATGGCTCTCAGTGTTGGGTCATTGGGTGTGCTAATCGGCTCTCCCATTGCGGGTGCCATTCTATCCAGCGAGAGTCATCCAGAAGAGCGCTTGGACTTTACGGGGACTCTCATCTTCACAGGTATTGTACTACTCGCGACCGGGGCGTTTATGAATGCCACTCGCTTCTTCAAGCATGGATTCAAGTCAGGCAAAGTCTGAGCTTCGAGCCGCAGACTGTGGGAACAGACGTGGGTAGATCGGATCCTTTTGTGGGCAATTGAATTAGACGGTATTGGATAGCGACATGTGGGATCAACATATCTTTTGCGACATTGTCTTAGACGGAAATTATATAGATAGCAGAATGTACCTGGTACCTCTGGTTCCTATACAAAATACGAAATTCCATGAAAATCGCTTTATGATTCTATAATCTTATCTCTAGTATTCTATGAATGAATGTCTGTCATCACAACCCGAAAATCAGCTATCAATGAGCTCCGCATCATATTATAAAGGTCCAACCCGTCCGTCTCATCAAGGTTGCAAGCTCTTTGATCGAGCCTTTCCAACAAGCGGGGAACCTTTCCAACGTCAAGGAGAAAGATTTGCTTTTTCAACGACCTTTCATCCGCTTCATCTAACTGGTACGAGCCCAATGTAAGTCGAGTAGTCTGTGGTGGGCTTCCGAGGTGCTTCTCTGCTTGTGGATGGACCAAGAGATTGAAATAATCGGACTGACCACTCGACGTAGGTGAAATCGATAAAGTCGGATTGGCCACGTGTATAGAATATGGGGCTGACGCCAGATTCATTTCTGGTGTATTGATGGACTTCGCACTGAGTCGCAGATGGAAGAGTAATTGATAAAGCTTAAGGGATTTTCGTAAAAGTATTAGAATGAGGAGTCGGGTAGTGCTGTCGTGCACAGTAGAGCATCTAATCGAGTTGCATACTGTGAGCAACGCATCTTTGTTATGTCGGAGTGCGACATCCAGGCCCAAGGATTGTAGATCAGTCCTCTGGGCCTTTTCCAAGGCTTGTAAAGTTGACCCAAAGCATGCGCAAGATCTTTTATCATTGCCAAATTCGCCAAATTGTCGATCGGTGGGCGTTGAGAGCGGCAATCTCGTTGCGAACTCCGGAAACGCGATAACGGACTCTCCATGAAGTGCCTCACTGATTGAAGGAGGGTCCATAGAGACCCATCCGTTCAATGGTGTATCGAGTGTTGCCGTTTCAGGAAGAGCCCCGTCGCCAGTGAGGCCCTTTAATGATAAATGTAAGTCGCCAGGCTCATCGTCGTCTTTGCCCTGACTTGGAGTGGACATGGTTGACGCTTCTGGGTTGAATGAAGGATTCCTCACAGTTGGAACTCGGCCCGGTCGACCGGGGGGACTGTGAAAACAGGGAGAATATAAGCTAATACATCTTTGGCATCCAGATGGTGTTGGAACGCATTTTACTTTGGCTTGGTAGCAGTTATCGCACGCGGCTCGCAATGAGGGCTTCGAGGAGCTCATCTCGAGGTAGAGAGATAATCAGGGACCTCCAGAATGAAGTTTGTTGCATATGACTTTGGCTTTTTTTTTAGTTCTTATTATTGGTACCCTGCGACGCTATAAAGGATACGAGGTCTTTGACCACATTATCAAATGTAGGTGGCTTGTCTATCCGCACAGAATGTCGTGCTTGAACAGGTACGGTTTTCAAATCAAGATAAATCGTATTTTTATCACACAGTGCGTTATTGATGCGATATATATCGACCCTGATTCGTCTATTTCTTGGATAACATGATTCAACTCAAGGCTAATACGATAGGCCAGGGACAAAGAGGTTAGTGGTATGTGTAGAAACTGTTGAGGTATGTGCGCCCTATCTTGAAACGATATATCAAGATACGAATGACGCCATAATAACCCCCCATGGCATTCTGCAGCTTAATACGAGAAACGCAAATTCAAATTCAACTATGATCGATGTTTGATTGCCCCTGGTTGAGGTTTCTTGGTTTCCACTAACAATCTAGATTCAAAATGGCCAGGTTGAATATTCCGCTTATTCTCCGTAACTTAGTTATCTATCACAGACCCTGAAAATCGAGTGAGGCATCACCGTCTATCTTATACTAAGCAATCTCAAGCCTTCATCCATCACCAATATACCCTCTCAGATCTTCCTCCGTGGAATTCCACTTTCTCCGCCTATTGTGCTCTCTTTCCGCGACTTTCGAAAGGCAATAGCACGCTGAGGATGATAAGAAGTGCGTACAGGGCAGCACAGACAAATAGAGGTGTGGTTGTCTCAACGTTCGCGTAGCTTCCCACAATAACTCCTACAATGCCTCCGATGCGGTTGAATATCACACAGATGGCATACCCAGTGGCGCGGTGCGCCGACGGCAAAATCTCCGGAGTGTACGCATACATAGTTCCATAATAGATATTCCTGTAACCAGCTAGTTAGACATCATGAGAGGAAGAAAGGAGCTCATCACTTACATCGCAGCAGATATGGCAGCAGACACGCCGATATTTTGGGCTGGAGTCTTGATTTGTGTATATCCAAACTGTAAAACCATGGTCAAGAGCGCGCCCAAAGCCATGGTGCCTCGACGGCCGAACAGTTTGGTTTCAACCAAAACCCCAGCAATGACAGGACCAACCAGGCCAACGACTTGATTTATCGCATAGTTTCTCCAAGTGAGATAGTTGGAGCTGCTACTGACTTTCACTCCCTGGGATTTGAGATAATATGGAAGGAACACATGGTACAAAGGACTGACAATCCCAATCACGAACCAGTTGAGCATGATCACCAGGAACGACCAAGTCAACCGCTTAGTTTGAAAGAGACCACTGAAGTGTGCCTTGATCCGGACAACGGACCAGGCTGATTTTTCTGTGTTCTTCACATTCCCTTCGCCGCGGAGCTCTTCCAAAGTGAGATCAAATTGTCGGTTATGTTTTGCCGACAAATCTCTCAAGAACTGGATTACCTCTTCATCGCGATTTTGAGAGACGAGCCATCGGGGCGTTTGCACGATGCGAATTAGAAAGACTCGTAATAAGCTCAACACGAGCGTAACGCCACCAATGGTGAAATGCAAGTACCGCCATCCCATATTGTCTTGGTAGGTACATGTCCCTGGCGCGGCAGAAGAGGAACAAGTGTAGTTGCTCATAAATGCCCATGCAAGCAGGCCTGTAATGGTATATCCCACTGCCCACCAAATGGACATGAAGGTAACGAGCCAGGATTTAGTCGCAGGCAGAAATTCCAGGAGAGTAACCGAGTCCAGGATGTAATTCCCGCCAACTGCCGCAGAGTAGAGAGCAACCCTATGAATAACATTAACAGACCATTACGGCGCCTGAAGAAGGGTAGAACCAACAGTGTCGCGAATGAAATGTATCCGGGCATCCCACCCGCGATAATTGTAAATATTGCCGCCAGCAACAAGGAAGAGTTGAAAGCAAGTCGGCGACCAATGATATCTGCCGATAGGCCCCAAATAGCTGCGCCCGCCAGAAGACCGATTTGAGATGCCAGAGCAATCCCCTTCAGGGTTCTGTCTGGGCTGCCGTATTGCATGGTAACTGCGGGCAGTGCTATGGACTGACATATTACCAAGAGCTGAAAGAAATTGTTAGCGGTGGTCTTTTTGTCTGACCATAAATGCAAGGCTCTTACCGAGTCGACCGTGTAGCCAAAACCGTTCAGAAAGAATAGCTTCCATTGAAATGAAGTCATGCCAATCTTGTCGATGGCAGTGTTGATAAGTGCCAGCTTTTTAGCCAAAACGGGGTCAAAGACGGAACTATCGAACACATCTTTGGATTCAACGACATAGTTCGTAGCTTCTTTGCGAGCTGGCTCCGAGAAGACAGATTTTTCAGTTCCTGGCATGGTTTTCCTGTGCTTTCGCGAGTAACAGGTGTTAAAAAAGAGTTAAGCCTTTCAGAACATGTTCAACGGTTCCAGAATATGTCTTCCATCAAGCAATATATTAACCACCCAGACGCGCGCATGGAGCAGCGCACAAGCACACAATAGCGCCATCGAAAAAGTCTAGCTTAACGTTAGATAACTTCCGTGTCTTAGCGCCATTAAGTTATCCTAGTTGAAACAGTGACTTGTGAGAAGAAGGCGCCATCAACGCGCAATATGAGTACTAGATTTGCCAGTTTAAGCCTTTTCGATCTCCAGGCACTGTAAGATAGGCACCTGCAGATCGTTCCCATCCTATCCGCCGTCGGAGCTTTGAATCGGAGGGTTGAAATGGCGCCAACGAGGGAATCGCATTGGCCCGCTCTTTAGTGTGAGCACTGTCCCTCTCCGATGGTGCTCACATCCATTTTATCAAGTTGTATTCAAGAACAACAATAAAGGAGAATTCGAGATTCCGCCACTCGATAATCCAAAACGCAAATCGGCTTCGCGTCCCTTCCGTTTCCCGAACTATCACCATGCCCCGAGCTCTCGCCAAAGTAGGCGACCGCATCATCGCAGAGACATCGAGTTGGAAGACTGTGGAGAATAACATCTATGTAAGCTTTACGAGATTTAATTCGCAATATTGGCTAACTTCAAATATAGTTTCCTCGCTCAGCAATCATCGATGATTCCATTTTGCAAGACTCCGATCATTCGACCTTTTGCTCTTGGAAAGGCTACGCCTCTTACTGGCATGTAAGGGTGGACGGGCAGACATTTGAAAATGCAGCGTGGTATTACCGGGAACCCTACGGTGCAGCGGCGGATATCAAGAATCATGTTGCTTTTTGTAAGTCACTTTTCGTCTTTGGGTTGGTTTCTGGTCGCGATTTCTTGTTATATCTCACACCCTATTTCGGATAAACAGATGGTAACAGAGTCAAAATATTACAAGAGCCTTGATAAGGATGAATAGTATGTAGCAAAATTGATGGGCCTGTGAACATCAATGGTGCGCATGCAGCGTTGGAGGTTTTTCATTCCGCCGACCGGCCTAGGCGGGATTATGAGGGTTAGGGCAATTATATATAGAAGTCTTTGATATACGTCCCTACGCCATCTCTATTATCGCTGGTTTCCTCGCTATAGGTAGCCCTGAATTCTAGCTGGCACAAAGTGAATAGGCGACCTTATTATTCTCATAGATCCGAGATGGAGGCACATTTGATTTGTCTAATAATTTTAGTACGATGCGTCAGTGCTACAGGCGAATAGAATAACCTCGATTATCCCAGTATATAATGGTTAGGGTGGTCTATTAATAAAGGGCGTCACCAAAAGGACCCCCACGTTGACCGTTCGGACCCTACCTACGTTCACTAAACCCGATTAGGTCTCATGCAGTAATTGTATTTCCAATGCATTAAACTGTAAAAATGCATCAATTCTTGGCAATGTTAATGCCCCGAGAATTGGCGGTCATGAATCTGAGGTACTGCTATTTACTATGCAGCCCCCACAGCCCAAGGAATTCAACACGTGCCCTGCTGAAATGTTTACATCCGCGATGCCTCGAGAGACTCCTAGCAGTTCGAACGCGACGCATACAGACCCGGACTATTTACTGGGCCATTTTGTCTAGATAGACTTTATTGTGCACAGTGCCGTGCACAGTGCCGTAGCAAGAGTATTCTGTTCATCGTTGTCCTTGAAAAAGAGTAACATGCTGTCACTGCTGAAGAGGAGGCTTGCAAGTAGTCATCCGTTTCTTGACGAGGAGAACAACATACACTCTAGTTTACTCGACGGCTTAAACATTATAGTTTGTCAACCGACTATAATCTTCAATAGCAAAAATTCATTGTGTTAACGCAAGCCATGGCCGGCCCACTTAAGTAAATAACAAGCTAGTCCTGAATCGTACTTTTTGAAGACCAATTTTCATATTGAGCAACAAAGCTACAATGGTTCCTCGTGGCAATACTGTACAACTCTACCGTTTGCCTCCAACCTTCGCTTTTTGATCCACCTCCCCCGACCTTCTCTAATACTAGCACCGAAAGGTTCACGGGTCTTGCGTGAGATTCAAAATAATTTTTCCCATCACAATCTTTTAGTCTCGGGTTTTTTTATTATTATTATTATTATCATTATTATTAAGAAAAAAGGTCGAGGTCGGATGAGGAGATGAACTTGCGTCCAATTTTGGCTAAGTCACATTACCTTTTGCTGTTCCTCGAGTCGGGAAGAGATATCCATCAAGTTATGTAATCAATTCTTTCCGAAATAACGTTATGGTTGGAAATTATCAGAAACATGATATTCCAAAAATCATTCAAGGCTCATTTGATGTGTTGTATCTGCCATGTAAAGGCCAAGGAAGCCTTTGCTGGACGTTTCCCTCCTCCAAAGATGGATGGCCGACGCCCAGGAACTGTCCCCCGCCGAGCTTCCGCATGAAATTTCGTGGCAACCAATCACAGAGCTAGATATTACCTGGCCGCCGAGAGCCGCGAAAGGAGCAAACGGTTTTCTTAACTAGAGGAATGTGCCACTGCAACTAGAAACCCCGGCTAACTCTTCCGTAGGCGTCTCCTTTTTCCTTGGACTAGGTGTTATTGCTCTGAAATGCGCTAGCTATGTCTTTCGTCACAAGAGTACGGTATACTTGGACGTGGATCGCACCTGTCCCTGTTTTAGAATTTCCACTAGAAACCTCGTCCAATTGAGTTTGCCCATATTAAGGAGATTACTTGTATAAATTTGCGACGCGTACAGTTTCACTCCCGGAAATCATCCCACGCCTCTCCAGAATATCCATATCTCTTATATGACATTAGTGGCAAGGTTCATCAAGGAATTTAGGCCTAAGAATTGGACGTTGCAATTTCGTAGCAAAACACGAATAACCTCTGCATTCACATAAAGGCACAGGGAAAACAAATAGCTCCATCTGACAAAAACCTGAACCGAGGTCATCAACACAGTCAATAACACCAGACCACGATAGCCTCTTCAGGCTATGATAGAGGGACTGGTTAAATTTAACAGCGAACCGACACATTTAGTCGTACTTGTCGTCGTTCTTGTCGTCGTTCTTGTCGTCGTACTTGCCGTCGTTCTTGTCGTCGTGCTTGCCGTCGTTCTTGTCGTCATGCTTGCCGGCGTACTTGTCGTCGTACTTGTCGTCGTGCTTGCCGTCGTTCTTGTCGTCATGCTTGCCGGCGTACTTGTCGTCGTACTTGCCGTCGTTCTTGTCGTCATGATTGCCATCGTTCTTGTCGTCATGCTTGCCGGCGTACTTGTCGTCGTACTTGCCGTCGTTCTTGTCGTCATGATTGCCATCGTTCTTGTCGTCGTACTTGCCGGCGTACTCGTCGTCGTTCTTGCCGTCATTCTTATCGGCGTACTTGGGATCCCAGTCGCGCTTATCGCCGTGCTTGTTGTTCCAGCCGTGCTTGTCGTCATGCTTTGGGTTCCAGTAATGATTGACAGCCACATCGGTGGAGCGCGAAAGTGCATCAGGATGCTCGGTCAGGGGGAGAGCACTAATTGCAGGCACAAGGGCAAATGCCCCAAGAGCATAGAATTTAAATAACATGGCGTCGGAAACAACTTCTTTCACGAGGTAGAAATGTGTGGGATGAATCATTCCACCCAAGGATTGTCTACCCTTTTATAGCCTAACGAGGAACCTTTCAACGGAATACTCTCATTCCTTCAAGTCTATAGGAGGTAGTATCTAGAATATTTTTACATGCATTTTCACCCTTCCGGAGACCTAAGCCCCCAATGAAAACCAAGTAGCTTTGGTCATGTAGACTATACTCATTCTACTACTTTCTAAATGCATCCGTTAGCTTGATATTCATTCAATGAGCTGTTATGATACTTGTTAGTAAGGTCTAGAAGTGACCTAGCACCGACAGCGACCACGAAAGGCTTATAGTTATAGTTGCCTTAATGACTATACAGGCACTAAGCAAGAACTCGAAGCCATACGCCTGAGATGAGATTATATGATGTTTTTAAAGAGGCTGATTTATAAAAGAAGTGAGGACTCGGCCCATTCCTATAGATCCTGCAAATCCCATAAATCCATGAACATAGGAAATCACTAATAAATGCCATAGATTGCACCCGCTATCTTCCTTCCAATCATCCTACTCTCTCAAATTTCACTTCAGCATCCTCCACTGCCTTAGTTCCAATTCATGATGCTGTTCATCTGGCTAGTTAAGCATGCTTATCGACTTTGACTAAGCCTCTCGTTGCTCGGTGTGTTTCTTCAATGGTTAATACCCATCGTCTTCCACTCTTGCATCCATAGCCCCTTAGCCAGTCGGTTCGTCGTCGTCGTCCTAGAGTCCTAGGTACTGGAACTGTTAGAGGAGACCTGTTCGGTGCATAAAGTTGGCCACGTAGCGGGTGGCCTGCGCGTGTTAAGTGCACCTCATTTAATAGTTGGCCCAGTATGTTAATATACCTACCCTGAGCGCGTTTGACTTCTACGCGCTAGCACTGACCCTCTAGGTTGTCTGACGACGCATGCTGAAATGAGCTGAGTTACAGTAAAGAATTCCAAATTTTACATATGTCACTGTCGATCAAGGGCTAGTTACATTCCACATTCCACCTACTATTTCCTTAACTCCCTACCGCCACTAAGGCTTCCGTCTCGGAGAATTTGTACGTCACTCCTCCCGTTAGCTATGATTGCGGCTGATATTTGCATTATGCATTAAGTAGGAAATGTGACAGGCACAATTCTATCCCGTCTCGAGGTGGACCCACATACCAGAAAACTAGCCATTGACCGTCCGCTTCTACTGGCTCTAGCCCACCAAGCTTGAATGATGGCGTTTTACATGGAAATTAATGGATGGAAGTTATTTTTCGCAACGCAGGCCAAGACAATAACGAGGGAGTACTCCGTGTCTATTCCAAGAAGTTCCATCCTCTGGAATGGGAGGTGGAATTGTGAGTGGTCGGATGAACACACACACTCACTTCATTTAAGGCGACCTAGAAGAGAGATCGTGGATACCCCCCTGAATAAGGCAAAGATATTTCCTTATTTTCTTCTTATACCTAATACTTACAAATCCGATATTAAGGTTCGAGAACTAGCTGTCTTCGTTGATGCAAGTCCGCAGCGGCAGGAACCTTTCCTTGATCTTCAACCTAAAGAGCCTAGGCTTATGCCCATCCAAGATGTCCGCACACGCTGAAAATCCACCTTAATGCTGAATCGGGAAAAAAACTACAATCTGTCCTAGATTTATATTGTGCAACACATCAATGTCTCCAGTTCAAGCTTGAGAAGTGAGAATGGCTTCAAATCGAGTATCTACTTTCTATTACCGAGCCTTCCTTTACACAATTCATCTGATCTTTAGCATTTACAGCAATCTCTTTGCCTATGTCGAGGCTTCCGAGGTACAACTAGGGCTTAAGAAGGCTCCCTGGAACTTTTCAGAATAATGGCGACCCGTCAACAATCACACCCACCTTACCGAACCATGAAGTCTGCCCGCCACGCTTAAATAATAACAGCGAAATAAGACCAGACCATCTCCAGTTAAGCATGAACTGTCCCAAGCTAGATCCTACCAGGTAACTTCCGAATGTAGATCAAACCAGCTGCAACATGAGATTTCAATACAAGATAGTATTATGAGCCACTTGGTTCTTGATATTGCAGCTAAGTTCAACTTCCCTGGCCAACGGCACGCCTGGTCCCAACCACCAAATCAACCGACCAACTACGTTCCCGCATGCGTACACTTAGCTCAGCGTATACTTCTCCGCCAAACGTCGCCACATGGAGGTTAGATTGAACTGCGACATATTACGATAACGACATTCACTCTGCAGCCAATATTAATTGCCATCTTGGTCGCAGTATTGGTAAGCTTTCCAGAGTTCAAAATAACTATCGCTTAGTACATTAGCTAAGTGCACCATATATTTATTACTCCTGCTACCCTTCGCATAGAAGGGTAGCAATTAGTCTCTTATAACATCTACACATACATTTACCGATAGGCTCTACTTCCCCTACTCATGCTGCTACACTAGGACCTCGCAGGGCCCTAACAAAGATACACTAGCAAAAACTTAGAGAAACCCTAGGGAAATGATAGTGACGTAAGGGCGTGTCATTATTATGGAAGATAGTGAAGGAAAGAGAAGTTAAAGGGTAAGCAATAGGGGATTTATACCTATAGGGATAAAATCATAACAAAACCCTACAACCTAAGCAAGCAAATTTAGGCCACACTTAGGCAAACGGGCACATTAAGAAAGCATTAGGCCACTATAAACATGTCAGAATTGAGGGTTTAAAAATGCAGAGAGAAATATATTCCTGAGGCATCCATATAGACTGTAAAACCCTGGTTTCTGTCAAAGGTTTTAGATGCCGCGTGCGTGGACCTCACCCATCACTTACCTTTTGTGTTTAGCGCGGCCTCTTTGAGATTAGCACAATGATATATTTCAATACACATGTGGATTACTTGTGCGCGGGGCAAGGATCGCCCGTGGAGTCCACAGGGAATAGGGAACATCACACTAACCTCGGATTCTTTCACCTAGTCAAGTTTCATCTATTAGTTATCGTTTAGGACAAAACCGAAACGCCTGACTTGTTAGTTTTCTTTCTTCATTAACTATCAACTTAAAATGCTAGTCATAAGAAGTCAATCGAAGGCCCTAGTTAGCTAAGATCCGAGCTTAGCATAGGAGGATAGCGAGATCTCTAAGAGCGTGGAACAGGAATAATCGACGAAAGGGCCGTTTATTGAATAGCTTGATCTTGACTATTCCGACAACTCAATCCTAAAACAGACCGACTGGAAGTTTATTCTCAAGGAGGTGCGGAAAGTCGATAGCTGTCGCCAAATCACATAGATAATTCCTGTGGAAGATAACCAGAGACTATGGATTACCATACGTAAGATACGATATAGGCTCCCCCTATGAGACAAGTCTAACGCGATAGTCAAAGATTGGCGGCGAAGAACTCAGCGAGACGAGTTCCGCTAGTCAGTTACAATGACACAAACCATAAAAGAAGTCATCTTCTTACCGGATCCCGGTTCCCTGGGCAATAACCGCAGCCGCCCTAACGACAAGGCACTCTTATACAGATCAGAAATTCATACTAGATTGCTTTTCCAAACCCAGTCGTCCTAACATAGTCTATGAGGTCTAGACGGTCTATTTTCCGGCTGAGGATATCGTTGCTATCTTGGATTCAGACCCCTATTATAGATTTCTGAGGATAGTTAACTATCGATCTCTACCTTGCGCATTAGAAGACCCTATCGGCGCGGTTTTGACATAGGCCATCGCCTTTATGTCTGGCGAAGTCGAATACAAAGGGCGACGCTGTAAACGGATTGCGTGGTTTATAAACTGGAAATCGAACGGAGAGGAGGAAATTTACAAAGAAACAGTGTGTTCCAGGAAAAATAATAGAGAAGGGCGGACAGTGCTGGATTCCTTCATCGAGGAGCTACAGGGTCTCGGAATGGTGGGATACGAGTCCTATCATGCTAAGTTTGAGGAAATTAAAAAATGGACTTAGAAGAGCACCATATCCTTGCATTACGCAAGAGACATTGAATGCATCACAGTGTAACGGCATAGTTCAGAAACAATATAGAATCCTATCTAAAGTTCTTCTCGTGACTCCGAGAGACCGACTAGAATTAGAAAGACCTAAGTAACTAGGGGCTGTTCCCGCGATAAAAGAAAGTGTTAGCTATAGTCAATTAACGAAGACCGTTTACTCGTGAAACTAAGGGAAGAAAGGAAGTTAGTATAGAGGAGATCATAACTAGTCGCAAATCTTCATTATTATAGGTACACTATTCTACCAAATTAAGGCCTAGAAAGGCTAATCAAAGTTGCTCGCGAAGCCGGAAGGGAGCCAGAAACTGAAAATCCATATTCTTAGAGCACTTCTCGTCTTTGTATACTCTCTCCCTTCGAATCTAGGGGTATCCAACGGTACGTCAATGAGATTTTCCAAGAGTAGATTTATATCACGACGTAGACTTGTCATCATTGTTTCGTTACTAATATACCATCAATCTACATGCCGAAGCCACAATAATATTGGCCGGGAATACCTTAAGACAAACGCTATCTGGCCGAAGAGGCCACCTCCGGGATTCATTGGGCTCTCTAGGAGTATAAGGAGTATAAAGACGGTGAGGCGAGCAGACCCTTGCTACGTTCCTTCCGGCGTGCAGCTTATGTGCGGCCAGTAGTCGGGTTGATGTCGCCTGGGTGAGTTTAGGGTAACAGCCGCTTTAGCATTGCGCGCCCGAGGGTGAGAAGGGTGAGTGTGCTATAGACAGGGTGAGAATCACCCAAGTCGCGCGATGTTGCGGAAGGAAAATGCTAACTATTCATCGTTACAAAAGTCACGTAAAGGTTAAAAAGACACATTGTCGGATTTAAAATTATTGCCGAAAATAAGGTTGGTTCCGCTATATCCTAAATCCGATCATTCGGCGTTACCTGTTTGGCTTCCACTCTTCATAAACCTCTTTCGACCGGTCATTCCAAAGTGGCCCAAAAACTATTCCTCTTTGACTATCTGTCCTTGAACCGTCATGTCTACCATCGAGTCTTCTC